ACTGAGGCAGTAACTTAACTACCCCGGTAAACTTTGCTACAGGCTTATTTTCATGGGGTGGGCATGTACGGCGAGCTTATTTTCACTTCCGTACTCCTTGGCTTCTTAGCATCACGCGTTCAACTTAGCGGAATTGCATTCCGCTAAAATTATACTACTGGACTAGGTTACATGCCATTAGAGATGGCGTAGTCGGCCTTGTCGACCCGAACTTTGCGTAGAAGTGACAGCTTGCACAGCAGTTCAAACCTGCTTGCTCTGGAAGATAGCGTCTGTTGTTGTGAATAACTATCTGCAATTTGCCTGACTGCCGGACAACATGCTTCACTCATTTATGCAAGGCTGCGCTGCCTTATCTCGCTCTTTCCGCGTTAATGGTTCTCTGGCCACTCTCAGTTCAACTATGTCTCGTTTGAGCTGCCTCGGTGTCGTCAGTGGGGGATCATCAGCCAACTGCGACAGCTACAGCTAGGTCATCTGTAAGTTCGTGGCCATTGCAGCACGCCATGGAGCAACGTCTGCGCCGCGGTCAGGAAAGTCTTCTTCGCGGACATCTGCTATCTGGCGACAGATGACCATGCGAGCGCTTGGCACTCGATGAGGAGAGGGCGGTCCTAGCTAGGGGAGGAAGGGAAACCCTTCGTCTGGCAGGAGGGGCTGGGGTTCAGCTTCTTGGTTGCATGATTCCGGAATTGCTGCTCTCTCGATGGCCATGCTGTCCCCCAGCATCATGCCATCAGGCGGGTTCACAGCCCGGGGAGAGCTAGTGGGAACGGGAAGTAGGAGGGACGTGCGCACGGTTGTGCGGACGGCAGTAGAGAGTTAGGTTTGCGGACGGCATGAGAAAGTTGGGTTCAGGGCGAAACGTTCGCCCTCTTCCTTGTCATCGGGGTCTTGCCCTCACCTTCTCCCTCTGCCGCCCTCTCCCTCACTTAGCAGCCGTACCCCCGCCCTTTGGTGCCACCCACGCTATGTGAGCTGCCTCGCTGTTCCGCTGCTGCTGGGCTTAGGCCACGCACGCCATGTGAGCTGCCCACGCGGCTCCCCCCGTGGATGGGAGGGAGCCGCATGAGGGTACGTTGCTGCCGCTGCGTATCGTGTGGCGCGCCAGGTCGGGAGCCGGGCCAAATCGCCTCATGTCCTCCGGCACTGCGGTGATGTGTGGAGCTGCGTGGGCAGGAGGGGCGCTGTGTGCTCCCAGCTGCCGGCGGAGGGCAAGTGGCCGATAGAGAGAGGGAAGGGAGCGAGGTCGCTGTATGGGAGCGAGAAGGGCATGCGAGGCGGGTGGACTCGGGGGAGGGCAGAAAAGCAGTGGAAGCAGTGACGTTGAGTGGGGATTGAACATGACGCGATAGGTGGGTAGGGATGCGTGTCACGCAAATAAGCTGGGTTGCAGTTTTGAAGTGGAGGTTAGGAGTGAAGTGGGGATTTGCTCCCATGTTGCATGCAAGTCGTGACGGCTCCAGATGAGGCGGTAAGCGTTGTGGCCTTCTCACCTTCAATTTCCCTCTTCTCGCTCTCTTCCTCGTCATCGAGGTCTTGCCCTCACCTTCTCCCTCTGCCGCCCTCACCTTCGCCCTCTGCCGCCCTCTCCCTCATTTAGCAGCCCTTACCCCCGCCCTTTGGTGCCACGCACGCCATGTGAGCTGCCCCGCTCTTCCGCTGCTGCTGGGCTTGGGCCGGAATCCTGGCTCGTCTCTTCCGGCCACGCGGCTGGGAAGCTTCATAGGTTCCGCCGTGGCACGACGGCCGCCGCTGCCGTACCCTTACTGATGCGCATGAGGGCATGGTGCTGCCGCTGCTGTGCGTGTGGCGCGGCAGGGATGTTGCTGGGGGGGAGCCGCGCCAGGTCGTCTCACATCCTCCGGCATTTGGTGGTGTGTGTAGCTGCGTGGGCAGGAGGGGCGCTGCCGGTGGGAGGGCAAGCGGCCGAGAGGGAGGGGGAAGGGAGCGAGGTCGATGTATGGGAGCGAGAGGGGCATGCGAGGCGGGTGGACTCGGGGAGGGCAGAAGAGCAGTGGCGTTCAGTGACCTGAACGGGACATGACAGGTGCAGTGATGTGCATCTCGCAAATAAGCTGGGCTGGCTGCAGTTCTGGACTTGGGGTTAGGAGTGAAGGACACCCTCCCATGTTGCGTGCAAGTCGCGACGGCACCCGATGAGGTTGTAAGCGTTGCGTCCCCTCTTCTCGCCGTACTGTCGCAAGCCCCTCCCCCCTCCCTCCTTCCCCCTCCCTCCTCCCTCGCCTAGTTTCAGTCCACCTCCCCCCTTGCCGCAGAGTAACAGCGGAGGTCAACGGTGAGGTGTAAACAGCCGGGCAGCTGCGGGCGGGCAAGCAGTGGACAGATAAATGCGATGAGGAGGACAAGGAGCGAGAGGAGCAGCAGCCGTAGGGGGAGGAGGTACGGCAGACGGTAGGGGCGGTTGTGGGGGCGGGAGGGCAGTGGTTGTTGGCATGCGTCCATTTCGGTAATGACACCGGCAGCAGCACGCAGCCAGCAGCTTCACTCAGAGGGGTGGCTGGGGGGGCGGCTGCCAGCGCATCCACCCCTGCCTCTCCAACACGACACGCTGTGCAGGGTGCGAGGGGGGGCAGGGGATGGTGAACGGGCACCACAGGGTGATGCACGGCAGAGTAGTTTGGGTTGCTGGCCTGGCTGTGCGTTGCGTCGGGTCTGGGAAGCAGGAGGGGCAACATTAGGTGCAGGGAAGTGCCCCTCGTCGTGAGCTGGTGAAGTCGGCTCGTCCTGGGCTGCCTTCGCCTCACATGACCCCCGCACACCCCAACGCCGTTGCTGGTGGCGATGGACGTCGGCTCGTGATTGGTGAAGAGAAAAGCAGCTGCGATGACACCGGATCCGGGGTGGTTTGGTGCTGGGGACTGGTGCGCGGACTGCGATAAGGAATGTGGGTTAACATTATTTGTGCCGGCAAGGATTGGTGAGGTTTCATGCGTAGTGGCTCCGAACCCAAGCTATAGTGCCGGGTTACAGGTTTCTGCGCTTACGTGGGGTTGCGATTGGGTTAACTGCGGGCTGCTCATGACACCCTCCTCATTCCACCAGTTGCTTGCATTCGTTTCGTGACACGCCGTTTCTGTACCACACCAGCGCGGTTTCGGTGCGGTTTGGGTAAGGGCTGTTAGCCCTTGTTTTGTGGCACCTCCTCTCGCTATTGCCTTGCCCTTGCTTGTGGTCTAGGTCTTCCCTGGCCCGCGCTGGCCCGCGCGACTGCATTCGTGAACGCCCGAGGGGCCGTACCCCCTCCTCACCCCATGGTTGTTGGCCGGGATGGGTTCGTTGGCGTATGGCGACAGTTGTCATGCGTGGCTGTAAGCGTATGGCGACAGTTGTCATGCGTGGCTGTAAGCGTATGGCGACAGTTGTCATGCGTGGCGGTACAGCCAGCAGGGGCCAGCCGGCAGAGCCAGCAGCTGGGTGTCAGGAGCACGGGGTGTCATTCGGTTTTGGGATCTAGCTTGGTGTGCACTGTCTGTGCTCAGCGGAGGAGCTGCTCGGGGTGGTGACATGACACCTTTCTCCTGTCTTTGCGGCGTCTATCACCTCCAGGCCCGTGCTTGCCTTACTCTAGGCGTGCTGCACCTTCTCTTGTCTCGGTGCGGGGAAGTGCTTAACCACCTCGTTCCTGTAAGCCAGCTTCAGATAACCTTTGGTGGCACAGCCAAGTAACCCACTCCGCTCAGCAGCCAGGCGGCTGTGAAGTAAACCCCAGGAGTCCACCCCCGTGCACGACGCATTCCTAAATCCTGTCGTGTCGGTACGGTGTATACCGGCACATGTCATGCAACCTTGCAAAAGGAACTAATCGATCAACGTGAACAGTGCAGCACGGCCAGGTAAGGATACGTACAAGCGCATGCCTTCTGTTAACATGATGTCAAGCATTGCGCACCCCTACACGTGGCAATGGCTGTTAAGTTAGGTACAAAGAGATGCGCACGGTTGTACGGCTGGTAATGGGTAAGGGAGTTAGCAGGAATCAGGTAGGGGGGTGTTCCTCAGCATGCATGTACGTAGATGAATGAAACACATATGAAGTAAATTGCATTGTCGACCACTGCACGTGATCAATATTCTAATTTGGTTTATCCGACAGCAGATAGTGGCCGTGGGTAAGGGAGTTTGGGTGAGGAGGAATGTAGGATCAAGGGTCACTTGGGGAGTTGCAGGCATGCATGCAGCAGTCAAGGATACCGGTGTGTTGTGCTGACTTGCAGACGCATCCTCTGCCTACTGCCTACATCACGCATGCGCATATTGCGAGTTACACGTACCGTACGGAGGGGTGTTGCTGTTCAAGGATTTGCAGGACTTGGTGAAGGGCTGGGAAGGGCAGTAGCTTACGTAGCTGGTGGTTTCATGTTTCCCAGTTTGCTTGCATATGCTAGGTGGTGCTAACGCACTGCGGATGCATGCAGCCTCTCAACTGCACTGCGGATGCATGCAGCCTCTCAACTGCACTGCGGATGCATGCAGCCTCTCAACTGCACTGCTGTACGGTCGGCAAGCGTGCATGCGGGGAACTGGGGAACAGCTCAGCCAAGCAATGCGCGTACAGATAGCACTTCACCAACATGTTCCTGGTATAGATATCACTAATATGCCTGCTTTGGGTTGTACGCGGCAGAGCACTTTGCGCTTAGTGCCAATGTTTGACCATTGAGCCGACCATGGCCGTCAAACCGGTAGCCTTTTCAAATTCCTATGCTACCGCCCTTGCCTTGGGTCATATCAATCTCAATAATGGTATTTTCAAGGCAGGTTCCAAATGCCCAAACCGCGACGATGGACCCCAAAAAGTATAAGGATTTGATTATTTTCGTTTGCTGAATCGCAAAAATCGCGCGGCCTCCGGCCGCGTTCTTTCTGAGACATGCCCATCCTATCGAAAATTTGCCCGCGAAGGGAGTTATACGGGGGTGGTGTATGCCATAGGGCCCATAAGGCCAAATAAGAAATAACCTTGGGAACGGCGGCGGCAGTGGATGTGCGTCCTATCCGTATTACCTTCGCATTCTATATCCTTGCAATTAATGAACACCACGTGATGGTATACAACAGGACGTTTAAAGCGTAAAGTCTGTCGAAAGAATGCCGGCCTCAGTGGCCTTCATATCTTTCCTACTTCTGTAAGTGCAGAGGTTTTAAGCATTACATGTAACGTCATTGACGTCTGGCCCGCTTCCCTCTTGGTCGCCTCGTGTTCAGGGCTTCGTGGTCAAGAGTCGTCTTATCTCAGTACCGTAAGCTTCTCGGCAGTGTTTGGTATTCCTGGAGCGTCTACTCTACCGTCACTCGCTGTTGTCGTGTTACGCAAAGGCGCGCCCCATAGCTGATGGCCCTTCGAGTGGCGTTACTAATTTCGGCCTTCGCCCCTGCTCGCAGCGTCTATATCTAATTTTGAATGTTGGCTGGAAGTTCAGGCTACTACCGCGTAAGTGGTTCATTGTCGTTTTCTGCCTGTATGGACTTCGCCGACATCAGACACGCGACTGCGCAGGTCCTATAAGAAGATATTAAGAATCCCTGGAGAAGACAATCTCAGCTATATCAAGAGGATTGGTGGAACGTGCAACGATGACTGGGACTGCTTTGCTTTTGACGGTGACGGAAATCTCTATCTCAGCGCCATATCCACGTCATTGTTCCGCTACAACGCAAGCCAAGGTACGTTTGGATTGATAGGGGCCTTCTACTACCACTACCAGTCAAACGTCCGAGGGGTCGGTAGTTACCTTATGGGCATCTATGCGCGATGGCCCCGGCCGTGAAGGGTGATGACCGCCCCCACTTAAGATAGCCCACATATGTGTGTTCAAATAACTGGCCGCGAGGCGAAACGTACTGTGATTGCCGAAAGATGAAGTCCTCCCACTGAAACGCCACAGGTGAAGTGAAGTCCGTTGGCAATGGTGTAGAAGAGTATCGAGTAGTATCGGAATCATTGTAAAGCAGTAATAGCAATGTTGCAACGCGACCGGACGGACGGACACATGGGCCCCCCCCCCGACGCCACTTCACGGCTGGGGCTTCACCTAAAACCCAAATGCCCCGCAAATGGCACCAAACAATACTGCTTGCCACACGGTACCAATGTAGCATGAACTGACACGTGCAAACCAGGTGTGGCACAAAAATAGAGGGGGCCCCACTGTGCCTGGACAGCTTGATTGGGCTCATGATGTACAGTAGAACCCAATGGCCAAGCAGAGCTAGCGACCATTCGTGCAGCACTCGAGGCCGCAAGGACTGCGACCAACTGCATATATCCAAACATAATGCGCTTCTTGACCTCCTAGCTGATAGGGTGATGCCATACGTAACTTGCTTTCTTGTTGGTTACTCTTCAACCTTCTGTATGCATTTCCTGCTGCTCTTCCGCAGTGCTCTACAACTACAGAAATAATGGGTATATTGGAGCATGTGTGTCTTATTATCGACCCCCTCCACCATCTCCACCTTCCTCGCCTCCTACCCCACCATCACCGCCACCATCGCCTCCTCCCTCACCACCACCATCACCGCCACCGTCGCCTCCTCCCTCACCACCACCATCACCGCCACCGTCGTCTCCTCCCTCACCACCACCATCACCGGCACCGTTGTCTCCTCCCTCGCCTCCTCCCTCACCTCCTCCCTCGCCTCCTCCCTCGCCTCCTCCCTCACCTCCTCCCTCACCACCACCATCACCACCACCATCACTGCCACCGTCGCCTCCTCCCTCACCACCTCCCTCGCCTCCTCCCTCGCCTCCTCCCTCACCACCACCATCACCACCACCATCACTGCCACCGTCGCCTCCTCCCTCACCACCTCCCTCGCCTCCTCCCTCGCCTCCTCCCTCGCCTCCTCCCTCACCACCACCCTCACCACCACCATCACCGCCACCGTCGCCTCCTCCCTCGCCACCACCCTCACCACCTCCCTCGCCTCCTCCCTCACCTCCTCCCTCACCACCACCATCACCACCACCATCACCGCCACCGTCGCCTCCTCCCTCGCCACCACCCTCACCACCTCCCTCGCCTCCTCCCTCGCCTCCTCCCTCACCACCACCCTCACCACCTCCCTCGCCTCCTCCCTCGCCTCCTCCCTCACCACCACCCTCACCACCTCCCTCGCCTCCCCCACCTTCTCCTAGTCCACCACCCCCACCACCTCCACCCCGTGTCATCCGCAGCCCGTCTCCTCCTCCAACACAGTTACCAAGCCCAGCCAGCACTAGCCCTCCACCCCTTACTACTTCACCACCATCACCTCATAGCCAGCCGCCCCCTCACAGCCCACTCTTACCAAGTCTCCCTTCAACTCCGTCCCCCAAATACAGCCCACCTCTGTTGTCCCCACCCCCTTCACCACTGCCTCCCTCGCCACTGCCACCATCACCTCAACCCCCCTCGCCACTCCCTCCTTCACCACCACCACAGTTGCCTCGACCCCCATCACCTCCACCGCTTTCACCTCAGCCCCCCTTGAATCCCCTACCCTTTCCCCCATCACCCCCACCATCTCGGCCACCCCCACACCCCTCACCACCATCACCACCTCCAATTGTCTACTGGGCTACCTCCACCTCTGGCCCTAACGTAGGTTTGGTGCGTGTGGATGTTTGCTATCTAGTTTGCTAGTGCAAGTTGGATAGCCACATGCAGGGGACAACTTGCTCATAGATAATCTGTCTTATCCAGGCTGACGGCTGTCTATCTGTTATATATGTTTGCATAATTGATTAGCCTGCTGTTGCTCACTCGCTCTACTGAAGGCATTACTGGCCTCTTTCGGTTCTTGCCTTGTAAATGTCTGTGTGCACGTATGGCTGCCTCAGTCCCAGCTGGCAAAAGGCAGTTCTGCGGACAACATCGTTGGGTCTCCAGACTTGTTCCGGACCCCACCCAAGGCCTGCAAACCGGCAGCTGACTCCAGCTGGGTGCCAACGAAATCGGTGAGTCATTGGCACGCAGCTCGACAGGGGCCATGTATGTATGCAGCTGCAGCAATGCTGCAATATAAGTCTTAATGGGAAACCCCTTGAAACCTCGAGAGGCCGTTTAGGACCTGTGTTACAACAGCCGCCTGGATGGGCTTCTACCTATCTCCTCCATTCCGCATGCGCCCATCTGATGAAGCATATGGCATCCAACCTTGTCCATCCGTGCATTTCCCCTGCAACCAAGCAACCGATCCCTCCATCCTGCATACCTCCACCCATCCAATCCCGCACCCCCAATAATAATCCCCCCCCTGCCCATCCCAGGTTCCCCGCTACGTGGTGGCCTACTTCAACCAGACCCCTGCTGCCACCGGCGGCCAGGTGGCGGCTGTGGAGCTCTATGTCACCAACAAGGGCAGTCTCAACCCCGCCATTGCCTCCATCGACCTGCTGCTCCGAAAGCAGGGGGCAGTAATGACCGATGGCGTCCAAAGCAACAACCACAACGAGAAGGTGAGGATTTCTGAGCGAGCGAGGTTAGTTGCATTCATCATACCGGTATGTAGGTGGAAATAAGGGAGGGTGTTGAAAGGCGCCGGCTACAGATTATCCCTAACGGGAAACCTCATATCTCATCTCATATCTCGAGAGGCCTTTTTGGACCTATGCTACAGAGGGTTGCGTGCAAGGCACCTGCTGTGGGGGTGCGAGGGGGGGGGTGCGTGGGAGGCACCTGCTGTGGGGGTGCGAGGGGGGGGTGCGTGGGAGGCACCTGCTGTGGGGGTGCGAGGGGGGGGTGCGTGGGAGGCACCTGCTGTGGGGGGTGTGAGGGGTTGTGCCCAGCGGGCTCCTATGCTAGCCAGGAGGAGCCCTTCTATCTTGTTCTGCTAGCTGCTTACAACCTGTCTAGGCTGCTATCCCCGCCGCCCCGCAACCATTGCTCTGCCTAGCAACCCTCGTTCCCCCTTGCTTGCCACACACGCATCACGCAATGCAACCCAGTGGGTGATGCTGTACAGAGGCAGCGCAGGACAGGAGCTGACGTGTCCAGGACTCAACTACTTTGCCGTATCTGCGACAACGGCCGCCAGTACCCTGCAACCGTCTGGTTCCACCTTTACGATGATGTCAGCTGAGGAGTTCAACACAGCGGTGGTGGTTGCCGTACGAGTCAATGTTCACAATGCGACTGTTTCCACGAAATCACAGCTGCCGCACCTGGCAGCAGTTGGTTTGCAACTCGTGTAAAAATGGGATGTACGTTCGCATTTCCACTTCGTGTGAGGTGTTTCAAAATTTTCGGCTGCGTGCGATCATCACCAGAGCCGATATATAGATAAAGAATAGGTTTTGGGGATTTTGATTGTGCGTTGCAATCTTGATTTTACATGTACCGGTAATGTCTCGATGATTATTCATGGTTGTGATTCCCGCCATACCACAGCGAGGGTGGAGGCTATAGGGTGACGCCGGCTAGAAGCGTTGCCACAGGACCTGCTGGTGTACTAGTGCCACGCAGCGCCGTATGAGGACTGCACGCACGCGCTCTCCCGCGGATCCGAAGGGCGTGGCTGTACTTGGATAACTTTTACTGCTGACCAATGCTCGTCCTCGCGATTGCCGATTCCGGATGCTGAAGAGGTCTTCTTAAGCTTTACGGTTACTTATAACTTCTTTCTACTATTATATAAGAGCTGATGCTTAAAGCAGTTATAGAACCAAAGTGCGCGGCGTCGGTGGTCTAACTCGGCGACGCGATTGCGATGATGCGCTCGGGCCCTCAGCTGAAGCGCCCTAGCCGCTTCAGCTGGGCTTGTTGGTGCTAGTTGGATAAGGTACTGGCACTTGAATCTGCACTAGCAGGAAAGGGGATCTTGTCCGCGACGACCTTGGGATGACCTTGGCTACAAGCTGCTATACAGGAAACAGGGTTTATAGTTTTGTCTTTTAGGTCTTGGGATATAGGTACTCGGTCTGCAACGTAGGAAACGGGATAGAGGGCCTTGTCCGCGACGATAATGATGTCATCTTGGGATGTCTTGGTCTTTTCCTTTAACGTCTTAACGCACTAAGATCTCTATTATAACGCTCTTGCTTGCTGGATACGTTCGCCTTTGAGAATGCTTTGGCGCTACTGGCTGGTTTGGTACTGTTTTGCTGACTGTCTTTGGTGCCGTGGCTAGGCCAGGGACTTGCTATTCACCACTTCCGGTGTGAGCTGCTGCCCTTTGGGAGGTGGGTGCCGTGGCTAGGCCAGGGACTTGCTATGTTTTGCTGTGGCTGTATGTTGCCAGAGACTTGCTAGCTGCTTCCAGTGTGAGCTTTTGCCCTTTGGGAAGAGGAGCCTAGACATTTTATTGTCTGAGACTGTTACAGTATGGGAAAACTAGATTTATATACTCTGGGGAAGTATGGCTCCCTGGAGCGTACGACAACCTTTCTTGGAGTTTTGCGGGTGGTTCCCTGGAGCATACGGCAGGGTGTACGGCAACACGTCATAATTACTTCACTCCCAGGGGGGGTAAAAAGTCTTTGCCAAACCCCATGCTAAAAAAGTCAAGAAAGGGGTGCCGGACCCACCCACCCACCCTATCGTACCGTTTTTGCTGTACGACAACGCTGTAATCTTCGCAAAATCGGCCCAAAACAGCACCATTCGACTCCATTTCACATGATCTTCGTCGTTTTCACGTTAGGCGTACCATTTGGCAACATGTCCGAGTCGCTTGTCACACGAGGGGGGGGCAGGCAGGCCTCAATGCTCTCTGGTATGCAGCCGATACACATCTCTTTTAAACCTCACATGCATTGCTGTGATGCTTGGGTGCACGGTTGCGTTGGTAAGTGTGCTCCAGCCCACCTGCCACTGCGTCCCTCACATCACCCCGCCATCGGTACGACTGCGCCCCCTCCCCCGGGTAGCAGGTTGGGCTTGCACCCCATCGCCCTCAGCACCAGATGCAGAACCACGCATGTTTCCACCTGCCACGGGTGTGTCGTCAGTACGTACGCCTGTTGCGTGCCCTCCCCCTTTAACCTTGACCTAGCTACCGGTATCTTAATTATTCGTGCCGCGATGCGGTTCCACAGCTTAGTTCCATCACGTACTAATTGCTGGCCGCCAACCAAACGCGAACTAACGGCATCTGACATGCCAGCTGTACTGTATATCAGTACATGGCGCCCAGGAAACATGGCTGTATCTGCGCTTTTTCAGGGAACGTCCCATGGGTCGCTGTGTTAATGCTCCTGCTTCGCGGTCTTCCTAAGTATAAGTACTTGACCACGGATCTAAGAACACATACGTACTGCGCCCCTATCGTCACCTCGCTCATGGCGTGTGAAGACGCTCCATGGCACGAACGTGGTACATGCAAAGTACATACGTACGGTACCATGCAGTAAGTAAGGTACAACAGCAGCACAGTCCCACCAACTAGCTTTGGATGGTAGGACCGTACTCCTGTCATGATGATTGTGGGGGCCATCCCCAGCCACCTGTGCACGCCCACGTCACTGACCCCGCCTCCAACAAAGCTGCGATCTGGCGGTTGGACCCACCCGTCCCACTAGCGCCTCCCGAGGTTCTGGGTTCCTCCTGCCTCATAATTCCCTTTATGTAAGCAAAGGGCACGGCTCATCCAAGGCCAATCGTCCACCCAAGCAACCCCTACTTGCTTTGACCTAACGTGGGCAGCACTGCCCGCCTTGCTCTTCCACCTGGAGACGCGGTTTCCGTTATGTTGTAGCAGCGCAAAGGATGCATGGAGGACATGTGAACGATGGGCCTTGTGGGACTGTGTATGGACGCTTTAATGGATCCGGCTGCAAGGGACAGTCGTCTCCTCATCACTCTTGACTTGCCTACTCTTGCGCCATTACCCTTTAAAACGTAGGCTACTGATGCGAGGTGCAAGGACAAGCTGCGGCACTGGTACACCCACCATCGCAGCCATGTTCATGACTGCGGCAAGGCGGTGGGTAGTAGTTGCCATGAGTCTCTCACATTCCTTCATACCTTTCTCGGCCTTTTGGCTCAGATCATGTGTAGTATCTGTTCTTGTAAGTCTAATCGCTTACATGGTCCTCATTGAGGACCTGCGATTAACTTCAATATTTTGAGGGGGTGCGGTCAATGGATGCGCTTGCGCCTCCGACCCACCAGCATGGTTGCGGCCTTACACTACTGCCGTGACCGTGCACCCTACCCAAGGCCCAAATAAAAACGCCCGCAATCCGCTTATCTCATGTTAGTCTCCGGACAATGAAACATGGTCCATTGACTCACTATTTCAATCGCACATCGCATGGAGCATTCAATGAACGCCTAATCCATGGACCAATCCATGAACGCCTAACAGACAACACCTTGTACGGCAACTGCTCAATACTCGCGAGCAGCTGGAGTGGAACTCAGTGACCCCCACAAGACATGCCTGTCGGCCTCAGCCGGACAAGGGGCTGCTTGCTTGCTATGTATCATGCATTCAACACAAACTGCTTCAAGCAAGGGGTATGAACTTCCCAAACAAGATCGTATCAGCTTATCTGACTGGGCACGGGCACGGAACTGTATCCACAATCGATGAGCAGTGTACGGCCCTCCTTGCATCCTCCTCACCGTTCACTCCATCGCCCAATCTACCACAGCCACAGCCACCTTGAACGCGCCCCAGCACCTCCAACCCCCAACCACCTGCACGGGTCCGCTCGCTCTTCATCTCGCCTCCTCCTCCTTCTCCTCCTCCCCAGCCACCTCAGATGCCTCTACTCAACCTGTCCTCGCCACCCCGCCGCCTCGTTTCCATGTCACCCCTCCCTCCCCACCTACTCCCGCTTATCCCTGAACCACCCGCCCCTGGCCAAGCGCTAGGCTGCTGGGGTGCGGTCGAAGCTGCGGTCGAGGGGCAAGGCTGCGGTTGCCACATGCAAGGTTGCGAGGCTGCTGCGGTGCTAGTCCATGTCGAACCGCACCACCACTGCGGTGATGTCGTCCACGTAGCTGCCGCCGTACTCCGCCACCCAGGCCCGCCGAGCCGCGTGCGCCACCCGACTGGCCGCCTCGGCTGCACTGCCCGCAGCAGCAGCGGCAGCCAACACCTGGGCAGCAGGAGGAGCAGGAGGAGGAGCAGGTGGGGAGTGTGACGAGGAAGGAGTCAGGAGTGAGCCAACGAGGATGACCTTGCGCAGTCACCGTCATCCGGTTACAGCCAGTGTAGACATGAAGCCCGTTAATACTTGCAAGTACATGGTTTCGTGAGCACTCTACGGCACTCGCGAGCAGCAAGAGGACACGGACATGCATCCAGACAGGCTCCCGCACCCCACCCCCCAGCGCATGACGGCATGACTCGGGATATGGAATTGGCACTCCAGTTGCTTCACTTTTCATGTATAAAGTGAAGCACACACCCTCCGCAGCGCGCCCCACCTGCTGCTCCCCCAGCAGCTCCCACACCCCGTCCGAGGCCAGCAGCAGCAGCGCGGGTCCCCGGGGTGGCAGGGCCAGGGCGGCCAGCGAGGGGGTGGAGGTGATGCCGATCTGGCGGCCCGGCAGGTCACCCAGGGCCCGACTCATGGCTAGGCCGGGGTAGTCCTGAGGGATGGGAGGCGGGCGAGGGGAGGAGGGAGGGAGGGAGGCGTAGGTGGCTACTCCCACCGAGCAGCAGCGAACCCAACCAGACTCACCTATCTTCCGAACCACCCATCTTCCGGTCCATCTCCACGCCGGCGGTTCTTAGCAGACATTCCTCCATGCAACCATGCCCCAAGCCGGGGCATTCCATGCAAGCCCCTCCAACCTCCTGTCCCCACAGCCCAACACGCCCACCCCTCCTTCCCCCAAACTCACCCGCATTCCCCCCGAACACGTTTGCCCAGCCATCACACGGTTGTATTTCTCATTACCTCATCACCCCTCCAGCCCCGCCCACCTGCTTCTGGAACCACACGCGGTAGGGACCCACGGGTCCGCGCGGCCCCACACTGCGCGCCACCCTGCCCCCCGCCGCCGCGATGCGAGCCGCCTCCTCCGGCAGCTCCGGCTTGTGGTCCGTGGAGCGCCAGGCCACTCGCCAACCCCCACTGCCCCCACTGCCTCCATTGCCTCCTCCACGACTGCTAGGGCTAGGGCTGGGGCTGCTACCGCTGCTGCCGCCCGCACCGCTGTCCTGATCTGCTCTTCCTCCTGCAGCACCCCCCTCTTCCGCTTTCCCTGCTACCGACCCTGCATGACTGCTGTTGCTGCCCCCACTACCACCGCTTCCATCCGGCACCCCCAGCATCATGCGTGAGTCCCCCACCCATGCCGCCGTCACGTGCCGCCCATGCACGTGGCACAGCGCCGCTGTGGTGCCGCTGTTGGCTACATCCAGGCCGCTGCCCGCTAGCTGGGCGTCCAGGGAGGACAGGGTGCGCTGCAGAGCCCGTTGTACCGGACCTCGGGGCGACGGCTCACCACTTACACCTGCTGCACCGCTGCGGCTGCGGCTTTGGCTACGGTCGCCATCGCCGCCGTCGTCACCGCCGCCTTGACCCTCGCCTTGCTGCAGGAGAAGTTGGTTGAGCAGTGTGTACGGCAGGTGGGCTCGTACGAATCCGGACACGAGGTGACCCTCGGGTCCGTGTCCGTCCATGACTGCGAGTAGCTGCTGGCGGTTGCTGAGAAAGGTGTCGAGCAGGAGCGCGCTGTCCTGGTTTCGGTCCTTGTAACCGGGGGCGTAGCCGGGGAGGGAGATGCCGGCGGCGTCCATACGTGGGGGCGGAGGGGGCAGGGAGGGGCGGGCGACGTGGGGGTGCGGGGCGCGGGGCTGGGCTAGGTGGTGGGAGCTGGCGTGGGGTGAAGGCGGTGGTGGGGATGGTTGGCGACTGGAGGTTGGAGAAGGGGAGGCGTGGGGAGAGCAGGAAAGGGGATGGGTGGGAGGTGAACGGTATGTGGTTAGAATGACGTGAGAAGGTAAGTGGCGTAGGTGGCGTGTTGCGAGGGCTGTTGCGTCGTCATCACGGGAAACAGCATGGAATTTGAGGTACTGTCAGGGCTGATTTTACCGTTGTCTAAGGCCAAAGCAGCAGGCAAGCGGTGTGAGCACACCTACCAGGCTTCGGCGATGTTGAGCAGTGGGACGACGGTGAGGGCTTGCCGGGGCACAGCCGTGGGACCCTCTACGGCAAAGGGCCCGTCTCTTGTGACGATTGTAGGTATGAGAGAGTTGGGCTCTTGCAGGTCAAAAGCTAGACGGACAATTCGCTCAAATGGACCATCCGCAAGAGCCGATGGCGATGGCCTAGGCTGGCTAGGCCCCGAAACAAATTTCGCTTTCGACATTTTTCCCAGTTAGCTATATTCCAAAGATACCTACTTGGAAACGGTTGTTTTGTATACTGCAGATTAATGCTTCTGCTTTTTTCCGATCACGAGCTTCGTCGTACCTCTTAATAATCCTGCTCGTCTTTTACTGTGAAGTGCATTCCTTGCAATGCCTACCACAACTACCGGTATGAATTCCATTTTACCAAATATAACACATCTTGACGGGTGGCATTGCGGCAACGGCGAGCACGGGCCTATAACACGCATGACGCAATCCGCCCTGCCCCCCCAGCCTGGCAGGCCTTCTTGGTGCTGGGGCGCAGTGGGTCATCCGGACTCTTGCCGGCCTACATCATGCACATGTTTGACTTGTGGGGCTCGGTACCGCATTTAGTCGTGTGGGGCTGGGTACCGCATTTAGTCGTACGGCGCTGGGCTCGTTTACTGGGGCCATGTCCCTGCCGACTGTGCTGGGTCTGGCGGCGGCAACAAGATGTCGAACAATGCATGACGACGCATGTCCTTTTTACAACTTACAACCAGTCCAAGCGGCGAGTGAATGGCGGGGTAACCGTCTTCACTGCGTTACGCGTCGTGGCGTGCAACAACCACAGATCCCTCCAAATGCTGGCTTTTTGCAACCGCTGTGCCAATGCGTGCCTCTCTTAAAGGAGGATACGTCCTGATTGGGTCAGCTATCATACCAGTTCAAACACAGTACTAAACGCTTGCCGACTCGGCAGCAAGTCAAACCGTACATGCAAAGCACAACTCCCAAGCGTCACTCGTAAACACTGTACATGCAAGGTTACAGCAACGCACAAGCTGCATTGTGGCACCCTCCAGGCAGAGAAACAACATGAACAGCACACACAACAATAAATCCGCTGGAAGTGGCAACTGCTTGCATTGCACAACTCACACAGCTCCGGCTAAGCAAACTACTGCGAGCGACGGTCGTCCTCCTCGCGATCAGCCTCCTTGCGGTCGGCTTCCTTGGCATTGTCGGCTGCGGGGCTCCGCGACCGAGTCCGCGACCGTGAGCGCGACCGCGTCCGGGACCGTGAGCGCGACTTGGACTTGGCCACCGGGCTGCGCGACCGCGATCGCGAGCGGCTGGGGCTCTCACGCTTGGGGCTGCGCGACCGCGACCGTGAGCGCGACCTGTAGGGGGGGGGCCGCACAATGGCGACAAGGGAAGGGTGCCGGGGGAAAGCCCAATGCCAAGGCGACATGGTCAGTAAGGAATCAGGTGTGCATGTAGAAAAGCTGGGAAGTCGGTAGCGCACGCGACCATAAAGATCGGGTTTGATGCGATCCTCCCGTGGAGTTACTTTCACGTAAGGCCCAGGAACTATGGGGTTCTTAAAAAGCGCATGCCACAACCCACGACCAGGGGAGCCGCCAAGCTCCGAATGAGCGCCATCGCTCGCGCTCCACTCCTGGCTAGCCATTGCGCCCACAGCCTCCGCGGCCCCATGCTTAAACGACGCACGCATCCAACGGCGTCTCCCAGTTCTCCCAGTGCAAGCCACCACTAGCTCTCCATGCCCGATGCCATGTCCGTCCGCAAATGGCCAACAAGTGAACTCTTTTGCGCTTGCGGCTCCAAAGAGACGCCACGGAGGGCTCCAAGAACCAGCACCGGTGATGCAAGCCCTTCCTCGCCAGAGCATAAGCATGCGTGTGTGTAACTAGAGTGTGTGCCACAAGCCCATCGCTCCAAATGCCACCAGCGCTCTCTTCTCCACTAGCAGCACGCCGACAGGATCCCCCCAAAAAGCCAGGATAGGTCCGCATGCGCCAGCGACCAGGCTCTGACTTGCACCAGTAGGCGCCAAGCTCGGTAGCCCATCCATATCGCACCCAGATCAGCAAGCAACACGGCCATCAACCAGCGGCTAAGACAGCTGATCCTGCACCATGGCTGTTGGCGACGGGACGCCTCTTAGCCCTTAGTTGGGGCTTGATAGGGTAGAGTTGAAGACCCCTTAAGGATTGGTGTTCGGAACCCCTAATGATCCTGTGTCTACTGCACCACGCGATTATCCCAAAGGCTTTCCATGTCCTAAGCACGCGGCACAATTAAGCGGTGCTTACCGGCTGCGTGACCTATCGCGGACCCGCTCGCGGTCTCCACGGTCGCGGCGGGGGCTGCGGCTCCTGCTGCGGCTCCGGCCTCGCTCCTCCAGGTCCTCAACCAGGCGCACGTAGTGGCCCTTGTCGAAGGGGTTGGTGAACTCGCAATCGTCCAGCTAAGGGCAACAGAAAGGAGAAAGGGAAAGCGCTCCATTTAATGTGGATTCTGTACGCAATTAGGCCACAAAGACATTGAGACCCAGTCCACCACCTCGAATGCTAACGCCGAGGCTTGCACCGGTGAAACAGCGCATGTGCTACTGTGGCAACGGCCCTAAACCCCAGCCAAGCGTGAATGGTTCCGCACCTTGCGGACGGCCGCCTTCATGTCCTCCTTGGACTCGAACTCCACCACGCCTAGCACGTTGTCACGGTGGTCCTTGAAGATTTCCGTGTACAGCGGCTTGCACACGCGGCGCACGAAGTCCTACACCAGAAGAACCAACAGAAGGTATAAAGCGGGCAATAGGATCAGCCCTTAGGGGTAACACAAGCGCACTAACAGCAGCTCACTGCAAGACAGTGCGTCTCCGAAGGACGTACCTTGAGGTCTTGCCAGCTTGCGGAGCGGGGTAGACCCTTCACGTACAACCGGAAACCCAACGTGTTGCGGATGGGTCGATAACCGATGCGCAATGGCTGTTGTGCTCCAGCGGTTTCTCCGCCACGAGCGATTTCGACACGCATGCGCATACCAGCGAACTCATAGTTGTTCCGCCTCCTTGCTGCCTCCTCAGCAGACCTGAAATACGACAATAGGAAAGAAAAGGTAAGCCATCAGTTCTAGACCAAGTCCTCTGCAAATTCCTCAGACCCGTCCAAACCCCCTAAACGCACCGAGGGTCCTCGAACTCGATAAATGCGAAACCTGGTGGCCTGGCCGGCTTCTTGATGTCAATCATGCGGATGCGGCCAAACTGCGAACAAATAGGTGAAGCGCCTGAGGATCTCGAGCTAGAAGACCAGCTTAGGGATACCCCTCAGCAATATCACTTCAGTAACATGCGCAGTAACAATTATCAGGCATGGCTTCTGAAAACAAAGCAGCACTGCACCAAGAAAGGATGCGAGTCAACCAAGCGCCCGCCGCCACCTCACCTTGTAAAACATCTCGTCGAGCTCCTTCTCACGTACATCAATAGGCAGGTTGCCGACGAAGATGGCCCTGCCGCCGTATCGGTCCCACCTCGCCATGGTGAAGTACTTAAGGAACCCCCTGATGCACTTCTATTGCAACTCTCGTGAAGTAGTATCTATATAACAACCACCTCAAAAAATTATTATAGTAGTCGGGCTACTTATGCATGACCAGGGACATAAGTCGTACACTATCCTGGGAACGGGGAACCGATAGCAGATGCGGATGGCTAAGTTTCCATTGTCAATACTGCACTCATCGCGCATACTGGCGCATAACGAGTAATGTGTAGAAGGCGAAGTAAAGATGCCGAAGCGCTTAGCGTGACATTGCCGTGACAAAAACTTAAATGTGCGGAAAGGGGGCTTCGCGACGCTAATAAAGGATGTAACTGTGCTCGCGAGCTAAAGGGGTGGTTGTTTGTGATAGGGGAGATGAAGGGCAGCTTACAAGGGTGGAGGATGGTGTGAACGACAGAAACTTCACTTCCCCGAAAGTAGCGAAGACCCTGACACATCTTTCTGGCATTAACGCTGGTGCGCCATTTAGTCCATTAACCATCGGCCTTTCTTAGGTTGCAACACTTTTTCATATGTACGGCATAAAGGCCCTTTCCGTGCTGCGTCTGTTGGTTTTGCACCTACCACAACAATCCCAAGACCTTAAGCGGACTTCTCCATTCCCACCCTGCCCATCATGCCCCACAACAACGGTTGCTGACACCCCCCAAACAGGAATACAAGATGTTTTGCACTCTAGGTCTTGACCTATCAAGAACTCTCATGCCAACATGCACACAACAGTACGAAACCCGCTTACCGGTATTCACGTACCAGTAACTGACGACGGTGCTTCAGGCGACATGTCGTCATCTACCGGTACACCCCACGGCCTCGATCAACAGGTGTGCAAACCGTCAACTAACAACTACTTGACCTCCTTTGCCAGCCAACCCGCAACACACCCGGCGCCGCCTTACAGTCTCTCTTACGTTCGGCCCCTTCTTCACATCTTGCTTGTAGGCGCCGTGCTCTCTCCGTTACCTGCGCGGAGGAGAACAGCGGCGCAAGAGCAAGGGAGCGCAAAGGGCCGTCACCGACTGCGGCGTGCAGGGTATCATAGCACTCTCCCTCTCTTTGCATCCAAAGGACGACGAGGCAAGTGCACTAACCACCTCCAACGGCGTGTCAACCAGTGCCCCGGCGTGTCCCCCACACTTCCGCGGCCCCACGCAGCAGCATGGTAGGTTGGAAGCCCAGCGTGGCAAGTCTGCGCAGCAGGTCCAGTTCCCCTTAACGGCGTGCATGCCCTCCCCCCGTCCTTTCCCCGCCCATCAGGAGGCCTTGCCGTACAGCAGCTCGTCCGTTTCTTCCTCTTTGCCCACCCACCTGACGCGGCCAGGGGTGCTGCCGCCTCTGCGCTCGCCACCTGCTCCGCTCCCGGCGGAAAGCCGTAGCTGCCCAGCACCCCTGCAGCAGGAGGGGATACAGGGGGAAGGAAGGACAACCGTGTGTGTGGAATGGTATTGGAAAGAGGAGTAAAAGGGGAAGGGGAGCCAGCAGGTATGGGCGTATGGCATCAGGGGGGGCGGGAAAGCAGTAGCCGGCTGCAGTGGGCTCGCAACGGCAGCTGCAGTTGCAGCCCTAGGAAACCGCCCACTGCAACCGCCAAGCAACGAACCTGCCTCTAGGGCGCCATGAGCCATACAGCCCACTGTCTATGCACGCAACCCCAACTCCCCAAGCCCACGCGCCCCCATCCATCCCGCACGAACGCATGCGCGGCGCACCTGCTCCCCCCGGCGCGCGGCTGCGCAGCTGCTGCGGCAGCTCCTCCACCGGATGCATGGCGCTCAGCATCTGACTGGGGGGAGCACCTGCACCGCCCGCATCGGCGCTGGCGGGGTCCATGTCGGAGGGGCCGGAGGAGGAGGCCTCGAAGGGCGCGTAGCTGCCCATCACGCCGGCGCCGCCGCTGGTGCGGTAGGTGGGCTGCGGAAGAGGAGGAGGGAGAGGGTAAGTAGCTGAATAGTGACAAGCCGAAAGGATGGGGGATGATATTGATTGTTGATAGGGTTCTTCAGAGGTGTGTGGATCGGGGTAGGCATGGGCGCGGATACAGTTGGAGGAGTTTTAGCTACTAATGCAAAGTCAGGAGCTAACGCGCATTGACGATGTCTAAGCAGCGCCGAGCTCGGCGCGGCCGGTTCAATGCTATCTTTATCGGCTAAGCGCGCCGTCGTTTTGCCACCGTAATGCATCGTCTTAGCCGTCCTTTATCTCCGGATCGACGTAACTAGCACTGGAGCTTAAGACAGCGCGCCTAAAGGGGTGTCGCACCCTTTCTGAATTGTTCCACTTCTCCATTCTGCTTGTCGCGCTGCTGCTTGCTCGGCTTATGCGGGTGGCGGTGGCCGGTTGCCTGCTCGAAGGACTCACAAGGAACAATTTATATTCCAGGTAATGATATACAGAGATGCTATTATTCTTGACGGAAATGGTAATGAATAGAGCCATGCATTCCCCCTTTTTATGCAAAGGCCAGCTGTGGGATCCGGATCGACCCATGGGCCCGCTCTGCCGTCATCGCAGGACAGGCCCAGGAAAACGCGTAACAAAATCACAGCAACAAGTTTAATTTAATCTAGTGGGTAACTAAGTGAACACAGACGACTCCACGGCAAAACTGTTTTATCATTGTCCAGGAAATTCTAATAGGGGCCTGCCTGAACGCTCCCAATTAGTACAACCGAGACCGAGATGCCGCTGGCATTTCATTGGAACTGGCTGCTTTGCGGTGGAGCGTGCTACGTTTCAAAGGTATGGACTGGTGCGAACGATACCTACTCTTGCCATGGCGAAAAGCGCCCATAGGCGCAGAGCTGACTTTGCTGTTTATCCTCCTGTTCCGGCACCCTACACAGACTCCTGATATTGATGAAATAGGTCTACCTCTGAGGCGAGCGGCCAACGCTATTCGCCGTCACGAGCGACGAAGCTCCTCACCTGGATCTGACTGGGGCGGGGATGACGACTTCCCCTGACACGGCTGTCGGGGTCTGGGTTGCTTCTATGACAGACATGGGAAGCCTTGAGTAACGGCGCAGAGCAGAAAGGTGCATTACGCGGGGTGCTGGGAATGGTGGAAGATAGATGGGATTTGCGGAGGGTGTGGCTGCGGGGGAGGTATGCAGGTGGTACGTGAAGTCCAGGTAGGAGTTGTATTGTACAGCTTAACCCAGGTATTAGGCCTTCTGCGGAGGGTGTATGATTTAGCTCGTCGCATTGCTCACGCTGGTGCCTGACGTTGTGTATGCTGAACGGCTTGAACCAGCACATGACACGCGCTGAGAGGTGCTATGATAACTGTAATCTGCTGTAACAATGCCACGCTAGTTGGCACGCTAGCTGCAACGGCCGCTCGCGTAGCACCATGCGAATGTATTACTAAGTAGATTGCTTTTCTCTAGCTGGCTTGTTCACTGCGGCCAATACACGTGCGCAAGATTCAGCTTGGAATGCTCCCCTCAAAACACACTTGCCGTTACACATACGCCATCCAAATCAGTTACGAGGTGTTCGTAGTCCGACACCCATGCCGTGCAATGCAGCATGTTTAGGATCAACCAGGTGACAGAAAAAACCTCCAAGGCGCGTGCAAAACACGTGTACAACAGAACACAGCTGCACTAGGGGTTTGCTGCATGAGCACCTGTCAAGGCGCGCGGACTGAGCAAGGCACAGGCCCAAACCGCGCACACATACCCGCACATGCAACAACTGCATTCAGCGAGCAGCAAGAAGCGTCTGCTCCCGTGCACCGCGACTACACCCCTATCCACTAGCACGCAGTCCCGCAACCGGTGCGCTCTCAGCTTACGTTCATCCAACTGTGGCTTCTCCATAAAAAAACGAAAGTCACAACGCAGCTCCAGTGGAAGCCCCGTGCGTGCCCTTCACGTCAAGTAACAGGGTTCTCTAAGCGGAGCTTCCCTACCACACAATTCCCCCCGAACACACCAAAGCTTAACATGCGAGGGCTGTGGCACGGGCACAGCTGAACCCTACTACAGGCCTGCGAGCCCTCAAGCTGCCCACAAATCCGGTACGAGCATCTCACTGCCGCTGCTCATCCTCCTCGGGAGCACCGGGGGTCTTCAGCTCCTTCTGAAGCAGCTCGACGCGCTTGCGTTGGTCATCGGACAAGGAGTCGTAGACTCCAGAAATGAGCTCCGCGCTGACATTAGCATTACCGCCAGGCACTGTCTGCTCCTCACCGCGTAGCATGGACACGTAGTTGCGCCATTCCGTGACGAACTGCGTCCACTGCGATTGCGTAGTCTTGCCACGCAGGTGGCTTCTGAACTCCGCGCGCGCGTAGCTGTCGCCCAAATCACGCATAGGTGGTGGCATCCGTTCGCGGTGAAGCTTCAGCACCTCACGGTAGAGTGTTAGGATCGGAGCCGCCGCCTGTCGCGGAGTTGAAGCCATCCTTGTTTGGTCCGAGGTAAAGGCGCTGATATCTAAAGCTATAAGTGGTGTAGACTGTTCCTTTAGGCCTTCACGGAAGCTGGCCCAGTAAGAACGCTCATCTGCTCCTTCTCCATCTCCAGCATCTGCGTCTCGCGGTCCATTTCGATAATAAGGGGCACCAGGAGCACTAGGAGTGTAGTCGACGAAATCCAAGCGGCCTTCTTGAACGAGGCAAAGAGCTTCTTCGCCGCGAAAGTGAAAGTAAGCGGCCCCGTGGGCTCCGGCTTGGGCGCACCACCACCAAGCATCATCTTTACGGACCGACGTGAACGTGTGTAAAAAAAAGTATGTTTTGAAAGGTATGTGTGCTGTTGTACGTACATGATGCGCGCTCTCCTGCCGTAACTCAGGTGTCATCAGCAGGACTGGCGACTTGCTTCAAGGCAAGTGGGCTTGGTCAGAGTCCTATGATGACCCACTATAATTGTGAGCGTCCCTGTTATGCTGTGAGGGTAGAGGGTGCTCAACTGGCGTCGTGGATCGAAGTGATGCAAAATATCTGCTCGCCGTTTTGCTTGTGCTTTTTCCTATCCTTGTCTCTCCAAGATGGTCTGTACCCGTACGGTCTTGCTTTCAAGTCATGTCTTGGTGTCGTTGTCCGCAATCGAGCCTAGGCATCACCATTCTGACCGAGCCCCAGCCCACTCGACCATTGACGACTAGGAAGCTTTAGGGGTTCGGATTTGAAACAGAGAATTGCAGGGGGGCCCGCGGACACAGTTACCAGCTCATATCGCTCCCAAACCGCTCGGTTTGGGTTGTGCACAAGGCTGTGAAGAAGTTTGCATCCAAGCACACATGACGTGGGTCTTCAGGACCCCTTATTCCAACCCTCGAACTCTATCTCTTGTCTCTCCAAGCTTAAATTACACGTCGCTTAGCTGTAACGAAGCGCCTCGGGGACCCCTTTAGGGGATCCACAACCGCGCCTCAGTTGACCAGGACTATGCCATAATGATACCGGTATGTGTTCACAGGATGACGACTTCCTGACCGCTTCCTCGGTCCTTACGTGTCCAGGATCCAGCGCCAAGTACGACCCTAGCCACAAGCACTGTCAACAGCGCATACAAAATTGGGCCAGGCTGCATACGCCTGGCTTCATCCCTAGCACCCGCCTTTCAATACAAAATTAAAACATGGCCTGGACCCTAAGGCACCGGGACCTCCCTCCTTCCCTCACAGATTACGTCCACTCCGCATGCCGCTTGCAAATTATAATGCACTCCCTGCCATGCTCACTTCCACTGACCCACGGGTCACGGCCACTGGCTGTTAATGGAGTAATCACAGTTTGCGGACATGTCCGTCAGCAGGGCCTCGAAGTCCTTGGTGGGCTCGCCCTCTCCGGGCTTGCGGCTGATTACGTCAAACGACCTGCCGAGGAGGGAGGGTCAACGACCATACCAGGCCATAGGAAACCATAGATTAGGGCAAAGCAATGCCGGGGAGGGGGGAGCGGGCAGCAGCAGCAGCAGCAGGCGGGGTTGGGCGCCGTGTGGGCGTCATGATGCACGGCAAGGTGCAGCGGCGTGCGCGGGCTGCAGGTTTGCCGGGGTGTTGGGATGCCAGTGACCACCCCCTCCTGCCAAGCCGGTCAACGCGGCTCCCAAGCACAGCCGTTACCATGCAGGAGGGTACCAACAGAGGAGCGCACTCCAACGCCGGCACACGCTTCCGGGTGTGACCGGACACAACCTCATGTGACGTGCATGGGTTGGCATGAGACACACGCCCTTCCCACCGTGTTTGCGCTACCATACACACCCTTGCCCACTCCACGCTCCCCCCCACCCTCCACCCCCAACCTTCCACGACACCCTCCTCAGCCCTCTCATTCACATGCCCCGCCCCCCTGTTCTCCTATACCGGCAACACGCAATCGAACCGTTCCAGCCCCCTAACCCCCCCTGCCCTACTGGACACTGGACACGACCCTGGTGCGGCTCTGTTGGTCTGCGCCTCCAATCCATCGGACCATGGCAAATGGCTTTCCCTCTCCAGGTAAGTTTCCCGTAACGCGTCTCGATAACATGTGTGCTCGTATACCCCATATGCGTGTTGCTTTGCATTTCGTGACCGGCGGCGCGGCGCATGTCTCCCTAGTGTTACCACGCAAGGCGGCTTCTTCCTCAAGTCGTCTCGGTTTACGGTAAGCAACGATTCGGTAAATGATTTGAGATGCGTGTTATTAGTGCCTCCGAATGCGCTCACTGCATGAGTCGGGATATGGGATTGGGATTCGTTGTTTCACTTATATAATGTTTTGCCCCCCCCCCGCACCTGTTCTCCGCCGCCTTCAGTGTGAGGCACTGCACACACAACTCCGCCACGTCAGCCCGGGGGATGCTGCGCACCGGCTGCTTGATGAGCGAGTCGTCCACCCCCACCACCAGCTGCCGGGCGCCACCCGGCTCGTCAAGCAGGCCTGCGCAAGCAAGGCCATTGGGGTGGGATTGAAACCCAACAGCAGGTGTGTAGAGGAAACTGTCCGCGAGTGAGACCCATAGGTGTGTCGTGTGTGAGACCCCAAAGCGGGTCTGGATCGTCAGGGGGTCATCAACGGCGGGACGCTTCCAACCATTGCATACATCAGGCACATCGCCCTTTTGGCAAAGTTCCGCTTTACTCGGTATGACCAACCCTCCTCTGCTACGAAGTGTTGTGCCGCCCATGGCTTGGCTAGGGCACTCGGTGGGTTCGGACGGTGACTTGCCTGGTTATCGAGTTATCGTACAATACCGGTAGTTTCGGTTTCCTCCCCTGTGTGTCCCGCCCTGCTCCGCCCCCCTTCCCTACCTCCCGGGTGGATGATGGTGTAGGTGAGGCCGGAGGCCATCAGGTATTGCTCCGCCTTGCGCTTCCACTGCAGGATGTTGCCTGGGGGGCGGGCGCGAGGGCGGCGGGGCGGTTAGCTTGGGCGTTGGACGGCGGGAAGGTAGGCGGTAAGCGGCAGGGCGTGGGTGTGTGAGCGGTATTAACGGTTCGCCGCGGGTGCCCTCTGCTGCATAACAACACCCAGCGGTGGTGGACCGCCAAACAGGGGTCCTGGGGGTCACGTATGTGTGTGGCACATGTACCAGTAAACATCACCCCTGGATGGTTCGCAAGGAAGGCACCCAAGAGTCGGACGATACGAACGGCGTCTGTGTCGCAAATCCTCACAACACACGTCGCAGTGAACCCCGCATGCATCTAGCCAGGAGAGCCCTCGCCAGCAGGGCCCCGGCAGCACCCACCATCTCCCAGCTTGTTCAGGCTGTTGCCCACGTCCGTGCCGCCCATGCTGCTCACCAGCACCACCTTCCCCACGCCAGCTGCCTTGGCGGCATCAATCTGCGCCCTCTGTCCCAGCCAGTCCACCTAGCGGGCGGCGGGGCGGGGAGGCGGATAAAAATACGGGAAACTGACGAACTGTATGGCGAGGCTTCACCATGGGTTGCTCATGGGTTGCTAACTGAACCCGGCGGGAAGGGGGATGGGGTTGCATGGGATGGGTGAGGCGGCAGGTTACGACAGGGACATACCGGAACACTGAGGGGTTGGGTTGGCAGCACCCACCTGCCCTAGCAGTACCCACCTGCTCAGGGAACTGCCCCTGCTTCCAGCCAAAGTCCGGCATGACGCCCTGGGCGCCCGTTATCTTGGCCCAGATGACACGCAGCAGGCTGAGCGGCTTGAGCACGGGGACAGCTGAGGTGGCGATGATGAGCGCATCGCAGCCCGCAAAGGCCCTTGCGAAGGCGTCGGCGCCGCCGCTGGAGATGTCGGCCTCGTAGATGGCAGCGTCGGGCAGCCCCAGCTGCGTGAGCTTGGGTTTGGACTGTGGGGAGGGGGAGAGGAACGGCGGAAACATAAAAGGGGTGTGTGGGGATTGCGGCCGCGGGCTGCAATGGCAGGGTTAGAGGAGTTGGGCCCACCGGGATACCCACTAGGGTTTGCCACTAGGTACGTATGACCGAGCGATTTAGTTGGATAGGCGCGGGCCGTGCGGCCTTGCACCTACGGTGGGAACCTGCATGCCCGACCCCTTTTGCCTCCTGCAAACTGCTGCCTCTCCGGTAGGGCCCCCTGCAAGGCACCACGCACCGACGAGTTCCGGACGATTGCCCGGGTCTCATATGTGTCCTGCCGCTCCGCCAGCTTCTTGACAATCAGCGCTCCAGTGCGCCCCGCTGCTCCGGTTACGGCCACCTGCACGGCGTTCCCCGAAACCCGCAATCCAGAGAGGTCAGATTGCCCTTTATTATAGTTGCGGCTAAAGTGGCAGTGGCACGCCAACTGGCGCACCTTTAGCTTGGCATTGACAACAACGCACATTGCTCGGGGCATAGCCGCGCCAGTGGCGCGGCAGAAGGGCCTCACAGTTCTGTGTTGTAGCATTGTTCACTTCTCAAGGCTAACCGCCGGGATGGCAACGTATGCGCCGGACGCAATAATGCCAAAATAATCACGTACGGGATGTTGTACAGGTAGGGTTGATCCGCACATTGGAAGCACGCCTTGCTCATGTTCTTGCTACGTTTACTTTATACAACTTCAACAAATTAGCAGGACACATCTACCTTACACGCTACCTGCCTTTGACCGGGTCAATACAATATGCGCCTGTCTCAAGAGTGGTGAAGTAACACACAAAAGAATGGATTATCAGCTGAAACAAACATAACATATACTCTGGTTGCTTCAGCTTCATACATTCATATCTACAGACATCGGAGTAAACTTGGAAATGGACCTGTGCGAAACAGTAAGGGGTGGAATCCATTTGACCCATATGTCAGTTATAGACGGTCGGGATTGTTTCCATGTGTTCTGATGATCGTTCACAGGTGGACGTAACTTTCCATGGTGTCGCCTACTTGCTCACCGTCTCGACGATTGAGGGCGAGACTCTGTGCCTGGAAGTGGAACAGAAGTCTGATTGCTCCCGATGGCGTGGCGACTTTACTTCTCGATGTAAGCGAGGGCTGTGCTGCAGCATTGTGCCCTGCATCCTACTCTGGTTTTCCCTTGAGGCACGGGAAGTCAATATTGTGTCCCCCTTACTGCCCTTGCCACAGATATTGAAGATATCACGGCAAAGACAGGGAACTTTAAGAAGTTCCCCGTCTTCGTCAAGATGTTGCTATCGGCGTTGAAGCAGGCGTCGGACAGCGTCTTTGTGGACTTGTTGACATACCAGGACCTTGAGGTGCTGAAAAGTCGAAAGACGGGAGGTCAAGCGCCTCCAGCGCGAACCCAGGCTCCCAACAACAAACGTTACCTCATCATGACCTACGCTGCCGAATTCGACCGCGTGCACTACCCACTGCCACTCCTGTACGAGGAGAACCCCGACCCGCAGCACCTTAAGCGCATCATCAGCCAGCTGCGGTCGGAGGTGGAGGCGCTGCAGGTGGAGGCAGGCAGCAGGCGCGGCAGCGAGGCGTCTGCAGAGCTGCGCCGTCTCCGAGAGGAGAACAGCGCCCTTAAGCACCAAATAAAGCAGTTGGAGCGAGGCGGGAATGGGTCGGGGATGCTCCCAGACCATGAGCGGATAACGATAGAGACGCGGGAGATGTCTCGAGAGCTGAGGACGGTGGGTTCGGGATGGGGCGTACCCCATCCTTGGACGGGTGCCCAAGCTAGCAGCAAGGCATGCACCTATCCCTGCAACTGCTTGGTAAAGGAAAGCAAGTAAAGTAAAGGCCCTTGACCGCATGGGTTTGGATGTTCCTTGAGCACCGCTGCACCGGTAGTCTACGCTTGCCCTAGAAGCACCGTTGTAGGGCTCGGTTGGGTTGGGTTGGTGCCTGTGGACACTGCTTGGGTTTACCCCGGCTCGGCCTCCCCCTCCTTGACGTTACCGGTACGGCATGCAGGTGCGCAAGGACCGGGACCTGCTGCAGGCGCGTGTGGAGGCGGCGGAGGCGGAGCTGGAGCGAGAGCGGGGCCTCCACCGCCGGGAGCTGCGCCGGAGAGCCAAGGAGCAGCAGGAGGTGGGTGGGAGTGGCGGGGCATGACCCGGGTATGGGCTGGGAAGGAATGCGAAGGACTGACCATAGCGGATGTCACCGGGCAGGGGCTTCTGGGCTGTGTTCGTAGCGAAAAGCTAAGACAGGGAGATGGCGCATGTATCGGTAGATGGTAGCAGATCATGGAGAACACGGCAGTGACCAGGCAGCTGGACAAACACGCTGCCGGGCACGTGAGAACCGTTCCTTAACATGTTCGCAACGTTGGGTCAGGAATTCCATAAACTGGGTGGATATTTCTGTCCTTGCGCACATCGCACATACCCGTACGCATCCTTGTCCCGCTCCTGTCTGACAGCTAATTGACGAGCTGGGGCGCTGCAAGGAGCAAATCCGGGAACTCAAAATGCGCATCCGCCAGCTCACTGAGGATCTTGAGGCGCGGGACCGGCGGATGGCGTCGGTTGAGCGGGTACGGTAAGTTTAGGGCTACCGTACATGCATCTCATTTGCCATCTGGAGGAAACACGGGTGTCAGTTGTTATGGGCTGACTAGTGAATGCAAGGCACAGCGTTGACATGTTAGCCCTCTGGGAGTGACCTCATGTGAGCGTGGAGTTCCATTCCAAAGCCTCCGCTCGCCCGTCGCTCGCTCGCAGGTCCGTGTACGGGCGCGGTTCCGCCGACTCAGCAGGCGGTGCACGGCCCAGCAGTCGTCCCAGCTCGGGAGGGCGAGGGTGAGCAGGGCCGGGGTAGGCTGGCGGCTGCCGGGGAGTGTCAGCATTGGTTCATGGGTTACGACCCTCTGAAGCTGAAGCTGGCGGTGCTTGCTCATTGGGCTCCCGTAGGTACTCCGGTACCCTTAGAAGTTACACGGAACTGAGCATGTTGCTGTGTGCCCTCTCCCTGTCTACGCCCTCCCGGCAGTGCTAGCCCCGGCTACGCCGCTCCCACGAGAGGCGCCGACAGCCGCAGCAATAGCCGGGGTCGTCAGACGTCGAGTGCGGAGAGGTCTCGGCCGACATCCGCACCGGTGGGATCCCGACCCAGGTGTGGTGCGGACTCCATTGCAAGCTTTCCCCTGTGTAGTCACACGAAGCTGTTGCTTTGCGGGTGCAGTGCGCTGGAAAGGGTTCTGCGGCCTAATGATTCATCACATCATCAGCCTAGGATTAGCAACGGGCAGGACTAGCAAACGCATCTAACCCGAATCAACCACATGCAGGTTCGACCCGACGGAATACATACGGCAACGGAAAGAGCGCGAGGCCAGCTACGGTCGTCGCAGCAATGCGCCCACGCCACCGCGGTCAGGGCAGTCCTCCCGGGCGCCCTCTGTCGTAGGTAAGCCCCTTCCATCATGGAGGGACAAGGCTCTGCAACTTTCAGCGCTCGTCTGGGCTTAACACGGACCCCATGTCTTGGGATGCTTTCCGCATGCCCCTCACGTGTCTCTCTTAGCATCCACTCATACCACCCTTCTCGCAGGGAGCCGGCCAGCCAGCGCAGAACGGCTTCCAGCCCTCCGCAGCGGCTCGCCTGCATCAAGCCGACCGGACAGCGTGGAGCGCCGCCGACCTGGGTCAGGGTTCAGCGGCGGGGCCGGCGGAGGCGGCGGCACGGGCGGCCTGCCAGGTCGCAACAGCGCAGGAACGAGTCGCGGCGCAGCTGACAGATCCGGCCTGCGGGGCGCTGACACGTACGGCGCGCCTCGCTCGCGTGGGGCGTCACCCAGCGGACGAGCTACCACGGCATGGGGCGAGGGGCCTGGCAGCAGCAGCGGTGGCGGCGGAGGAGGCGGCTGGTCCAAGTTCCCAGGCGGCGGGGGCGGTGGAGGTGTAGGGGGCGGTGGGCAGCGCATCTCCAGTAGCTCGCCTCGCTCCATGTCGCCAGGGCGCGCATTGCTGGAGGTGAAGCAGAAGCTGAGCAGCTTTGTGGCGGGACGCGCCGGCACTCTGAGCGGTGAGGGTTTGGGACACGTGCCTAGGGCCGTACAGAATGTGTACTGGGTTGCGTTGCGACATGGTGTGCCATAGTTTGGGGGCCGCCTTGACTAGGTGTCCCCGGCACGACTTCACCTGGGGTCCGTGTGGAAGGGAGCATGTGTTGCTGCCGCAGTCCAGCTAGCGACGGCTAGCAAAGTAATGAAGCACGTTTGCAGCGGTGGTGGGCTTGTCAAGAGCACGAACCTCCACTGACAATCGATGCTGGACTACCTGCTGACATGTCTTCCGTACTCTCTACCTGCTTGCCTGCAGAGGACAACCAGAGCGCTCAAGGCGACCACGTAAGCCAGTCTTCCAAGTCACAAGTGTTTGAGGACGCCAGCGCGGAGATTGCGGACATTGACTCGCGGCTGCACGCGCTGCAGAGCTTCCTGAAGATGGCGAAATCAACGTCGACAGCACCCAGCACATCGACCATTGGCTAGATGTGATGTATCTGTCGGCTTGGCAGGAATTCAGCTGTGTGCTTGCGTAGATGGTGATTGGGTGTCCTTAAATGACATGCGAATTGTCATGTGTATGTATCCCTGCAAACTGTGCGTGCTGCGTGCGTGCACGGGAAAAGGTCAGCACGGTGGTATTTGCATTGCATCATGGAACAGAACCCTTCGTGGCCAGGAAAGGCAGCAAGCGCCTCAACATGAACGGTACTTACACGTGATCACAGCGTTCGAGAGCTGGAGCTGTAGCCAGCTGTAACTTTACGAACCTCTCCCCCATCCAGCCAAGCGCTCACATAACTCGGCCCAATGCGCATGATCGCCCTACACTCGACACCCGTGCGTTCCCCCACTGTCTGCTCTTCCGAACACTTACGAACTCCTGGCCCCTACCCTCTGCCCCCCCATGCACCATCACGTATAAATTCCGACCCTCTGCTAACCCAACCCCGCTATCCATCGCTCGCGTCATCTGGCCCGTCCAGCCCAAGCCCATCCAGGCCCGACGCCACGTCGAAGCCGTGTGTGGTCCGGCCCGAAGTGCGGCTGGCCATCCGCGCCAGCCCCGATGTGGACATGGCGCTGGTCTCGTGCAGCGTGTAGCGCAGCAGGCTGCTCTGCATGGTGCCCACCAGCACCTCGGGCCGGTCGTAGCGCAGCGCGAGGCAGCGGAACTCCTCCTTGTCGTGCACGAACCTGCAGGAGGGAGCAGAGGGGCAGCATGGGGCGATGACATGCTCAGGGCTCTCGCGGTCGTTGATGCAAAACAGTGGAAACCAGGCTGAACCAGGTGCAAAAGTTGTGACCTGCGCAATGTGCACTCCCAGTACATTACGCATGTCGGCATATGCATGTCAGCTTGCTAGATGTGAAAGGCCTGTACCAGATGATAATAAAGTACAGGTGCAGCCTTTCCCTGTGTGAAGAAAGACAGCCGTGCCGCATACAGCTACGCAAAAAGGTACCGGTAACGAAAAGCCCATCTCGTCCCGGATGCTCCTCGTGCGCGCGCACCTGTGCAGCACCTGCCCCGCCACGTAGTCCCACACCAGCAGCTGTCCGTCCAGCGAGCAGCTCACCAGGTTGCCGCTGGCGGGCAGCACGTCCAGCCCCGTGACGCTGCGCTTGTGCGCGGACAGCACCTTGAGCGCGCGGCTGGTGAAGGGGGCCTTGAGCGCCAGCGAGGGCGTGGAGGAGGAGGCGGTGAGGGTGGGGCCGCCGGCCATGCTGTGTATGCCGCGGGAGGAGGGGGCGTGGGAGATGCCTGGGAGGTGGGGGGCAACGAGGAAACAACTAAGTGGCTGCGTTGCAACGTGTGAGCCAGCCCGACCCACCCAGCCCGCAAGGGGGACGGTGAGGAGAGACCATAGGGCATAGGGGGGATGGGGTGAGAGATGCAGCGAAAGGGCACATTTGTAGGTGCCAGAGGGGTGGGATTTGAGTTGATGGCCTGTAAAGGAGGGATCCTGATAAGCAGGGAAAACACCGTGCCGTTTCCTACCCAAGCCCCCACTCGCCGGCCCCCCCACCCCTCGCGCACCTCCGTACGACTTGATTCCGCCCGCAGGCACGGTGTCCCACAGGCAGATGGTGCAGTCGTCGGAGCCGGAGAACAGGAAGTTGGAATCCAGCGCCAGGCAGGTGACGGCGTCCTTGTGGCCACTGTGACTGCCCAGGAAGTCGTAACCCGTGGCGGCCCAAATCTGCAGCGGCAGCCGGGAGACGGGGAGAGATGGGCATGGACACAACAGGGTGGCACCTTAGTACCGCATAAGGCCCCGCCAGAAACCTCGCCTCATAGAGACATGCCCCATGTCCCATGTCGCCATGTGCAGTGCAGATGGACAAACACGCAGCATGCATGGGGGATATTACCGGTACCGTACGTGACGCGACGAACCTGCCCGCGACGAACACCCATGCATGCAGGGCCTCCTAAACACCTCTCTGTCCATTGCAACGCCTCTGTCGCCGTACCAGTACTGCCCTACCACCCGCTATCTGCCCCCACCCGTCCCACGCCCACCGCCTGCTGCCGCACCTTGATAACTCCGTCCGTGCCGCCAGTCACGATGGCCTTCTTGAGCGGGTCGTACTTGAGCGCCAGGATCTCCGGCTCCGACCCAGGGGTCAGCACCCGCCGCAGCGCCTCCGAATGACCCGGCCCGCCCCTCCCACCACCCACTCCCCCAACCCCTCCGCCCCCTACTCCCACCCCGCTGCCAGTGCCCGTACCCCGTACCGTGCCACCCGACGTTGATGTCCCCGTCACCGTAGACGCCGCCGCCCCCGTCATCGTCCCTGTCGTACCAGACCCAGTCAGCGACAACCGATCCGGCGTCACACTCCCGCTACCCCCCACACTCGCCCCCTCACCACCTCCCATCCCCACAACACCCCCCATCCCACCCACTCCCCCAAACAGCCCTCCTCCTCCTCCCCCACCCCCTCCCCCTCCTCTGTGCCCCGGCCCCGGCGCCTCGGGCCCGTGCGCATGGAACTTGGCCACCATGTGCGGTTCCTCGCCCCTCAGGCTGCGGATGTCCCACAGCACCACCCAGCCGTCGTACGAGGCGGATATGAGCAGCTCCTCGTTTCGGTGCACCAGCGCGAGGGCCAGCGAGGTGACGGTGTTGGAGTGCTGTCGCAGCGTCACGGAGTGGCTGGTGTCCAGGTTCCACAGCCGAATGTCGCCGTTGTCGTGGCCTGGGGGGGCGAAGGCAGGCAAAAGGCCCGGGGCAGGGTGGGTAGGGAGGGAGGGAGGGAGTGCCGGTAGTTGAAAACTGGGCCGCGAGGGAGGAAATCAGAGGAGATCACGTAGAGAAGATCACTTCTCCCTCCCCCTCTCCCCTAGCCCTCACCCGTGACCAGCAGGTTCCACCCCTCGTAGAAGGTCATGGCGCTGATCTCGGAGCACCCCTCCTCGATGACGCGCAGGCACTCCATGTCGTACGGGTCCCACAGCCGTACCGTGTTGTCCAGGCTGGCGCTGAAGATGCGGTAGTCCAGGTCGCCGCCGGGGCCGGCCTGGGGGGGGGCAGGAAGCATGGTGTGCGAAGGGTAGCGGTTAACACGTGTTGAACCAACTGCCCGGTTAACGTGATTACATGGGGTGTGTTGCCAGCGTTTCAGCCTGTGAGGAGGGTGTGCAGGGAGGTGGTGCCCATGCACAGGCAGTGTGTGACCCTCCCTCTGCCCCGCTCCCTCTGCCCCGTTCTCACTCCCCTCCCCTCCCCAACCCCTCCCTACCACGCCTCCGGAGCAGCTATACAGGCTAATCACCGCCTTCTCATGGCCTCCCCGCGCGATGTTGTACTCCAGCTCATGCTCGATGAGCCACAGCCCCAGGTCCCTCGCCGTCACCACCGCATACACCTGCCGACCCAGCACCGCGCGAATGGACTGGATGCCGCCGCCTCCGCTGCTGCCGCTGCTGCTGCTGCCGGTGCTGCCAGACAGGGAGGAACAGTTGCCGCCTCCACCGCCTCCGCCGCCACCGCCGCAGCCCACTGTTGCGCGGGTGCCGGGCGCGGGGGGCACGCACTGCTTGGTGACCATGAGGCGGCCGGTGCGGATGGAGAAGATGGACAGGGTTCCGCTGGTGTCACCGGCTAGGACCTGGGTGGGAGGTGGAAAGACAATAGGAAGGGAATAAGACCGGGTTTTGGGTGGGAAGAGAGTGGGAGAGGCGGGGGAGCACTGCAGACGAACACCGTGCAGGGTTGCAATTGGCAAACCTCCCCAGCTCCATTCTGCAAGCTGCATCCAAAACTGCCCTTCCGTTCCACCTACCTCGTCAAACTCGGTGTTGACTTCAAGTGTTGTGAATTGGCAGCGTCGCTCGTTGGCCCAGCAGTGTCGTACAGTGGAGCTCTTGACGTCGAACGCGCGAATGCACTGGTCGTACGCCACCGTCAGCACCAGGTCCCACCTGCGGGTGGGGGGCGAGGAAGGGAGGGAGGGGAAACGAGCAGCAGACAAAGCCAAACTGGTAACGAGAGTGGCAACCCTTGAAAGGGACTACCGGGAGGGAGAGGAGGGGAGGGGACAGGGGAGGGATGGCGGAAGGGAGGGAACGAGGCGGGTGGAGGGAGGGCAGGAAGGCACACGACGGTACATTTCCATCAGTGCATCAGTGCATGAACGTGACGCAGCGACGTGGTATGCCGGCATGCTACAGTAGGCTCATGGACGCATACAGACGCGTGATGTGGGTTGGCCGCGGAGGGAACTGGCAGCAGCTGGTTGGACACTAACTGGCTTTTACGGGTTTCGGCTGTGAATGTCTGTCACAATAACTAACCCCGGCGGCCCCTCCCCCGGCGCGTGCGTCTGCGGACACCGGTTATTCCCAAAGCAAACCCTTTGCTGTCTTCGCGCGCATGCACGCATGCGCAAGGCGGCCTCACTTTGCCACGAAGCGGATGATGCTGATGCCTCGGTCGTGCAGCCTCTCCACGCGGCTCTCCACCTTGAACTCCATGCGGCTGGACAGCCTGAGAGGGGAGGGGCGGGGAGGAGAGGAGAGGGGTTAGCCACTGTGTGTGTTAAGAAAACTGGCCGCGAGTCGGAACGCCACTGTGATTGCAGGAAGATGACGCCAAAGTGTGTGGGCTAGCTGGTTACCCGTTGGGACAAGCACCATGCCGTCTCCAGCCGGCGTGGGTGCACGCCCTGGAGCACTTACGAGCGGCCGGAGCACCCCAAACCAGGTGCTAAGCCCAGACCCACTCCCCATACCGGTATATCCCCCTCTTTGCCTCCTCCTTCCCGCCCCCCGCCGCCCACCCTCCTCCCGCACCACCCCTCAACCCCTCGCACCTCTGAATGCTGTCGTCCCACACCCCCTCCGGCACCACCTTGGTGATTCCGCCCGACTCGTCCGCCGCGAAGATGGCGCCCAGGTCGCCCACGTCACCGCTGCTGTCGTACGACATACACCGCACCCACCCGTCCATGCCCGTCACGGTGGCCTGCAAGGTGTGGGGAGCAGAGGGGCGGGGCGGGGTGGGGCAGGGCGGGGCGGGTGGGTACTGATATGAAGCTTATCTTGGTCGCGACGGCCGGGTGGGTGGGAGACACAGGCGGAGGCGGGGACACTAGCTGTTGCCCCGGTCCGGGCTGGCCACCTGGGCTGGCTGGGTATAACTGCACGCTGCCCGCTTCCTTTGTTTACTGTCCACCCGCTTGCATCACACCATCACCTCCTCCGAGCGACCCATATCAGCTCCCTGCTGCCCCCACCTGCAGCTCGAACCAGGGGTACACCAGCTTGCCTCGCCCCTCCTCCTGGCGCCAGATCTTGATGGTGCCATCCGTACTGCTGCTCACGATGTAGTCCCCCAGGATGACCAGGCTGGTTACCGTACCGCTGTGGCCGTACAGCGTCTGGACACACACGGTGGGGTCAAGCATCACCTTGCCCTGGTAGTCCCAGATCTTGATGCTCGCGTCCACGGAACCGGTCACGATGAGCCCGGCTTTGCCCAGGTCGCCGTCGCAGCGGCGCGGCGTGCAGATGGATGAAACCGGGCCTTTATGCGCGCCGACGAAGCGGCTGTTTTCGGTGTTTGGAGCGGATTCGGTGAGCGGCCAGAAGCAGACGGAGCCGTCGTCCATGCCGTAGTAGAGGCGCCGGCGGTCAGGGTCGTAGTGGGTTGCGACCACGGTGGGTTCGCGGTTGCGCAGGGGCGGTGGTGGCTTGGGTGCATCCTTCTTGCCGACGATGATGGGCGGCACCTTGCAACACCATCTATAGGTGGCAGGGATTTGGGGCGGGTAGTGCTGGTTTTGAGGTGGTTCGTAAAGCGTAAAGGAAGGAGATGTGTGGGGAAAGTGAAGAAAAAGCGTGTGAGAACCTGCAGGGTTGAAAGCAGTGGGGTGACATGGAAGAGCCTAATCGCAACCGGGGAAAGGCTTACAGGCGTCGTATGTCAACAGCTATTTCCGCCTCCTCATCGTCGCTATACATGTTCCCAACAGGGCAAGCGGAGAGCAGCCTGGCGGACCAGGGCTACCCTCGATGCTAGGAACGGATGTCTTCCATGCCAGCAGAATGTAAGTAATAGACCGCTTACATACGAAGCCAAAGTATTAAGCTAATATATTTAGCAGCTAATATGCATAGAAAGTCAACAGGTGCATAGCTCCAATTCATAAGCCAAATTTACATGCGCCATGCTGCGGCCTAGCGAAGATCAGCATCAAAAGCGTGATCAGCCTCAACCAAAAGTGAAACGTAGCGTGCAGGCTCGATGCACAGTCAGGGTTTGTACGAAAGAGAAACCATCAGTTTCCGGAGCGCAAGTTGCCGATGTCTGTAACATAACTAAATGGGTTGCGGTGCTGTAAAAGACGATACGCAACACGTTGTGGCACGTTACCCTTCTGATCTGCGCATTCCTTTTCGCTATTGTTAAGCTCGTGATGGTGACGCCTCTCGTAAGGAATGTTCTTTCCACCTAGGCGTAACGATGTTCGTGGAAGGGCCCATGGCGGGCGGGGAGGCAGGAGTAAGGGAGAATTAACAGCACAGGAGGAATTGGCCAAGGCTAGAGAGGAACGCGAACGCCGTAAGCGACAAAAGCTAGAGCAGAAATCAGCCGTTGTCATCCAGGTATGTCTTAGCCCTGTATTGGCAGTTATACACGGCGCTTTGGAAGCATCTTGTGCCTCAATTCCTGGGCACACGCCTGGGCTGCTAGCTTAGTGATGCACTGGTTCCTACACTTGCTAGATACTAAGTCGTCACTGTAGATCAACATAATTCACGTGTATGAACCGTTAACCGCTGGCGATTGACGCGCAGGCCGCTTGGCGAGGCTGGTCTTCTCGTTGCACTACAAGGAGAGCAGCAAGGAGCCAGTGGAACGATAGATATGGCAGCGAGGGCCAGCTGCTGCAAGCACGGTAAGCGCCTTTAAACCCTAACGTTGCCGCGACCGGCTCATCGTTGCCTCTGCAAAGGCCTTCGCTAACTTGCTGCTCCCTGTTTCAGGGATTGCTTCGGCCTCCAATCTGGTGGGGCGCTGGGCTCTCTCCTCCGCTTTTACCACCCAGCGACGGACCTGCAACGCCTCGCGAGCATTGCTCGGGTGTACGCGGGTTCCAGCAAGAGCGGTCAGTCCCGTTGTGGGGAAGGCATGAAAGGTGGCAGGGGAAACGCCGAAGGGGCATGACTTTGTGTAAGGACGCTGACAGATGTGGGGGCCGAGCTTGGTACTAGGGCCATTAAGCGTGTCCTTTGAGCTTTTGTCCGCTCCTCGGCTCAAGCATTTTCCCTACGTATTTCCCCTACGTGTTCCCCTTCTCCTACGTGTTTCCCTTTCCCAGATGAGTTTACAGCTTTCATCTCTGCATATACCACGGCAGAGGGCCGGGCAGCGGTGCAATACCGGCTAAAGACGCTGGCGCTGCAATGCCTGATGACGCTCTCTTGGCACAGGTGCGGCTGGCGGCTGATGGCTGATGGCGAGGGCAGCACACATTTTACTTAACATCCATGCTTGCTGTTACAGCCATGCTTGCCACGGTCAATCTCACAAGACACACAACCCGAAGACTCTAAGCACCGCTGATCTTCCTCCCTCCCTCCCTCCCAGGCTGTCCCTGGCTCCCCAGCTTGCCGCCGCCCGCCCCACCGCCCCCCTGGACGCCTCCAGCGGCGGTCCCGCGGGCGCCCTGCTGGAGTGCCTGCTGCAGCTCGTGTCTCCCGACCTGTACGCCCCGGCGCTGGGCAGGGCTCAGGCGGCCGGCCTCAGCGCCGCGCTGCTCACCCACCTGGCGGACCACGGCATGTGCCAGCACCTCTTTATGATCCTAGCAGCGGCGCTGGCGCCAGCCATAAGGCCCCCTTCAGCATCAGCAGCAGCAGCAGCACCGTCGACAGTACCCCTGCCGTACAGCAGCCACCCTGTGGCTCCGAAACCCTACGTGGAGGCGCTGGTGACGCAGCTCACGGTGCGGCTGCTGGCGCTTAAATCCTGGTCGCCGCCGCTGACGGCGCCCGAACAGTCGCTACACTGCCTCCTGTTCCTGCCGGACCTCTGGCGGCGGTGCAGGTCGCTGCAGCCCGTGGCGCCCCGCGTGTGCCGGCAGGCGCTCGCCTGGCTGGCGGCGGCCGGGCCGCAGCGACTGGCGGCGCTGCTGCCGCCGCCGGAGGCGGCCCTGCCGGGCGGCGACGGCGCCGCCGTCGCCGTACTGCTAGCAAACCTGCTAGCAGTGGGGCCTCAGCTGCTGCAGCCGGCGGCGGACAAGAGCGTGACCGCGGCGACGTCACTGCGTGCCGTCGCACTGAGCACCGCCCGTGTGCTTCATGCGGTTGTGTCGCTTCTGCCGCTGAGCCCCTTCTTTCCGGAGGCACTGGTGGGAGCAGGGGCGGGAGCGGGCGACGACGAGGATGAGGTGGACGAGGCGGCGTGCGGCTCGTTGGGCCTTACACGGCTGACGCTGCCGCCGGGCGCAGCGGCGCAGCTGCCTGCGGGGCTGGTGGAGCAGGTGCAGGGCGTGACGGGGGCGGCGGGCCGGCAGCTCATCAATCAGCTCGTATCAGTGCTGCTTCCGTACAAGGCGCCACCAGCGGCGCCGTCGTCACCAGTGGCTGCTGCATCGGCAGCCGCTATGCTGCCTGCGGCCTCGGGCGCACCCGTGTTGTTAGGTACCTCGCCGCCCTTCTCCACCTCATGGATGCTGTCAGCGCAACACGGCCAGCAGCTCCCGCACTCCTCCTCCGCGCCGCCCTCCGCCAGCGCGTTGCTAGAGGCGGCGGAGGCGGCCCATGCGGTTTCGGAGCTGGTGTGGCAGCTGACTCAGCTGCCGGGGCAGCAGCAGCGTGTCATGCTGGGTCTGGCGGTGTCTGCGGACTTTGTGGAGCGCATGTGGTGGTCCTTCCTGCGGCCCGCCAGGCTGGCGGAACTGTACGGCATAGCGTGGCTGCCTGACCTGGCGGCGGCGGCGGCGGGGATAACGTCAGCTGGAGGGTGTGGTGGCGGCGGCGGCGGCAGCCCTAGCGGTACCTTTGCGCCATGCAGCCGGACGGGTAGCTATACCTTCCCCACCTCCGGCGGAGGGAGTACGGGGGGCGCGACGCCGATGGAGATAGAGCTGCCGCCGGCTGCAGCAGGGGCGGCGGGAGCAACAGCGGCGGATGGCGGCGGCGAGGGTACGGCGCTGTACGGCAGCGGCAGCGCCGTCGGCGTCATTAGTAATGCATGTGTGTGGCGCCCGCGTGTTGCAGAGGAGCTGGGTTGGCTGCTGCCGCTGGCTGTGTGCTGCAGCGCCTTCTCCGCGCACATATCCACCGCCACCCTGGAAGAGTTCTACGGGGGGGCGCAGCGGCCGCTGGCGCTGCAGCAGCTGTACGACAGCGGGGAGACGGAAGCGGGTGGGTGCTGGGGGTGGGTGGGAGGCGGTGGGCGGTAGCTTGGGGGAAGGGGTTGCAAGAGCAGCGTGGGTTACTGGCAGGGTCAGGGCGAGGATGGGGGGGGTGGGAGAAGGTGGGTAGGGGGCCGTTGTGGTTCGGGTAGCTCCGGGGACTGTGAGGTGACTGTGGACATTTATTGCCTCGTCGACATATTGACGTCTATTTCGTTATCTCCTCTTATCTCCTCCTCCTCCTCCGTCCAGGCTTCCTATCCATGCTGCGCGACGGGCTGTGGCACGTGCTGTGGTCGGAGGGGGAGAACTACCACAGCCCGGCGGGGGAGGCGCTGTATGCCGTACTGGCGCGTACGGGAGGGCAGTTGTACGGCATCTTGTACGAGCGCAATTGCCGGCGGCAGTTCTGTCCGACGGAGGCCTTCCATGCGAGCGCGCTAGCACCCGAGAGGTGGGTAGGGGTGAGGGGTGGTGGTGGGAGGGGGGCAGTGCTGGAAGGCCTTGGGAAGGGTGTGAAGGAACGCATGGTGTGTACTGGCTGCAGCCCCTCTCCTTTGCCTCCTCTGTAGTACCGTATCAGTGGCAGCTCCACCCTAACCCCCTGCTGCACACCCCAGCAAACCCTGCACCCCTGCTGCACACCCTGCTGTTGATGCCGCTGCCTCCGCAGGTTCCTAACCGAGGCCGCCACCAGCCGCAGTAACGCGGGCAGGGAGGACGGCAGCTCGCGGGTGTGGCAGGCGAGTGCAGGGAGGCACCCGGGGCGGGATGCATGGGGGCTCGGGGATGTAAGGAGGCAGGGGTACTACTACTAAAGAAGAAATGGGGGCTGATACTATTCCTAAGAAGAAAGCGGCTGGTGCGGCTTGCTGCGAGCTCTACTTGAATGGTACCGGTAACACCCACTCTATTTCACGCCCACCCCCCTTTCTGCTCTCCCCCCTCCCCCCGCAGGTGTTGCATCATGCGCCCTACCTGGTTCCCTTCGCGGACCGAGCTCGGCTGTTCCAAATGATGGTGGCCAAGGACCGGGAGGTGGGGGCGCGGTGGAGGGGGTGGGGTTGGGTAGGGGTATGGGCGTTTGAAGGGATTGGAAAGGAGGACCGGGGCAAGGAGGTGGCGTGTGCCAGTGAGGGTTGCGGCACATTGTTAGCCACACAACCTCTTCCTACTCCTCGCCCCTGCTCCCCTCTCCCCTCCCGGCTCCCATTGCATCGGTAACAAACTGCTTCTCTCTATCCCCATCGCTTTGCCCTAACCTGTAGTTCTAGTATATGCCTCTGACCCCCAACCTGTGGTTTTTTATGGTTCGGTATGGTCTTTCTCCCCCCCCCCCCGCCCCCTCAGGAGCACCGGGCCCAAGAGGACGTGCGCGCCCTGGAGTCCGGGGGGCTGTGGGACGGCGGGCTGGGCCACCGCTTCGTGCCCATCCGGCGCGACCAACTGCTGTTCGACGGCTTCGACCGGCTGAACGCACTGGGGGAGCGGCTGCGGGGGCGCGTGCGCATCAGCTTCATTGACGCGCATGGAGTGCCGGAGGCGGGAGTGGTGAGGAGAGGGCGCGGGCGGGCGGGGGGCTGGGTGCCTGCGCGTTGCTGGTCCCTTGGGGGGCGTCGTGTCGAGCTGCATGCAGTGGTCTCCTCATGATACACAACATGGACTGTACAGTGCTGGGCAGTAGAGCACATTTCACTGTGTACTCTTGACTCATTACGTCAGAGAGTATCGGGATGCACAGCCCCACTACCGTACATCCGAACCACCACATCCCATTCCCTCTTACCTCCCTCCTACCTCCCTCCTTTCCCATCCTACCCCCGCTCCCCCCGCTTCGCACCAGGACGGCGGCGGGCTGTTCAAGGACTTCATGGAGGAGCTGATGCGGGCCGGCATGTCGGCCCAGTACGGCCTCTTCGCAGCCAACACCGCGCACCAGCTGTACCCCAACCCCGCGGCGATGCGAGTGGTGGAGGATGCGCCGCGACTGTTGGCCTTCCTGGGTCGCATGCTGGGCAAGGCGATGTACGAGGGGGTGCTGCTGGAGCTGCCGCTGGCGGGTAGGGGAGCGGGGCGGGGAGGGGCGGCTAACTACCGTATCGAGTTGGCTGTCTGGCGATGCAGAGCTGACCTTAGCCGGATACCGGTAGCTGGTGGGTTTCAGTGATAGGTTGTGGTGGCTGGTATGCGGCTGTGTGCAGCCAAGCATCCCACCCGACCCGATCCCATGCAAATGTGACCCATGGGTCTACGCAAGCCGCCCACACTGTGGCCCTGAAGCCGGTCCTCACTCCCAGCCCCCCTCCCCATACCCCTTCGCAACTCCTCACCATCTCCCGCCGCCCGCCCCTTCAGGCTTCTTCCTTAAGAAGTTCCGCGGCGCGCACTGCGACCTGAACGACCTGCCCACCCTGGACCCCGACCTCTACCGCTCCCTGCTGCTGCTGAGGGAACACCTGCAGCAGGCGGCAGCGGCGGCGGCAGCGGCAGCAGGGAGTACGGCAGCAGCAGCAGGGATGGGCTCATCAGCTGGCTCCTCTGCTGCCGCCTCTCCCGCGGGTGGCACCCCCGAGGGCAGCAGGCACGGGGGCGGCGAGGCGGCGGCAGCTCTGGACCTGGGGCTCACGTTTGTGGTGGGTGGGAGGCTGGGGGGTGGAGGTGGTGGCGGTGCGGTGCGGGGGGGGGGTGCGGTTGTTGGGGCGGATTGGAGAGGAGGAGGCAAAGGGCGGTGCGGCAGTGCGGCGGTCGTGTGCCCGCTCTGTTGAACGCTTTGCTTGATAATGTTGTCGGCCCGGTCATGCACGGCCATGTGCCTCCGCATCTTGCCAAGTAAGTGCACCCTCCATCCCTACCCTTCCTTTCCTCCCCCCAACTCTCCGGCTGTTCCCCCCCCCCGCCCTGGGTTGCCCCCCTCCCTCAGGTTGCTGACGATGTGGCTGCCGCGCTGGGCGACCCGGGTGCGGAGGTGGAGCTCAAGCCGGGCGGCCGCAACATCCCCGTCACTGCGGACAATGTGCGGGAGTACATGCACCGAGTGGCACACTACAAGTGAGAGGGCGGCGGGGGGGGATGGAGAGGGCTGGAGAGGGTAGGGACGGGATAATGCCCCCCCCTAGCAAAACACCGGTTAAAGCCGGATCCTCTCATACCTCATCCTCCTGTCACTCAAACCCCACCTCTTTCCCTCCCCGTCCGTCCCGCTGCTCCCTCCTGCCTCCCAGGCTCAACATCTCTCCCCGCCCCGCCGCCTCCGCCTTCCTGTCCGGCTTCTACGAGCTCATCCCGCGCGCCTGGGTGTCCATGTTCAGCGGCGAGGAGCTGCAGGCGCTCATCAGCGGCGCGGACAGCAGCTTGGACCTGGGTGACATGCGGGCGCATGTGGAGTATGCGGGGGGGTACCATGATGGTGAGGAGCAGGAGGGGGGAGGGGAGGGGTGCAAGGAGGGATAGAGGGGGGAGAAGGGGTGGTGCAGGCGTGGGAAGAGGGCAGTGCAGGGAGTCGCATGTGGCTGGGTTTGGGGGGCAGCAGGGGATGGGGTTGTGGGATGTATTCCCGACGCTGACGCATTGATACCTCCTGCCGCTGCTACTGCTGGATGCCCCGCTCGTGGCCGTATAATGTCTCCCCAAGACCTGCCAGACCTCGTGAAACCCACCTCTCTTACCCCCGCCTCCTCTCCCTCTTCCCCCTCCCCCCGCCTCCAGACCACCCTGTGATCCACTGCTTCTGGGAGGCGCTTGCGTCCTTCAGCCCGGAGCAGCAGGGCAAGCTGCTCAAGTTCGTCACCTCCTGCAGCCGGGCACCGCTGCTGGGGTTCAGGTAGGGGGCAGGAGGGGGGCCATGGAGGGAGTGGGGTGGGGTGGGGACCGTCCGAAGCTTACATCACCACCCCGTCGCTCGTTTGGGGTAACAGTAATGGGTAACAGTGCTGCGGTGCATGCGGTGGTGCGCCGCTCGGAGCTGGGCTGAGCTGAGCCTGCATGACGTCACACTGCTGCTGCTGCCGCTGCTGTGCTGACCCAGTTTGTGGTGCTGCCCACACACACGCGCGCCTCACCGTGCGCTGCAAGCGACGTTGCTCCGGTGTGCCACCACTTCTCCGCCTGTCCCCCGCTTATCCCCATTACCGGTACCCCTCCTCCATCTATCTTGATCTCCCTTGACCTCTCCCCACCCCACGGCACCATCACCACGGCCACCCCACGCCTTATCACACGGTTCGATGGTCGTTTCCACTTTACCGCCCCCCAGGTACCTGGAGCCCCGGCTGTGCATCCAGATGAGCGGCGCCATGCTCGACCCTTCCGCGCCCAACCGCTTGCCCACCGCATCCACCTGCATGAACCTGCTCAAGCTGCCGCCCTACCGCACCAGCCAGCAGATGAGGGACAAACTGCTGTACGCAATCAATGCGGCGGCGGGCTTCGACCTCAGCTGAGATGGAGCGTAGGGAAGAGTGCAGGGAGGGAGGGAGGAGGAGGGCAGAGGAGCAGGAAAGAGCATGGGCTGGATTGGGAGAAGGTTGCACTGAGCCTCTGAGCCGCTATGTGTGTGTAGGAATGGCAAGGGGTGTTGGTACGTGTTGTTGATAGGTTGTGGCGGAGCGAGGGGCGCGAGGGGTGGGGCGAGGTGGGCTGGGTGTAGTGGAGAGGCCTCGCCTCAGTGCGCTGCTTGCTGTAGAAGAGAGGCCTCTGCTTGAGAAAGAGGGGGTCTTCGGTCTGTGCTACGGGGTCCTGGCCTGAGCTGTGGGTTCGGTGGCAGGCAGGAGGGCTGGCAGGCTGGCTGGATTGCGAGTGATGTCATTGGCTCGGCAGCTTGGCGGGTGGGACCCATCGGAGGACTGCTGTGGCATACTGCGAGATTACACAGATTAGGGTTAGGAGGGGGCATCCGCGGATTGGTGTATGCATCTTCCTCTACTGTCACCTCTAAGCAGAGGCCGGGTTTACACGTTTCTCTCTTTTGTTCAACGTTGCTGGGGAAAAAAACCAACAAACGTGCGAAGGTTTGTCGTTTGCGTTTTTGTGCTTGATGTTCCCGTTCATCTTTGTACCAGTAGCAAGCGTACCATATGCAAGTGCCACCAAAGCAAAAAGGGAGGTCCTACGGATGGCTGCCCGCTTGTTGTGTGAATGTTGCAATGACACGTATGTGTGCTTTCATATCCAATGAAGCAGCCGGAGTCTGTGTGCGTGCTTGACGGACGGACGGATGTCTGGGCATGGCTGCACCTAACTAGTGCCAGGTGCGACCCACGGAACAAAGTGCGGGTCAGAAATACAGGTATATAATCTCATAATCTCATCAGGCTAGCCTACCGTAATACGGATCCGCTTGCAACTGATGGCGATAGCGATGAGGTTAACGTTTGACTGAAGATGCTGGCATGTTAAGAAACTGGTCACGAGTATGTGAGTGGTTTTTTTTTGGCGTCTTGCAGGCTGATTGGTGCCTGGCTGCTGCTGCTGCTGTTGCTACTTCCTTGGACGGGGTAGTTACGCGGTAGGGGTGGGTGGGTGGGTGGGCCACCTGTCAAAGCGCCGGGTCCGAGGTAGACGTCTCCTGTCAAACGTCGGCTGATGACATTCTCCCTCAGCTATACGAAATCTGAGTTAAAAAGGGGCGCATGTGCAACAGCAGCTGCCACCACTTGTGCAGTAGCTGCGCATGCGTTACAGTCTTTCCCGCAAGACCGACCCACGGGACAGCAGTTTCAGTCAGGTTTTAATACGATACGTCCTAATCCAACACCAGCGAGAAACATTTACCGCAACCCACAACCCGCGACGCGCGTTACTACCGGTACCTCCTGTTCGCTACGTCTTCAGCAAACCCGCGGTGGCTTAACATACTCTGGTTATTAGTCTGTTCACCTACCGTAGTTCCCCGACCTGCCCATCAGGTGTAGTAGGACTATTAGGTGTAGCCTATATTCCCTAGCCAGTGCAGGTGTAGCCAGAGGACTCACTCAGGCCCGCTGGGTCGTCCCTTCAGCACCATGAAGGGCGGGCTGCTGTCGGTGCGGAGGGGCCTGATGCATGTGGCGGCTGCAGTGGCGGTGGCGCTATTGGTCGCCTCAGCAGCCGCCAGCCGGGAACTGATGCAGGCACCCGCCGCCCCTGCTGCGGCCGCAACAGCAGCTCCCGCCGCAGCAGCCATCCCCACCGCCGCTGCCCCTGCGGCAGCTGCAGCACCCGCACCTGCCCCTGCCGCAGCAGTTGCTGCCCCCTCGGCGGCTGCTGCTCCCACCGCGGCTTCCACAGCATCATGTAAGCAGACACCGTTGTCAAAATCCGCACGTGTTGACTCATATGAGGGCAACTGTCATGCTTTCCTTACCGGCCTTCCCCACCAGCCAGCGTCAGCACAAGCGAGCAAACCGCCCTACCTCCCACACCTGCAGACTATACACCTCCACCTGGCTAGTCCGCTACTACACAACCGCTCCACGCTCCCATCAACGGCGCTCCCATGCCGTCCGCCTGGCAGCGCGTCCTCACACTCTCTCAAGTCCACCCCGCACCTCTCTGTCCTCCCTCCTCAACACCCCAAACCCCCACGCACACTCCCCCGCCCCCCTCCCCCCTCCTTCCTATGGTTCGGTATGGTCTTTGACCTCCCTCTCCCCCTCCCCCCCTTCCCCCCAAGGTTTCAACGCCCCCACCATCGTGGCCTACGCGGGCAGCGGCGGCCCCCCCGACCTGCGGGAGGTGGCTGCAGCTCTGCCGTACGACAAGAAGTCGCTGCTGCCGCTGGGGCCCGGGGAGGCGGTGTTGCTGGACTTGGAGGCACCCGCTTGCAGCCCGGCGGGGGTGAGGGCGGGGGTAGATGAGGGGGCTTGGGAGAAAGGGCGGGGAGGGAGAGGATGAGAGGAGGGGAGGAAAGGGGAAAGGTCGGGTTTGGGGGGGTTGGTGTGGGGAGGTGGAGGGGAGGAAAGGAATGCTAATGCTGTGATGCACAAGCAGTCCCAGATAAATAACCACCTGTAGGCTCGTTTCACCTTGTCCTGCTCCCCAACATACTCCCTCCTTCCCTACCTCTCCCTCTCCCCTCCCCCCAGCTCACCTCCATTCCCGGCAACCTGCTGCTGTACGACAACGGCACGCTGGCCGCCGCGCTGCCCGCACTGGCCTCCCTGCAAGCGGTGGGCAAGACCCTCATGGTGTACGGCCATGCGGGACTGGACTCCAAGGGGCTGCCCAACCTGAAGAGCCTCAGCGGCGTCAAGGTACGGCAGCAGGAGGGAAGGGTGTGAGGTTGGAGGGAGGCGGGGGTTAGGGGGGGTGCGGAGCGGGCACATGGGCACATGGGGCTTGGCGAGGCGAAGAGAGGTGTAGCGCTTGACAAGACTTCATACCGTGTTGCACTGCGCTGCCGGCATTGCTTGCCAGCGGCGATCTATACAAACCAGCCCCAACTTTCCTCTCTCCCCTCTTCCTCCCGTTGTTCCACCAAACACACTAGAACACCGTCCCCAACAGCACGCCAAGGCCCACCCCTCTAACCTTCGCTCTCTGCCCTTTCCCCTTCCCCCTCCCCTCCTCTCCCTCCCCCCCCCTCCCCCCCGCAGTCCGCCTCCAACCTGCTGCTCTACAACCTGGACGCCCTCACCGACCTGTCAGGACTGCAGGGGCTGGCCTCGGTACCCGGGGACCTCATGCTGGCTGACAACGCGCGGCTGGGCAGTCTGCGGGGGCTGGAGGGGCTGCGGGAGGTGGGGGGGGACCTGGCGCTGCTGAGCAACATGGCGCTCACGTCGGTGCAGGGACTGGGGGTGAGTAAGGGGGGCGGGGTGGGATGAAGAGGCTGGGGGGCTCTGGCGAGCTGGCGGGTTGGCGCGGGAGGGGAAGGGAATGCGAAGACGGCTGAGGGATACTAGGATTGCAGGGAGGGATGTGTGTACCGGTATCTGTTCAGCTGCAGGGAAGCAGGGGTTTCAGCTTATGACATGTATCGCGCCCCATTCAATTCCCTACCTCCTCCGCCCCCTCCATCCCTTCACTTCCTCGCCCCGCCCGCCAGAACCTCAAGTCGGTGGGCGGGCAGCTGCTAGCCAAGGGCAACGGCGAGCTCATGGACCTGCTGCCCCTCGCCTCGCTGACCTCCCTGGGCGGCCTGCGCGAGGTCAACAACGGGGACGTGAGGCTGGAGCTGCCGCCGGGGGTGCGAGTGGCAGGCAGGGTGGCGCCGGCGGGGGGCCCTGCTGCAGCAGCCGCTGATGCCAGCTCGCCAGCAGGAGCAGCCTCAGCAGGCGGGACGACAGCGGATGCGGCGGGTCCTGCGGGCGGAGAGAGCGGCGGTGCGGGTGCTGACAGGAGTGTGGTGCTGGTGTATGCGGGGGAGCCACCCAAGCTGTGAGTTGGGGAGAGTGGATGCTGAACTTGTAGTATTGCTGAACATTGGCTTCGATTTTAGGATAGTCTGATTGTCATCCCTATAACCCTGCAACCCCTAACTCTCTCCAACACGCCCCTCACTCCCCCCCTCCAGTGCCGAGGTGAGCGACTGGCTGGAGAAGTACATGCCGCCCATGGGGCAGATCGACGTACGGGAGTACAACACCCGCATGTACGATTTGTACGGCAGTGGGGGGGAGGTCAAGACGCTGAGCAGCATCAGGTGGGTGGGTGCGGGTTTGGGGGGAGTTGGGGTTTGGCGGGGTGCGGGTGCGGGGTGCCGGGTTTGAGGGCGGGAAGGCCGTATGTGGGGGATGAGAGGGAGGGGAGAATGGCCTGGTGCCTTTGGGGGGAGATCGGGTGTATCGCGTACCTTCCTCCCTTCCCCAGGAGCCCTTCCATTCCACCCCCCTCCTTTGTCCCCTCCCCTTGTCTCCTTTTTTACCTTTCCGTGGCTCCTGACTCCTCCACGTTCATCCCCCACGCGGCCCCCTCCCTCACTCCGTCTCCCCTCCCACCCTCCCGCCGCCTCTCCCCCCTCCCACAGCGGCTCCCTGGTTATCTGGGCCTCCACCCCCCTGGGCCGCGGACTGTGGGACCTCTCCGGCATCACCACCGTGCGGGGCCAGGTGGTGGTGGTGGGGCCGCCGGGGGGCGACAGCGCGCTGGAGACGCTGCAGGGCCTGGACGGACTCAAAGTGGGTGGTGGGTGGTGGGGAAAAGAAGAATATCCAATGTGTGGGGTTATGCATGGGGGCAGCAGCAGCGGGGTAGAGCCTGTAGCCGGGTTGGGGACGGGGCGCGGGAGCGGGTAAGGCGGGACTTACCGGTGACACGTAAGGCATGAAGTTTAGCGCGGGTAGCGTTGCTCTACGCCCATGCACGCTCGTCCTTACTGCCCTTGGTTTCTGGTTGTGTTGGTCGTCCCGACTCCCCTGATAGCTGTCGCCCTCTCTCCCTCCAGCCATTCCTCCCTCCCTCCCTTTCCAACACCCCGCCCCCCCCGCTGCCAGTACGCGGGCGGTCTGAACCTGCTGTCACTAACCAAGCTGCGCGACCTCACCGGCCTGGGCGGCCTCACCACACTGCGAGGCGACCTAAACATTCTGTTCTGCCCCGCCCTGGAGTCAACGCGAGGGCTGGGGCCGCTGGCCTCTGTCTACTCGGACGTGTACCTCAAGGACAATGGAGCGCTCAAGGACCTGGATGGCTTTAAGGTGTGTTAAGAAAACTGGCCCTGTGTGTGCTAACGGAAATTGGCCGCGAGGAGAAACGTACTGGACTGTCGGAGGGAGGGGCAGAGGCGGGAGGGAGCGTTGACTGGGGCGTAGTGCGGGGCTTGCTAAGTAGGCTGTGCAGAAAGCCATGGATGGGTCCTTCTCCTCCCTCACCTACTAGTGGTGAATCCACTGCAACGGTTTGATTTCCCTCCTCCCCCCCTCCTCCCCCCTGCCTTGCATATCCACAGGGTGTGCGCAGTGTTGGCTCCAATCTGAACCTGCAGCAGCTGCCCTCCCTGGCCTCCCTGGACGGCCTGGCAGCCCTGGAGCGGGTGTACGGCGAGCTGCTGATCAAGGAGTGCGGCAGCCTCAAGTCGACCGGCGGGATGGCCAGGCTGCAGGCTGTAGGTGGGTGGGTAAAGAGGAGGAAGCTGACGAGGTGTACGACGAGGTGGGATTAGCTGCATTGTACGGTACGCAACACGTACGCATGTGGCATGTCAGCTTCAGGCTTGTAGCATGCGTGACAGTATGACGGCAGCGTCCCTTCCCCCTGAAACCCGTTCTCTGTCCCTCTCCTTCTTCCTCCGCCCCTCTCCCTCTCCCCCTCCTCCTTCCAGGCAAGAACGTGGCTCTGCTGTGGAACGACGCGCTGTGGGACCTGTCCGGCCTGTCGCGCCTCGCCTACGTGCCCTCTGACCTGGTAATCAGCGGCAACCCCTGGCTGAGCTCGCTCGGACCCATGGGTCGGCTCAACGGCACCGGCCTCAACCTCGTTATTTCACACAACAACCGGCTCACCGACCTCAAGGGTCTAGGTACGGCGGTGGGGTTACTTGTACGGAAAAGGGGTCGGCTAGTGCGTGGCTGTACGATTGGGGGTTTGGTGCATGCATGCGGGAACAGAAATACATGCCTGCGTGCCTCCCATCCCCCACCCTCATGACCCGGCCGCTGCCATCATGCGCTGCCCCACCTCCGCCCCTCTTCCCCAACCCTTATCCCCTCTTCTCCCCTCTCATTCCTATCCCAAAGGCAACGTGACCCGAGTGGGTGGTCTGCTGTCCATCAGTGACAACCCCGAGCTCAAGTCGCTGGAGGACTTGGACGGAAGCCTACAGAGCGCAGGTGTGTGGTGAGGGCAGGGGAGGGGAGCGGTGGTGGGTTTGGGGTGCATGGCAAGGACGGGAAGCTAGCAGAGGGGAGGAGGAATAGAAGGGGGTCTTCCTGCCTTTGCTTGTGACCTACCTTACCTATCCAGCTCACGCCCGCCATAGAAGCACACCATGCGCTGATTACACAGGGTCGTGACGTGCATCTTCCTCCTCCTATCACGCCCCACTCGCCACCGCCACCACCACCAACCTCCATTCCCCACACCTCACGCCCCCGTTCTCATCCTCGCCCTCCACTCGCAGGCAGCATCACCATCTCCAACAACCCGCAGCTCTACTCGCTCGGCCGCCTGCCCTCCACAGTACAGCGGGTGTATGGGCAGGTACGGATGCGCGGACCGCTGCCGCAGGACCAGGTGGCGGCACTGGGGGGCAAGGCGGCGGGAGGCCGGGTCAGTGGCTTCTCCTCTCCGATGCGGAGGGACGCGGCCGAGGGCGGCGATGCGGCGAGGGACGTGACGAAGGCGTCAAAGGATGAGCTGAACGGCATCGGCGCGCCTAGGAATGCCTCCAGCGGTGCTCCAAGGGGCGCGACGATGAAGGGCGTTCCGAGGGATGGGTCCATGGGTGTACCCAGGATAGCTCCGAAGAGCGGTTCAATGGGTGCACCGAGGAATGCCTCCATAGCTACTTCAAAGGGGGCTTCCATGGGTGCCGCAAGGGGTGCCTCAGTGGATGCGACACGGGGGGCGGCGGAGGATGTTGCGCGGGGTGTACCTCTGGATGCGTCAAAGGGTGCATTAGAAGGTGCACGCGGCGATGCGTTGGCGCATGCCCAGACGGAAACGCCTCAGAAGGGGCCTCCTGGTGAGGATGTGACAAGTGAAGCTGCCACGAAGAAGAAGCGGTAGTGCTAGATCTGGGAACGAAGCGGGTTGTGGCGGGTGTACCGGGGCGGCGTAATGCATGTCTGCGGGAGGGATTGTGAGTGGTGAGAGATTGTGAGGATGCATGTGGCATGGATGCCAACAACTTGTGGATGGTAGTGGTGAGATGCGGTAGACTTGGGGCATGCGTGGAGGGTTAGGGAAGGAGAAGACCGAAAAATGGAAGGGCGTCGAGATGGCGATGATGGTGGTGGCAAAAGCGGTGGTGGGAAGTATTAATAAAGTGCAGGTGGGACTGAGCGCGTGCTTGGTCATGGGCAGGCATGGGTTTAATTCAGTGGTTAAAGCCTATAGTATTGGGGGTCGCTTGGTCAGTCTTTGCCACACGCGCGCCATTCCCCTTTCCCAAGAGGGGTTGGGAATGACCCCCAGAGAGCAGTTTGGTATGCAACGAGCGGCCGCAAACCTGCGGCGCATGTACGGCGCTGGCATGAGCAGTGAAGGTTGTTGGCGGTGCTTCCTACTGAGGTAGTTGGTCAGGTTGCTAGTAGTGACCCGGCGCTGACAGAGCGCCGGCAATGGCTAGGTACACAGCAGTCCTTGGCTTGTTTCCTTACACAATGACACAGACCGGCTTGCAACTTGAACTGCAACAGGGCGCAAGGTTGTAATCTTGTGACCTCGCTGTAACCAACACTACATGGCATCAGGGATTCGCCCCTTTACCCAGTCTGGGGTTGCATGTACTGCACCAATCGACGTTGTAGGCCCAGACCCCGTTTGGAAGCCGCGGAGGCGGTGCGCGCTGGACTTGGGTATGTACGGCGGAGTCATGCCGCAAGGGTGGTGCAATAAAACCAGGAAGCATCAACCTTTCCTTCATCTGCATCCCACAGCAACCAAGAAACAAGGTTTGGCTAGGAATACAGCATGCAACCTGGTTGCAAACTGCAGCAAATTGTCTCTGCCTCGGTCATCCCAACCGCCATCACCGCAATGCTGTTGCTGCCGGGTCGGAGTACTACGTCGGGTCGGAGTACTACTGGAGTGCCGAGCTGTTGGCACATACGACGTCAGGCGGGATAACGTATGTAGTGGTGAGGGCTCCTGGACTCAGGGGTTGCGTCTTTTTTGGTAAGCCAATACCGGTACACGGCGCGTGGGACCTCATCGGCAGCAGGTAGCTGGTGAGGTGTTCGCTTACTGCCGGTGGCCGCTGCAGCGCAGCGGGTGTCGACTGACATGTGATGATGAGCTCGCGGCTGTCGCTGCGCTTGCGCACCATGGTGTGAGGAGTGGGGATGCGATTAGTTTTGGATGGGGTAGCCAGCTCCGGCTTTGGAGGTTTGCCGCTACCCAATGGCACCGAGCGATGACGAGGGCTGCAAGGGCTACAAGGGCTGCAAACTGCTGAATAAACATTAGCGAGTATGCGGCTGGAAAGGGATGTCTGTCACGCCAACGCTGGCGTGCAACAGCCTTCAAGGTAAGATGGGTACCAAGTAAACTTGAAGGTAGTTGCTCGCAGTGTCATAATACATACGTGCAGCTACGGTGAAGGTACCCGGCGCTAAGGCATGCGACGTTGGGAACAGGACTTGCAAAGTATGTTTCGGAGCAAGGTAGCGTTGCTAAAATCGCATCCAGAATACAACCTTTGCAAACCCTATTGGAGTGAGGCTGAATTTACAAGCGCCTGGACTTTTGCATATAGCCACTGAGCTAGTTATTCCCGCTGTGTTAGTATCACCAGTCCTCGCCTCAACGCTCCTGCTAACGATAATACATCACAAATCTCTAACAAAGCAAAAGCCTTTTGTAAAAGGGATTATGCTAATATCGGTTTAATCAATTTACGCCAATGGAAGACGATGAGGCTGCTGAAGTGCGTCCGGCTCCTCGCCCGGTGCAAATTCCTACTCTGCGTGACGTTTGCGTCAACACGCTGATACGTTATCGCCAATACCTAGGTGGGGACTTGACAGCATGCACTGGCGTGAAGCACGCATAGGTTATATCTACTATCATCCGAGTACCGGAAGCCATTCCACCTTTTGGGGACTTGTATAAATGCCGTCACCTTCCCATCCTGTACACCTTAACATCCAGGGGATGTGGGTTTCATGGACTCCGAGTCGCTACGTGCGGTCGCGTGGCATTGCTCGACGGAGCAGTTGGCACGCATTGAAGACGAGACACTGTGAGTAAATCTGTCCCCGCGCGTTCGGCCCTCGGCATAAAATGTTTAGCGTAATTAAGGTAACCTAATCACCCCTAGATCATGGTCGAATGTGCGCTTACGCTTGCCTGCATGCTGCTGCAGGGAGGGCAGCGATCGCAACCTGGAGTGGTACACGTGGCACCTGTGGAAGCGGCTGCTAGAGACGGAGCTGGGGGGCAGGGGCGCGGAGGTGAGGAAGGGAAGCCATCCTGCTGAGGGGTGGGTGGGGACAGCTTGACAGCAGCTTGGCAGCAGGATAAGGTGGGGCGAGGAGGTGCCCAGTCCCGTTGCTACAGGGGGATCACCTCCTCGCCTTGAGTCGCGCTCGACAGCATGGAGCTCACATGGCACTCATACGGTAACCAACACCGGGAACCAACACGAGGATAAGCACGGGGTTATCGACACGTTAATTAACGTTGCTTGGAAAAAACATGAGGAATGGGCTGTTGGTTGCTGTCGGCTGCAGGTGCCGCCGCTTGAGAGCCCCGAGCCGCCCGACTACACCGCCCCGCGCGGCATTGAGGCGCAGCCGGGTAGGGGTGCTGAGCGCTGGGGAGGGACCCAGGAGGAGCATGCGTGAAATGTTAATGTAATGGTGCCCTTGCAGCGGGTGGAACTTGGGGTGAGGGATCAAGGTTGGTGTGTCGTCTTTAGGCGGGCGGATTAAGGATTGCACCAGCCCCTCCCGCCCCTCCCCCCTGCATGCAGGTGACTACCGGCTGCTGTACTCCCAACGCAAGGCGGAGATGGAGGAGCGCGCGGCCGCAGCCCGGGAGCGCATCGCGGCGGCCTATCAGCAGGCGCAGGAGCAGAAGGACGCGCGCAAAGCCAAGGTGAGGAGCCTTGGTGCTTGGGGGGCCCGGAGGTGTGGGTGAGGGGTGGGGGCTGGCGGGCTGGGAGGGGATATGCCCTGCACCACTTCATGGCCGCCGATACTGTAGATGCGCGGTTGCAACCCCACAGTCCCCCACCACCACCCTGTTCCTCCCTCAGATGATTGACAAGCTGGCCCCCACCAAGCGCCACCGCACCGGCGCCTCCGCCTCCTCCTCCGCCGCCGGCCGCCTGCCCGGCCAGTCTGCCTACCTGCACAAGCCCCGACCCGACTCCCGCAGTTCCATCATGGGTAAGCCGGGGGCGCAACTCAAGCTGCTGAAGGACCTGGGGCTGGTCAAACCTGGCGGAGGCGGGGGCTCCGGAACCACCTCCACGGTTCGTATCGTGCGGCCTGCGAGTGCCGTACCCAGTGCGGCCACGGGCCACAGCAGCAGCTTGGCGGGGGCTCAGCTGCTGGCTCGGGCGACGGCGGGGCAGCTGGGGAGGACGCATGTGGGGGCGAGTGGCAGACTGGGGCTGCACCAGGAGGCTCAGCCGCCGCTGCTGGCGGCGCGCTCGGCAGCGGTTGCGGCGGCGGCTGCAGCTAGGAGTGGAGTTGGAGTAGTAGGAGGAGGAGGTGCGGGAGGCAGCATCGGCAGCAGGGGGGCGGTGATGCCGGGACTGTCCCCGGGGGGCAGCAAGCGGCCTGCTGGGGAGGTGTCACTGACCTCCCAGCCTCCTGGAAAGCAATCTAGGACTGCTGGTGCTGCTGCGGGAACAGCGCCAGCCAACGGGAGTTCGGGGGGCGCAGGGTCGAGGCCTGACCCACGGGTCATGTTCCCCCGACAGGCACCTCCCCAGGCGACTGCCGGCCAGAGCAAGTTCGCAGTGCCGTCCGCTCGGCCTCTGGCGGGCATGGCACCTGCAGGCAGCATCCCTCAGCAGCAACTGCAACAGCAGCAGCAGCAGCAGCTCCAGAAGCAGCAGCAGTTGGGTGCGGGTGAGGCGGCGGGAGCAGCCAGGTCCCCCGCTGCCGGATCCGCAGCGGGGAGCAGACGGGCGGCTGCTGCTGCGGATGGTGCAACAAGAGCAGCAGCTGCGCGGCAGCCAGCGACGGGTAGGTCCCGAGGGGGAGGTCTGTTTGTGGATGACGACGACCTGTAGGGGTGAGGAGAGCGGCTATCGCAACGCCCGTTCCTGGACGCGGAAGGAGGCCGCAGCGGATATTACGTCAGTGCGTGAGACTGATGAAATGCCGAACAGGCTTGGTTAGGATGTGTTATAGGACAGTTTGTAGCTTCGTCGCGTGTAGTGTAGTTTATTGAGGGAAACCTGGCTGTGATAGGCTGTTAGACAGGTGTAGCTTGCTGTCGAGGTTCACCGGGTGTAAGGCACAATTTTGTTGGTTTTTCCTACTCTGGACGAAGTTTAGGTAGTCCTAACGCGCATCCCATGGGTGTAGGTAATCAGGACAGGTCAGTTCTCGCAGTGCTTACACGAGCTATAGGCAGTAGCGCTAGCTGCAGTCTCAGGCTGGGAGGTTAGCTTTTAGGTGCGGGTAGCATAACAAGGATGTAAGCGCGCAGGAGTTGTGTCTAGGTGGTGTCGAGGAGGTGATGTTTCTCAGTCGGTGACCTATGCAGTCCCCTTTTCGTAGTCATTTCAAGTTTTGCAGGCAGAATGGAATAGCTGCTTTGACCCTATGCTAGAACGCTTAGGAATTAGAATTGTAGACTGCGACTCGAGCAGTGCTTGGGTGTTATTTTAGGAGTTCTGCAAAGCTAACAGATGCTGCTGAATAAGCAACACAAGGTGCTTCGAGCGGATAAAAGGCGCTTCCGGCGAAACGGCGAGGAACTACTCGATGTTTGGCATGTCTCCTTGATAGCGTTAAAGCGTATGGTATGGTGCATGGGTCTGCAGGCGCGGGTAGAAGCACACTGCTGTGGCATGTCGTACAGCGTAGCGTTGGATGTAGCTTCGTCGTACAACTTCCGGTGCTAAGCGAGTTCACCTGAGGGGCTGCTGACTGAAGGTCTGCATGGATTGAAGACCTCACTGATGCAGGTCGACCCATGGGACAACATACTGGTAGATGTTTGTTATCAATGGCCCTTACAGCGATGAAGGACTAGACGAATAGTCTGTAGCTGTGCTGGTGTGAACCGGTCAGCTTTGCTGGATGGATGGGGCGTGTAAAACATGGTAGCATTGTACGTTGACTGGGGCAACCCAGTGAGGCTAGTATGGGACCATGTGCGGGGGGAGAGTGTGCCCCCAGAGGAGCGTTTCGCTGGGCCTCTCCAGGCCTGCTATACCAAGTAGCATTGTAGGCATGTGCGCTGGTGGCATGATGGTAGAAATGTACTACCATGGTGATACGGCATGGGCAGTATGCTGTTGCAGTACTTGTTACAATGCCGTGCCGCAGCGGCTCATGGCGTCATGACGGACAACAGGCTGGAGGTTGTGCCCGATCCTACGATACGGCATGTGCCGTACCGTTCTACAAACGCACCACAAACACCGCCTTGCTCGCCGCCAGTCCTGTATTCATCCATATCCGCCAGTTCTGTACCCATCCATGTTCGCTGTCCTGGCGCCCCAGGACATCCCACATGTTGACAGTCAGCAATTCAGGCCCTGTGCACTTAGTGACCCTCTCCATTCCTCTCTCTCCCTCTCACCGTCTTTCCTTCACATCGACGGACGTAATCGGACGTCAAGCCAACTCCGCTCTCGTTCACTACAATCGTCGCTAACGCCTGATCGCAACCCCATTAACGGCCGGCACCCTTGCAATCCTGCAGCTAAAACACACTCCCGCAGCACAAAGCCCTCCTCTCATCTAGTCCAGCCGATCTTCCTTCACTTCACCCATCTCCTCCAAAACCCGCCCATTCGGTGCAACTCTCCCTACATTGCCTGACATCATCTGCATGACCCGCATCGCTCGCCCACCGAGCAGGGGCACGCATCCAGCCGTTCCAACCGCCCGCCCCTCATGCCCGGAAGCTTTCCACCACCTTGCGTAGCCGCTCCTCCTGCCGCCCCCACTGCTTCTCCGTTGCGCTTGCGATGAAGAGGTAAGCCAGGTCACCCTGCATGCATGAGATTTAGCACACAGGCAGCAGGGGGAGGTTAGGAAGGTTCGGGCGTTGGATCCGGCAGTTGGCAATCAGGGCGTCGCTCAGCAGTCGTGCAGACGGCTGTCCCACGCCGCAATGAGGCTGTTGTAAGACCTGTAACGATACGTGGTGAATGCAACAGACTGGTGTTGTGTGCGGACGGCGTCAGTTGCCTCCATACTGGTGCGCCTGCGACGCCCTTGGACCCATGGGTCGCGCAACTCTCACCTTCACGGTGCAGGCGGTGTACGAGCGGGCGCCGATCTTGGAGTACGGCGCATTCAACTCGTAGTAGTAGCTGTGGGTGCATCAGGGAGGTGAGGTAGGGGTCGCGGTGTCAGATACGTTCCAATGGTTTACTACCGTAGTAAGTACGATCTCCTTGTATGCGCGTAGAAGAAAACAATCCACGTCAAACCCTTGCCCTTTCGTTTACCCCCCGTGTCTCCGGGCACTAACGCCAACCTACTATGTGAGCCCATTCCGCGCGGTGCTGCTGCAAGCCACCAGTGCATCCTCATCCAGGTAGCTGCCTGCAGCGGCCGGGCGGAGGGGGAACGGGAGCGTGGTCTCAAAGAGGGAACTGGTAGACCCGTCTGCCTCAGCCCACCTAACCCAATGGTAGCCCGGTTGCGGGCTCCAGTAGCAGGTCAAGAGGTCCTCCTAACCCCAATGCAGCCTGCTATACCCCGTCCTACTCTAAAGTATGCAACGCAGGAGTCTGCCCGCACATGCGAGTCCCAAGCAACCCTAACCAGCTGAACAGGAATGGGCGCCGCCTGGCCCTCAGCCGTTGCGATGCACCTCTGCGGCGGCACGCCGGTTCTAACCACGGCTCACGGCCTGTCCTCAGCCGCTCACCCAGCAGCCGCCGCCGCACCCGACCTCTTTGCGGTACCCCTACATCAAGCCTGGCACACAAACAGCAACCCCAAACATGCCTACACACGACCAGTTTTCTTAGCACACGGCCAGCTTTCATGACATCATGCCCCCCCCTCACGACGCACCCGTGATGTAGTTGCCGATGCGCTCCAGGAGCTGCTCCGGCGTGCCCAAGTCCTCAACCTGCGGGGGGGGGGCAGGGAGGCAAGGGAGGAGGGTTCGGCAGCAGCAGCAGTCGTAGCGTGCCAGGGACGGGCACCTCAGGTCCAACGGGGAGCCGGTAGCAGGAGGCAGGGAAATAGGGCACGGAAGAACCCATGGACAACAACCTTTTTCACTGCCCCTATGATAAGATGCACCTCGTGCTCGAGTGGTTCCTTGAGGGCACGCACCTTGACGTTTTTGCGCGGCGTCAGTTTCTGCAGCGGTGACACGATGAGCTCTACCCGTCCGCCTTGAGCGCCCTCGAAGACCACCTCTGTGGCCCGGCATGGGAAGCGCATGGTACATGATGCGTGTGGAGAGAGGGGAAGAGGAGGGAGCAGTCCTCCGACATTCCGGGTTGCATGCATTCCCATTGTGGCTTGTACTGTGGCGAGTGCGACACCACCGTTGGATCTAGGTGTGTGCATGGCTGGTCAGGAAATGCGTGCGGGAGTGAAAGGGGCGATTGTTGGGTTGCAACTCTAGCTCATCGCACGCATGTGCCAACAAGACCCACCCGTCCACGGCTCATCACACCGCGGTTGGCAGTAGTTGCCGCTCTGGATGTTGGCGACCTTTTGCTCAACAAAATTTGGAGGCAGCGCGAATTGGTATGGGGACTTGTTGTCAACCGTGCCCGCACGAAGGGCGGGCGTCTTGGCAGCGGACGGGACGAACAGCACCTGGGTATGGGGGCGATGAAAGGGTTTTGGGGAGGGCATAAATTGCGGCAACACGTGGCTGCCAAATGCGGGTGGTCCGGGTACTAGGATGGGGCAGAGCGGGTTATGATGGGGCTGACGCTGCGCCTGTTCATTAGGTATAAGCGCATTTACCAGGTCATCTACACCGTAGGCAGGCAGATAGCTCCCAACTTCATTGTTCCCAGCTGCAAGCGCAAGTTGCTGTCCGACGATCGGCAATAGCGACGAACCCATGGCCACGCTGAATAGGAGCTCCCGGCGCGTCGTAGCGCTATCTGTTCTATGGTCAAGCCTATGAGTTTGAGTGGCTTGTTTTACAGGGACAGCGGCTGTGACAACGTTGTGTCCCCTGACCGAGCAGTCGCTTCGCGCTCGTGCACAACGAACTGAGCCGCGGCCACGCAGAGCTTCTAAGTGCGCTTGCATTGTTAAGAAAGAGCGACCAACAGTATCAGAAAGCGACCAACAGTGAAAGCTTACACCCTAGCTATGTGTGGAACACGAGCGACTGGAGCTCACGATTGATCTTGCAAGAGATTAACTCATACAATAGTATAGTACTTATGAAAAACTAAGTTCATACCGTTCGCAACCGCACGACCTGAATGGGCGCGACTACGTGTGGTGCAAGTGAACACCAGACATGAAACGGTTATCCAATGAACTACAGATGATCAGCGATGCCAAATTTTGGTAGGAATAGCCTAAACCAACCCAGCCAGCAGGCTGAAACTATGTAGACCAGACTCTTATGCCTTAGTAAGCGCATGCAATTCCACCTTGACCACCTCCTATACCGTCTTGCACAATGCATCCTCCGGTCCAGCGAGCTGCTTAGCTCCAACCGAGGCCTTATATGACAGTGCGGCCAATAACAGCCCAATCAGCCCCACTCCGCCCTGCCATGCCATGGTCAGCCGGCCCTTGTTGACTGCAGGGTGCGGCAGCGCCAGCTCAATCGTGACCAGCGCCAGCAGCCAGGTAATGACACCAAGCTGACGGTGCAGCGCCTTAATGCGTGGGTGCCAGCGCTCGGGGAAACGCTGGATAATGCCCATCCGCCGGAAGCTGACCAGTCCCCACACCGGCATCAGCAGGCTCAGCACCAGCGTGGCGAGACCGAACTGCGCGGGAGACGCCGAGGTTGGGAGGAAGGTTTGAAGGTTTTCAACGGCGCAAGGAAGGGATGCGATCCAAGGGGGAAATTGGCGGCATCCGGCGAACACACAGGCGCTATTGGTTGCATGGATGGCCGCACGGCAGAATAGTGACATTCAGACCCCTGACGTCAAGCAGACACAGCATTGCAGGGTGTCTGCAGTGGCAGGGCGAGGCCGTGCCTGGGATCGAAGAGTTCACACGCTGTGTGTCTTCTCTGGTCCTTGCATGTGCGCATGCTGTTGCTACTGCTCGACTGTTGCACCTGCAACCTACCTTTGCATGCGGTGTCATGAAGTGCGACTTGCCCAACAGGATCTGCGAGGGAGGCCAAACGAGGGACCGCCGTTGGTGTCTCAGGAACTGGCAAAGGCTGTGACAATGCTAAGTTATGGCGCAAGCAGGCAGGCTTGACTATCGCGTCCCTAACCCCGAAAGACTTCAACGGTGAACACGATTTGGTGGCTTGCAGCTTCCTACGAGATTAACCCGAGCGCACATGGACACTTACCTTATTACGGTAGATCACGCCAAAGCCAATGATGATACATACTACGGCCCTCAATTGCAGAAGTGCATGGCTCCAGATAGCCTTAACACGCTCCGCTCCTTCGATTTGCCTGAAGTGGATCGCTGCGATCAGCCCCTCGGTCATGAAGACGATGTAGCCAATGCTCTGTGGCAATGGGTGGGTGAAAAAAACGTAACCAGTCGAGCGGCTGTTGCAGGTATGTCGGGATGGCAACCTGCTGCTTATACATAACCCTCCTTCCGTCGTACCATGAGGGCTGGATGCCATGAGAATAGCGAGTTGTCGAACAACACGAAGGCGACGCTGAGAGCTACGCATGCGACGGTAACATGAAGGGCCAGCGTTAACCGGCTGATTGTGCGCTGCTGAGGCGTCTTGCTGCTGACGCCCGGGACCGCTGCTGGCACTGCTGCGGCCTGCTGAGGTGCCCTACTGCTCCCGGTGTACATCCTTGCGAACACTTCAGCTTCTCAGAGGATGAATACCACGCAAGCTTTTAAATTGATCTCTGCCTACTCCAGGAGATGGGCGTTTGCCTTGGGTATGGTGCAGTTTTAATCACTTCTTGGCGCCTGCAGAGCTGTCTCACGATATTGCTTTCGGATATCCTCCTAGCCTGCGGGCTCCTAAGCGATATGCACCGGTACGCATTACGTTTCCTACACTCTTCAACATTAAAGCAGGGGACTTCCACGTCTTCGGGGGGCCACAATGTGCAAATTGTCGTACCATAGCAATGAACTTAATCCGCCCTGACCTCCGCTGGAGAAAAGAAGCGTGCTTTTTATAGAAGTAGTTTACGGGGGGCTTAGGCTGGACCTCAACAGGCCTGACGTCCTTACTGTGGACAACCACGCGTCACCAAAGCGCATCGAGATCCACTTTTCCTGCATTGCTTACTTACCTGTACAGATAGAGGCTCAACACCTAATTGGGTAGTTGTGGCTCCTCTCAAGAAGGTCTCCACTAGATTGACCCTTACCTTCCCTCGCTGAGGCCTCCAGTGAACCATGGGTGAGATACCTACGGGGTTGATGAGTGGGCAGAAAGGCAGTGTCTGTTCCTTAAGGAACTTGCTTCCCGGCCGCCTGTATTAGGCAACACTCAGCTACCGTCATTACCGTGCGAATACAGGCATTCCCAAGTTTTATCGATGGCTCTCGGAGCGGTATCCACTATTGAATCAGAAGCTTACGTTGACGGAGGGTCCACCCGAGATCGACAACCTGTATTTGGACATGAACGGCATTATTCACAACTGCACGCACGCCAACCGCAAGGACATTGGCAGCGTGACGGAGGAGGACATGATGCTAAAGGTCTTTGATTACCTGGAGAAATTGATTCAGATTGTTCGACCCCAGAAGTTGCTCTTCATGGCCATAGATGGTAGGTGGACTGTCATAGCCCGGGCTCACCCCCGTCAGCCCCGTCCGTAGTTGCTGAGGGCAAAGGCTGGGCCAGAAGACGTATAGAAAGGGGACCGCAACTGGGGCAAGAGTTCACTTATATATGCTTTGTTTGTACCAGGTGTTGCGCCCCGTGCTAAGATGAACCAGCAGCGGTCCCGGCGCTTCAAATCGGCCATGGAACGGTTGAAGGTGCGTTATGGCCATTGGTTAAACCTGGAAGCTCGGAAGCTCTTGCATGGTGACATGGATTCCTGACGCAGCATCATGCTTAGAGCCTGTTGGCTTTCAGTATCCCAGAGGACCACTTCTGGTAGTAGAGCAAACCCTGCATTGCACGTTATTGCTGTTCACAGAATGAGGAGGAGCAGCGCCGCAAGGGCGAGGTGGTTCCGGAGGATGCCTTCGATTCCAACTGCATCACCCCCGGCACGGAGTTCATGGCCCGGCTGGGCAAGCACCTGCGCTTCTTCATCCGCCGCAAGATGGCGGAGGACCCGCTGTGGCAGAAGCCCAACGTGGTCTTCTCAGGTGAGCGGGGAGCGGGGAAGAAGGTACCGACAGCCCGGTGTCTCTGGGGTGTCGTCGTTTGCCGCTATCATGACGTGCATGCCAGTCCATGGGTGCCCCTAGCTCCTGCCATCCCGGCATGGACCCCCCAAACATCCCTTTCTACATGTATGCCATCGTAACTCACTTCCTCATGCGATGGCTACTCAACCACGAATCACGGCGCCTCCAGGACACGAGGTGCCCGGCGAGGGCGAGCACAAGATCATGGAGTACATTCGGTGGGAGAAGCGGCAGCCCACCTACCAGCCCAACCAGCGCCACTGCATGTACGGCCTGGACGCGGACCTCGTCATGCTGTCGCTGGTGACGCACGAGCCGCACTTTTGCCTGCTGCGCGAGGTGGTGTCGTACACGGGCAGCAACCGCGGGCAGCCGGCGCGCGAGGTGCTGGACAACCCCTGCGCGGAGAACTTCATCCTGTTCCAGATTGGGTGCGTTATGGGTCGCGACAATGCGTCCCGTTGGGATGCATACGTATCTCTTTGTTGGACGGGTTTATGCTGGCCAAGTAATAGATTATGCATGACCTACCACGGTGTGTTTCTCTAATCGTCCACCTGGGATTCGGCGTGGCTGTTGGGGAGGCAAAGCTGACATGAAGCGTCGGGCTACCGTACAGGTTACTCCGCGAGTACTTTGAGCTGGAGTTTGGCACCCTGAAGCTGCCCTTCCCGCTGGACCTGGAGCGCGTGGTGGACGACTACGTGCTGCTGTGCATGCTGGTCGGCAACGACTTCCTGCCTGGTGCGGTGGCGATTGCGGCGTCCTTGTGGGCAGCCATGTTGACACCCATGCACACGCTGATTATAATGATGACGATGATGCGGTGCCCAAATGTCGTGCGCTTTTTCATGGAAAAGGCCCTTGCGTGCTGCGCTTCCCGATTGCATCACCTTTTGCATTCCGTGCACTCTCCAGCATTACCGTGCACTCTCCAGCATTACCGAAACCACCCTGCTTTACCCCCCGTGCCCCCCCCCCCGCCACAGCTCTGCCGACTCTGGACATTGCGGAGGGCGCGCTGAACCGGCTGATGGACCTGTACAAGGAGCTGCTGCCCTCGCTGGGCGGCTACCTCACCTACGCGGGGGACCTGGACCGGCGGCGGCTGGAGCGGGTGCTGGAGCGCATCGGACAGATGGAGCTGCAGACGCTGGAGGAGCGCGCGCAGGTAACAACTCGCAGCAGGACTTGGGGCCTTGGGGTAGCAACACCTCTGTCGGGGATAGGCAGGAGTCGGGACTCTTGTCTATCCCCGACTCCTGTCTTCTGGGGATAGACAGACGTGGGGCCTTGGTCCCGAGGCGAGCTGCGGCAGGAGTCGACAGGACGTATGGGCGATGTTCTTCCTCTTGAACTGCTGCATGCCCTGGCCATGTGGATTTTGGTGCTGTGTGTCGCGTTTCGTGTGGACTGAACAGTCATTAAACCACCGGTGTACCACCCCACCCTGACAGGATGCGGAATACATGGAGGGCAAGCGCGCCAAGCGCAACGCCCGCATGAACGGCGGCATGCAGCTGGACGAGGTGGATGCGGCCATGGTGGCGCTGGCGGGGGGGCGGCGGCCAGCAGCAGCAGCAGGGCGGGCAGCGCGGGCCAACATCCTGAACGAGGCGCTGGAGCCGGAGGCGGCGGCGGGCCCGAGTCCGGGCGCCAAGGCGGCGGCGGCGCAGGGTCCCACCATGATGAGCCGGGAGGCGCGGCAGATGATGATGGCAGGGCTGGGCGAGCAGGGGCTGGAGATGTGGAAGGTGCGGGTGGATGGGCGGGCGGAGTGCCTCTGGGCGGAGGAGGGATGGAGCACGGCCGGAAGCGTTCAGCAGTGCTCGTACTATGCTACTTGCTGTACAATGATCTGGCAGCAGTATGCGATCAGTATGTACCTAACGGTAGCGATTGCATGGGAGCTCTGCTGCTGGAGGCCCTGTTGGCTAAGATGCTCCCCTAAGTTACGTGTGCTGTACTGCTCCGTGCCCTCCCACCCCCAGGACCGCTACTACAACGACAAGCTGCAAGCGGGCAGCCCGGAGGACCGGCGGCAGGTGGCGGAGCACTACATCGCAGGGCTGCACTGGGTGCTGGAGTATTACTACCGCGGCGTGGCGTCATGGGACTGGTACTACCCCTACCACTACTCGCCCATGGCGTCGGACCTAACAAACCTGGAAAGCATACAGGTAAGCGAGTCGCGAGTCGAAGAGGGTCTGGCCCCTTGCGTCAGGTGAAAAAACACGAAGACGGCGCCTGCTTGCCTGGCCCTCGATTAGTCACTGCTTAGCTGCTGGGTCCGGGTAGTAATGACTGGCTTGGATGGCCTCCTTCCTCCTTGGGTGCTTTTTTTCGGAGAGCGCTGTAGAGGACCCAGAAGCTTCCAACCGTACCTATTCCTCGCTTCCTCCCTGGTCACCACCCTCCCCGCCCAGGTTGCGTTTGCCCAGGGCACTCCCTTCAAGCCCTTCGAGCAGCTGCTGGCGGTGCTGCCGGCCGCCAGCTGCAAGCTGCTGCCGCCCGCCTTCCGCGTGCTCATGACGGAGCCGGAGTCACCCATCATCGACTTCTACCCCGCAACATTCGAGGTAGGGTAGCGGCGCATGCTGGAGGGCTTGCAGACAAGGGAGCTGCGTCTGCAGTGCTGAACCACTGTGTAGAGCTCAACATTTGTGGCTTTGTACTTTGCCTGCCAAACATGAGTGGCTACTTGGTGTCTGATTGCAGGTGGACATGGAGGGAAAGCGTGCGGACTGGGAGGGCGTCGTCCTGGTGCCCTTCGTAGATGAGGTAAGGGACGCCGTGAACCACATCTTCCGGAAATGCGGCTACTCTTGACATGCAGAATGTTTCTCGATACTGCGTCTGGTTGATGCCCTTGACGAATGAAAGTTGTTGCACTCAATACACTAGCGGCTAGTACGGCACCAACCCTCTTTCTTATTGCACCCTGCAGGCTCGCCTGCTGCAGGCGGTTCGGTCCATCCGCACCGCCCTGCTGTCGGCTGAGGAGCTGGCGCGCAACCAGCTGGGGCAGATCCAGGTGGGGCCGCGGAGGGCAGGCGGGTGGCCTGGCAGGGGTGGGAACGCTGGTTGCTTGGCCCACAGTGACTTCCAAGTTTTAACCTGTGTTGCTTATGTATTGGCTGGCTGTGCCTTGGCCTTAACCTTATACGTGCACCCCCACCCCCGAAACCTGCGCGCAGATCTTCCAGTACAACAGGAATGCCTCGGAGGCGGCTTACTGCATTTCCACGATGCCAAAGCACTTCCGGGACCTCAAGGTCTGCCACAGCCGCTGCCTGGAGCGACCTCCGCCGCCTCCCCTGCCGGCTGGCGGGAAGGGCTTCACGCCGGCGCTGGTTCCCGGCACTCGTGTGGGGCTGTCGACACCGCCGGGCATGCCAACCCTCAAGTCACTGCAGGTGCGCTGCGGCTGCTGCAACCAGCCATAAACCACCATGCCGGTACTCCCCACCTGAAATTCTTCAACGTCAGAACGCTGCTGTTACATTAAAGGGTAGAGTCTGTCCTTATTTATCCATGTCACGTCCACTAACCGTGCACCTCAACCCTGCCTACTTTGTTTACCTCGTAGGTCCGCCCCACGCTCCGTAACGCGGGTGTGAACGTGCTCGGCACCCCCAGCCGCAAGGAGAGCCTGGTGCTGGCGCTCAAGGACTTGCGCGAGGCGCTGGGCGGCGCGGTGCTGAGTGCCGAGCAGGTGGCCAAGTCGGGGCTGCTGGGCTCGCGCGCCTACATCAACTGGCCCTACCTGCAGGAGGCGCGTGTGGTGCGTGTGTCGGATCGCGAGGGGCAGGCCTCGTACGACAGCAAGGGCGCGCTCAAGGTGCAGAAGTGGCAGCAGTTTGAGGCGCAGCGCTGGGACACGGATGCGGGGCAGCTGGCAAACACGTTCCTGACGCGGTGTGGGATTGATGTGGGCAAGGTTGACCTCGTGGTGAGTAGGGTGGGAGCCTGGGAGGTAAAGGATACTGAAAGTCGGCACCTGCTGCTGCTAATGTGTCAGGGCATTATAGGTTTATAGGTTTTGCAGCAGGGAAGGCGTGTAATGCGGTTCTCGTTTCTCACTTGTTCCAACCAGCTGGCTTGTCATGCGTCCATGTGTCGCGTTGTTCATCCAGGTGGGTGTCAAGGTGTGTTTGGGCTACATCCGACACAGCGACGGCACCATCGAAAAGACCTACTCCAAGGACGAGGTGCAGGTGCCGCTGCAGGCAAGTGACAGGGCTGCGGGGTGGTGTGGGTGTAACTGAATCTGTTGACTGTCATCTCCATCCTCAATGGGGCCTGCGCACTGCCTGCACATGAAGCCCCGGTTCTCCAGCTCTTGGGTCACCTGCTTCTTGGGCGTCTACATGTTTTTAGTATGGCCACAACTTTGGTATTTGTTAACCACTTGTGGTGTCTTCCTGCTCGCAGGCGGTGGTTCGTCAGCGGCCCCAGGCGGCTGGTGGCGTGGCGGTGGCCGAGGACACGCCCGGGTTCACCGATTTGTTCGAGGGCATGCAGGTGAGATGTGCCGGCGACTACACCTCTACAGCACCCTTAGAGTCATAGCGTAACTGCACTTAAGCTAAGTTCTAAAACGCACACCTACGCACTGTGCATGCGCACGCACGTAAAAGCGAACTCCATACTGAGAGGTCTGAGACGCGGCGCTGTGCCTCATGCCCCGTCCCCCCTGCCCCCACCCCCGCCTCGCAGGTTGTGTTCCTGGGCAAGCACCACTACGGCTGCCTGGCCACCGTGCTGCCGGACCTGGGCAAGGGCCTCAGCAGGCAGCAGCAGCAGGGCGGCAAGCAGGCCAAGCAGGGCGCGGCGGCAGCCAATGGCCACTACCGCCTGCTGGTGCAGCCGGTCTCGGAACAGGTACGTGGCAGCAAACAACGAGCTAGACGTCAGCGGAAATCACTTGGAAGTCCTGGGGGGTTTGGCGACGGTTCGTGTTACGCCGTCGCCACGGCTTGAGTCCGAGTGGGGAGATGGCCCTAGGCGACCGGGGCTCCGTTCCTAGCCAACATGAGAAATCTCTGTATGCGGCCGCCTGCGTGTGCAGATTGGCTTGCAAGCCCTTCGCTCCGCCAAGCGGGTGGTGGAGGGCTTCGCAGTCAAGTACTACAGCAGCGGGGAGGTGGCGTCCCGAGTGGGTGTGACGCCTCGGCTGCTGGGGCGGATTACCGGCAACATGTGGGCGCGCGACGGTGAGAAGGCCCCGCGGATGCCCCAGCCAGGGGTATCCTTGCTGTCATCACTCGCCGGGTGTTAGGTTTCATAGGCCTCTGCACAGGATGCTTGACTACGACCATGTAGCTGTGCATTCCCCTTTCCTCGTTCATGTAGCTGGATCCCCCATCCATTGCATCCGTGTGACTAAGCACTGGTAGCCTCGAGGCTCACCTCCCTCTGACTCTCTGCTTGCCTGCTGCTGTTGCACATGCAGGTGATGATCGTTACGATCTGGGTCTGGCCATCAAGACCTCCGCGCGGGACGTGTGCGTGCCGGGCTTCAGCCAGCCCACGGACGACGGCAACGGCTGGAAGTACTCGGCGGCCGTGATCACCATCCTGCAGGAGTACCGGACCAAGTACCCCTGGCTCTGGGCGTTCCTGCTCAAGTCGGAAAGCGAGAATGCAGGCAAGTTCAGCCCCTCATTCCGTCCTCCCTCGCAGGTTGCCCGCTAACGCTCTTGACGGTTACCATTATGCCATCAGCTCACCATCAAATCATCGGCCTGTAGGGGACCCTGACTCTTGACTACGTGTGTTTCTCACAGTGTCCTTGGCCCTCCTGGCTCGTACGGACACACTGTCTACGCGTACAGACTGGAAACCGTAACTGCACCACCCACTCGCGCCCCATGCACAGGCCCGGGTGACATGCGGCTGGATTCGATGCTGCCGGGCACCACCCCCGCTCAGCGCAAGGACAAGGTGCGCGATGTGACGGAGTGGATCAAGTCCACGCCGCTGGCCAAGCGCCCGCTGGTCAAGCTGGGCGTGCAGGTGCTGTCGGACGAGGGGGTGCGGGCGCTGCAGACCACGGTGGCGCCCATCCCCTCGCGCCCGCCGCCGGCTGCGGAGTACGAGAACGTGCCGCCTGCGCTCATCCTGCCGCCGTACACGCCGGGCGCGGACCAGGTGGGGCGGTTGCTGTGATACCGGATAAAGGTTTATGCGGACGCAGTGTCTTAGAAGCTTTTGCCGCGGGCCCCAAGGCGAGAATAAAGGGCACCGTTACCGGTACCAAGTTACCTTGGCCATCTTTATTAACCTGGAGGACTCTCCGTCGTGCAGGTCAAGTTTGCCGTCCAGGGCGGCAGTTTCGAGTTGGGCGACCGCGTGGTGTGCGTCAGCGGCAAGGGCTCCCCTCCGTACGGCATCCGCGGTACCGTCATTGGTGAGTTCCACTCGCTTGGCAGGTTGGCACCAGGGGGGCAGTGCCGAGAAGATCCCGATGTGTACAGGGTACTGTCCTGAGCTCCTGACAGCTTACCGGTATGCCGGGAGTCTTCAGTTCCGCAGACGTTTTACCGTCAAGCTGCAGCTTTCCTTACGCACCATCCTGCGCTGCCCTCCTGTAACGGCATGATGTTGCAGGCGTGTACGAGGAGGCTTGCGAGGTGGTGTTTGATGAGGAGTTTGGCGGCGGCAGCAACCTGAACGGTCGCGTCAACGGCAAGTGCGGCGCCTTTGTGCCCAAGGACCTGCTGCTCTGTGTCAACAAGCCAGCCGACATTGCGCTGGCCCGGCACCAGGTCCCGCGCCAGCAGGGCAGGCAGTCCGCGCAGGCGCCAGGGGCTGCCGCGGGGGCCGCCGCAGCGGCAAGGCAGGCCGCCGATGCTGCATCCAAGGCCGCGTTGAAGGCGGCTCAGGGGCCGTCGGGGCCGAAGCCATGCGTTCCCGCCTCGGTGGCGGTGACGGCGCCCGTTTCGCCGCCGGTGCCCTCCTCCAAGCTGCTCGGTGCGGCCATGCGGGCCAATTCGGCGCAGCCGGGCGCCGGCCAGCAGCAGGAGCCATCATCACAGCAGCAGCAGCAGCAGCCGCAAGGCACTGGGGAGGTTGGTGCGAGCGCGGGGAAGGCACTGCTTGAGAAGCTAACGTCTGGCTCTAGCCGGCGCGGCATGGCGGTGCAAGGAGGCGCCGCGGCGGAGGCGGCTGGAAACGGAGAGGCTGCGGCTGCCCCTGAAGCGGCTGCTGCTGCCGCCGCAGCTGCAGCGGCTGCCGCTGGCTCGTTGGCCCAGCTGAAAAAGCTCGTGCCGAACGCGCGCGTTGGCCCGCCGGCACCCAATGCGGCCCCGCCTAACTCAGCAGCCCCGCCGCCGCCTGCTCAGCAGCAGCCTCAGCCTCAGGCACCGCCGGCAGCACAGAGGGCACAGCCCATGCCGCCGCCGCAGTACAGCTCAGCACCACCGCAGTTCCAGCCGCCGCCGGGTGCATACCCGCCAGGCGGCATGATGATGGGGCAGCCGCCAATGCCCCCGCCCCCGCCCGGCGTCTTCCCGCCATACATGTACCCGCCTTACCCACCCATGGGCGGTCCTGGCGGCCCTCCCATGCCCATGCCGATGCAGGTCCCGGTTGGCATGATGGGACCGCCTCCGCCCGGAGTTCCGGGCCACATGATGGGCGGTGCACCGTTCCCGATGCCACCGCCTTACATGATGCCACCGGGGCCCCAGCCCCCGATGCCACCACCGCAGCAGCAGCAGCAGCAGCCGGCCCCAGTCCGTAACAATGTGCAGCAGCAGCAGCCGCGTGGCCCTGGACCCATGGGTCGTGGTCAGGGCCGTGGTCCGCAGAACGGCGCGCAGCCGCATGCAGGAGGGGGTCAGGGCCGTGGCAGGTCCGCCGGGAAGCCTGCGAACGGTGCACCTGCCGGCCAGGGGACCGGCCAGTCCCCGGCTGCACCCCAGGACAAAGCCAAGCCCACGGGAGCACCTAGTAGCACGAAGGCACCTGCGCGGCCGGCACCCGCCTCGCACCCTATTGACGTCGACGTCTCGCAGAGCATTGGCGAGGGGGATGAGGCGATGGCGGGGCTTGTGCGACGCCTGAAGGAGAGTGCTGCGGAGGCAGCGGCGGCAGCACCGGCAGCAACCGCGGGATCGGCGGCCTCTCGGAACCAGGCGGGCGCTGCAGCCGCCGCCAGCCCTGCACGCGTTGCGGGTACTGAGGACGAGAAGCGGTCGGGGATTGCTCTGGGCAAGAGCGCGAGGCTTCCGGACGCTTCTGGCCGCGGTTTCCGAGGCCGCGGCCGGGCTGTGCCGCCGCCTTCAGGTGCCGTGGCCGAACCTGCAGCCCCGGGTAGCCTGGCCGCCGCTCCCAGCCCCCTGGTCTCGGAGGTTGCCGCTGCGGAGGTGAGCATGGGTCGCTTGTCCTTGGACGGTGTGCTGGCCGGACAGTCACTGCTGCGGTCGCTGAAGGGCGCAGGAGCTGCGGCTCCGGCTGCGACGGATGCCGGTGGCTCTTCAGTGAGCGCAGGGGGTGTGTCAGCGGCGGCGCCTCCTCCCAACCCCGGGGCGGTTCTGCTGCGGCAGCTGAAGGGTGGCGGCGGCGTTAGCGAGGCTGACGCCGCTCTGAAGACGCAGTCGCTGGATAGCGGCACTGAGTTGCTGAAGGCGCTGAAGCAGAACGCCGCGCCTTGAGCGTGTGGTCGTGGGCGGGTTGGCGCTGATGTGTACAAAAAGCGAAGCTTTTGCTCATTTCTTTCTTTTCAAAGAGGACGAGATGGGGAAGCATTGTTATGTTGTGCATTTTGCTGTGTAACGTGTCCATACCTTGTACGAAGAAGCTTTGTCGGCGGGCGCCGCTGTATTCGAAGATTGGAACGGACCGTTAATGGCTGTAGCGCTCCTGTTTGGTGGCAAACCCTTCGCTGATGCAGCTCTGCTGTGTGCATTTTTCGACTGCTACACATAATAAGGTGTGGAACTGACAACTGGAGGTATCTATGTTGGGCTTCACTTGTCGTATTTGGGCATCAGTGCCTCAAGTATGGTATGCTTACAGCTTGTGTCGTAACCCATATAGCAGCTAGTCATGCATTTACCGTATGTGTTGAGTTATACCTAAGAGATACGTTACAGCGTCATTCTTAACGTTTCTTGTTTAATGTGTGTGTAGGTTCGAGTTGTGCGCCCAATTCTTCATTCCTTGGATTGCTGCTGCGGTTGTGCCATTGACGATTGCCTTGGTTAGACCTGCTACAAAGACTCGTTCTTCCCCTTCATTCAGTTGTTTCCCATAGCTGTTTTAGAGTGCAAGGCGGGTATGTAAGGACCTAACAGGTTAAGCGTTCTGGCGCGACTGACAGTAGATGCAATTTTGGACTGCTTGGTACCGTTAACCGCCCGGTGGCTTGTATAGCTTGTACAGCTAATTTGCTGTTGCTGCGTTTCCTGTACGTTTTGTCGGAGGAAGAGGGCGGTGGCACGCCTTTGAAGCATCCGTTGCAGAGCTGCGTCTGCTGTCAATTTGGGCATTCCAAAGGCCGTGTCTTCTTGCATGATATGTGCAGGCAGTAACAGCGTTTGGCTGATGGGTGTGAAGCGTACTGTAATTGCTTTGCATACACTTAAGGTACTGCAATACGGCAAATGATGCTAATCAGGTGGCAATTCAGATACTGTTGCGCGGTTGGAGGGGTACCCGCATTACATACAACAATTCACGCTGTAACGACTGCCAATGGTGCCTACATTCTTCCCGGTCTACACTATCCCTGGCATTAGGAGGGCGGAGTCCTTGCCTACTAATTTGAGGCACAACGTATTGCCTAAGCGCATATCAGCGTTACCACCCATCAGATAAGAAACACATGGAGAAGAACCGCACACCTCTGTCCCACTGTCAGAGCAACTCACGCTACAGCGCACGCATTATTCCACCTTGCAGCCGCTTATACGCGCGAGCACCCAGTTGCCATGTTGGCATGCGACAGAATGAACAAATTTAATCACATACTAGGAAGATGACGACAAACCCGCAGCCCGATGCTGACAACACCGCACGACGTGTTAGCCGTTTCCGTTTTTGGAAGGACGGGTAAAGATCCGTCGGCTAAAACCCGCATCGTCAGGTAAAAACTGCATCTCGGCAACGACCCTTTTTTGTCGTACAGCAAATTCCACGTCAACCTTCTCGGTAGCAAACCAAGCCAAGTATAAATTGAAACAAGAGGTGAGAGTAACAGTTAGCATAGCGGCGAGATCTCCCCGAAGTTGGTTAGACAACCTCATCTGCTAGTCAGGAACAGCACATGCTCCTGCTTTCGATTATAAATGTATAAAGATCTAGCGCGGCATTCCGATTCACATGGAGCCATACTTACTACGAACAGTCCTCGTCAGCCCCCGGCAAAAACCAACAAGCGCCAACCGTGCCGTACTTCTTAACCCGATAATCGCCGACCTTCCCCAGGACCTTTCGCCCGATCAGGTTAGGATAAGGCCTCTGTACGCTTTCCTCATGACGGACCCATCATCAGGTATGCCTGCCCGTGGAATCCGTTCGCCCGCCCATACCCGCACACACTTGTCCCACCACCTACGATAATTTCTTTTTTAATTGACACAATCAAGGGGATACCCAGCCGCTTTTTACCTACATAGCCCTCCACGCCGAACCCACATACCATGACCCGCAGTGTTGGTCAGCTGCCCCTCATCATTCGCGCGCCAAGGCAACTAGACAACAAATTCATGCTACGGTACGGCAGAGCGATGCGCAGCAGGCAGCTACCCGACCAATACAACTAGACAGGAAGTACGACCCACAAAGGCTTTCGGTATAAGTACGGGGTAGTGGACACCGCATATGGGTGTTCGAGGTAGGGGACATTAAAGCAGCCAGCCCCCTGCGTATCCCAGGATGAAGACGAAGAAGCACGTAATGACCCCTCTTGCTTGGCGACACGGTGCCTCTCAACATGTCTAGAGATCGCTTCATGGAGAAGGGCTGGGGGGCTCTCAGGGCTTGGCGAGAGAAGGGTTTGGCGGATGCGGGCTTGGTGGAGGCGGACTGTGCTCACTACCGATTCAAACGTTTTGGCGAATTGGCAGGTGGTGGAAATAACGTCTCGCCAGGTGGTGGAAATAACGTGCGGCTCCTGATCCGGTGGTGCAAAAAGGATTCCAAAGGATACCTTCGGTTGGAAGTGCATCTCCGCCATAGCCGCAGCTAATGCAGGCATCCTAGTTGTCTCATAACCAGCCAGCCAGCCGGCCGGCTGCACAGCCCCCAGCTGCACGGCCCGCCACGCCTAGCTGCAATAGGTCTCCCAGTAGGTTGACTGGATGCGGGACTTCTCGGAGCGGCGGCGCTGCTCCGCGGCTCCAAACTTGAGCTTGAAGACATCGGGGGAGGCCTGCGCCGGAGCACACACAGCCAGCCAGTCAGCCAGCATGCCGTAGTTTCAAAGCGTGCCCGCTGTTGTCCGTCTATGTTTGCTTGACTGCACTGTTTGCAACCTCTTCAGCGCTTCTGCCGTGTTATGGGTGAACTACCTCTAGCCTCTTCCTCACCCAGCAAGACCGCCACTTACCTCGAGGAGCTCTCCCACCAGTGCCTTGTACGTGTCAAAGCTCTTCCTGAGTTGGGCCTGCAACAGCAGCAGGTAGCAGACGCACGTAGCAGGGCTCAGCAATGGAGGCTCAATGCCAGGCACGCAACAGGGCTGCCACTGTTGCGGCGTCCCGCCCGAACCCCCCAGGTCCGCACCCCGCACCCTCACCAGGTTCGCCTCCTCCGCGCCGCTCTTCTTCATCCAAGCCCAGCGCGCGTACTGCCGCGCGTAGGCGGCCATGTCCCGCCAGCCCGCACTCAGGGCCAGGTAGAAGGAGATGGCGGCGGCGCGCTGTCGCAGCACAGCGGGGCCGCGGTCTGGGGTGGGAAGACCGGCCAGGTCGTCTCGGAAGTCCCATGCATTGGCCACGTAGGCAGCCTGGCCCCTGGAGGGTGGAGGGTAACGAGGGTAATGGGCATGGGGTTGGTCGCCACGGGCTGGTATTGTCGGAGCAGTGGGAGACCATGGGGTTGGGTTAGAAGACCCCCTGGTGGTGCATGCTAGGGGTGCATACCAGGTAAGGGCGGGTGTCAGCCTTAAAGTAAAAGAAAAAGCGGGCGGTGGCTTGAGGTGAGGTGAGCGGAGAGAGGGAATGAAAAGCGAAGGTGGAGTGAGGCTACAGCGACAGAAGAGCACAGGCGGGAAGAAGGGAGGCTGCGGCTCACGCGTCGTCCAGGCCCAGGTGCTTCCTCCGCTTGGCCGCCATCTCTGGCTCCACCTTGTCCTCGTGCGCCAGCCACAAGTCCTTCTCATGCTGCTCCTGAGGGGTGGGTGGGTGGAAAAAGGAAGGATGACTAATGAGTTGAAGGAGAATGGCAAACCAGACGACAGGAAGGGGAAGGAGAAGGGTATGACACACGGGGGGCGTGTATGGATAAGACAGCCGCATGAAGTGTTGACCGTGACCGTAGCACACCATAACGTGATGACGCCGCCTGGAGTTGTTGCTGGATGTTAGATGTTGTTGGGCTTCAGCAGACGCGACAGTTCATCATGTTTTTATGGTGGCACCAGGTGGCCGTGCACTGTTTACCAACAGCACACCAACGCTACCACCACGGTCAGACCCACCCACGGGTCCGCCCCCTAGGAACACCCCCATCCTCTTTAAATCACGGTCAGGGACAGTGTTTCCGCAGCTCAGTTTACCCAATCCCCTCTAAATCCCCCTCCCACGCCATACACGCACCCTGGGCATCCATGTGGCTGGCGGCGCAGGGTCCGGACCCACCACCAGCCCCGCCAGCTGCGGCAGCGGGGCGAGTGCCTGGCCCAGCTGCCGTACCGCGGGGGGGCTGAGCACCACGGGGGCCAGCGTGAGGCGGCGCAGCGGGCAGCTCGACTGTGGGAAGGGGCGCAGCAGGTGGGGTGTGGGGAGCAGGAGGGAGGGAGGGAGGGCAGTAGGTGGTGGGGGAAACACACGAGGGAAACCAACTCCGGTTGTTAATCCGCCGAGCGCAACCCCAAAAGAACCTGGTGACTCTCAATTGATGCCCTAGGGCTTGGTGTTTTCGCAGGGGCCAGCTTGGGCTGGTTCGCTGCGCGCAGTGTTTGCAGCCAGCCCACCAGAGTAGGCCCTTACACGCCCCTCCCCGCCCCAGCCCCTCCTCCCACCTGCTGCTGCGGTGCCGGCAGCAGCTGCTCCGCCGACTCAATGTACGTCAGCTCGCTGGTGCGGATGTGCAGCTGTCGTACACTGCTGCCCCCGGGCAGACTCAGAACCAGCGACAGCAGCTCCCAACACAGCCGACCCGCGCCGCCGCCGCCGCCACCGCCGCTTGCACTGCCGCTGCCGCCACTGAACCCCTCGCCGCTTGCGGGCACGCACTTGACAAACTGGAGGAGGGGCGGTGGAATGAGGAGGGAAATGGGGTGGTGAGGTGGGTGGTAAGGTGGTGTGTGTTTTTAAGTGTGGGAGTGGCGACCAGGCAGCATGGAACGGTACCCCTACGACGAAGGATGTGCAAGGATGTGAACGCGTTATGTCAGGACACGTGGTCAGACAAGCACAACAGTATCCCTGCCGTACTGCCGTACAGCCGTACCTGCAGCACCTCTAGCGTCCGAGTGGATTGAAGTGCGGTCGCCAGCAACTGCAGGGGTCAGAGGGAGGGTGGGCGGGGAGGTGATCCGGATGGGGTCGGGAGGGAGGGAGACAGCGGGGTTGAGAGTCCCGGCACCCACACAAAGGAGGTCCCGCACAGCAGCCCAGGAGGCACTCACACAGCAGCGCAAACCCTATCCCCTGCTGCACTTTGTCATTTGTTTCGCCTCTACCCACCACTCCGCCTATGTCCCGACCCACCTGCAGGTCTTGCGGTGCCAGCACGGACTGGTGCAGACACAGCATCCGCAGCGTGCGGCTGCTCCCCACCGCAGCCCATAGCGCGGGGCGACCCGGCGACAGCCCCGACCCGCCCTCCTTCCCCTGTTGCCCCTGCCCCTGCGCCGGCTGCTGAGGCAGCGGCGGCAGCTGCAGGTGCGAGCCGACACCGCCGCCGCCGCTCATGTAGCTAGATAGCGATGAAGATTGCGACAGTCCCATTAAGCCGCCGCCGCCACCGCCGCCAGCGGAGCCCCCCGAAGCGCCGACTGGGGAGGCCAATGAGCCGCCCACCCACCCTCCGCATGGGGACGGCAGCGATAAGGACTCTGCCGCCGACGACAGATGGCCGTTCTGGCTGGTGCGCGGGCTGCGTAGCAGCGGCGGTACCATCGTCGGCGACGAGGACAGCGGCCCCGCCACCGACCTCCTCGCGTAGGCTGAGTATGCGGAGGCGCTGCCGCTGCCGCCACCACCTAGTCCTCCTGCTGCTGCTCCTCCTCGGCCTAGGGTTCCGAACAAGGAGCCTGAGGAGGGAGAGGGACTCAATGATAAGGTTGAATGCCGCGAGGAGGCTGAGGAGGAGGAGGTACCAGAGAGCGCTCCTGAGCTGGCCAGAGCGCGGGAGCCGGAAGCGCCGCCGGCGCTGGCGCCGCCGCCGGCGGCGGCCAGCGCAGCAGCTGCCTGCGCCGGACCGAAGACAGAGGTACGGCCACTGGCACAGCGCGCCGCCGCCGCCGCCACGTGCGCGGCGGTGACGCAGGACGTCAGGGTGACCGCGGCGGAGGCCAGACGGCGGCGGTGGGGGCTGGCGGCAGCGGCGCGGGCGGCGGCGCGCGCAGCGGTGGCGCTGCCGGGCCCCGAGGGCGGTACGGCAGGGCCGGCGGCGGCGCTGGGGAGGTTAAACAGGTGGCTGTTGCTAGGGCAGGCGAGGAGCTGAGGCTCGGGTGCACGGAAGTCCTCGGGTTTGGGCGCGCGCAGGCTGATCCAGAGCTCCTCCACACCGCCGCCGCCGCCACGGGAGGTGCTGCCGCCTGATGAAGATGAGGTGCTGCCGCCGCTAGAGCCACTCGCTGTGCTGCTGCTGCCGCCGCCGCCGCTGGTGTTGGGAGTGGCGGCGCATGAGGAGGAGGCGGAGGTGCCGTTGCTGCTGCCGCCGCCTCCAGCGCCTCCGGGTGGCTGTGTCACTAGGAGCTCAGCCACCGCCTGGCATACGGCGGGTGAGAGCGGCAGCCACGCCCACATCATCCGCCCCGTCTCACTCTCGGTATACTCCCGCAGCCCCGATCCGGCGCCGTCCCAACCTCGCAGCCCCGCATCGCTCAGCACCACCTCCCGCATGCGTCTCCGGCCTGCCAGCGCCAGCCCGCGCGGCCGCAGGTCGCGTAGCATCATGGAGCGCAGCACGCCCAGCATGTCGGAGTCAGAGCCGAAGCGGAAGTGTGAGGGAAGGTCCAGGATGCCGTCAGGACGCACGCAGCCGCCGACCTTGAGCAGCTCATGCAGCGCCTGAGTGTCTCCCGCGTCCACTGCGTTGGGGGTTACTGCAGCCAGCAGGGCCTCCTTCAGTCGCCTGGGAACGAGGGGGTAAGGGGGCAAAATTATTTGTATGAGAAGTGCAAACAAATAGGGTGCAAACAACTAAGAAGGGGGCAGGGAAGGCGGTGTGGGGAGGGAAAGACGTTTCTTGGTTCTGCGTTGGGAGGAGAACTGGGGATGATTGGTTTTAGGTTGCAGGAAGGGATATGGAAGCGATGGGTTCTCAGCTGCGGGTTTCAGAGCAACAAGAACCCGTCAACAGCACACGACTGTGTTCTGAGGCGTCAATGGATTGCTTGTTAGGGTTGTTACTAATGTTACCAACTTAATGGTGTTATTCTTCTCCCTCCCCGCTCACTTGCGAATGGCGTTGTTGAAGGCGGCTATCCCAATGCCCTGCTCGATGCGCGACAGGATCCACGTCTTGTCAGAGGACACGGTGGCCTGGGAGGGAGGGCGGGGTAGAAGGGGAGCACGGAGCGGAGAAGTAAGGCGGGCGGAGGGCAGCGGAAGCGGGTGAGAGAGGTACGGTAGCAGACCTGATACGCGCTTGGCGGCCAGGCAATGGCGGGCCATACACCTGCAGGGGCAGCCTTATGGGCCTGTGCCCCGGCCCGCACCCGCACCCGCAGCCTGCACCCTTGGACCCCACTGCGGCCTCACCTGCGCTGTGCGGACCTCTATGCTGTTGCTGATGGTCTATTGCGGCGACAATCAGGGCAGGGAAGGAGGGCAGGGGTTGGGACGGTTGCTTAAACAGCGGTTGTTTACAGACGCACAGGGCAGGACGAACACATGGCACTAACAAACCACGTCGAACAAGCTGCATGCATAAACTTGCTCGCCGCATGCTTCTCCGTCACGCGACCTCGCTCCGGTACCAACAACACCCTCTCGCCCCACTAGCCGCACCCTCCTTCACCATGCTTCCATCTATCCCCATTGTTTTGCGCTAACCTGTGGTTTGGTAGATCTCTGACACCCCCCCCACACGGCCAGTTTGGTTCCCACCTGCAGCGTCTGCACGCGCGTGTCCTTGCTGTCTTTCACGTCCACCACCACCTCGAAACCCACACCTGCGCAGGGGTTTTAAGGGTGTTTAAGAATCGCAACTCACTGCATGGCATATGTCATAGTCGCCATTGCGCCCATGCCTACTGTGCGTGTGGCTACAGCGCTGCCCATCCGGCCACCCCAGCCAGGCAGCCCCCACACCGCACATGTGGCCCCCTGCGCCTACCCATCCCTGCACTTGTGCACTCTTTCACCCTTGCATTCACCCACCACCCACCACCCATTATCCCACCACCCCACCCCCACCACCCCTACCATACCCACCCGGCGCCTGGATGGCCGTGAGCGCCTCAAACAGGCACCACACCCGCGTGGGTGCGATGGGGCTGCGCCACCTGCGGGAAGGAAGCCATGCGGGGCGGACAGGCGGCAGCAGCAGCACAGCAGCAGCGGCAGGTCAGCAACACATAGGCGCCTCAGGCAGCAGCAAAGCAGACGCAAACCAAATACAGCGGGGGAGGGGGCATGCAACACACACCCGCACTGCCTGCAGCACACATCACCACCACCACAGCGTGCCAGCACACCCCAGGTACGGCAGCGGCAGCGGTGGGCACTCACGGGTGCATGGTGAAGAGCACCGCTCGCGAGCAGCGGATGACGCCTGAGGTGGAGGCCGGGAGGGTCGAGGGGAGGCTCGAGTTGGTGTCAGGGAGCCCAGATGCTAGGAGGAGCTAGGAGGAGGCGGGTATGGGGCATTAGCCAATCAGGCGGCAAGAGGAAGAGAGAGGCAACGGGGAAGCAGCCACCGGTAGAACAGGTTGCCTCCTAAGTGTGCAGTGGTGCAGTGCAGTTAGTCCGCTGTATGCCCCCTGCTGACCCCTGCTGCACCCGCTGGTGTGGGGTTGAGGTGGTGCTCAACAGGGCGGCTGTGGCAGTGCCGAGTCGGTAGGTGCAGCCGGGCGAGCACCCCCCTCACGTGCGCCTCCCGCACTGCACCGCGCTGCATACACAAGGTGTGGTGTAACCCGGGAGCCTGCAACCCCACCTGGGAAGTCGCTGTCCGGGTGATCCTTGAAGTCGCCGGAAAAGTGCTGCGGGGGTTGAAGGTGGTGTGGGGTGATGTGGCGCAGGGAAAGGTAAACGCCGCAATACGATATGTGGGAAAAGTGATAAATTTATCGGAAACTGTATTGTGACAGCCAGCAAGGCACCCTGGGTTGGTTTGGCGTTTCTGCCCGCATCCTTCACCGCACAACCCCGGTTTTCTCCCAGCAACTCACTCTCCGCCCCGCCCCCTGCCCCCCGCCAACCACTCTCCGCCCCAGCCTGCAGCCCCCGCTAACCACTCTCCGCCCCAGCCCCCACCACCCCCGCCAACCACTCTCCACCCCAGCCCCCACCACCCCCGCCAATCCGTACCTGCCGTACGGCCAGGATGTCCACCCAGTAGTACACCGGCAGGAACTTGGCGCCCCCCTTGGTGCCGGGCAGCTGCGCGTAGTGGTTCTCCAGCATGGACACGAGCGCCTCGAACTTGTAGCTCCAGGCATGGCTCACGAAGTAGCGGGTGGGGCCGAAGGCCTGCGGAAGCAGCAGCAGCAGGTGCGGGAGGGAGAGGGAAGGGAGAGGGGACAGCAGCGTGAGGCACAGCACGGCAGGGAGTGTTGGTGTGCTGAAGGGCATGCGGCATTCGTGCATGTATGCATCCCATGTGAAATCGGCAGGAGTTAGTTGGGCCCCCTGGGCGCTGCATGGCGACATTGGGGAGGGCCCGGCTCGCGACAATGCGCGTATGTGAGGCAGGTCGGCAGCTGCGGGTGAGCGGTGGCCTGGTTGACACCCTCTCACCTGCTGTTGCATGCCATCCCCGTCGCGGATAGTGCCCGAGCTGCACCACGATAGCGCGAATTTGGACGGAATGTGCCCTTCCAGGATACATTCCGCGAGGCTGCTCTTGTGTTGTTGCGTCGCCGGACGGACAAAAAGCTGAACGACCTGTGGGTGATTTGGCAATATAATAGTTATTATGAGTATGATGTGAAAGTTGCTTAGGAAAACAGCAACATAACGACCTCAGCTATCCTGCTTATACTGTGGCTAGGCAAATGCCAACTGTGTCGGTTTGCCCCTACCTGAGCTGTCGTTAATTCCCCTAGACATCCTGATACACCAGGTGCTTTCTCATTCGCTAGCCTCCTCAGGAAAAGAGGATGCACCGCGCGCCGCGGCAGAGGTACCGAGGCCATCCTCGATTGCGCGAGCTCACGGCAAATTTATCACTATTTAAGGACTACTCAGGCAGCAGTGTTGTGTATTAGGCTCACGCGACGGTTCACGTCGCTTCCCGTTAACACATCCAGCAGTCCTGCAGTCAGAACGTCGTCGCAGTGCCAGTGTTTCCGGTTATAAATCGATACTTACAAACTAACCAGGTCTAAGCCTAGGGCAAAGGGATATAGGAAAGGCTTCATAGACAAGCGCCACGGAAAGCGCATTACACAGAAGGAAGCACTGTCAAAGTCGATAACTTGCATAATACAGCCACAACTCAATAACTACAAATATTATTTCATAAATTGTTTATTCCGTCCGCTGGGATAGACAAACTTAGGTACGGTGTGTACGTACCTTACCCTCGCAACGAAGCTGAACTCTTCGCTGTATGTCATAATTTAACTCAGTACTATGTAAGGTAACGCACGAGAAGTCGGTCGCAGTCAGTGACTACCGGCACCTAGCTTGCTATGATGCGAAAGCGAGTTGCGAAAGGCTAGCGCAGGACGTTGCCGAGCGTAAAATACTTATACTACTAGTTTATGACTGAAAGAAGCGGGTTCCGCTTCAGGGTGTCTTCATTTTTTTGGTGACGGTACCGGGATGTTGCTAGGAGCTATCCCTCCATAGGCTGTGGTAAATGGCAAAGGTGCATCAGCTTTACTTCTTGTAAGCCACTCCTGCATATTACTCCTTATGCAGCGGACATAAAGGTGACGTCCACCTCCAGGCGCATTCCTAGCAGGCTTACGGCATCCACCTCAGCCAGCAGCAGCTGTCGCCAGCTGTCGCCGGTCGCATCGGCGGCGGATGCGGCGGCAATGGCTGTGGCGGCCGGGACAGCACTTCGAAGGCCTAACTAACACACCTCCAGGGCTGCCAAGTACCGGTAAGCTGACGTAGACCGGGCAAGTCCGCTGGTGCCGGACGTACGCCGCTAGGTATACCGCGCGATCGCTGAAGCCATGGCGGAGATAGTAAGGACGAGCTCGGCCCCGTCCATGTGCTGCGTGAAGCCCGAAGACCTGCTGCTGCAAGCCCGTACGCCGGAGCCTGCGGACCACTTCGGTGGAAGGTACGGCAGTGAACCTACCATGGCATGCAAGCAGGTGGGCAGCAGGCGCGGGGGACCCCTATCTACACCAAGCCGGCGGAGCATTTAACCCGTGTAGTCGTACGGCAACTTGCTGCTGCTGCGGCCCGAACCCTGACAGGAAACCGTGAGCGAGGTGGAGATGGACTGGGTAGCGTTTCAGTACCGGTGTTTGGGAGCCATTGGGAAAGTGCTGCATTACCATTGAACAAACGAATTTTCCTCGCGCGCTCTTTTCATGCAATGCCTTAGCATTGCAACTGGCCTACTTCAGGTGACAGGGTTCAAGTTTAACTATGCATGCGGGCTTCCTGATTCTGAAGCAAGTGCATTTGGTAATGCTATCCATGCAAGCACAAGTAAGCCGCCGTAGCTTTAGCCGGGTAGTCCACGCATGTATGGACGTTTTGGGATAGTTCGTTACGAGGTTTCATGGTCAGACAATCCATCGAGTCTTATTTAGGCGCTGTAAATGAAGACCTTTTTACCAGCCCCAAACGCCGCCCTTTGCTCTGCCCACGGCTTTGCTTTTGTGGACTAATTCTTGACTAGTCAACCCTTCCCATCCGTGATAACCATTAAGCCCATTCCATCCATACGCTCGCCCTTTCACCACTGACAGGGTGACAGCAGGGTCAAGCGGATGCAGGCAGATTGGTCTTTAATGTTCAATTTTTTACAATCATTTGGCGTGACTTGACAGAAGTCGTCGAATGTGTCCTGGCGAAAAGGCAATAGCTAGGAGATGGCGTAAGCACGTGCCTGCATACGTGCACTACCGGTAGTAACCTTGCAAAACGTGCGCGTAAACTTTCCGACAACAATTCGTAATAATGCCAAGACGGTGCAAAACTAAACATATTTAACTGTAAGCAGAAGATGCTTCGAGCACGCCCGAGCGATGCATTGGTGACTGTCCTCGCTCGCTAGTTTGGCTAAGATTCCAGTCAGCAAATTGTAGTACTGCTGCAGCAAAGCCTACATAAACGTGAAGGTAGCAGCAATTATTTCAGTGTTATCGTCACCGTTGTTGGAATATATCGCCCAGTAAGTTCATCTGCACCTATCCGTCTTTGAAGAGCGTACCTGCTACAGGCAAAGACCGTCGTGCTCCCGCCTTCGACATCCAAGAATGGCCAGGCGGACGGGCCACGGCGCCCCGCTGCTGCTGATGGCGGCAGTGCTGGCATCCTTCGTCGTTCTGCTGCTGCCGCTTGCGGGTAGGTGCCAGGTGACCCATGGGTCACCTAGATGCTAGGTTGCTATGGCGGTGCAGTTCTTACAAGGTTAGCGCCCCAGGAATGGGATAAGAACTACCTACTATATACAAAATACAATACATGCCATCTCCAAGTTTGCTTAGTGATTTTCCACACCTTGGACTCTACTTAACCATTTCTCCCTTTCCTTTGCCAATCCTACGCAGCTGCGGACGCCGAGAGGAGCCTCAAGGAGGCCAGCGTCTCCCTGCCGTCGGACGCGGGCTATGACGGGTGCGTTTGTACGCCCGCTTGTTTAGATCCTGCATGTCTGCCTTTGGTCCTCTTATTTAACACCATGCTCTTAGGGTGACCCGTTGCATATATGAACGCCTTCAATCTGCGTAAAGACCACCAATTGCCAATGCCCTGTCGTGGGCTGTAGCTTTCACGCCTTGGGTTGTGGGCTGTCTGCGTGCTATCCTTTCCAGCTCTCTTCGTACCTCCTGGAATGTTCCATGAGACTGGACTTTCTTCGCCCACCTTGTTGTTATCTGTGCAGGGGACGCGAGCTCCTTCAGCGCAGGAGGCGCAGCAAGGTGGGTTTCGCGGGGAACTTAGCCTACGGGTTCATAGTCTATGCATTTCTACACTATCTACGGCGGCCGTAAAGGGCAACGAGAGCATTTAAGGCGTTGCTGCTTGGTGCTTGCTAGGGGTTTTTGGGGAAAGCTTAGGAGTTAGGACACATGCTGTAGATCCGTGTGAGCTGGCGCCTTGCATACCGGTAAATGCTCCCACGTACTAATGATATGCAGGGACGCGGCCTTCTGGAGATCGTTGCTGAGCTTATCGCTGACTCCGCTGCTGACGGGTAAGCGGGTACGGGATTCGTACTCATTGGGGAGGTACCTGCTGGAGTCCTTGCATGCTTACCCAGCCGATTCCCGTTGCTTGCATGCATGCACAGCTTTGCGCACCTGTCATGTGGCGTTCTCGACTCTTCCATGCGCGTCGCAGTGTCCCAGTTACTGTGATTCCGGTGCATGGCGCCATTCTTCTTCTGTTTATGCACTGAATGGTTGTTAACGGAAAGATAGGAATGGTCGTGGCATTGGTTGGACACGTGTATACCGTGCACCGTGCGAGGTCCCTCCCTCCCTTGCGCGATATGTTCTGAATGGCTTCCCCCTCAACAACTGGCCCCACTTGTCCTCTCCCATTAACGCAGGCCCGGCCGTGCCCTGCTGGAGGACGAGAACGCCGACTGGGCCAGGTGGGTTACTTCGCGAACCGGTTGATTTTAGGGGTGGTCCATGCTTTACGTGCGTGTGGATGGGAAAGGGTACGACGCAACTGAGCAAGTGCATGCTGGCAAGGATACTTCAGCATGACAATACCATGCATTGCATCCGGGCCGTTATGCTCATGCCCAGTCTCCCAAGGCACCCGTGTATGCCCACTGGGACTAACCGCACAGCTGCATGCATGCCTGCGAGTTGCACCTTGGTTGCAGTAGCACTCGTTACGTCTGCTGCATCGTTGTGTCGAGTTCTGCTTACACCATTTGATGCACGGGTGGCAGGGGTCGTCTTCGAACGGCAGGGAAGAATTCGGCAGCAATGCATGCATGTCATGCCACATACCTTCCATGTGCACGTGCGTGGGGGAAGATCCATGGACATGCATGCATTCAACGCGCTTCATGTCTCCCTGGCTTCCTAATCCACTTTAAAACCTATAGCTATCTGCAGCACGTATTAACGCCTTCAATGGGTAATGAAAGTTGGCCTTTCTAATTACCCTTCCGGCCTCAATGCTTGCAGTGCTGGCGAGGGCGAGGGCCGTCGCAGCCTGCAGCAATGGGGCGGCGGAGGCGGCGGCCGAGGCGGCGGCGGCGGCGGATGGGGGGGCGGCGGCCGCGGCGGTGGCGGCAGCGGTGGATGGGGCGGCCGGGGCGGTGGCGGCAGCGGCGGGTATGGCGGTGGCGGCAGCGGCGGGTGGGGCGGCCGTGGCGGTGGCGGCAGCGGCGGGTACGTTTACTAGGGGTTTATGATGCAAACTGCACTTGCTTGCTTGGGAGACTTCCTGTGGGTACCTGAAACGAATTGCGTCATAATGTGTGGACGAGCGTTGCATGCCTACACTTGGTGGAATGTACCGGTACTGCTTCATTTCGCAAAAGCCCTCCTCAGCATATGTTGCGCCAGTGCAATCCATCTGTTTACTTGTTTGGCTGCTTTCCCTTGCCGTGCAGCGGCTGGGGACGTCGCCTGGCGGAGGACAACGATGCCTAAGCGGACCCAGCTTCACAGCGGACCGGGCTTCCAGAGACCCCATGCAAGGTTCCTAGGGCTGATGGTTTTGTTGTGATTTTGCTGCCTACATGCCCAGGAAATGAGACGTTGGGATCCTGATGATGCATGTGCCGTGCGCGGCCACCTGCGGTGGGCCTTGTTGTTCTGAGTTGAAGGTTGGGTTCGCTGCTGGATTTAGCCGCGCCTGCACCAGCGCTTTTTGTATGGCTTGGACATGGAGGCAGACAATTTTGGATCAGCTGTACCTATACACGCGAGTCCTGCCCCGACCTTAGTGTTTGTTTGTACATGCATGGTACATGCCTTCGGATTAGATAAACTGAGCCTTCGGATGTTCGGATTCAAATTTTCATTCCAAGTACTTGACTCCTCCTCTTTCCTTGCTGGCGGCTCCTCATTTCTCCTTGTTAGCTTTATAGTACGCTTACGAACAATGGGCATTACGTGTTGAATGGTCTGTTGCGCCTCAGTTGAGTTGCAACTGCATGGTAGCAGACGTGCTTGGTGCTTGTATCTCTTGCTTTCGGCGCACCACGCTGCTTTGGCTTACTTTTGGTCTGCTGGTCTGCACGATATGGATTGTAAACCCCAAAAAGCATGCGGACGGGTAATCTATTACCTTCATGTTGCATCCTGGGCTTCCTGCCTTCGCTTGCACCAACTCATTGTGTCGCCAATTGTCCCCAATCATCTACCAAGAGATCAGAGTCGAGGGCTACGAACAGATGAAGAGATGACCCTTTGTTTGAGAGAGAGCCTAGGAACTATGAAAAAACGCACATGTTTGCATCAGCACCTGCTTGCATGCGTGCGATAAGCGGACTGTTATCTCCTGTACACACACGCACGGTGGGATTGGGTCAAAAAGGGATGAAGCCCTCACAAGTGTGCAGCTGCAGAGCTCACCGGCAGGTGGGTGCCAGGTGACCCATGGGTCGGCCACACACGCACTACCATTGCGCAAAATCAGTTTACCAGCAAGACCAGCCAGCAACATATAAGGTATGACAGTTAAGCTCTGCCAAAGCCAGCATAGGAGGATGGCAAGGGGGCTCGGGTATACACGAGCCAACGTCTGGAAGCATGCATGTGGGCACACCCTTGTATCCTTGGCCTCATGTAGGCACACATCCTCCACATGGCCTGTTGTCCACAGTAAGCACAAGATCCTGCTCGTAACCATGCAGACCCGACCAGGAAGTCCCCGTGTGCTACAGCCTAGGCCCTGCTGCTGAACATTATCCAGTCAATCCGCTTCACTTGGCGCGCAGAAAGGTACAGCATGTGCCACGGTAGGTGCAGACAGCAACCCAGTGTCAAACAAGCTTGCGGGTTATGTTTGCCACATTGCGATTGCCCCCCCCGCTAAGCACTCCGTTCGTACTACTAGGGGTGTACTGCCCCGAAGATACGGAGACACGGAAACGCATCTACTCCTACTGCCGTACCGTGCTTGATAAGACGAGGCGGGGCGGCCACCATGCGCTGTGTCCGGAGACTGGAACGCGACCTTGGAATATTTCTACCATTCGACCCGGCACCAGGATTCGGCAGGCCTAGCCCACCAGCACTTCGTGGCCCAAGCACACCTGCACACAGTACTGGCGCCAACACCTCTGGCACCGCAGGACACACGGGAACCGACCTACATCCAAGTTCAGTACGACAGGGAAACACACAGAAGCCGAATCGACAACACTATGCTAAATAAGCCACCAGACTCATAACGCAGCAACGCATGAAGGAGGAGCATGGGAACGGGTCTGCGAATGCGGAGGACACTTCAACCACAGGCCTCTATGTGCATGGATTCCCCTGACAGCGGTTCAGCTATACCCTGCACCAGCACCCCGCCCTGACGGCCCTAGCACGAGGACAGGCTGTGGAGCACGGTATCGTAAAGCTACCAAACATTAAGAAAACAAAAGAGAGAGCACAGGCAGAAATAGAGGCCCAGCCTACCTCTGCCATAGAAGGATTGCAGGCACCCATGGAGGAGATCATGAGACTGATAAGAGCTGCAACCAAAGAGCTTGGAAGCCCGGTGAAACCCAACGGAAGCGGATGATATTATGTGCGACCTGCGCTGGAGGCCCGGAAATCCAAAGAATCGATGTAAACCAGGAAGCAGACAAGCTACAGACCGTAGTTAATTAATGTTTCCATATCCTCGCGGAGCATGCAGACAAAAAGCTAGAACTCCTGTGCAGTTCTAACAAAGCGTGCGATGCAGGCGCACCGATGGGTTCTTAGTGCGGAGGATCAGCCGAAGGGCATCCCTGCAGTACGACACCCGTCAGATGGTGTAAGAACCAACTCAGAGGGAATACTAGATGCACTACATGACCTGCACGACCTGCTCGTCCTGCTGGGCTACCCCACCGACCTACTCGACACGGTGAAGAGCCTCTACAGCACCGCCAGAACGCGCATCAAAACAGGACATGGGCAATCGAAAGGTATGCTAATAGAGCATGGGACTGTGCAGGGTGGCATTCTGTCATCCATCCTCCTTATCATCGTCCTCGAGCCCTCCTGATGAGATGGCTGCACTACGGTGGGAGGGGATACAGATACGGATGCCTCACAAACGGGGAATCGACAAAATAAAGTCGTCGAATGCATGCTACCGAAAAGGCAAGAGCTAGATAGTAGATGGCGTAAGCACGTGCCTGCGTGGGTGCACTAGTAACCTTGCATGATTTCTGCGTAAACTTCCAAACAGCAATGCTAAGGATGATGAAAAAATCATAGAATTTGTAAAAAGGAAGCTCGCGCACGCCCGAGCGATGCATTGGTCACTGTCCTCGCTAGTTCGTTGGGGCTAAGATTCTAATCAGCAAACTGCAGTACTGCTGTAGCAAAGCCTACATAAACGTGAAGGTAAACACAGGTTTCCCAGTGCTATCATCCCCACTGTTGGATTACTTTGCCCAGTAAGATCCGCACATGTCCTTCTCTTAAGAGCGTACCTGCTACAGGCAATAATCGTCGTGCTCCAGCCGTAGACATCCAAGAATGGCCAGGCGGACGGGCCACGGCGCCCCGCTGCTGCTGATGGCGGCAGTGCTGGCATCCGTCGTCGTTTTGCTGCTGCCGCTTGCGGGTAGGTGTCAGGTGACCCATGGGTCAGCTAGATGCTAGGTTGCTACGGGGGTGAAGTCCTTACAAGGTTTGCGCCCCAGGAATGGGATAAGACCTACCTACTATATACAAAATTCAATACATGCCATCTCCAAGTTTGCTTAGTGATTTCTTCCACACCTTGAACTCCTGCTAGACCATGTCTTCCTTTGCCAATGGCACGCAGCTGCGGACGCTGAGAGGAGCCTCCAGGAGGCCAGCGTCTCCCTGCCGACGGACGCGGGCTACGATGGGTGGGTTGGTACGGCCGCTTGTTTAGTTCCTGCGTATCTATTCCTGCCTCTGGTCCTGTAGTTTAGCACCGCGCTCTCAGGGTGTTGACCCTTTGGATGTATAGACGCCTTTTCTTGCGTGTAAACACTCAAATGCCAGTCTATTCGAACTTCCTAGCAACGCTTCTCTCACCTTGTTGCTATCTGTGCAGGGGACGCGAGCTCCTCCAGCGCAGGAGGCGCCGCGCGGTGGGTACTGCTGGCGTCTCGTTCGTTGCCTACAACACGCGCGGGGGTCGATGCAGTTCTTCACCTATGCACGGTGGCCAGTAAAAGGGAAGTTTTGCTGGTTGCTTGCGAGGGGGTTTCGGGGAATGCTTAGGACACATGCCGTAGATTCGTGTGAACAGGCGCCTTGCCGGTAAATGTTCCCTGCTGTTTTGCGTGTGGTATGTAGCAACGTGGACTTCTGGAGGTCGCCGCTGAGCTCTCCGCCGACTCCGCTGCTGACGGGTAATTGGGTACGGGATTCGTACTCATTCGGGCGGTACCTGGAGTCCTTGCATGCTTACCCAGCCGATTCCCGTTGCTTGCATGCATGCACAGCTTTGTGCACCTGTCACGTGGCGTTCTCGACTCCTTCATGCGCGTCGCAGTGTCCCAGCTACTGTGATTCCGGTGCATGGCGCCATTCTTCTTCTGTTTATGTGCTGAATGGTTGTCAACGGAAGATAGGAATGGTCGTGGCATTGGTTGGACACGTGTATACCGTGCACCGTGCGAGGTCCCTCCCTGCCTTGCGCGATACGTTCCGAATGGCCTGCCTCCCCCTCAACAACTGCCCCCACTTGCCCTCCCCCACTAACGCAGGGCTGGCCGTGCCCTGCTGGAGGACGAGGACGCCGACTGGGCCAGGTGGGTTACTTCGCGAACCGGTTGATTTTAGGGATGGTCCATGCTTTACGTGCGTGTGGATGGGAAAGGGTACGAAGCAACTGAGTAAGTGCATGCTGGCAAGGATACTTCAGCATGACAATACCATGCATTGCGTCCGGGCCGTTATGCTCATGCCCAATCTCCCAAGGCGCCCGTGTATGCCCGCTGGGACGAACCGCACAGCTGCACGCCTGCAAGTGTTCCTGCTCCTTTCAGAAAGGAGCAGGACCTATAGCTGTCTGCAACACCTATCAATGGCCAATGAATGATGGCCTTTCGGGTTACCCTTCCGGCCTCAATGCTTGCAGTGCTGGCGAGGGCGAGGGCCGTCGCAGCCTGCAGCAATGGGGTGGAGGAGGTTACGGTCGCAATGGCGGTTATGGCGGCGGTTATGGTGGCGGTTATGGCGGCGGTTATGGTCACCACCGCCCTCGCCACCACTACCCTCGCCACCACCGCGGTGGCTACGGTTACGGCCGCCGCAGCCTGCTGCAGATGGGCGATGACGTCGGAAGTCCTAGCAGCAAGGGCCGCGGCCTGCAGCAACGGGACGGAGGAGGCGGCGGCGGTCGCAACGGCGGCAGCGGCGGGTACGTTTACTAGGGGCTTACAATGCAAACTGCACTTGCTTGGTAGACTTCCTGTGGTTACCCGAAACGGATTGCGTCAAAAGGTGAGGACGAGCGTTGCATGCCTACGCTTGGTAGTATGTACTGGTGCTGCTTTTTTTCGCAACAGCCCCCCTCAGCATCTGTCGCGCTAGTACAGTACAACTGCGTACTTGGCTGCTTTCCCTTGCCCTGCAGCGGCTGGGGTCGTCGCCTGGCGGAGGACAACGATGCCTAAGCGGACCAAGCTTCGAGATACTCCATGCAAGGTTCCTATCCTAGGGCTGATGGTTTTGCTTTGATGTGGCTGCCTACATGCCCGGGAAAAGAAGGCGTTGGGATCTTGATGATGTGCCGTGCGCGGCCACCTGCGGTAGGCCTTGTTGTAGTTTTGAGTTGAATGTTGGGTCGCTGCTGGTTTTTGCCGCACCTGCACCAGCCCTTATTAACGGAAGGTTGGAAATGCATGGCTTGGACATGGAGGCAGACACTTGTAAATTAGCTGTACCTATACACGCGAGTCCTGCCCCGACCTTAGTGTTTGTCTGTACATGCATGGTACATGCCTTCGGAAGTATGGTACATGCCTTCGGAAGTTCGGATCCAAATTTCCTTTCCTCTAGCTTTTGACGTGCTGAATGGCCTGTTGCGCCTCAGTTGAGTTCCAACTGCATAGTAGCAGACGTACTTTGGTATCTCTTTCGACACACCACGCTGCTGGCCTGACCACAGCTCTGGCCCCTAGCCGCAAAGCACTAGCTGTTGCCCCTCCCCATGCATTCTCTACCCTCGCCCAGCACCCCTGGGGCCTATTACGTGTAGCGCTGGCAGTAATTCCGGTGACGACGAGCTTCCGGAGTCGTTACCGGCGACATGCCATCGTCGTCGCCCTGGGGCGGCACTGTAGCTGATGCAGCAGTGGCTGGGCCCCTTTGCCAAGGCTGCGGCCTCATGCTCTTATACCCTACCCAACTAAAATCACCACCCCCAATGTTCCATCCTCATACGAAAGCACAGCAAGGCACGGATTGCTCATGTTACTCTGAAGCTACCTGATTCTCTTGCATACATCAATCCGTAAACTCAACAAATGAATGATGTGAAATCCTGGAAGAACGCATCCTTAAATAGAAGGCTGTTCGGATTGGGCCCCAATCTCGACATGCGCGTTCGCAGGTGCACCGTCAAGCCAAGTTCTTAAGCGCTTCTTTTGTAATTACGACTCACAAGCATGTAGACGTTCCAGGCGAAACGAGCACACTGCTCGCCAGGAAGGAATGCTGTACCGGACGCTGGCTGTCGTTGGCGTCGTACACAATGTGACAAATCAAGGCGTGAGCAGTGCAATTCTTCAACACAACATGCCCATATTGTCCAGCAATCCTCATGATATGGTAGTTCATAATGCAATGCACAATAATCGCTCTTCGGCAAAGAATACGTAGTCTCTGTACACTGCAACATGACAGCCTGTTACGGTGCTCATATCAGCTAAGGCACCAAACAAGTTATGCACGAGTTGCTGGATTGGAGCATGCGCTGGATTTAGTGGCGACGGTGTGTATAAGGAGTCTGCAACTTAATAGTGGAACGTATAGATAGTCGTAATTTTGTATGTAGGCCTCTGCGCCAAGCCAAGATGACCACGATAAGCGCGTCCGGCTCATCAAGGACATCCACGAGTCGCTCCAGCGCCTTGACCGTGCCGAGAACCTGCGAATAGTGCCTTTCGGGTCCTTTGTGTCGTCCTTTTACGACTCGAAAAGCGATCTCGGTGAGAGCTGGGCTAGGTCCTGTGCTGTTGGCGTCGTGCATCTCGTCCCATCCTGTGCCTTTCGCTCACGCAGACTTGGCCGTCTGTGGCTCAGTACCACCACCGACGAGAAGGGACGAGGAGAAGTTAAGGGATGACCGGCGCAGCGAAAGCCAACGCGATGTGGGCATTCCCCTGGTAGGTCCGCAGCTTTGTTGGGGCGGTGGTATGCTACGGTACGCGATCCAGAACCCACGAGAAGGGGCCACCGCTACCGCTGGTTGGTGAAGCCGCCACCGGCCAGACTGCGGAGCCGTGACATGGTCTGACCGTGACATGCCAAACCGGCTGTGCTGGCAACTCGGCAACTATCATCCCGTCTGCCTTTTATCATCCCCCATGCTGTCCATGCCCCATCCTCCGCTCCCCGCTCCTCGCTTCCCACCATGCAGCACAAGCTGCACAGAGCGGAGCGCAGCAAGCTGCTGCGCGGCGTGGCCAACCAGCTCCTAGCTGATGGCATCGCAGCCCCAGACAGCACGATCTTCCTGCTGCATGCGCGCGTGCCGCTGATCAAGTTCACGGACCAGCGCAGCGGCATCGCGGTGGACTTGTGCCTGGGAAGCGATGACGTGGCCTTCAAGGCTTGGAGTGTGGCGCAGGTTGCCAGCATCAACCCCGCGTTTGGCAAGCTGTTCCGAGTGGTGAGTGAGCGCGCAGGAGTGGGCGCGGGGGCGGGGGAAGGAGGAGGTGGAGGGGCTGAAGGAGTGGAGAGGGAGGGAGGAAAACACATGGCAGCTGTGCGGGCGCGGTCGGGCCAACGCTTCATCCTCCAAACTCCCCACCTCCCTCCCTGCCCCACCTCCCACCTCTCCCCCCCCCAGGTCAAGGTGTGGGCCAAGGCTCACGCCATCAACGACGGTGCCGCGCACATGTTCAACAGCTGGTGTCTCACGCTGGTGGTGGGTGGACGGGCGGGCGGGCGCAACTGGGGAGGCAGCAAGGAAGAGGTTGCTAGGCCCGTGGGTGACGAAGTCACTGGCTGGGACTGAACAGATGCGGGACTCCACGCGGCCTTATCGGTCCTTGCGGAAAGCACAAGTGCCTCACGGATGCCTCCCACTATCTGGCGCACCGGTACCATGTGTCGCCCCCCATCATTCCCGCAGGTGATGTTCTTCCTGCAGCGGCACCCGCAGCACCGGCCGCTGCTGCCGCCGCTACACGCGCTGCTGCACGACGAGGTGCCGGAGGTGGAGACGCCGCGCATGATGCAGAAGGGGGTGGCCATGTCGGCAATGGTAGGAGTAGGGGAGGTGTGGGGGCGGGTGCGTGTGATGGGGTTGATGGGCATGCCGGGAAAGGACGTTCACATGCAGCGGTGGTGGTGAGGTGCGAGGCTGGTGTAGCCAATGCGGTGGGTTTGGGGAACCTAGCCACGGACATGGTCACGGTCAGTGTCCTTTCACCGCGGCCCTGTTGCAGTACCACCACCCACCGTCACCCACCCACCGCACCACCGCCTTATGACGCCTTATCACACGGTCAGTTAGTTGTTTCTCCTTTACCCACCACCGCCTCTCCCCCTCCACCGCCACTACCCCCAACCCGCAGCGCTGCAGGAAGGTGATGGCCTGCATGACTCGGCGGGTGGTGGCGGCGCGGGAGGTGTACGGCGAGCGGCCCTGCCAGCCGCTGGACGAGCTGTTCGCGGACTTTGTGGAGGACGGCGGGCGGATGCTGCGGGGGCTGCTGGCGGGGGAGGAGCCGTTCAAGAGGTGGGTGCGGGCGGTGGGCAGCGGGTGAGGAGGTAAGGACGTAGAGGGCACCATGTTCGCACCTCCCTCCATGTACCGGTAACCAACGTACCGGGTGTTGCTGCCTTTTGCGTCGCTTCAGGGGCGTCCGCATCAGCGCCTTCTACGGCGATTTCCGCGACCAGCGGCCGTACGACAAGGCGTACTACATCTTCGTGGATGATCCGTACGACAGTTCGGACAACACGGCACGGACGCTGCGGAGACCGGTGAGACCTATGATTGCCGTGCTGCTGTAATTGCCGTCTCAGTGACAAAGCGCAGCTACCGGTATAGCTGTAGCGCCATCAGTTGGTAATTACATCATGGCCGCGGCACCTTAACTGCCAACATATACGTCTCCTGCAGGGTCGAACCATGGAGTACATCCTCTCGGTGTTCGAGCGAACAGCCAGACGCCTGGGACGCGACGTGCGGCCCTCCACCCAAGCCTCCTCATCCGAAGAAGCGGTCAACACTGCCTCCAGCGGGGGCAATGAGCGGACGTCGCCGGCGGATGCGGACCTTGCTATGACCTCCTCGGGAGCTAGCACCAGCGCTTCGGAGCTGCCCGGGCTCCCGTCTGCATCCCCCACATCCGCACCCCCGTCACCACCCTCATCTTTTTCATCCTCCGCCTCGCCTCCCTCCCTGGCCGCCACCCTGGCCTTCCTGTTCGGTCCCGAGCTGCTGTCCCGCCTGCCGCACCTGAGCCCGCAGCTGCTGGGGCCACAGCTGGATGAGTGGGCGCGGGCGGGCATCCGAGCGGGCAGGCCGGCGGGGGAGGTACACGAGGTCATGCTGCGGCTACTGGGGGCGGAAGGGTGAGAGATGGGCGGGAAAGGGAAAGGGTCAGGGGCAGGGAGAGCTTGTACGTGGCGAGGGCAGGTTTGGAGTTGGGCTCTGATTTCTCGCTCCGCTGTACTTTGCACTCTAACTTGCCTTGCTAGCTTGCGCTCACCGCTGTTCTGCGCTCAAGGCTTAAGCTACAAACCCCGGTGTCTCCGCAGAGACTTTGAGTCCTTCGATTCCTTCAAGCGACGCCATAAGATTAAGGTGTTTAACGAAGACAAGTATGCAACACCGGAGGTAGGCCTGCGAGAAGTACGGCAACATGGAACAGTTACTATGTGCCAAGCATGCCTTTTGGCTGGGGTTTATTGCATATGGTTAGTCAACGTGGAGTCCCAGTCAGGGATTAGCGGTATGCTTATTCTGCCAAAGATTTGCCTTGCAGGGGATGCCTATGACAAGGAATGCATGCGCAAGATCGTGCAGCAGTGAACTTGCTTCCCCAACCCTCTTCTTGCCTCCCGGGTCTTGGTGCCCTGTTGTGCGCAGGAAAAGGAGGCGGCAGCGGCCCTGGAGGAGGAGCGGCAGGCGGCGAAGAGGGAAAAAATGGAAGCCAGGAGAGAAAGGTTGGCAGCCAGGAGAGAGAAGTTTTTACGCGAGCGGGAGGAGAGGGCGGCCAAAAGAAATCAGCTCCAGCACGAGCAGGCGAATGCGGACAAAGCGGTGCTGAGTGAAGCGGAGCTGGCGGAGGAGGAGGCGCAGCGGCAGAGCCAAGCGGTGGTTGCGAGCATCTTGGCGGCGGCAGCGGAGGCGAGGCAGCAGGTGAGGACCTCAGGGCTGCTCTGTGCAGCTGGATTATGGTTTAGTATGCGACGGCAACCGCCGCAGTGGAATTGTTGGGGGGCGCAGGTTGTTTGTATACCGGTACCCTTTTTATAGCCGGTTGTGTTGTGTGTTAAAATAACTGGCCGCGAGGCGAAACGTACTGTGATTGCCGAAAGATGAAGTCCTGTGTTGTGTGTGCGCTCGCAGGTTGTTGCCGACGTCTCGGAGCCCCTGCTGGCGCCTCCGCCGCCGCCGCCGGAGCAGCAGCGGCATGCCGTGGAGTGCACCCACCTGTCGCACCCAAGTCCGGAGCTGCAGGGGCCGCAGTTGGACGAGCGGGTGGTGGAGGTGCACGAGACCATCATGCCCCAACAGCTGGAAGCGGCGGAGTGAGGCGGGCGAGGGCGAGGAGCAGGGAGGGGCTGTACAGGGGAGGGGCAGGTTGCGTAATGTAATGGCTTTGTGATTTGGTCGTGTCTTGCGGTGTTGTGCCGCGATAAGTCTACAACGAGTCTAGGTAGTGGGGCACTTACCGCATTGCGCTTGCAACTTTGGTTGCAAACCCGCGGCCCCCCTGTCCTCGCAGAGACGTCGTGTCCTCCGGCTTCAAGTCCTCAACTCCTCCAGGCGGCGCCTCCTCCAAGGTTGACTCCTCCAAGCCGCGCCAAGGCGTTAAGGCGTTGACCGATACCAAGCAGCCATCGCCAAAGGTACGAAGTCAGGGGTGGCCGATGCATGCGATATGAGCAAGGTTGAGCTTGCCTGGTCGCTTCCTTGACCTTTCCTGTCTCCTCGGTGTCGGCGACCCGGTGTGCGTAGGAAAAGGAGGCGGCAGCGGCACTGGAAGAAGAGCGGCGGGAGAGGACGCGGGCGAAGTTGGCAGCCAAGAAGAGGCTCAAGCGCCTGCAGTCAACGGGGAACAAACCGGTGGCGAGTGGAACCGAGCAGGCGGCGCATAGGGTGGCTGCATCGGAGGCCGGCAAGAAGGTGAGGCCCGTCAGGGTTGGTGTGCGGGGTTACTGTTAAAACGTAACCCCGTTAAAACGTTAAAAACGACGACGGCACCTGCGTTGAGATTGCTTTGGAGACACTGCTGGCTGCATACCGTATCAATGCCGGCGGTTATATGTGCGCGCGCAGGTTGTTCCCGAGGCAATGAAGCCCCGGGTTGCACCGTCGCCGTCGCGGCGGCAGCAACAGCGGCAGGCTGTGGAAGACACGTCGGCTGGAACCAAGCGTAAGACTTCGGCTGTTGCGTAGTGAGCAGCTTGACAGGCCTGTCCCGAGCTGCTTCCTCGCAGCAGGGCCGTGGTGCGATGGTTACGCAGCAGAGGGAGTGGGTGAGGCCTGCATGCGATACGCGTGTGATGGAGGGCCATTGATTGGGCGGGCTGGTCTTTGTAGTGGTTTAATGTGAAGCGGCGGTGATTGCTACAGCGCCGGAAAGACAGTTCGTAGTGAGTTGGTTGGCCTGAACGCTGTTGAGTGACGGCCTGGATGACATAACACTGACGTGCTACGCAACATTTCCTTACACCGACATGCATACCATTGACTTACAATGGACTTATGACGGCTGCGGCATTGCATCTTCAGATTGAGGCTGGCCAGGACGTGATATGTGTGCTCATCATGACACCCCACGTGGGAGGAGGAAAGCGCAGGTGCAGGGGGTGCCATGAAGAATAACAGTCATACCCCATAAGGTACCCGCATGAATTGCGGGTCGCATGCGGTAATAGCTTGCGGGTCGCATGCTCCTGAATAGCTAAGGAAATCGTGCTGCGCTCTGACATGCGGATGTTCGCCTGCATGACTGCAGCTGCCATTCATGTTAGCCTTCCTCGTCGCTAACCCTCCAGGATAGCTAACCGCCATGAGCGTCACGCGTATGGAAGCTGCTCGGCCCTGCCCCCCCATATCTCCAAGCCACTGTGCTACTTCCGCCGTTCCCCGCCCGCCCGTTTCCTGTATCCTCGTCGTCCGCACGTGCCATGCATCCCATATGTTGCATGCATGTGGAAACTGCCCTCCTGCAACTTCCAACCCACACCTCGGAGCTCCTACCAGCGAACATACCGGTACCCCCTGTCATCTTGCAGGCTGCTACCGCTAACGCCAACACATCTCACTCTCCGCAACTCCGGGCCCGACACAGCTCCCCACCTCCTGGGTTCAATCCTCGCCTCCCCACCTCACCTCATCTGCCACAGCTGACTCCCATGTCAGCCTCCCTATCCAGCCTTCACGTCCACCCCAGCACCCTCATTCCGCCACCGCTCCCTCCCGTTCGCTCGCCCAGGCCGCCCCGCTGCCGCCTGCCCCCGCTCCTGGCCCTGCTCCCCGACGTCCGCCGCGCCGCGCGGTTTGCCCCCTCTCGTTTTTCTGCGCGTTTTCTTCACCCGGCGGTCGCTGCCGTCAGGGACATCATGACCCCCCCGGCTGCTGCCTCCTGCACCAGCGCCTCCGCCAAATGCGGCCCCAGCGCCGCCTTCGGCTGCGGCGCCGTTGTTGTCGTGCCTGCCGTACCCGCCGCCACCGTGTGCCTGTGAAGAGCTGCCGGCTGCTGCGGTTCCGGTTCCGGCTCGTTGCGCGATTGCGAGATCCCGCATGGCCGCCTCAACCGAGGAAGAGGCGTAAGGCGTCGGCCCGTCGCCACCTCCGCCTCCTCCTGCCGCGCCATTTTGGGAAGGCAGGCGCTTGGAGGATTGCCGCCGCTGCTGCCGGGACGCGTGCCGCTGCTGCTGCGATGCCGGCTGCTGCTGCGACGCCGGCTGCTGCTGCTGCTGCTGGGGCGGAAGCGGTGGTGGCGGAGGTGACGGCGGCCTGTCTGCCCCCTCGCCGTCGCTGCTGACTATATCAGCCCAGGCGACGCGTTGCGCTTTGTCCACACTGGGCGCCCTCCCTAGAGCCGCTGCCACGGCGCTTTCCGCCGCGTGGGTCCCTACTGCTTCGGTAGCCCCGGCTTCCTGCACACCCCGTCCGCCGAGCGGCGCCATCGCCTTGCGTACTGCTTGTTGAAGAATACCCCGGACCTTTTCCGAGAGTGTGGGTCGAGGCGGGCCGCTGGGCGGTTGAGCCCCTATTGCTGCGGCTGCTGCTGCTGATCCCGAAGCTGAGGGCGGCGGGTCAGCGACGGCGGCGGCGGGGCGGAGGGGACCTTCGCCCGTCCCCGTGGACCTCCGGGAGCTGGGACGAGACTGCGACCCATGGGTCTGCAATGCGCCATTTTGGAAAAGGGACGAAGTGAGATTCGCGTCACCATTATACGCGTCCTTTTCACCCTCGACTCGGCTTCCCCACCGCATCTCTAACACCAGCGCCTCTTCGCACCTGCCGCGTAGTCAGGGCCGCCGCCGCCGCCGCTGAGGCCTCCGCGGCCACCACAAGCCCCTCCTGCTGCGGCGGCTGCATCGCTGCAGGCGGCGGCGGTTGCTGCTGCTGCTGCTGGCGACCTCCCCGCTCCGCCTGCTCCCTGGCCTTCTTCGCCGCCCGCTTCTCAGCATCCTTGGCGCGCTTGGCCGCCTTGCGAGCTGCCTCGATCTCTGCAGCAGCCGCCTTCTCCTGCGGGCAGTAGAAGCAGTTCCAGGGGACATATCGGTTCCCGGAGGGCGACGTCAGCGTGCCGGTGCCTTCTTTGACGGGTCCCCAGCAGCCCCAGCAGCAAGCAGCCCAGAGCTGCTGCGGAGCTTGCAGGGGATGCAGGACCATGACCCAGCGAATAACTTGAAGGATAAGGCGTCGTGTACTGATGACGCAATCTGATGACGAGAGGTACCGGTAGTCAATGACTAGGCCTACCTCCGGTGTTGCGTATTTGTCCTCGTTGAACACCTTGATGTTGTGGCGCCGCTTGAAGGACTGGAAGGAGACGAACTCACTGCAGGGCGGCGGTGAGGGCGGGGGTCAGAGAGGAACCAGGTCGTAACCCGAACCCGCCACGCGCTACCCCACGGCCGTAGCTCCCAGCAAAACCAAGAATTCGCCTGATAAAAATCCCCATCCTTGCCATTCCATTCACTTCCAACCCTGCCCCTTTCCCTTTCCCGCCCATCTCTTACTCTGCCGCTCCCAGTCGCCGTAGCATGCCCTCATGCACCTCCCCCGCCGGCCGGCCTGCCCGCACAGCCTCCCGCGCCCACTCATCCAGCTGCGGCCCCAGCAGCTGCGGGCTCAGGTGCGGGAGGCGGGACAGCAGCTCGGGGCCGAACAGGAAGGCCAGGGTGGCGGCCAGGGAGGGAGGGGCGGCGGCGGAGCTGGAGGCGCCGCTGAGCAGCAAGTCCAGGTGTTTGAGGGTGCGCTCGAAGACGGATGTGACGTAGTGGATGGTACCCGGGTTGCCCTCCTGAGGGTGTGGGATATGGGAAGGGGCGGGGAGACGGCGGCTTGGGGAGTATGCGCATGTATGCGGACGTGAGTTGACGCTGAGGAGATGTGCGTGGGAAAGATCAGGACCGCTTACCTTCCTCCATAAAGCCGCCCGATATCCTAACCCCACACAATAAAACCACAGCCACCTCTCGCCGGCAATACACAGCCGCCCCACGCATACCTTGACGACACCCCAGCATGGATACACCGCAGTACGGACGGAACCCTCCTCCACCCGTGCCTACCGGTATTCCTGCTCGCTCCCCGTGCCCGCCCGCATGCGTGCCTGCCAGCATGCGCCCACACCCTGCGCCCCCTCCCCTTCCTTCCTTGTCACGCAGCTCGTTAGTTGCCTCGTCAGTTTCCTTACCTTTACTCCCCTTCCATCCTCTGCCCCCCCCCTCCACGCCCCTCCTCCCGGCCCCCCACTCACCCACGTGCCAAAGGTGCGGGCGGTGTTGTCGGAGTCGTCGTACGGGTCCTCCACACAGAGCACGTAGGAGGCGAGGAAGGGGCGACCCGCCAGCAGCTCGCCGAAGAAGGCGCTCATGCGCGTGCCGCTGTGGGGGAAGGGGGGGCAGGGGGTTACGAAGATCAAGCAAGATAGAAGAATACCCAGGTTACGAGAGTACGGGCGTGGGCGGTGTGGCCGTGGGCGACGAAGGGTGGACGTCAGGACGAAGGGAGGACACCCATGTTGGGTTACTGTACGGCAGCCACCCACCTGCTCCACCCACCCCGGGCATGCTTCCCTCTGTCCCTCCCACCCCGCGCCCGCCCCCCCCCAGATTTTCCTTATTTTTACCCCCCCCCCTCCACCCTCACCGCTTGAACACCTCCTGGCTGGCCAGCAGCGCCCGCAGCTTGCGGCCGCTCTCCGCCACGAAGTCGCGGAACAGCTCCGACAGCGGGCGACAGGGCCGGCCGCCGTACAGCTGGGCGGCCTGCTCCGCTCGCAGCCGCATCACCTCGTACACCTGGGGCGGGGGGGGGGGAAGAGCAAGGGCGGGAGGCACTGTGTTGTAATAGGGTTCTTTGGAACAGGCTGTAAATGCGGTGCTGCTCCGCTCCGCTCTAAAGCGAAAGCATCTGCCTCCCTCGCATCCCTGTGCTGAGCAGCTAAGCCTAGCCCCCCCCAGCTCCATCCACACCTGCGGCGCCAGCTCCTTCTCCCCGCCCTGCATGATGCGCGGCGCCTCCACGTCCGGCTTCTTGTCGTACAGCAGCGCATGCAGCGGCGGCAGCAGCTCACACCTCTGCAGGAAGAAGATCACCTGCGGGCGGCGAGGAGCGGCGGACATGCGGGGGCGAGGAGCGGAGGGGGGAAGGGCGAGGGGGGGAGACATGGAGACGAGGAGCGGGAGGCGACATGGAGGGGGACTTTTAATAAGAGTTAGGGGAATCACGGTATGGTGGCTGGGGTCCGAGGCCGGGACGCAAGGGGGAGCAGTGGAAGCAAATCGTAGAAGCCTCTTCCCTGCTCCCTCCCCTGTTGCGCCCGCCCGCCCGTCCACCCACCACCAGCGTGAGGCACCAGCTGTTGAACATGTGCGCGGCGCCGTCGTTGATTGCGTGAGCCTTGGCCCACACCTTGACCTGGGGGAAGGTGGGAGGTGGGGCAGGGAGGGAGGTGGGGAGCGAGGTTGGGGGTAAAAGAGATGCAAGCGACGTCAGCCCGACCGCGCCCGCACAGCTGCCATGTGTTTTCCTCCCTCTCTCCCCGCTCCTTCAGCCCTTCCACCTCCTCCTTCCCCCGCCCCCGCTCCCACTCCTGCGCGCTCACTCACCACTCGAAACAGCTTCCCGAACGCGGGGTGGATGCTGGCAACCTGCGCCACGCTCCACGCCTTGAAGCCGGTATCGGGACTGCCCAGGCACAAGTCAACCGCGATACCGCTGCGCCGGTCCGTGAACTTGATCAGCGGCACGCGCGCATGCAGCACGTACTCCATGGCCCCGCGGCTGGCCACCCCCGCCGTCACCAGGCGGTTGGCAGCGTCCCGCAGCAGCTGCGTGCGGGTGCGCTTGTCCAGCTTGTGCTGCGGATTTGGGTCGGAGCGGATTTGGGTCGGAGCGAGGGTCGAAGGAAAGCGAAGGGAAAGGGGAGGAGGTGTGAGGGGAGGATGCTTGTAGGTGGGGAGAGCGAGAGGGGGGCAGAAGAAAGAGCGAGAGGAATGGCAGGGAGTTGGTTGTCGCCTGTCCCGTGGGACTATCCGGCCCCGGCGGGTCGGTCCGGGAGAGGAAGCGGCAGCCTAGCCCTCCAACGGCAGCGACATGGACAACTTGTACGTACAACAGCAGTACTTCCTACGTGTTATATACAGGTAAGAAAGCGGTGTACAAGGAGTAAGCCTGCCAGGGACCACCCACCAAGGGCACATGGCTCTCCTCGGGGGCCCCGCGAAAGATTTCAGCTAAAGCCGCAGGCTTTAGCCGGTTTGACGGTACGTGACCGCATACAGCGAGATCTGCACCGGCAGTTTGAAGAAGAGCGGAAAGCTGACGCTAGCCAAGACGCGACATGAGCATACTGGTACCAACGTAACCAACTGGTAAAGGGTTACCCACCAAGATCACTGTTAGAGTTGTAGAATCCGGAGACAAAGCTGCCATAGGGTATAACCCTCAAATCCTCCACGCTGCCAAGATGCTGTAGAGCCCGTTGGGCATTCTCTATAAGCTGTATCCGCTGTTTATAGTCATCCTCAGTTGGAGAGCAGGCCTATAGAGCATTCAACATCACTTGTCATTAACAAAGGCAACAACAACACACGTGCAATGCCTATACTGTCTTGTCTATCACAAAGTCTCACCTGGACTAGAGACTCAAGCACATCATTAAAGGCTGACATTATTGCTATGTTGCATCTGCTGGAAGGCACGCGCTCTAACAGTCTGGAAGAGGGGTGGCCGAGGCGCTCCGAAGCCCCCCTGATTGGCACTTTTGGCCTTGGGCTTGCCTGTCTACAGCAAACCTATACAAGTACCTATAGCGTCCTATCCATTATCACTTGCAGTTATGGCGCCGCTCCACGTTAGTTGCAAGCCAACTTGCCGTTGTCAAGTAACTACGCAACCATCTGTATCGCTTCTTGTGCCATCAGCGTCGCCTGTACCTGCTGGAGCGCGTCCCGATTTGCTACGGCGCCGCGTACATACGTCTGTGTCAGCGGGCGAGTTACCCAACCTTGGCGGGTCGTCTGTCTCTCCTAGCATCAGCAATGGGAATGGGTAAGCAGGATAGTGGCCATAACGTGAAACTGAAATCAAACGTATTGGTCTTTGTGTTGCGTTGATAATAGCTTGCACGTTCCCAACCAGGAGCGGTTTCTCCGAGCCCGAGAACTTTTGTATCATCGAGAACAGCGAAACAGTCAAGGTATTGTATCGTCTCCAAACTGCATATGCGGGCAGCAGACGAGGAGTTAGTTGACGCCCACTGCTCTTGGCGGTCCATGTGCGCAGGACTTTGAAAACCTTCAGCTGGATGAGATCGCACAGAGCATTCAAGCTCGGCGCAACAAGATTTTCCTCCTGATGGAAGAGGTCCGCCGCTTGCGCATCCAGCAGCGACTCAAGGTATGTTGCGCCGCGACCGTTACCCGTGGTCATGCATACCGCTTGCCCCACATGGTCGTACCACTCATCGCACACAACCCATCATCCCGTCGACCTCGTCTTCTCCTCCACCCATCCCTCTTGTGTCGTGCCTCTCACCAGCAAACCGGGCGTATACCCCCGCCCTCTTCCTTCTACACCCAAACTTCCCTCTCCTCTCCTCTCCTCCCACCTTCCCGCATCCTTCCTGACTCCCCAGCCCCTTCCCCCTCCTTCTCCGTTACACCATCCCACTGCACTTATCGTTTATTTTTCCACCCAGGGCGGCGACTACAGCAAGGAGGCTGAGCTGAGTCAGGAGCAGTTCGTGTCCGCCCTGCCCTTCCTGCCGCCGCTCTCCGAGAAGACGCTCAACAGCTACTACACCGCCTACGCCAGCATGGTGGCGGCCATCATCGCGTTCGGAGCGCTGGTGGCGCCCATCCTGGAGGTCAAGTTGGGGCTAGGAGGTGAGGGCGCCAGGGAGGGGGGGGAACGGGGCAGGCGGGGAGGACGGGGCAAGCGGGGAAAACGAGGCAGAAGCCCGGCGCACGATGTGACGGTCCCTCGATCTCGCCGCTGCTTGCCACTGTTGTCCTCTCCTCGCCAGCCGCACATTTCTCCTCACCCTCCCTCCTCCCCCTCTGTCTTGGCCCCCTAATTCATTCATTGCTGCCTGCCAGGCACCTCCTACCTGGAGTTCGTGCAGTCGCTGCATCTGCCGCTCCAGCTGGCACACGTGGACCCCATCGTGGCCTCCTTTTGCGGCGGCGCGGTGGGCGTGCTGTCGGCGCTGCTGGTGGTGGAGATCAACAACGTGGAGAAGCAGCAGAAGAACAGGTGTGCGGGCACAGAGTGGGGCGAGGGTGGACGGGGGTTGAGGTGCGCGAAGGGGGAATGGAGGCAGTTCCCTGCAAAAGGGAGTGGATGGGGTTCAGTGGGTCTGGGTCCTCTGGGATCGGTAGGGTAGAGGTGCACACCACGTGAAAGCTTTGAGTGTTGGGAGGTGCACCAAGAGGGGCGTATGGGAAGCGTACGCATGACGCCATGAGCCCCTCTCTCCTTTCCTGTCCTCTTTGACAATTTCCCCAGCTGCTGCTCCCCAGCCGCTCCGCCCCACCTCTTCCTCCCCCCCCCCCGCCCCACCTGCTTCCCCTGCAGGTGCTTCTACTGCGAGGGCACGGGCTACCTGATGTGTGGGCACTGCGTGGGCTCGGGGCTGGACCCCGCCACGCAGCAGCTGTGCCCCTACTGCGCGGGCTCCTCCAAGGTGATGTGCACCTCCTGCCTCTGCACCGGCAAGCAGCTTGCAACGGAGCACGACCCGCGCATCGACCCGTTCTGAGGGGGCCGCCCGGAGACGCGAGTGCGTTGCGAGCGAGCATTGACCCGCCGTTGTGAAGAGCGCGCTCGGAGGCTCGTGAGGGGGAGATGGTGAGAGTGGGAGGTTAGAGGAAGCAAAGCGGAGGGGGTGAGGTCGGAAGCGGCGGGTGATGTGTGGTATCGTACGCTATAAGCAGGAAGAGAAGGAAGCGCAAGAGGACGGGAGGGGTGTGGCTTCTTTTTGCCCGTGAAGTGCGTGAGCAGGCATTGGCATGTATCGGCATGATGAGAACACATGATAAAGAGGCGCAGAGGTGAGTGGAGGTATTAAAACGTGTTGATGGCTGCAAAAGAGGGAGGAGAGGGTGGCGTGAAAGAGACGCGCTGAGAGGCGCTATTTGCCTGTGTACCGTACCCCTGCTGGGACTGTATTACGGTGGGTTACGGCTGATGAGCCGCTTGCCGCGACATTGCAATTTTGCCCGGGTGCATCGTGCAGAGAGGAGGAGGCCTTGCTTTGGAGAGAGATCTATCATCTATGGGCCACGGCTGTATTGTTGAGGTTGAACATGTGATTCCGCTTGAGGATGCTTCGCCTTATGTTCCCACATGTCACTTCAGAGGCCGTATTTGTGCTGCGCTGTCCTTATACGAGCCGTTTGCGCAGGGATCTGTATGGAATACGGTGCTTCTGGTGTGTGCCGAAGAGCCTATATATGGGGTGAGCGAAGGGCTTCGCAGTCGCTGCAATGTACACTTCTTAGGGCGGTAGTGGAAAATAACCTGATTCCTGGCTCCTGGTTATCGTTGCTGGTCCGCGTTGTGCCGAAGGTTTGGTGCGTGGCCCCGTGAGCGTCATGCTGACAATAGCATGGTGTAGGCTATAAACCATGCCGGCGTTGCCCAGGGCTTAGACCGACGACGCGACGAGCTTTGCAGGAATGCACGCCTTCATGCCCATCAGGAAGGGTCTCTGTTGGTGGCAGTCTCAGCGTGTTTGCGTGCTACGGTTGGTACCGTTAGGGTTAATAACCTGGATACGGCTTCCGGTTTGGAAGGTTGATGTTTGGGGAGAGGAGGGGTTATACGCTCCGTAGCTTCGGAAAGATAAGACCATATACCGTACCGTGCTTGTTGGCAGTGTTGTCGTGCCCTACTACCGGTAGCTTTCAGGTACGACATGCCTGGAATATATGGAGGTGAGCGGTGTCCGGACTTTGACGTTCGGAGTTGACAGTTGCGTTGACAGCCTAAGCGGCCGTATTGCCAGGCATTGCTGCACTCGGCGGTTAGAAAGGCAACCGCTTTGGCCAGGCGTCCGGGGCATGCATGTTGAACGGTGGCGTTAGTAAACAGCGTACGGGATAGGCGTGAAGTGTGTAATTGCGGTTGAGCTAATGCTTATACAAGTAGGAGCCTTCCAGTTCCGGTGCAGTTACAGGGTAATGCGGATATGGCTCACAGGCCAGGATACCGGTATTCTTTGCTGTAAGGGCTGTGTTGCACATCCCTGACAGTGCCTGTCCTTCCCAGCTGTCCTTAAGGCGCGTAACTCACGGCGTCTTGAACACTGCAGGTAGATGCAACCGTTGCGACCTCCCCTCCCGTGCGTGTGCAGGGTAAGGCTTTCAGCATTTAGTTGCCGGGTGATAGCCCGTGCGTTGTGGCTGGCATGCGAAGCCCTCATTCTCGGGACGGCTGGAAAGCGAACCGCGCGTTCGCTAGCCCGCAAACACTACATGTATTGTCCTGCTGCTAGCACCGGAGCGTCAGCTCGTGCCACGTGCAGATGCAACAGGCACTGCGCTTCTAAGCCACATATCTCTCAGCATCTAAAGCTGATAAAGCTGGATTTCCGTGAAAATCACCTGATGCGCAGGCCCCATGGGCCAGTCAGTGACCATGATGCCGGTAACTGTTGCTGCCGGTAGCTCCCCAAGTCCCTGCGCTGTTCTTGTGGGGTGACAAACAAAGCAGCACGTAGCATCAAGGCTGCGGCATCCCCGGGGCCGGCTTGGAGCATTCGCAGCAACCCCGCATGCCATTGTTCCAAAGGCCCAGCAGCGCACATGGCATCCCAACCTGTCGTGCACAATATTACTCTGAAGGACTCTTCATCTTCTGAAGGACCCTTCATCTTCTGAAGGACTTTTCATCTTCTGCGCTGACCTTGCCGGTATACCTGTGTTGCCATTACTGATTTACTGCTGCCAAGGTCAAGCCGTGGAATTCACGGCTGCAATCCTATGTGCATGTCAACATCAAATGCAGCTATAGCATCATTTTTTTCCCTGAACGTCTTGTATTCTTGTTGCGTTCGCATAGGATAGCGTACCATGCTGCTAGCCAGCGCAGGGCCACACGGCCAGCCCGGAAGCCCTAGGCTGCGTCCAACGAACTCGGCACTGTTGCGCCCCTCCGTCCGGACCTCCTGCTCGCGTGCGCCAGTGAAGGCTGCGGCGTGGCTAGGCGATGCCCGGTCCGTGCTCGTCTACGTGCCTCTACCCGAGAAGCAGCTACGTGGCATGCACGAAACACTGGAGATAGTCAAGGCTTCGGGTTTCCCTGGCTTGAAGCACCTCAGCACACGGCCAGCATCGTAAGCCGACATTGTCTTACCGGTAATCTGCATGGCTTAACAGCATCAAGAGCAACCCAAACCCCTCATGTGCCCCTACAGGAACCGCCGTGTATACCCCTGGGACGGCAACCTGCACATCACCTTGTCACGTCCGGGCCGGGTGACGGACGCGCAGACCCACCGCATGGTTGCCCAGATGAAGTCGGCGCTATCAGCCTGCATGCCGTCCCAGGGGTTCCACATCACGTGGGGCCCAGACCTCAAGGCCTACCCCAGCTACGACCGGAGCGATACCTTCCTAGCCGTCGTGGCGAATGAGGGGATGGACCACATCCGTACAGTAGCGCGGTGTACGGACAAGGTCCTGGCGGGGTACGACATTCCGCCAAACTACGAGGGATTCCAGGTGCACGCCACATTTGGCTGGATGCACGGTGCACACGTGGAGGGGTTGAACAGCCTGACGGGGCGGCTGGCTGCAGATCCAGAGAAGTCCAGGAATTTTGGCGTTTCAGGCAGGATTGCGGTGGACGAGGTGCGGTGCCGGGTAGGGAATCAGACGTACACTGTGTGGAGGGCATCCAGTTCTATCGGTCGAGGAGCTACACTCTACCGGTAGCTGATGGATTATAGCTACGGACGAGCTGTAATATACTGGTAGTGGGTCTTGGTGGGTGCGATGTAGTGCAGAGCACCATTAATACCGTGCCTGCCAACACCACGTCAGCAGCAGCTTTTACAAGCTACCGGTATGCTGGTCTGGGCCAGTGCTATAACTACATGTGGCACCGTGATGAACATGTATTGGTCAATTGTTTGTAAGCGTCAGAATGCCCCAAGTATGCGGTGACTACAGGGGAGTCAGGTTGTGCTAATCCTTATACGAGTAGGGGCCTCCCAGTTCCAGCGCAGTTGCAGAGAGATGCAGCAGAGCGATGCGGATATCGCTCACAAGCCAGGATACCGGTATCCTTTGATTGCTGTACGGGCTGTGCTGCACATCCCTGACAGTGCCTGTCCTTTCCATCTGTGCTTAAGGTGCGTAACTCAAGGCGTCTTGAACACCGCAGGGCCCATTGCACGAACTGCTATTTGCACTTGAGACCCCCACCTGCTTGCTGCTCGCACTACAGTTGCTCATCGTAGGTACAACCGTTGCAACCACCCCTGCCGTACGTGCTGCAGGGTAAGGCTTTCAGCATTTAGTTGCCGGGTGATAGCCCGTGCGTTGTGGCTGGCATGCGAAGTCTTCATTCTCGGGACAGCTGGAAAGCGAGCCGCGCGTCCGCCAGCCCGCCGCAAACACTACAGGTATTGTCCTGTTGTTAGCACTGTAGCATCAGCTCGCGCCACGTGCAGATGCAACAGGCACTGTGCTTCTAAGCTACATATCTCTCACGACCTGCCGGATGCGCAGGTCCCATGGGTCAGTCAGTAACCATGATGCCGGTAGCTGTTGCTGCCGGTAGCTCCCCAAGTCCCTGCGCTGTTCTTGTGGGGTGACAAACAAAGCAGCACGTAGCATCAAGGCTGCGGCATCCCCGGGGCCGGCTTGGAGCATTCGCAGCAACCCCCCCGCATGCCATTGTACAAAAGGCCGGCTGAAGCGCACGTGTCATCCTAACCTGCGAGCGCATTACCCTGAATATCGGTAATTTGAGGCTCCTTTTATGCTGCCCTTATCGGTCTACCTGTGTTGCCATTACTAGTCTAAATGCCAAGGTCAGCTCCGCGGATTTCACGGTTAAGATGTGTGCTTGGTATGTTCGTCTATACCAAAGACCCCCAGATGCAGCTGACGCTTTACCTAATGGACGCCTTGCAACTTGTTCCGTTCACATAGGATATAGCCTTAGTAGCGTACCATGCTGCTAGCCAGCGCAAGGCCACACGGCCAGCCCGGAAGCCCTAGGCTGCGCCCAACGAACTCGACACCGTTGCGCCCCTCCGCTCGAACGGCCTGCTTGCGTGCGTCAGTGAAGGTAGCGGCGAAGTCGTCTGACGCCCGATCTGTACTCGTCTACGTGCCAGTACCCGAGAAGCAGCTACATGGCGTGCACGAGACACTGGAAGTAATCCGGGCTTCGGGTTTCCCTGGCTTGGAACACCTTCGCACGCGGCCAGCATCGTAAGGCGCACTTGTCCTCAAGTTGCGTGGTTTTACAACATTCACGCCCACCCACACCCCTCACGTGCCCTTACAGAAACGGCCATGTATACCCCTGGGACGGCAACTTCCACATCACCTTGTTGCGCCCGGCCAACGTGACGGATGCCCAGACCCGCGACATGATTGATCAGATGAGGTCGGGCCTGTCAGCCTGCATGCCAGCCCAGGGGTTCTACATCACGTGGGGTCCCGACGTCAGGGCTTACCCCAGCCACGACCGGGGCGATACCTTTCTAGTAGTGCAGGCACATGAGGGGATGGACCACATCCGTACAATAGCGCAGTGTACGGACAAGGTCCTGGCGGGGTACGATGTCGACGTTCCGTCAATCCACAAGGGGCTAACGGTGCATGCCACAATTGGCTGGATGCCCGGTGTTCACGCGAAGGGGATGAACCACCTGGTGAGGCGGCTGGCTGCCGATCCAGATAAGAATTTTGGTGTAACAGGGAGGATTGCAGTGGACGGGGTACGATGCCGGATAGGGAAACTGACGTACACATTGTGGAGTGCGTCCTGGTTTGCCGGCGGATGAGTTACCGCAGATGCTACATAGTGGATTGCATCTATTAAGAGGAGCTGTAGCAAAGTGGAGCTTACCGGATTGGTATGGAGTGCAGAGCACCAAAACCGTGGCTTGATTGCGGCTGACAGCACCTCGTGAGTAGCAAGGATAACATGTTACATACTATGCTGGTCTGGGCCAGTGCCATGCATCGACAAGTGGCACGGCAGCGAACACGTGTTGTGGTCACACATACTCGTTTGTAAGTGTCAAGACTGCCCCTTACAGGCGCGTGTACGGCACTTGCACTTCTACAGGGACAACCACGGTCGCAGTCAACCACGGCGCATTACTACATTAGGCTCTGTGATTCGCGTCCTAGCAGCAGCTATGTTACAATGACAGCTGGCACCCCACTAAGGCGGCAGCATGCCCCTCCCCACGGCAACCACAGGTACGTGCTGTTGCAATTCGCTAGGACACACCATGCCACCAAACACCGCCTAAGCTAGCAAAGTTTGTGCTCTACGGCGTGCAGACACCTTTCACGGGTCTCAGGTTCGGCGTGTCGTTGACAGCCAAACCCACCAGCCAAATCCACGTCGTCCGCAGCAAAGGCCCCTTAGCGTGGCGGCATGTTATCCGATTCAATCCAGCGCAGGCGCTCCTCGCGCGCTTTCTGCTTCTGAATCATGTACACGTCAGGCTTCTTCTCCTTGGTGTCCTTGTTGTTGGCCACCCACACCACGGGGATGGCGCTCACCCCTAGAAGGAAGGCGACCTGCGCTGCTACACGGCTACCCTTAATGCCAGGTGGAAGACGCCAGTCAGGCTTCCATGTCGGCTTGTAGCTTGCTCCCTTGTTGCCCTCGCCCTTAAGAAACACGTACTCAAACATCTATGGCCACTTGATGCCAAACTATAGCAAAAGCACAGGTATGCTCTAAGCGAAAACCTGAAAGTAGAAAGCTGTACCAAGTTGGCGTAATGCCTGTCTAATGTAAAGCAAAGCTGGGACCGCCTCGCGTTGGACAGGGCATAAACCTCGAACAATGCCGGCTATGAAGAATATAGATACAAGGTTGTAGGAACACCAGTTGGTAACCGGCTTACAGAGGCACGTACGGCATTCAATAAGCATGGGTAATGAGTTGCGATTTGATGTAGTTATGAGACACCTAGATCAGTATGGGCTTAGATTTATTAATGCAATCGCCCAGTATTACTGCACGGCCGAGCACTAGGGCGAACATCCCTTCCTGTTGCAACACGCTAAGCTGTAATATATCTTAGGGGTTAAGAAACAGCAACTATTAGAACGTAGCAATGACTTCTACAGATACAAGCATGTTGCCCTGTGCACGGTGCGAACTGGCGGCGTTGCGGCCTTGGGGACGTTTGTCGCTTCCAGCCTGTGCATATCTTCACCGGCATGCACTTCCTGGCTTTGTAGATGCCAGGCACCCGCCAAGCTGCAATGCCCTAACTGTGTCAAACTGGGTTTGCCCAAGGACAAGAGCGTGTTTTGCTCCCAGGAGTGCTTCAAGGTGCGTGCGTTGCAACGAGGGAACGGTGGAAAGGCAGACGTGCGCAACAACCATAGGGGAGGGTTCGGGCCCCAGGCGTTCCCCTGTCAGCAACGCAACTTGCCACCCGGCCCCCGTGACCTACCATGGCATGACCTACGTCGTGAAGCCGACACCAGCACGCGTACCGTCTCACCCGCTGCGCCGTACAAGGGACTGTTATCAACGCCTGTGCATGCTGATACCCAACCCCACTTCCAGCGAAAGCCCCGCTCCTTTTACCCCTCCAGTCCCGCCTCCCATCCACCTATCCCGCCTCCCTTCTTCCCTCCCTTCCCTCCCATACCCTGCCTCCCACTCCCCGCCCCCACACCTCCGCCCCGCAGGCTGCCTGGCCGGAGCACAAGAAGGTGCACTCGCCGCCTGCGGACGCATGGCTGTACTGCACCAAGCGCGGCAGGGCGCGCAGCGACAGCCTGCCGGATTTTGACTGGACGGGGTCGCTGCGGCCGTACCGCATCAGCCCGCGGAGAGAGGTGAGCATGCGGCGGGGGGGAGAGCAGGGGAGCGCTTTACTGCGCGTGTGGATAGAACGTGTGGGGCAGTGGGCAGTGTTCGTATACTATCATGAGGGACAAGTTGAGGGACGACGTTGCTACACCGTTTTGTTACGTTCCGCACCGCTTTCCGCGGCCCTTGATGTTTCCGGTTTGTCAGGTTCCCGACCACATTCCCAAGCCGGACTACGTCAAGGATGGCATTCCGTACTCGGAGGTCGAGAGCAAGCAGCAACAAATAGGTGCGGGGGTGGGAGTGCACGCGGGAAGGGAGGAATGAGGGCGGTGCGGGGTGGTGGTGATGTGGGCACCTGTGCAGCAGCATGGTGGGTTGCGGCCAGCCAGCCGGCTGGGAGGGATTAGAACACCTGGGCCGTGACCATGGGAAGACCCATTGACGATGAGAGGGAGGTAGGGAGGGACTTGCGGGGTGTGCTGGGGGATGACAGCTGAGGAGGTCATACCATGAGCGAGGAGGCAATTGGAGGGCTGCGCCAAACCATGCCTGCATTGCATGTTGGCAAAGGAGGCAAAAGCACAGCAGCAGCCAAGGCGGCGCAAAAATCCGGCGGTGCAGGCAGAAGAGGAGCAAGCGGGGAAGCGGCCCATGTGGGCAATTACTGGACGGTTGCTGGGAGGGGCGTGATGAGGCAGCAGGCGCTTGCAAGCTCCTGCCTCCCATACAACATGGAAACCCCGCAGTTCCTCCTAGGACCCTCCTGAAAGGCCACCCTTCCCAACCTTGCTGCCCTGCCCGCCCCGACTCGCCCCTCCCCAGTGCCCATCCGCGGCCCAGACGACACGGCTGCCATCCGCGCCGCCTGCCGCATCGGGCGGGAGGTGCTGGACCTGGCGGCGGCGGCCGCAAAGCCGGGTAGGCAGGGAGGGGGGTCAAAGACCATACCATACGATAGGAAGCCGCTGGTTAGGGCAACGCAAAGGCGGGGGGGGGGCGGAGGGTGGGGACTGGGGAGTTGTGGGTGCTAATGGAGTTGTAGGTGCTGCTTCCAGAGAGGAAAGGGGGTTAAATAGCACTCACTGAGGGCAGGGACGGAGGGGGCTGGTCTTGACTGGGAGGGAACCGTGGGGGCCCCCACAACGGGAGGGTCTTGAGTACAAACATGCACATGCAGCGCTAGGCGTGTGCCTGCCTGGCCGGCTGGCCCTGTAGCTACCGTTCTTGGTCGGGCGCCCCCCCTCACCCATCTTGCTGCCAGCCTGCCACCTCACCGCCTCGCAATTGTTGCTGACGCCTGTGCACCCTGGCCTGCATGCATACGTGCACAGGCGTCACCACGGACGAGTTGGACCGCATCGTGCATGAGGCCATGATTGAGCGCGGCGCCTACCCCTCGCCGCTCAACTACTACAACTTTCCCAAGTCGGTGTGCACCTCCATCAATGAGGTAGGGATGGGGGGGGATGGTGCAGGTGGTGGCGTTTCCAATCGTTCGCAGTAATTGGAAAAGCGGACCTAAGAGGGGGACCTAGCAACGCTTGGCTGAAGGCACAGACACCCCCATCCTAAGCCATCCCCAAGCTATCTCAGCTCTATCTCAGGACTCGTCAAAGCTGCTGCTGTACCAGTGCGCCCCTGTCCCTGCCCCTGCCCGCCTCAGGTCATCTGCCACGGCATTCCGGATGCACGGGAGCTTCAAAACGGCGACATCCTCAACATTGACGTCACCGCCTACTTCAAAGGGTAGGTTGGGCTTGGGAGCCGGGGTTGTGGCGTGTGCTCCTCTCGTTGCTGGCATGTGCGATATGTTTTCCTCTGGGCCCCGCCCCATCTCACCCTGCCTCCACCTCTGCACCACCCCACCCTGCCCCCGCCTCTGCACCTCCACCACCCTGCCCCCTCCTCCTCCTTTCTCTTCCTCCCAACAGCTTCCACGGCGACCTCAATGAGACCATTTGCATCGGCGAGGTGGACGAGGAGGGGCGCAAGCTCGTCAAGGTGACCCACGACGCACTTATGAAGGCCATCGCGGCGTGCCGGCCGGGCGTGCGGTACCGCGACGTGGGGGACATCATCACCAAGCATGCGGCTGCTCACGGGTACGTGCAGGGTGGTGGGGTTGATGGAGGTGGTCTGGGATGAGATGAGAAGGGATGGAACAGAAGTCTTAATACCCGCGCCGGGCACATGTTGGGGTTTCGCCATTCCCGCTACCACCACCGCTCCCTCTCTCTCTCTCTTGCCTCCCTCCCTCTCCAATTCCAATCCATTTATTGTTGCTTCACTTTTCATTTACTTTTCCCCTCTCCATCCCAACCTCCTCCCACTCCCACCTCCCCACACAGGTTCCAGGTGGTCAAGTCCTACTGCGGGCACGGCATCGGCGACCTCTTCCACTGCGCACCCAACGTGCCGCACTACGCCCACAACAAGGCGGTCGGCGTCATGAAGGAGGGCCACGTGTTCACCATTGAGCCCATGATTAACACGGGCTCCTGGCGTGATCGAACCTGGCCGGACGGTTGGACAGCGGTCACGGAGGACGGCGGGCGCAGCGCTCAGTTTGAGCACACGCTGGTGGTGACGCGTGACGGCTGTGAGGTGCTGACGAAGCGGCTGGAGAGCTCGCCGCCGCTGTGGTGGGAGACGCAGCAGTAGTGGGATGAGGGGAAGGAAGGAAGGAGGGCATGGTGTAGGAGGGAGGGGGGTTGATGGGGAAGGAGGGGGGTGTGGGAGTGTGTTGTGCGCAGCGGAGGGAGTGGAAGCTGGGGCGCCTGGAGGGTGAGAGACGGGAGGCTGTTTGGGCGAGGATAACGCCATGGTGCTGAGGTGGAGGAGGAGGAAGGGAGAGAGGAAAGGAGGGGATTCGTGGATTGGGTTGAACGGTCTGGCATGTGGTGCTAGTAGGGGCTGAGCTGAGGGACGGAGGTGCGGGAGACAGTAGGGGAGGTGGGATGCGCTGGGGCGGATGGGGCGAGGTGAGCGTGTCAGCTGTAGCGTAGGTGGCGGGGGGGGGGGTGGCACAATGTCTGGCCTTGGACGTGCGTTGCGATGTTTGAGGGTGGGCACGTGGTGTGGACAGCGGAGTGGGACAGGGACGAGGCCGGGATGCGACAGCCAAAGGCCGCAGCAGGCAGGGCTGGACGTGCGACAGGCCGTCCTGTTTCAGCGGGTTAACAGCGTTATGGATATTTTTGAGTCCCTGTTAAGGACATGGGTCCGCCAAAGGAGACACAAAGCAGCACCGCAAGGCTACCTTACCTCGTGCCACTCCATGGCCTTACACAGAACACAGTACAGTACGAGCATGCAGAATGGGGAAAGCCCGGGCCCTGTCTTAAGGGTTGAGCGACATTGCTGTGTTAAGGGTTCTGCCTTAGGTGTGCGTTAGATACTGGCCGCATGGGTTAATTCAGTCAAGGCGCAGGGTTAGGGCGTGTATCCGTCAAGGGGTTGTCGACGGAGCCTAACAAGGTGTCCTGTCCCTGGAATCTGAAAGTATCTCGAGCTTCACTCGGAAAGAATCTACGGTATTGTTGCTTTTGCTGCCCAGCGTGTCGCAGAGACAAAGTGGGTTCAATTAATGCTAGGAACGGTGGGGCTATCGGGCAGCGCATGGGTGCATGCAGAGATGTGGCTCAATGAAATGCTTTCGACACGTGCCGCACGTTGGGGTCTGAACGGAGTGGGATGCTAGGCATGAAGTTACACGTTAACTTGATGATGATGATCATGATTATAAGCTAGAGGCTTGTAAGGCTCAGACGAACCAGGACGCGGATGGACTGCTACAACGTGTTAACTAGTATATATTTAGGTGTACGACTCATGCACAATTCATAGCGCAATCTGCTACTCCTTATTATGCATTGTCCTCCCTTCCGCCCCAAACAGCTCCATTGCAACAATTTCAGGCTTGGATCCTAGCATGCACGTCTCATTTAAAAGCTCTGTACACGGATACATGTATGCAAAATCTTCGTAGCATTAGTATCGCATTCAACAACTTTGCAAAACACATATATGCGAAGTCCCCCTGTGGATTCTGGCATGGATGTCCCATTCAAAAATTTAGCACACAAACACATCTATGCAAAGTTCCCCTCGTGGATCCTAGCTTGAACCAATGACTGCTACAATGGCTTTCTAAAAGGGAACTTGGATGATGATGAACCTATACTGCAAGACAACCTAACTCACCGTAGAAACGTATTTACAACAGCCACAACAAAACACCAAAGACGAAAGCCCAAAGAGGACCACAAGACAGGCAGAAAAGAGGGCAGATACAAGCCAAGATCTAACATGGATATCCCATTCAACTCAGATACATATATGCTAATTCCCCTGAACAAACGACGAGCAAACTAACCACGGTTATGGTTGCACTACACAAGTTGCCTCTTGCAATTTGAGATCACCTATGTACGCATGCGCAGCTAACACACCTTGGCTTTGCCTCAGGGAGCTAACCCGCATGCTTACAACCATGATTCCCTTATCCAACAACAGTCTAGTTCACTTGTCCGAGTGTTTTTCCGAGCTGTGTGGCGTGTGACCCTCCGGCTTGGGCTTGGATGGCTTATGGTAGGTTGGTGAGGGCGGCCGGCGTGACGGCTTCTTGGGAGAAGATGGTCGGTGCGGGGTCCGGGGTGAGGGCGGCTGGGGTGAGGGCGGCTGGGGCGAAGGCAATTTAGGTGAGGGCGGCCGGGGTGAGGGCGGCCGGCGTGATGGCTTCTTTGGAGAAGATGGCCGATGCGGGCGCCGGGGTGAGGGCGGCTGGGGTGAGGGCGGCTGGGGCGAAGGCAATTTAGGTGAGGGCGGCTGGGGTGAGGGCGGCCGGGGTGAGGGCGGCCGGCGTGACGGCTTCTTTGGAGAAGATGGCCGATGCGGGCGCCGGGGTGAGGGCGGCTGGGGTGAAGGCGGCTGTGGTGAAGGCGGCTGGGGTAAGGGCGGCTGGGGAGAAGGCGGCCGGGGTGAGGGCGGCCGGCGTGACGGCTTCTTGGGAGAAGACGGCCGGTGCGGGCGCCGGGGTGAGGGCGGCTGAGGCGAGGGCGGCTGTGGTGAGGGCGGCAGCGATGACGGCAGCTCAGGTGAGGGCGGCTGGGGTGAAGGCGGCCGCGGTGAGGGCGGCCGGGGTGAGGGCGGCCGGCGTGATGGCTTCTTTGGATAAGATGGCCGATGCGGGCGCCGGGGTGAGGGCGGCTGGGGTGATGGCGGCTGTGGTGATGGCGGCTGGGGTGATGGCGGCTGGGGTGAAGGCGGCCGCGGTGAGGGCGGCCGGGGTGAGGGCGGCCGGCGTGATGGCTTCTTTGGATAAGATGGCCGATGCGGGCGCCGGGGTGAGGGCGGCTGGGGTGATGGCGGCTGTGGTGATGGCGGCTGTGGTGATGGCGGCTGGGGTGATGGCGGCTGGGGTGAGGGCGGCCGGGGTGAAGGCGGCCGGGGTGAGGGCGGCTGAGGAGAAGGCGGCCGGGGTGAGGGCGGCTGGGGAGAAGGCGGCCGGGGTGAGGGCGGCTGGGGAGAAGGCGGCCGGGGAGAGGGCGGCCGGCGTGACGGCTTCTTGGGAGAATAGGGCCGATGCGGGGGCCGGGGTGAGGGCGGCTGAGGTGAGGGGGGCTTGGGGCTAGGAGGTGCAGGAATGGTCGGTTGGGGAGAGGGTGGGGCAGGGCTTGGCGGCTCAGGAGATGGTGCGGGGCTGGGCGGTGCAGGGCTAGGCGGCGCGGGGCTAGGTGCAGGGCTGGGCGGTGCAGGGCTGGGTGGCAGTGGCGATGGGGGCTCTGGCCCAGGCGGCTTGGGAGACGGTGGGGCAGGGCTTGGCGGCTCAGGAGATGGTGCGGGGCTGGGCGGGGCAGGGCTGGGCGGCGCGGGGCTAGGTGCAGGGCTGGGCGGTGCAGGGCTGGGTGGCAGTGGCGATGGGGGCTCTGGCCCAGGCGGCTTGGGAGACGGTGGGGCAGGGCTGGGCGGCTCAGGAGATGGTGCGGGGCTGGGTGGGGCCGGGCTAGGCGGCGCGGGGCTAGGTGCAGGGCTGGGCGGTGCAGGGCTGGGTGGCAGTGGCGATGGGGGCTCTGGCCCAGGCGGCTTGGGAGACGGTGGGGCAGGGCTTGGCGGCTCAGGAGATGGTGCGGGGCTGGGCGGGGCAGGGCTAGGCGGCGCGGGGCTAGGTGCAGGGCTGGGCGGTGCAGGGCTGGGTGGCAGTGGCGATGGGGGCTCTGGCCCAGGCGGCTTGGGAGACGGTGGGGCAGGGCTGGGCGGCTCAGGAGATGGTGCGGGGCTGGGTGGGGCCGGGCTAGGCGGCGCGGGGCTAGGTGCAGGGCTGGGCGGTGCAGGGCTGGGTGGCAGTGGCGATGGGGGCTCTGGCCCAGGCGGCTTGGGAGACGGTGGGGCAGGGCTGGGCGGCTCAGGAGATGGTGCGGGGCTGGGTGGGGCCGGGCTAGGCGGCGCGGGGCTCGGTGCAGGGCTGGGCGGTGCAGGGCTGGGTGGCAGTGGCGATGGGGGCTCTGGCCCAGGCGGCTTGGGAGACGGTGGGGCAGGGCTGGGCGGCTCAGGAGATGGTGCGGGGCTGGGCGGGGCAGGGCTGGGCGGCGCGGGGCTAGGTGCAGGGCTGGGCGGTGCAGGGCTGGGTGGCAGTGGCGATGGGGGCTCTGGCCCAGGCGGCTTGGGAGACGGTGGGGCAGGGCTGGGCGGCTCAGGAGATGGTGCGGGGCTGGGCGGGGCAGGGCTGGGCGGCGCGGGGCTAGGTGCAGGGCTGGGCGGTGCAGGGCTGGGTGGCAGTGGCGATGGGGGCTCTGGCCCAGGCGGCTTGGGAGACGGTGGGGCAGGGCTGGGCGGCTCAGGAGATGGTGCGGGGCTGGGCGGGGCAGGGCTGGGCGGCGCGGGGCTCGGTGCAGGGCTGGGCGGTGCAGGACTGGGTGGCAGTGGCGATGGGGGCTCTGGCCCAGGCGGCTTGGGAGACGGTGGGGCAGGGCTGGGCGGCTCAGGAGATGGTGCGGGGCTGGGTGGGGCCGGGCTAGGCGGCGCGGGGCTAGGTGCAGGGCTGGGCGGTGCAGGGCTGGGTGGCAGTGGCGATGGGGGCTCTGGCCCAGGCGGCTTGGGAGACGGTGGGGCAGGGCTGGGCGGCTCAGGAGATGGTGCGGGGCTGGGTGGGGCCGGGCTAGGCGGCGCGGGGCTCGGTGCAGGGCTGGGCGGTGCAGGGCTGGGTGGCAGTGGCGATGGGGGCTCTGGCCCAGGCGGCTTGGGAGACGGTGGGGCAGGGCTGGGCGGCTCAGGAGATGGTGCGGGGCTGGGCGGGGCAGGGCTGGGCGGCGCGGGGCTAGGTGCAGGGCTGGGCGGTGCAGGGCTGGGTGGCAGTGGCGATGGGGGCTCTGGCCCAGGCGGCTTGGGAGACGGTGGGGCAGGGCTGGGCGGCTCAGGAGATGGTGCGGGGCTGGGCGGGGCAGGGCTGGGCGGCGCGGGGCTCGGTGCAGGGCTGGGCGGTGCAGGGCTGGGTGGCAGTGGCGATGGGGGCTCTGGCCCAGGCGGCTTGGGAGACGGTGGGGCAGGGCTGGGCGGCTCAGGAGATGGTGCGGGGCTGGGTGGGGCCGGGCTAGGCGGCGCGGGGCTCGGTGCTGGGCTGGGTGGCTGGGGCGACGGCGGCGCAGGGCTAGGGGCAGGGCTGGGCGGCTGGGGAGACGGCGGCGCAGGGCTAGGGGCAGGGCTGGGCGGTTGAGGAGACGGAGGCGCAGGGCTAGGTGCAGGGCTGGGCGGTGCAGGGCTGGGTGGCAGTGGCGATGGGGGCTCTGGCCCAGGCGGCTTGGGAGACGGTGGGGCAGGGCTGGGCGGCTCAGGAGATGGTGCGGGGCTGGGTGGGGCCGGGCTAGGCGGCGCAGGGCTGGGTGCAGGGCTGGGCGGTTGGGGAGACGGCGGCGCGGGGCTAGGCGCAGGGCTGGGTGGTTGGGGAGACGGCGGCGCGGGGCTAGGTGCAGGGCTGGGCGGTAGCGGAGACGGCGGCGCGGGGCTAGGCGCAGGGCTGGGTGGTTGGGGAGACGGCGGCGCGGGGCTAGGCGCAGGGCTGGGCGGTAGAGGAGACGGCGGCGCGGGGCTAGGCGCAGGGCTGGGCGGTAGTGGAGACGGCGGCGCGGGGCTAGGCGCAGGGCTGGGCGGTTGGGGGGACGGCGGCGCGGGGCTAGGCGCAGGGCTGGGCGGTTGCGGGGACGGCGGCGCGGGGCTAGGCGCAGGGCTGGGCGGTTGGGGGGACGGCGGCGCGGGGCTAGGCGCAGGGCTGGGCGGTAGCGGAGACGGCGGCGCGGGGCTAGGTGCAGGGCTGGGCGGTTGCGGAGACGGCGGCGCGGGGCTAGGCGCAGGGCTGGGCGGTTGCGGGGACGGCGGCGCGGGGCTAGGCGCAGGGCTGGGCGGTTGGGGAGACGGCGGCGCGGGGCTAGGCGCAGGGCTGGGCGGTAGCGGAGACGGCGGCGCGGGGCTAGGCGCAGGGCTGGGCGGTAGCGGAGACGGCGGCGCGGGGCTAGGTGCAGGGCTGGGCGGTTGGGGGGACGGCGGCGCGGGGCTAGGCGCAGGGCTGGGCGGTTGGGGGGACGGCGGCGCGGGGCTAGGCGCAGGGCTGGGCGGTAGGGGAGACGGCGGTGCGGGGCTAGGTGCAGGGCTGGGCGGTAGGGGAGACGGCGGTGCGGGGCTAGGCGCAGGGCTGGGCGGTAGGGGAGACGGCGGCGCGGGGCTAGGCGCAGGGCTGGGCGGTTGGGGGGACGGCGGCGCGGGGCTAGGCGCAGGGCTGGGCGGTAGGGGAGATGGCGGCGCGGGGCTGGGTGGCAATGGCGATGGTGGTCTCGGGCTTGGTGGCGTGGGAGATGGCGGGAAAGGGCTCGGCGGAAGAGGGCTGGGCGGAAGGGGACTGGGCGGTCTTGACTGGCAGCTGCAAGAAAGAGTAGGGTGGGAAAACATGCTTTAGCAAGTGGTGCTAAGCCATGGGCCCCCTTACACAGCAGCTCCTACCTCTCGAAGTTGGTTATGTCCAAGGTTAAGTCGCATGTGTTGCTAATACCGCAATTGCCACTGATTCCACCGCAGCAAGGCGTGGGAGTACACGTGTAATTTCCGGTGAGCTGGCCGTCGTGGATCTGCATGGAAGAGGGGAACAGCATGAACAGGTCGAGCTGGGAGCTGGAGGCACATGTTGGATCCCTGTAACGGTCATCAATCATGTAGGAGTGTGCAGCTAAGCGCTAAGCACATCCTCAACCGTATCTGCATGCGGCATCTGCATGCGACTGGTCCCCACCTGGATGGGCAGAGTGGTCACCCCGATGGGAACGATGTAGGTGACGTTGAGGGCATCGTTGCAGGTGGAGGTTTGGGGCACGCCGTTGCAGCTGGTTTGCTGGCAGGAGCCGGAGGTGCAGCAAACCCACGACAGGGTGGCATTCTTGCAGCTGGACACGTCAATTGTAACGTACTGAGAGGTCGCGTCGAGGGGAGAGCAAACGGCGCTGACACAGGTTGTCAGCGAGTTGCAATCCAAGCGGCATGACTGCAGTAGCGAGCGCCGCGGATAGAATGCCGAGGTTGACGTGGCGAGGAGCAGCACCGCAAATGCGAAGTATCCCAGCAGCACGGCGTGTCCACCGACGTTAGGCGCCATGTAGCGCCCCATTGGGGACGATGTCGTGCACCCACAGTGCACAGTGCTTGTCACAGTCCACAATGCTAAGTGTGGCTGCCTTGCTGCTTTTGGGCTGCTCTTTGCCAATTTATACTGTGTGCGGCTTCTTGGATAAGTCGTTGGCCTTGCATCGGATGTTCCTCGCCGGTCGTTTTTTAGACGGTGCATAGTAGTCGAGGCATGTCGAGGCAAGCTGTTGCAAAGTAACGCCTGCATTTGCCTCGGGACACCTATCCGACGGTTGTTCTCTAGAACCTAATTGCCAGTATTCTTAATTTCCATATAGAATACATGCGTCGTTTCCCATATGCTGCTGCGCAAGCGACGCAAATGTACGCCCCAATGTTACTCGGGCAATGGCCCCCATATCCCACTGCCCTGTTATCTTTTGATGCATAGAAGGGTTGCCCCCTTCATGCTACAACAGTCGCTGGTAACCCATTGCTAATGTACTAGATGCCCTTCACCCTAACCGACGACAGTTTCTACCGTTTCTTGGAAAACTTGCACGAGAAAAGGTTATGGCAGCAGCGATGACTCAATCATTCAACAGCGGTTGCTTCCTATAACTACATCTTGTCCTGTCTGCTCTTACGCAACATCCCACGATGAGGGAGGTGTCGGGGACGCGGAAGGCGGATGGCTAAGCGGGAAAGGCGAGGGAAGGGGCGAGTTGGGTAAATGCAGTAGGCAAATGAGGCGGAAAGGCTGGAGATGTAGCCCATATGGTAACTAGCCTTTGGGCAACGACGGCTGGATGCCACGGGCTGCGTATTGCGTAGCACGCGCACTGGTTAGGTCCTACACCGCCGCAAAAGCAGTGCCAGATGGCTGGGTGCATGCCACATTGCCAGACGAGGCGAATGCACGTCACATCACAGCGGACGCAGTGCAGGCCCGGGGGCAAAGACAAATGGGCAGGGGGCTGGCCGGCACGTAAACATTGCAGTTGTGTTGCAGTGTTACATTGTGCGTCTTAATTTGCACTGTACGACAAGGAATGGGCTGACACGTACAAAGGTGTGGTGAAGGAGGAGGGCATGTAATCAAGGAGAAGGAGGACTGCACGTACGAGGTGAGACTGCACGTACTCACAGGGTAGCATCAGTTCCATATTGTTGGAGTTGCGATTTGGCGTGATATACGTACATAGGGGAAAGCACCATGACCTTTAGTGGATTGCCCAAACACGCCGCATTCAGTGCCTCCCTCTACCCTTCAGCGCACTCTATCCCTTGCCGCATATATGGGCATGTGCAGCAACCGCAACGTCAATAAGTTAAGCCATTTGTACCCGCACAGTAATGAACTTCGAAACCATTTGTATCACGAAATCAGAAGCTCACATTGCAAAAGATGAAGACCATCCACAGCAGCTAAAGATTACCAGCGAGGACTATCCTGCTACTGCCTTATGCGCCGCCCCAAACACCACCACCTTCCGTACAACTGCAGCCCCTCAACCCCCAACCCCATCCAACGCCTCTTCCGGTGCATCCGCCGCTGCAAGTGGGTTATCATGCGTCGTCATGCCCGCCCCAAACTTCATGCCGCGAGATGAAACCGACGCCTCGTACGACAGCGTACCAGCGCACGACGCCGCACCCGTTGGCTTTGCCCCAGCTTCTTCAAACACAATACCCACCCCACGACTGCCGTACACACCGCCCAGCATGCCTCCCTTCCCACCGCGACTAAAAGGGCCTCCGCAGTGATCCCCTGCGCAGTCCGCTATTATGTCGCCACCGGCCCTAGGTGTACTGCCCTCCAAGGTGTCAGAAAGCAACGTCAGCGGGTTGGAGTGAAAGCGGATAGCAGCGGCAGCCGCCGGGGCTTCATCGGCGTCGCGACCACCACTGCCGCTGGCCCGGACCGGTCTCGCAGCAACCACAGGGTCGCGGCTGCCTCGGCGGCCGCCGCCGCTGCTGCTGCTACTAGAGTCAGCGCTAAGGAGAGACGGCCCCTGGCGCATCGGCTGCAGACCAGAACCAGCCTCAGAGGTCTTATGCTCCGAAGCCATGGCACCGCCGTTGTAGCTCGACCTACCTACCCCACCGCCGCCGCTGCCGTTCCCGCATCCCCCGCCTTCCGCCACCCAACCACCCCCATGTGACGGGTGCTGGCAAGCCGCCTCTGCACTCCTCCGCAACTGCATCTGCAGCTCCCGGTTCCTCGCCGCCAGCTCCTCACAGTGCCGCCGCATCCCCCGCAGCGCCTCCTCCTGCTGCGCTATGACGCCCTCCTGCCGCGCCGCCTGCGCTGCATGCGTAGCGCTCAGCCGCTCGTACTGCCGCCAGAGCTGCATGTGCTTGGCTTGCATGTGCTCTAGTCGTAGCTGAGCCTGAGCCAGCGCCGCGGCGGCGTGCGGGTCGGTCGCCCGGTGTTGCGAGGGCCCCTGCAGCTGCGCCGCCACATGACCCAGCGGCTCACTCAGCGCTGTAACGACCGACCCAGCATGCTGCAAGCTGTGCTGGGGGTGGTGCGGCGGCAGCAGCAGCCCCGCAGCACCCGTGCTACCCGAGGAGGATGGCCGTTCTCCGCCGGTGCTGTAAGCCCGGCCCATGTCGGGTTCCCGGACCCCGCCGAACAGCTCGCCCTTGGCGGAGGCGCCCCTGCCGCCGGCCTGGGGGAGACCCTCCCTCAGGCCGCTGCCGGTGGAGGCTCGCGTCCGCTCCCAGCCGCTGCTGCCGCGACTGCCCGCCGGAGAGGCAGCGCCCACCAGGCCCATGTCGCTGGTGGATGAGGAAAAGGCAGAGAGACGTACCGGTGGCTGCTGCTGCTGCTGCTGGTGCGGTAGGCCTTGGGATCGGAAGGCCATGCGCGCTGCATGTGCTGCAGCCATGGGATTGAAGGATTCCGTGCTGGCTGCCGTGCTGGCTGCGGACTCAGCGACCGAGGCGCTGTCGCCGTCACAGCTGAGGGTGGAGGTGGCAGCAGCAGCAGCCGCAGCAACAGCGGCATTCAGGGTAAAGCAGCCATCGTAAGCTGCGTCCATCAGTCGCTTACTAACCTCATGGCTTTCGCTACCGGCCCCAGCCGCGCTCAAATGGACGCGGCTACCACCGTTACCGTCCTCAAGCTCACCAGGCTTCTCAGCAGCAACAGGGAGGGTGCTGTTGTGATCAACCTGCTGCTGCGATATCTGCGATCCGGCTGCTGCCTCCAGAACCGGCGGTGGCAATGGCTGCAAGGTAGCAGCTGATGGGTGGCGTGGCGAGGTGGAATGGCTGGCCTGCAGCATCCAGGGCGCGGGACTGGGCAGGCGCACCTCCAATTGGGCCCCAGAGTCCTGATACGACTGCACGTCTGCGGATTGCACCTCGTCGCTGTCTGGAGACCGAGGAGGGGACAGGGCTAGAGGCAGGGCGCGGGCCGCTGGTGACCCGGTACCGACTGCCAGAGCCGCTTGCACTTGATGGCATTGCTGAGTGCTAGGCTGATCCTGTTGCTGCTCCTGACCCTCCGCCTCCGACTGCTGCGATGGGGCTCTTTCATATGCAGCCTGGGGGTGAGAGCACGGAGAGAGTGAGCAGGGCTGCTGCTGCTCCTCCTCCTCCTCCACGGTCTCTGCTGGAAAGAGCGGGACCACGTCCTCCTCTGCACCGCGGGCCCCAGCACTAGCGACTACTCCGCAGCCGGCATCCTGTCCTGCGCCAGCTAACTGGGCAGCAATGTCAGGGTTGCAGTCGTTGCCGTCTGCTAGCGACACCGCGTGCTGCTCAACAGCAGACGCGGCCAGTCGTGCAGGGTGTTGTGTTGTGGGCGCTGAGGAAGCCGCCGACTGCCGCCGCTGACCGCAAGCAACATGTGTGGACGCGCCGGCTCTGCTGGTCCGACCTGTGGAGGGAAAGGGCCAACGGGCAGGAGATTACGGGAAAGTTTCCCAATTTGGCCAGTCACATACCGGTATAGGCCGGCGGTTTGCGTGTTGCGTAACCCCTTACGGTGAAGGTACAAGTGGTTGTGTGAACAAGGCATGTTGAAAACCAAGCTCACCGCATTGTTCAGCGGCAGCTATGCGCCAGAAGCAACTTAGCCGCTTGCTCCCAGTGTTGGCCGGTGTTGAAGGGAGGAACCAGGAGTGCAGCAAGGTAAAGATACTGTTCGACTCGTTTACTGGCGCGCCAAACCCAAGGTTCACTTCTTGCCACCAGGATGTGCTGCACCCCACGGCTGTACGCGTGAAGTGCGATGCCATAGAATACGTATGCGCCTTGTGTAGATGTCAGCTGTTGGACCGTGCGAGTACATCTGAAGACAGCCGTCAGCAGGCTGCCCAGGACTCAAAGCCCTATGCCTTATGGATTATTCCTAAGTTGATGAGCGGAAGGACAGCTCTAACCCCGCCAAAAATTCGGGGCTTAAACGGGGCTGCAGCATGACTCGAAAGGTTGGCTGATTAAAGCAAACGCCTCACAAGCACATCGCCGTGAGGCGTCGCTACAGGTTTGTCCCTAGTCCACTTCGCTGGTCGTCATGGCTTAGTGTTTGCCGTATGCGCAAGATTGTACGTTAGGTTGCGGAATTGGCATCTACGTAACCTCATTCAGTAAGTATTTCCTTAATGAAACTCGCGTGTTAGCTTAGTGTTCGTGTACCCCTGCCATGTTTAGGTAGTCAGAGTCGCGCATAACGTAGGAGGTTCGCGTGCTGCTCGAGCATCAGTCGCTACACTGAATTTTGCCTTATAATGCTTAAGTGCCCGTCGGGGGTACGTGTTCTAATTTATCTACACATCGCGGCGCCTAGCCCAGTTAGCCCCTGCTTTGGCGAATGCTAGGCGTAGTCATCAAGTGTATCAGATCATCCAGCAGCCTGCAAAGTGCAGCGCCACTAGTATGCATAGCCCGTGCAGCGCTGGGCTTTGCCGGCAGCCGGAAGCTGGGGACCAAGGGTTATCAGTCCGCCGCAGATGCAACACCGCCGACTGTCTCACTTCAAGGTATATGCGTCGTCTTGCTTGGTTTTCAAAGTCGTTAAAGGTCTAGTTAGGCCTCGTAGCGGGCTTATCTTACAAACATAGCCACAGGTTTGTCTGGCTCCCGTTGCACCACACAATCACGTTGCGCATCCTAGCCTCTTTGCCCCTCAGGTACGCTTAGACCACGCAAGCCACCTAATCCTCTTTCCCCTTACACCACCGCAGCACTTCTGGACAGAGGAGTTTCGGTCTCTGTCCTGCCGTTCGAAATATCAGCGGCGGAGGCCGTACGGCGCTTCGAGGAGTACCAGCGCGAGTCCTGCATGTACCTGCACGCGCCCAGCCTCCTGAATGCCGCCTCCACACACGATAACATCGTTCCGGGAGAAGCCCACGCCAACAGGGCTGACCCTGGCCAGCAAAACCCATCTGGGAAGGCTGGTGGTACCGCTAGCAGCAACAACAACAGCAACAGCGATGCGAACAGCGGTGGGAGCAGCAGCAGCAGCAGCAGCAGTGGCCCCAGCGGCAGGCCCGACAATGGCAGCAGCGTGGTTGCATCCTACCTGCCGTTCTGGTGTTTCGACGCCACCTTTAGCAGCGAGGCCCGGGCCAAGCTGGGGTTCAAGGATGAGAGGTAGGGCGGGCTCCTCGTTGGGGCGGGTGCACAGCAACTACCGTAGGAGGAGGAGCTGACCGCCGCTGGCAACAAGGGGCCTGGCCTACTAGCACGCACCATGCCCCAGGCGTTGCGGCACCTATCCTATCCTATGTTCCTATCCTATGCCTCCTAACCCCAAGCCGTGCTCTTCAAACCCACCGGTATCCCCCCGCAGCACGCGTGAGGTGGTGTGGAAGGACATGTCCGACCCGCTGCCCCTCAGTACCCGCGCCCTCGCCTCCCACCAGCAGCTCCCCGCGCTGCAAGTCTACGCAGCCTACTCGCACCTGCGTGACGTGGGCGCAGGCGCGACAGGCGCGGGGCTGCCCGCCCGCGCCCGGCCGCTGAGTGCCGCGGAGGCTGCTGCGGGTGCGGTGGGTGGTGTGGAGCTGGCGGGTGCGGCCATGCGGCAGGGGCTGGCGTGGCAGCTGGCGGTGCGGGGACTGACGCAGCAGCAGCTGGGCGAGGCGGAGGTGGCGGTGCGGGGAGCCACGCGGGCGACGGACTTGAAGGATGTGCATGTGTCGCTGCGGGTAGGAAGGGAAGGGGAGAGGATTAACAGAGATACCTATTCCGCAATAGGGAAGGGGAGGGGGAGAGGGCAGGCGGGAGGGAGGTTACAACGGGTGGGGTGTGAGGATGTGAAGGGCTGAGGACATTTACATGAAGGGCACGGACAAGGAAAAGGGGTGGCATAGGCAAAGCGGCACCGCGATGCCGCGTCACCTGATTGGGGCTGGGGGCTGCTCCTTGTAGAGGCCCAGCACGGGGGCTTCCTGGCGTTGTTTGACCTCCCTCCTTCCTGTATTACCCTGGACTCCTCCTATCCTGAGTTCCTGACCCTTGAGACCCTTCTCCAGCGCCCTTTCCAACCTCATCCCTGGTTCGCCTTCTCCCTCCCTTCCCTTCCTTAGTTCCACAGCCGCTCCTGCCGGCTGGTGTTCCTGCCCGCCTACATCGCCACCTACACGTGCGGCCACCGCTACAAGCGCGGCACCAGCGGCGTCATCGTGCCGCAGTGGTTCACGGCGGCAATCGGGGGCACGCGGGAGGGTAAGACAGGGCGGCGGCGGCGGCAGAGGTTGGCGAAATCCACACAAGAAAGCTTGTAGGAAACTCCTTACGCAGTGCTCCCCAAAACACCCAGGCACCATCGAACCCCATACCCATCATACGTACTCAGCTACTCACCCTCCCCGCTCCCCTGCCGCCCTGTCCCCCCCTATCCTGCCCCCAGGCCGGGTGGTAGCTCCCCAGCACGTGTCCCCCGCCAAGGCATCCCTGGGCGGTGGTGGCCTGGTGGGCGGGCTGGGGCTGCTGGCGGGGGGCGGCCTGCCCCTGCCGCTGGGTCTGGGACTGGAGTCGCTGCTGCCGCAGCTGGGGGCGGTGGAGGCGCTCACGATGGCAGCACTGGCGGCCAGTGGGGCAGGTGAGCGGTGCGCGCCGCAGCTGGCCTTGCATGGCCTTGCATGGCCGCGCTGGCCCTACCTGCTTTCCCGTCGCCCCTTTCTCATCACCTACGCCCCTCCTCACCTACGCCCCTCCTCTCCTACGCCCCTCCTCTCCTGCTCCCTCCCCCCCCCTCACGTGGCAGGCATGTGGGCCTCCAGCCGCACCGCCTCCCTGCGAGCACACCACGCCGCGGAGCAAGCACGTGCGGACTACGAGTTCTACAAAAAGTACGACATCCATGAAACGTACGGCAGTGCCGCAGCCGCCGCCGCGGCTGCCGCGGGTGCGGACCCCAACAACCCCTCCGCCGGCGGCGGCCCCGCCAGCGGCGCCGCCGGCGGCGCTGGCAGTGTGGTTGAGGAGTATATGCTTTGGTTGTGGAGCGATGCCGACTGGCGGCGGTGGGAGCACGATGAACCTTGGAACTGGGATGAGGAGGAGCGGCGCAAGTGGTGCGTTTGGGTGGTGTGAGGGGAAGGGATGGAGTGGGAGAGGAACAAACTCGCGTTATCTGTATACAGTATGTTACCACAGTTTCGATCGGCATTAACTCTCGCTGGTCGCGCTGTTGTTGTTGCCGTACCGCTGCTGTCCCGCACTCACCCGCAGGGCTGAGGAGCTCTGGCGCAAGCACGCGCTGCGGCGGCTGCAGCGGCAGCGCCACTCGCAGCGCATGGCGGCGGAGGCGGCCCGGCGGGCGGCGGAGGAGCAGGCGGAGGCGCGGCGGGAGCGCATGTACGGCAGCAGCTCCCGCAGCAGCGCGCACCGGCCTCGGGATCACGGGGTGGGCGGCGGCGAGGAGGAGGAGGAGCTGTTTGCAGGGGGCGGGCGGCAGCAGCGCAGGCGGCGGCGGTCGGACTTCCTGGGATATTACCGAGCTCTAGGGCTGCAGGATGCAGGTGGGCGGGTAACAAGGCTGCTGAACGTTCCGCCCCCGTTATCATGTCACCCATGCACACCACCACAGAACGTTCCTACCCGCGGCCAGGTTTCTTAACACACCACCACGCCATATCACCATCACATTTCTGTAGGTACCGGTACTAGGGCTTGGACAAATCACTGTCCTTGTTTACCTTGCCCCAGCGGTTTCCTCCCTTCTACCTCGCATTAGCTTATGCATGCTGACCCCCCGACGGGTCTGTCTTCTCCCGCTCGTATCCATGCTGCCGTTCATACGCTACCCCCAGAGGCTGTGTCCACCGATGACATCAAGCAGGCCTTCAAGACGCAGGCGCTGTTGCTCCACCCCGACAAACACGTGAGCGCGGACGAGGAGTCACGCCGTACGACGCTGGTGAAATTCCAGAAGTTGCAAATTGCGTACGACACGCTCAAGGATGCCGAGAAGCGGCGATTGTACGACAGGGGGCAGTTCGTGCCTTGAGTTCGTTCCTTTGGGGCCGCCGTAAGGGAGTGGGGCATGCGGGATGTTTAGTAGGTTGTATATATGGCACATGTGGTGTTTACTTGCCGGTATACTTAACAATTTACAGGCTGCTTGGGGGCTGTGTGGTTAGTTCACTGTACGCTGTCGGTGTACCCATGGGCAGTCCCATGGGTCGTTCAGAACGCTATAGCCTTGCGCTTCGCGCAGCTGGCAGGGCAGACCCACCAGCCTATCAGCCCCATACAGATGTATGTAATAAGTTCATGGTTACATGGCTGACCAAACCCATAATCCAGATCTGTCGGAGCAGCTCGGCTCTGAATCATGGCGCGGTTTGCCGCCAGAGCTTTCGTCCGCAGCCTTGCGCTTCCTACCAGCCAATGAAACAGTGCTAGTCGCATGTCAGTGTCTGCGTCACAGTGGCTGCCCCTGGGGCGATGCTTTGGCGGCAGCTGCCGAGGCGGGGCAGCGGGCGGTTTGCGAGTGTCTGCTGGCGCATGACTGCCCCCGGAGTATGCCGTACCCTTTAGCCGCGCCCAACAAGACTCTGGGACCTAGTCGCGGGACCTAGTCACCTGTCCCTGTCTCTGTTGGGCACGGCTCCCTGCCTTGTGCATGGCGTGCCCCCTGGGGTAGGGCGGTCGATGCCCTGTTAGAATGTACGTCCGACGATGGTCTCTGCTACTGTCCCCCGCTGCAACATCCGCATCCTAACAAGAACCCTAATCTCGGAGCAAGCAAACGATGCACCTTGACAACCCGCCAACGTATCTATGCATATCTGTGCATATCGCTTGAACAATTACAGTGTGGGCTTCTGCGTGCTATCACGTGAACGCCGCTGTGCACAATACGACCGATTCGAAGCGCAACGTAATCAACCGCCGCTACGGTCTCCAGCGAGAGTCTCCATCTAGCTAAGTTAGTTGTGAGCTACGCACAAATGCAAAAAAACAGTTAACTGTAGTCCTGTTAGTCCTGTATTACGTGTACAGCAACATTACATTTGCCACTTCTTGCCATCGGGCGCATTCTCACTGCACCCTGGATTGAACATGATTATTAATCTTAGCAGACATAGTATTAGCGCCTTCTGCACAGTCCACTGCGTCCCTAGAGTTATTTTCCAACGGTTCCAACTTAACGACTCCAAACCCTAGCAGGACATAGCATCGTAATACTGCATTCGCGCATCGAGGCTGCGCAACGACGAACCGGAACTGCCATGAAGACTCATCTTCAGCTCCATTTCAGGTCCCCACGGCCCTGCTACCTCGTATCTCCGCTGCCTCCGCTGACTCAGCTGCCTCGAAGACCCAATGTCCGCTTCACCGCTACCGCCACCACCCCCGCTGCAGCTGCAACACCAACACCCGCACCAACCCAAGGCGGCCTCTTGCCCCACCCCTCCGCCTCCGCGCCTCCCTCCTCTCGGCCCCCAAACTTCCACCACGTGCTTCACTCCGTGTACAAGAACCCGCCCGATGCGGCTGCTGAGCAGCTGTTGCTGCTGGAGGTGGGAGGTGGGGGCGGCCGCGGGAGGGCCGCGTGCGTAGGTTAGTTGCGTGTTTCGCCCTCCCTTTTACAATACTTGCTGGATGTACTTGTAGCCGCCTTACATCACATGACCTTGCTCCCTTCCAACCCAATCCTATAATTCCTAACCTGACCTTGACCTAACATGACGAACTAGCACCCTCCTCCTTTCACCCCCCACCCGCAGCACCTCACTCTCCAGCGGCTGGAGCAGCTAGACGCCGAGGCCCTCATCGCCGTCATGTCCGCCTTCGCGCGCTCGCCCCACGCCCCCGACCCGCGCATTCCCGCCCGCATGGCGTCCGCCACGGAGGCCCCCGGCGCCCTGGCGTCGCTGCCGCCGCGGCTGCTGGAGGCTGCGGCCTGCTCGCTGGCGGCGGTGCGGTATCGCCCCTCGGCGACCTGGCTGGAGGGGCTGGGCGGGGCGCTGGAGGTGCGCTGGAGAGACCTGGGGTCTGGGTGGGGCCCACGGGATGTATGGACGGATGAGGTTTGCAGTCTTTGTTAATAGTATTGCTTAGCGGTGAGGTGAGGGCATACATGGTTAAGGTCGGCGTTCCAAAAACAGCAGAAACACCTAGAGCCTGACTTTCCCGTCTCACCCGCTCCTTCCCGCTGCCACCCCAACCCTCCCCTCCGCTGTCCCTTCCCCAGGCCCGCTGGACCACCTTCTCTCCCTCCCAGCTGGCCGCCACCCTGGTCGGCGCGGCTGCCTGCGGCCTCACCGCCCTGCCGCCCGCAGCCCGCACGCAGCTGCTGCCCCGCCTCATCGCGGCGGCCACCGCGCCCGGCAGCGCCACATCGCCCGGAACCCTGGCCCAGCTGGTGTGGAGCGCGGGGCACTTTGGGTGCTGCCTGCAGGAGCCCCAGCCTGAGCCCTGCATGGAGGAGGGGGAGCGCAGGACGGCAGCAGCAGCCATCAGCCCTCGGACTAGCCCAGTGGCATTGTACGGCAGCAGCGACAGCGGCAGCAGTAGCAGCATGCCGGCGGCTTCAGCAGCAGTAGCACCCGCTGTCGTATTGCTGCAGAACGCTCAGGACTCACAGCGGCAGCAGCAGCAGCAAGGCGGTACCCGTGCTACTGCAGAGGCTGTGCTGGCCTGGTGGGAGGCGGGCGGTGTGGTGGAGGCTGCGGAGCCGGGGGACCTGGTGCTGCTGCTGCATGGGGTTGCAGCGCTGGGTTTGGTTCCGGGGCGGGGGTGGTCGGGGCGGCTGCTGGGGGCGGTGATGGGGTCGCGGGCGGCGCTGGGGGCGCTGGACGTGCGGCTGCTGGGGCTGCTGGGCTGGGCGGCGCTCAAGGTAGGGCAGGAGGCGCTGCGGAGGGAGTGGCTGGAGGGGTTCGTGGAGGCGCTGAGGAGGCGGGTGGGGGAGGCTGGGCTGCGGGGTGATGATGATGATGAGGAGGAGGAGAGGAGGGGGAGAGGAGCAGGCGGGAGGAGGAGAGCGGGGAGGGATGTGTGGCTGGGGGTGGGAGCGGGAGTGGGCTGGAGTGAGGCTGGTGAGGAGAAGGGGGACCTCAACACGCAAGCGCAGGACGGCTGGCAGCGGCGAGAGGGAGAGCAGCAGCAGCGGTTGCGGTGGCAGCAGCAGCGGGAGGCGCAGCCGGCGGATGTGGCGTTGGCTTTGAGCAGCCTAGCGGGGCTGGGCGGCCATGTGGGGGGTGGGGAGGGGGCGGACGGGGAGATAGCGCGGTACTGGCGGGGGCGGGGGCGCTGGGCGGCGCTGTCGGCGGAGGATCGAGTGGTGCTGGGGCTGCTGGGGTACGGTCCCGGGGAGGGAGGGTAAATAGAAGGATACCCAATGTGTTGAATGAGGCTGGCAAACAAGCCGATGAGCTCCTGGGGAGGGAGGGTAAGCGAGGAGACGAGCGAGGCATGGGGCGGTCGGTTGTGACGCTGCGGAAGGGCTGCTGGTGTGGCTGGCTGATGGAGGTCGGGTGCGATGGGATGGACAGGTGGTTATGTAATGGAGGCTTCCGTTGTGCGGGTGACGGCGATTGTGAAGCATGCATGTACGTGTACATATTAGGGTATGACGCTAGTTTGAGTGTCGTACCTGCAATTGTACAAGAGCTGTGATGCATTCCTTTATACTGCCTTGCATAGGCATTATGTATCATAAGATGACCTCCGCATCACACGCTTCAACACTAGCAGAACCGTATAACCGCTGCTGCAGCACGCACCCCGATCCCTCAACGGGTCGTCAACGGGTCTTTCTATGGTCACGGTCAGCGTTTCCTCGCGGCTCAGTTTACCTAACCCATCCGCTCCCGTAACGCCTGCTGCTCACTGGCATCCCCACAGCAACAGCGCCCCCTCCTGCATACACCCATGCCACACATTTGTCAATCCAACATGTACCGTACCCACGCATCAGGTCACCCTGGTCAACCCATCATCACAACTCATCACCCGTGTTCCCTTTTAGGGAGGAAACCATTGTACGGTCATTCAATTACAATTTACAATTCACGTATGCTGCATGCTGCGGCTGCCTGGCGCCCCAGCCAGTGTCCGCGGCGCACCAGGGGCTCATCGGGCCCCGGGTTTGGAGATGAGCGCCCGAGGCCGGGTCTTGAACAGGTACTGGTGCCTGATGACCCCCACCACCTGCGGATGGTGGACATCATAGCCGCATGGGGCGTTGGGAAGTACTTCACGTATCTACGTTACAGCGTGCGGAGACATCCATTGGTGCATGAGAGGAGGGGGTCTGGACATTCGCAGATGGGTGCATGGATGGGGGCCGGCTCCAGTGTACGGACTGGTGTGAAGTGGATCGCACAATTGGACAGCACCACGATGCAAGCGGTACCGAGTGGGTACCGAGTGGCAATCCGTGAGGCAAGTGGAGCGGACTGCGGGACCCATATGCGGGTGCCTTACATACCGCCTTCATGCAGAGACCCCTGCATGCATGCATGCTAGCCAGGTAGCCGGCGGGCTAGCCATCCAATCGGTGTGTGCCTGCTCCCTGCTGCAAGCCTGCACCCGACCGGCCTGCCTGCTGCCCTGTCCGCCCAGCCGCACCTCATACGCTGTGCCGCCCGCTTGCTGCGCTTTGCTGTCGCTTTTGCTGAGGATGGCCATCGGCTTCTTGAGGCTCACTCGCTTGCCCTCCAGTTGGTGGTAGCCGATGGTGAGCTGCAGTGCCTTGCCCTCCTGAGGACCAGAGCGGCATTGGAGGGGCGGCGCGATGGGGTTATTAATAGGTTGTTCAGGAGATGTTGGAATTGAGGTAGTTGGTGCAAAAGGTATGATGTACTAGTGGCGCTACTTTGTGGGTGAGAGCCGGGATGTGATTTAGGAATGGAGATGTTTTTGGTAACCGGCCAGAGATGGTGAAAACAATGGCGTATAGGTATGCAGGAAGGATAAATGGTAATTGTGGAAAATGCATCAGGCAATCATGTTCCGTGGTCTGGTTAGTGTGAATCAACATGCGTGTCCCCTGGCACCAATCTTGGCAAGGCTGTCTTCCTAACGGACATCCTCCAAGGCTTTAATGCCAAGAGTGCATGCCCGTGCCCAGAGAGCATCATGGAGAAACAGGGCTTCGTGCCTTGCCTGGTCCTTGGAAAGGAGCATGCCTATCTCAGTTGTTTGCTCCTCGGTTAGGCTCTCTATCTTGCCTTGAAGCTCCACGAGAACCCATTCTACAACCTTTCCCTCTGGGCAGGTTATAGGTATAATCATGCTTACTCAACCGTTGGAGCTGCGACGCAACTTGTGGAAAATGTGTAACCGATGGAAATTATGAAGCCTTGTAAACGTAAATAGTGAATCCTTCTACACTACAAAGGATCGTGGATGGCATTATTGTCTCTTCTGTACTTCCCGCTCAAATGGTGCTCGTACTGTACACATTACTCACGCTCGGGAGGCGTGAGTTCAGACGACTGTACCGACAAGCTTCAAAGTTACCATAATGTAACTTTTAACGTTTTTGATGTAGCCTCTGTGATGTATGTTGGGGGGTCGAGATGGCCGCTCAGGCTGAAATTCCACCGGAGCAGCTAGCTAACATCGTCCTAAAAAGCAAATGCCCTTTCCAGGCCCTAGGAGTTTATCCAAATAGCAGCCTTCCTGACGTGAAAGGGGCTTATCGGCGCCTATGCCTTATTTTTCACCCAGACAAGTCTACCCTTCCGCACCAGCTAGCCTCAGAGGTCTTCCAAGCCCTACACGGCGCTTACAGCGCCGCAACTCAGAAACTTCAACCTGCTCAGCGGCAGTCTGGCCCAAAGGACATCTGGTCGGCGTTCTATTCCGCTCCTGACGCACCCAACGAACCAGCGCACCAGGCTCCGCCCCCAGCCCCAGCAGCGGCACCAGTCCGGCCAGCCCAAGCCTTTCGGCAGGTGGGATCCGGAATGGGGCCCACCTGTGCATCTTGCAAAGCTGGCCTCAGTTACGCATGGAGTTGGGGTCAGCGAGCTTCGGCCCACAGCTGCGAGTGTTGCTCTGCGCTGTGGCCGCACATCCGCCGAGTTCACTCTTAACAGCGAAATGCACTTCTCTCCTTGCCGGCACAGGGCGGCGCATGGGGCTCCTCCCGGAGTTGTACGGCGTCTGCCTGGGGCCGCCCTGCCGTACCGCCTGGGCCCGCGGTCTCACATACAGTCCCGGCTGGCAGCGCGGAAGCCCCAGCGCAGAAGGGAGGTCGGAGCAGCGCAGCCCTCAAGGGACCTCAACCCGGCGTGCAGGCTCCGCCTCCGCCCCGACGCGCTCGTGAGGTAGTAGCCCGCGCGGAGGCCTCAGGGGCTCCCGCGGCTGCGGTTGAGGAGGACTCTGAAGCGGGTGAAGGCCCTAACAAGCGGCGACGTCAGGCGGCACCAAGTAACGAGCAGCAGCGCCGCCCCGGTGCGTCCCGCACTACTGGGCTGGCCGTGGCTGCGCAGCAGCAGCAGGGTGATGCAGTCCTCTGTGGCAGCGGCCATCTGGGTCAATCGGATGCAGCAGCAGCAGCGCACGGAGCACCCGAAGCAGCAGCGCATGGAGAACGGGGCGACAGCGGTTCCCGATCACCAGGCAGCGGGGAGGACTTCCACGGACCGGAGCCTCCGCCTCCACCGTTGCAGCAGGAGCAGCAGCATGCTGGGCCCCGGCAGGTATGTAAGGAGGGCAATGCGTTGGGTGTTCGTCACGGAAAGCAGGGAAGGCAATGCTGGCCTGAGAACGTCTTTTGCGGTTGGTATCCTTTGATTCCCCGACCGGGCAACTGCTCAGGGCATAGACTTGTCCAAGACGCCTAGCTGCCCCTTGCGCGACACCCCTGTTCCCGCACCCGCCGGATGCCCCCCAGGGATGGGGCAGTGCCTGGACGAGGCGGCCGGTCCTGGGCGCCAACGTGAGGCTGGCGACCTTCCCAGCGGTGTTCGGGGGCGGGCGACACGAGGAGGAGGGCGCAGGAGACGAGGAGCCCGGGCTGGATGAGGACGACAGCGAGGTGGAAGGCGAGGAGGACGATGACGACGGCGAGGGCGAAGACGACCCAGAGCAGCATCGGCCGCAGCGGACACAGCGACAGCGGTTACAACAGCCGCCGCCAGCTGCTGTCGTGCCATCTGGGTTGGCTTCTTCCGAGGAGCTCAGCGAAGAGAGCCTTCTGCCAACAGAGTCAGCATCTCCAAGCAGCAGCAGCAGTATAGTCATTTCTGAGGACTCCGAGAATGCAGAGGACGCGGAGTTCGTTGACATTGGAGTTCTGCACCGCAGCAGGGTTACCTCCTCAGCGCAGGCAGGCCTGCCAGCAGCCGCAGCATCGGGAACCGTTCGGGCGCCGGCCGGCGGACAACGCGCAACGCAATCAGAAGCACGACATAGTAAGGGCAGCAGCACAGGGCAGAAGCGGAGCAGCTTGCCCGGCGGCGCATGCACGCCCGGGGACGGCTTGGCGGCCACCGGGGATGCTGCATGGCCCTCGGGGGCGTCCCGGCAGCCACTCCCTGGCAGCACCACCACAGGGGTGCGGGTGGCGAGCGGCCGGGGCCTCCCTGCCGAGGCGCTGCAGGGGCCTGGCGCCGCATGGGGCCGGCCGGCGCGTGGGGTGCTTTCCTTCTCCCCAGCTGCGGGGCCGAAGCCAGCTGGTGGGGAAGGGGGCTGCATGGGAGCGGGTGCAACTGGGGGCGGTGCAGACGCAGCGGCTGCAGACTGGGATGTAGTGGGGAGCCTGCGCAGCCGCCTTGCGCAGCGGAAGGCGACGCAAGGACCAGCAGAGGGTGTTGCCAGCGGCGTTGGTAGGGGTGCCGCCGGGCGGATGCCTGGGACGGCAGGTGCTGGAGCGGAAGTGCAGCCGCCGCCCCTTCAACAGCAGAACCCGCATCCTTGGCAGGCATGGGTTGACGAGGGTGAGGGTGTGTCAGAAGCTCGTTCGTACATGCTACAGCAGCAAGGCTGGATGCACGGCTCACTGGGGCCGGGAAAGCCCCGCAAGCATGGCGGTGACGTGGGAGGAGCCAACGAGTCAGGGCGGCCGGGGTGTCATCATGGACCCAGCTTGGAGACGGCGGGCCGGCGAAGCCATGCGGCCGATCCTGGGGCGCAGGACAGGCTTCACGACAACGGTCGTACGACTTCAGAGCAGCTGCCGCCGGCGCCGGGCGGGCTAGGTGGAAAGGCGCCCCATGTTGGGTCTGTTGGCTCCTTTGGCCCTGGAGGCGACCTGGAGGAGGCTGGAGTGATGGCTGCTGCGGTGGAGCACGTGGACAGCGAGGGCGGCATGGATCAAGGAGATGGAGAGGGAGACGGCGATGGCGATGGATTTTGTGAAGAGGGCGATGGCGGCTGCGACGCCGACGTCAACGACGACTGGTGGGGCAACCCGGACGAGCTGAGGGATCACCCAGTTGACGCGTGTCCAGAAGCGGCAGCGGCAGGCGTGTGGGCCCAACAAGCGACCGACCAATCCGCGGGCGTTGGGGCACTGGAGGCATTTTTACGCCAGGCAAGTGGTGGTTGGGGTTTATTCATTCCCCACCACGTTGAGAGACCTTTTGTGGCATTGCGGGGGCTGTGGCAGTGCGGCCTCTCCAAACCCGGTTGGCTGAAGTAGGCACCCATTGTGGCCCATGCAGGTTCAGCGAGGTGGGGAGCTGCAAGCGCAACGAGCCGGCCAAGCGCGCATTAAAGACCTACGACGCAACGCGCTGCGGCTTCCCTTTGGCCGCCGCGGTGGAGGCCGCGGCGGCGGTGGCGGCAAGGGTCGTGGCGGCGGCGGTTCCGGTTCCGGTAGTAGCAAGGCCCCAAGCGCTGGTGGCGGTGGCGGCGGACGTAAGGCCGGTGGTGGCGCTCGAGGCGGCGGTCGTGCTGGTGCAGCGAGCTCGGGCAGCAGCCGGGGTGGGCGGGGCATTCTGCGGTACAGCAGGCCTATGGCCAAGTGATGTGCAGGAGGGCCCCTTTGTAGCTTGGTGGGACACCCACACTCGCCTGTGCGTATGTACTCTTACGGAGAGGCTGGGACACGCATTTGTGACTGGTGGCATCTGTGTGGTCGTGCTGTGCTTGTAACATATAAGTGTGAACTAGTGAACATAAGCCAGGCGAAAGCCGAGGGTACCGGTACCTTACACGTTCTGCACCAATGGTAGCATACAGGTTAATAGAACGCAGACGCCAAACCATGCCGAATTCGAAGCCTACATATCCCACTGTAACCCACACGTCATGGCGTGCTCTGCCCACTCCCAAGCTGCCAATGCGACAGTTGACAAAACATATACGACCCACATAACAAGCGAAGAAACCGCCAAACCAACTAAAGCCCACAAACACACCACTACATGTTGAACGCCCCAAATAGTAACCCCTGAAAGTAATTTCGCTGATTAGATACAACTGCTATGAATCGCTCCTTAGCTTCTCATCATATCACTCCCAGGACCTTCACTATCACCCTCAGGATACGCTGCTACACGCAATACACGCCACACACTCCTTTGCAAACCGGCTGCGCAGGCGGTATCCGCACGGGCGGTTACCAAAACTTGGGCCTCTCATCTCAGACCCCTCCGAAGTAACGCTCGCTGACCCTCCTCTCACCCTCACCCTCAGCCGGCTCCAGGCCGGCAGGGCATTCCCAAGGCATGCCGATCACAATCTGCAATCCGGCATGACTGGCCAGTGCTCTATACTGCTTAACCCCTTATCACACCTAGGCGCACACCTTTGCAAAACACCATTGCAGCAGCGCCCGCAGCAAGACCCACGGGTCACTGACTGAAATAGCAATAAACACTCGCATGATTGTATAATAGGATTCAATCGATTTCAGCACTGATCACTTCAATCAAGAGTTTCTCGGCGGCCTCATCGTACAAGGACTCTATTAGGGCAGACCGGACCACGATGTCATACACAGCAGTTCCACTCTATAGGCAACTCACCATGCTCAGCATGCACACGTAGCCTGCCAGGAGTATCATACAAACCCGCCACTCCTTTTTTCTCCCCTCCTACTCACCACACGCCAACTCGAAACCCAGGCCGGTACGGACAGTGCAGCCGGAAATAGCCCCAGCTGAGCAAGAGGCTAGCCCGCGCAAACCTGATTCGAAAATACAACCAAGATCTGCACCTTCCAAACCCTTATTCTCATACCTACAGAGACATGGAACAGCTGCTCTACAGCTGCTCTCGCCTCTACAACGTCATTGAACCAACGCTCGCACCTACTCCGCATGCGTCTTGCCTGCTGGCACCCCAGCGGCCAGGGGCTGCTCCTGCCGCCGGTCAGCTGCTGCGGATGAGGAGGATGAAGCGGAAGAGCTGGTTTGACCAAACAGCTGCGCCGCCTTGCGCATGTTGAGCCAGTTGGTGAAGGCCATGCCCGCCAGGCACATGACGTAGTACAGCGGCGAGCCGAAGGCGCCCGGGTTAGCCAGCACCACCACCGCCACGGCGGCGTGCGGCAGCAGGCGGCACGTCACCAGGGTCACCTGCTCAGCCAGGCGGGTGTAGCGGCGCAGGGAGGTGCGCGCCAGGCCTGCAGGTGCGGGGGGGGGTGCGGGTGTGGCAGGCTTAGCGGGCCGCGCAACGCCTGGGGGACTCAACACGAGGCATGACAGCCTGTGACACTTTACGGGGCCGGAGTTTTCCCTAGTCCAGATCCAGACCCAAATGCATGCGGTCCCTAGGGCCGGCTCCATGCGGTCCAGCCTCACTGCGCCAACACCTATGCAGCCACCCCAATGCGCCCAGCCAGCCCCCACCCTACCCGCCATGTCCTGCAGCTTGCCCGCCAGGAACAGCACGCTGAACACCTCGGAGGCCAGCGTGGCGGCCAGGAAGGGCACCCCCACGCCCTTGATGGTTGCGGTTCCGAACAGCACCGCCAGCAGCGTGTACTGCAGGATGGCGGAGACGGAGCGAGCGAACAACCGGGCGCGCACGCAGGCCCACAGGTTGAACGCGAACACGCCTGCGGCAGTGAATGGGACAAGGGGAGAGAGGGGGGTGCGGATGCGCCAAGCGGAAGCGGAAAGAGTCAGAGTTCGTTACGAGGTGTCTCAGGCCTCAAGGGGCAAGGGAAACGGTATGTAACATGCATGGCTGGACGCCTTTCTTTTGTTCCGGCAATGGGCTATGCTGTCCTGCCGTGTGCGGTCACTATCACAAGAAATTAGGAAGGACGGCCGAGGTAGTTGAGGTTGTGGGTGAGAGCCTACCAGTTGACGCCGCCGTAATGATGGAGGGAAGGGTAATGTCGGAGGGCTGCTGGGCGAGCTGAAGGGCGCGTGGCTCGGCAGCGACGTAGGCCAGCGCGGCGACCGAGGCGGAGGCGGAGTAGAGGATGTGCGCAACGTCGCTGCACCACAGCGCACGGCGCTCGGGCGACAGGAACCTGCGTGGCAGGTTAGGGGTTGGGGGTGGTTAGCGGTGCAGGAGGGAGGAGGTGGCGCCACACGGACCACCGCATCTGAACCTCAAGGGGCAGAACAGGTGCCGTGGCAGGCACCACAAGCGTTACGGAGAGGTATGAATATGTCTCCACTGCTAGATCATGCAGAAAGTACGGCATACAAGTCGTTGGATAGCTATGCCTTGCCAGTTTTGCCGCTTCCGTACCTGTAGGACGGCACGAGTGCCAGCGACGCGAAGTGCGCCGCCCCCGCCACCAGCGCCATGAGGCAGGAGGCGGCGGGCAGTAGCCACATGTGCGGGTGGCGGCTCACCATGAGCCCCGCCAGGAAGAAGTACAACGCCATCAGCGCCTGCAGCAGCCGAGGAAAGAACGCCAACACACAACAAACGTCAACGATGAATCCAGAAATGGGCATTCATGTTGCACTACCGCAATTAACAATGGGTTTTCACGTTGACAAAGGGCTTAAGGATAAGGTGCCATTGGCCATCAGGCGAGATGTCGCAATTCCCAGCAGAGGTGCTGAAGAACGCAACGCCAGCCCATCTTCAACAAGATACGTGCCCAAGAGCGTACACGGGGCACACGCACCTGCGTGATGGGGTCGGACGGCAGCTCCTGCACCAGCGAGCTAGCAGAGCTCGACACGGACAGCAGCGCTGCGGGCGCCATGCCACTGGCGCTCATGCGGCCCGGGGCAGCAACAGCCGCGGCAGCGGCACTCGCGGCAGCTGACCCATGGGTCGCGTCCTTGACCAGCAGGATATGGTAGTTGTGGATGTAGCGCGCGTCAAAGGCTGCCTCGCAGTACGCAAAGTAGAACCTGTACTTGCGCCAGAAGCGCTCGTTGTAGCCCAGGGCTAGCACCTCCCCGCGGCGCTGCTCCCAAGCGTCCCGCCAGGAACGCAGCGTGATGGCGTAGTCGGGCCCGATGTCATGGGTGTCCCGCAGCGACAGGCCGGTTCCCCGGCAGCAGTCGGCGATGGCGCCCAGGGAGGGCAGGTGGCCGCCGGGGAAGATGTGCTCTCGGATGAAGTCGGAGGTGTGGCAGTAGGCCTCATACCTGCGCGAGGAAGGCGGTGGTGGTAAGGGTTGGCAAGAGCATGTATGTAGCATACCGGTAACCGGGGAAATCGCCGTTGACAAGGAAGCTTTACCGGTATGTTGAGGTGCCGCTTTCCGGTGTCCCCAGTCAGTGACCAAGCGCACGTCCCTCCGAGCGCAGCGCACCAGCACAGCGCACCGCACCGCGACCCACCTCTCGTCCGCAGAGCAGATGGCCTGCAGCACCGCGCGGCCGCCCGGCTTGAGCATGGTGCCGATGACGGCAAAGTAGGGCCGCAGGTGCTCGTGCCCCACCGCCTCGATCATCTCCACGCTCACCACCGCGTCAAAGCTGCCCGGCCCCAGCGCCGCCACCGTGTCCCGGTAGTCGCAGAAGAGCAGCGTGATGCGGTCCTGCGGGGAGTGGGCGGGAGTGGGTGATGATTGGATGAAGCAAGCCGCGAGTTGGAGGGAGGGAGGGGTGAGGGAATTGGAGAGTGGGTGCCAGCTGCCAGCGAGCACACACGTATCCCTACCTCCGTGCTCCTCTACCGCCCCTAAGCCCCCATGCACTTCGCCACACACACGCCCTGCGAGCTTTCATCCCACATATCCCGATCCCTCCCACATGCTTCCCTGTTAAACGTTCTGATATAGTACGTGCTGTTATTGTACGAACACGCAAAGGTATTCGCCGTAAAAATGGCATGTCTATACGTTTTGATGATAATGCAGCTGTTATTATTAACAAAGAAGGCAACGTCGCCGAAGGCGAATCGGCGACAACCCACCCTTCCGGGTGGAAAACAAAGTGTTGTTCACCCGGAGGGTGCCTTCGGCGACGTTTTATATTTTTTATTGTATGGTTTTTAACCATACAATAAAAAATATAATAAAGAAAAGAAAGGAGGTTCTGGCTACTCTGCCAAGCCAAACCCTCATCCCTTATCACCCCTCCACACCCCCGCAACCTCACCCCCCACACCCACCTGCAGCCCCGCCGCCGCCACCCGCTCCGTCGCCTCCGCCAGCTGCTCCTTGCTGATGGTGATGCCCGTCCACCTGCACCCCGTGGCCTGCACCGCACGGATGGCGAAACCGCCCCAGCCGCACCCAATCTCCAGCACATGATCCTCCCGCCCGATTCGCGCCTTTGCCACCAGCGCGTCAATCTTGTTGAGCTGCGCCTGCTGCAGCGAGTCGGTGGGGCTGCGGTAGAGGCCCGAGCTGTAGGTGAGGGTGGCGTCCAGGAAGAGCTTGTACATGGCGTTGCCGGCGTCGTAGTGCTCCTCGATGTTCTTGCGGCTGCCTGTGGGAGCAGGAGGAGGAAGGGGAGGAAGGAGGAAGAGGACAGGGATGGGATGGGATGGGGGGACAAGGCGAGATTGCATGGAGCTGCGTGCTGAGGGCTCCACTGGTGCTTCTTCCGGATGGCGGTGGGACCGCCCCACCCAAGGCTCGCCCAGTCCCAATCCCGTCCAGCAGTCCCAGACGCCCCGGCCCCTACCCTGTATGGTGTTGGGTCTGCGCAGGTGCGCCAGGAACAGCAGTCGCTCTCCCAGCCAGTTGAGCAGCCCCATGTGGCCCCGCTCGCTCTCCGCCGCCACCGCGTTGGCCAGCAGCACCGCCATCAGCGCGCCCAGGCTGTCAGCCTCGAAGTCGCCTGCAGGCAGGCAGGGGCAAGGTGGTGGCTGGCGGGCATGCAAAACTTGGAAGGGGCAGTATATGCTAGGTACGGTAGGGACCTTCGTGGAGAGGAGGAGAGAGATAAAGGGAGAGGGAACGCCATGAGGGCATGCGAAAACGTCCGTAAGCGGTGGTTCAATGGCATGCGTGCGTGCAAATCCTCGTACTGTGGCAGGATCTGCCAGGATCCAAGCAGCAAGGCACTACTGAGCATAGGAGGCAGGCGGAAGAAGCCGCCGCCGACCCACCTGCCATGTATGCCTCCCCCAGGCCCACGTCATGTCGCAGCACGATCTTGCGGAAAAAGTCCATGTGCAGCACCCGCACGGTGGCGCGCAGGGGCGGCCGGCCGCGCCACTCCTCGCCTGGTGCAGTGCACGTTGCAGTGTGCGTGAGGTTAGGGACAGAGGGAACAGAGGGAATCGAGGGAACCTCAAGGGCTGGAAGCATTTGCGGGAATGATAAACCTCCTGGGGAATCCTTGCGTGCGGTGGAAGACGGCTACACGGCTAGCCTGCATGCGCCTCCGTTGCCTATCACCCGGAGGCAAACTCGCTGAGGCAGCGCTGGGTGCGCCAGCTCCGCACAACCGCTCCCTCACACAACGTACCGTATACGCTTACCGCATACCCCCAAGTACTGCTGCCTGTCGTACCTACCCTTGGGTGTGGGTGCGGCTGCGGTGTCGTCCCCACTGCCGTACGCCAGCTCGGATCCGGTGGGCAGGATCAGCCGCAGGCGGCCCTGCGTGAACGCCGACCGGGCGTACTTGTCGAACAGGCCGAGGTAGAGCTGCTGCGAGAGGGAGACCTTGGGGCTGGTGGCCCTGCGAGGTCGGGATGGGTAAAATTAGGTGGTTGGAACTACGAGTACTGCAAACCTAAGCCGGGAAAGCCAAGCCGCGGCTGCTTTGCATGTCAGGGCCGTAAGCTACCATGGACACCGCGCCTCCTTCGATGAGGCCTGACTTGCTTCTATCGCCCCCCCAGTTCCCCTCAGCCCCCACCTGGGCACCCAAGGCAGGCTGCCCCCCATGGCCTGCACCACTGCCACAGCGGAGCGGATGCCGTCCTCGTGGAACCCGTAGCCCGCCCAGGCGCCCGCGTAGTAGGTGTTGCGATGGCCCTGCAGCGAGGGCAGCTTGCCCTGGGCCGCCTCGGATGCCGCACTGCACGGGGTGAATGCGGCGCGGTTGCAAAAGGCAGGGCAATATATTGAAGCATCCTCGTAAAAAAAACTAGCTGTATGCACAGCACCCCGCCAACCGTCACCCATGCATGTGAAAGCCAGCTCAGCCCTAATCCTCTTACTCTTACCACTTTCTTCTACACCCGCAATTCTCTTCTGCTGCATCCGAGCGCCTGTTGCATCCCCACAGACAGCACCCGCAGACCCCTTCCGTACATGCATGCTTCCTGCACCTGCCCCTCCTTACCTTCCTACACACACACTCCCCGTCATGCCTCCCCACCCTCCTTCAACCCCCCCCCGCCCCTACGCACCCTCCCCCCTCACCTGAACACCGGGTGTGCCAGCGGCAGGCGCCGGATCACGTGCTCGGGCGCCGGCGGGTGCAGCGGGTTGAGCGTGACAAACAGGTTGGGCGCTCCGGGCGGCTGCTCCTGCAGTCGGTTGACCCAGTAGGTGACGCACACGGCCTCCGTGTCGGCGCCAGCACCGCTGCGCCCCAGGAAGTTCCAAGAGGACCACACCTTGCGGTTGCGGGGCATCAGGCTGGCGTCTGTCCAGGGGGGGAGACAGGGCGGGTGGGAGGGTGGGACGCTGGGACCCGTAGAGGGCAGCTTGCAGTGCTTCCAACTCCCTTAACGACAGTGACACAGTGTCAAAGCCCTTGGCCATGTTATCCCTAAGTAAGTAACTATCCTATATGTACTGCTCCAATCCATAGCGTGTGCCGGTAACGTACAGGACGCGTCCTACACCGCAGCCGCCCTGCCGCCGCACCCGTGTGCAGGTAGACGTCGTTCTCGCTGTAGGGGATGGCGGCCAGCAGCTCCCGCTCCTCCGGGTCCGCATCGCCCCCCAGCAGCTGCAGCGTCACGTCGCTGTGCGTCGCAAACACCACCGAGTCGAAGCGCTCCGCCCCGCCTGCCGCCGTCTCCACCGTGACGCCCTCCTCGGGGCTGCGACCGCGGGCCACCCGCAGCACGGGAGTGCGGGTGCGCACGTCGGGAAGCTCTGTGTGGGTGGTGTGCGGGGGTGCACAGGGAATGCGACGGATGGGAGGCGTGGGGGCCGCATGAATGAGGATAGGATGCAATCCATAGGGTTGTCACTTCTTCTTCAGTGTCTCTTTAATGTTCGTTGATCAATGTCACAACCAGGTACTGGTTGATAGCTTGGCAATGTGGGGTTTTGGGCCACGACAGCTGCCCCGGCAGGTGCCTTCAGAGGGTTTCCGAGGGAGCTAATAGGGTTTAGCTTGTAGCTTCCATGAGCGAAAATATCACAGAGAGAGAGAGGAGTGCGCCCAGCTACTCACCCTGGCAGACGCGCTTCACGTAGGCCTCGCTGCGCCCCTTCACCACCCGCCACAGCGGCCGCTGGAAGAGGTCCAGCAGGTGGTGGTTGACCCAGAAGCGCACCAGCATGCGCACCGGGAACTCCAGGACCTGCATGGGAGGGCGGGAGGGGCGAGGAGGGTGAGGAGCATGGGCAGTACCTCAGCTCTGTGTTGCGCGGGAATTCTGCTACTTATGTATCGTGTACGGCAAGTCCCAACTGCACCGTACCTGCGCTGTGGGCACGGACCACACCGCCGCGCACATGGGCACCACGTAGTTGTCCGTGAAGGCGGCGCTGTAACCGTGCTTGGCCAGGTACTCGGCCAGCGTCATGTCGCTGTAGATGTGGGACACGGCGGGTTCGAGCACCTGGAAGCAGATGCGCGGGGGTGACGGAAGGTAGAGGTCAGGAGCCTTATGGGGGTGGGGCTTTATGGGTACAGTGGGAATGCGGGTGTGGTGAGCGGGGTGCTGGTTGGCGTGCGGGAGAAGGGCAGGAGAAAGCTTCTACCGGTATTCCGGACATGAGCTGAACCCCAGTACTGTGCAATTGTCCCACACACGTGCCGGGAGGAAATTGTGAGCACGCTTTTGGACTTGTGGGCTACGGTATGCACACATGGGCGCGGTTTCCTTACAGCGACCATCAAAACACAGCTGTTCTCCGAACATACCTTCGGAGCCTCCCTGCCAAAGCGGATTACATCCTTTATCATAGCGAGGAAGGACGGACTTGCGATATTCCGACGTTGGGCGAAAATAGTATCCAGGTTGTCGCTGCCCCACTCCAACTTGCCGGCGTCCATGGAGAGCGAGAAGCTCATGTCTGACATAACACTATCGACGCCCAGACACTCCAGAAAACCCACAAAGTGAGGGTAGGTGGTAAGGTTGTAAACCTGCGGGCGCGTGCCGTCAGGAATGGGTTATGCGAGCAGAAGACGCCGGCAGAGGCTTCGATAACCACACAAACCGGAATTACCTGGAATCCCAAATCCACCGGGTAAGGAGACGTGTGATCGGTAAGTGTGTGGCCACCGCAATGTTCTTCCTTTTCCATCAGCGTGACGCTGGCCCCGTTCCTGTGCAATTGGAATTGCCAAGCGAACGGCAGGTAAGGAAGTTGCCCTCTGAACCTTCTCTGTAGATGCTTCAAAAGAAATTCAGTGACACCAAACAGCCCATTGTATCACTAGCACTCCAGGCCGATGGCCATACCTGTGAAGGAGCCATGCTGCGCTCAATCCGCTTATGCCCGAACCGACGACGCAGATTCTCTGGCCCTTAATGTTGGCCATATGCAGTAACTATAGATACAGTGATTTAATATTATTCACTTGTGCGCTGGTGCGAAAGTATCCCGGGGTGTTGGTTAGCAGCCTTAGCACCCGGCCATAAGCTTTCCAAGAGGGCGCACTCTGCGCTGCGCGCAAGCAAGATGCTCTCTTAAATTGAAGGTAAATCGGAGTTTAGATTATGGGGTTGCCGGGGTTAGGCTTAGCCTGATGGCATCACCATCTGTGGAACCGCCGTACGCTGGATCGAAGGGAACGTAGGGCTAGGCACGCCTTCCGCCTTCCGTTTATGCAAGGTGCTTCGCAAGCCTGGCATCGTGTTTAGTTCTCCCAGCTTGTTCAAGGCCTCTTCTTCTACATTAGCTGGAACCCGACAGCCCATGCGACCAAGAGCCTCATCGACATGATGTCTCAAACTAGTTATCGGGTTCTTGTATACCTATAAGGATGTCAAGCCTCAGCCCACGGAACTTCCTGCAAGAGGGGCGTGAAGAACACCGCCATTCGCCAACTTCTGCTCCCAAAAGCCAGGAACCAGCTGTAACTCTACGGTTGCTTGCATATGGAGGAGAGGCAAGGAGATCATGCCCTTACCAGCTATGTTAGCCTCTCTCGACCAACCGCGCTCGTAAAATTTTTGCAGAGACCTCTTTTGACGTTTGGCTCTTGCACGGTGGCCAGCCAAAAGCAAGCTCGTCTTTGTCTCCTCAACGAGACCGAACTTGACAGGGTGAGCAGATGGGTTGGAAAGCCGACGGAACGGGTTAACGGCAGAGCCATTCATGGCATCTCTGCCCTGTCCCGCAGGTCTTAACGCTGGAGCCCCCTCCGACGGGTGTAGCAGTGTTTGATGAAAATGGCGCTGCAATAGAAACTGTTCCTGTGGTGCGCCGTAGTCACCGGTTCCTGCACATTGTATGGAGCCCCGGAAGTGTTGGTAGCCTGTGCGAGAGCCTGCGGTGGCGCATGCCCGAAGGTATGCGCCTCGCGCGCCTCGAGGTCAGGTTGCAGGGTACTGCAGTAGACTATCCTCTTACTCCGCGCGCCGCCCGCGCTGCCATGACCACTGGAGCAAGGAGCAGCAGTGGTGGTGCTACCGGGCCAGCCGCCAGCGCTAGCGGCGCCAACCTCACTGCGAATGGGGCGCGGCAGCACGCCCCGACAGCGGGGGACCATATGGCTCCTCTGAACTCGTCCCGTGCTGCCAGCGCAGTTGGGACTAAGAGCAGCAGTGGAACAGCTGCTGGGCCAGGCGCCACAGCGCTTGGGGCCAGGGCGACGCTTGCAGTAGGCAAGGCGCCTCCGCGGACGCTGTCACTTGCACGGCCGCAACCGGCCGCAGCAGCTGCGGCCGTACCAGGCAGCACGAACACCAGCGTGTTACGGCCGGCGCCGTCTCTGGAAATCCCTACGGCGGCGAACACAGCGGCGGCTGCAGCATCGACTAGCACCAAACAACTTAGCACACCAGTATCCAGCCCAACATCCACGGCAGGCGGAAAGGCGGCGTCCTTGCGGCTGCGGCCAACAGTGAGCCCAACGCTTCAGCGGAAGGCTGAGGCTGGCAGAGCTTTAGATTTCCGGCGCGTAGGGTAAGCGGCGTGTCGATTGTAGGGTGGGCGTTGCCACGCGTAGGCTTGCACGGAGCGCATCACTAGTTACTTAGTTCGGCCTTCCAGCATCATACCGGGCTAGACCGATTAGATGCTAGGGTTGCCAAGCCGCCATGCTATACCGTCGTGTGAAACAAATTGGTCACTGTTACCATCGGTGTGAACCCATCCAGGAATGCTGAGAGCAAGCGGGAGCGGGGGCTGTTGGCCTGGATGAACAACGAGGTCCAACCCCTTGAAGCAACCGCAGCCGGTGCTGGTGGTGGGGCCATGGAAGGTCATGTAGTCCGGAGGCTGCTTGGCGAGGTGTCCGGCAAGGCGTACCTGTACTTTAAGCGTGATGATGAGTTTGCGGCCATGGCGTCGAAGATAGAGGCGAAGATTGCCACGAAGCAGCTGGCGCTGAAGGACCCGGTAAGTGCTCGGCGTTTGCTGAGGGTCCCTGGACGGGGCAACCTAGGTTCTCTTCAGTCCTTTTGAGGTACGGTGTCGGAACGCCGCCGCAATAATACGATCCCCAACCTGTGCTTGCAGGCGACGACGCTGAGCGACGTCCGCATGCGGCAGGATGCGGTTGACGTCCTGACTTCTTACCACCCCTTTTGGCTGGCAGTGGGGCTGCAGACAGTGCTGGGAAAGGCGCTTGTCCTGTCACATGGTGAGTACCGTACCCAACGCCGGCGTGCTAGCCTCGTGGAACGCCAATAGAGCCCGCATGGATGGGAGCCAAGCGGTACTGCGGACATGTGTGGTACCTGGTTTGACGCGACTGTACCTGGCCTCGTGCATGCAGATGACATGAACGCACTCATGCATCCCGGCGGCGTTATGCCGGCTTTCCTGCGATCCCGCGTCTTGGACAACCTGCTGGCCGACCCTGAGCTGCCCACGCAGTTCCGGCACTCCACGAACAAGGCAGAATACTGGGTGAGTTATCACGTGGTACATGCTGCCATCCTAGCCTGCCACATTCCACTGAGCCGAAGTGGAGCGAAGGGCCTGGCATGCACCTTGACCGCTGCTTTGTGACTTGGACGCATGTGCAGGAGGCGCTTGGCGTGCGTGTCCTGGGGCGCGTGCTGCTGCTGGCGTTCTTGCTGGACCGCATGATTCAGCGGAACGACCTGCCAGCCGGGACGCCGCCGCTGTTCCGGAACGACGCTGCGATTAAGTCGTCTGAGCAGGTATGTTGCTTGAGGGCTAGGGATTGGCCATCTTGCTAGGACCCGAGTTATCATGGCATCGTCAACGCATCCATTCAGTGTGGACGAATTCCGTTAGCTTCATTTACCGGTACATGACGTATACCGCCTTGCCTCGCAGCTGCTGCAAGGCTTCCTGCAGCCACGCTTGGCAGGAGCCGGCGACGTGCGTCACTCGCTGCGCATGATGGCGTACAACGTCGAACACGTGCAGCACCCACGTGACGAGGCGGACTACCGCGTCCAGCGCCCGGCGGACCTTCGCGATGGGACGCGGTTAGCGAAGCTTTACGACAACCTGCGGAGTGAGTCATGGGACCTGAGTCGGGTTGTTGGCAGGCAGCTGAACAGCGGGTCATTGTGATACTTGTCGTGTTTCGTCTCACTGCTTTCGTCCCGTCATGTCACAATACCTGTCCATGCCCCTTTGCATGCAGAGCAAGCTTACCCGCAAGCGGCTTCCAACCCCAGCAGCTCTGGGGGCGCGCTGCCCAGCAGTGCCGGTGCGCGCCCAAGCGGCGGTGTAGGGCCCACTTGCAACAGTCGTATCCCCTCCACCCATGAAGATCTCCTGCCGACCATGGCCTTCCCGCAGCATAGCGGAAAGCCCTTGGATGAGTCGCAGATGCGCAACAACTGCCTCCGGCTTGCTCGAGCGCTGCAGGTTCAGGGAATTAACCTCCAGGTAATGCCTCGATGGATTTGTACGGATGTGGGTTTCGGCCGTTCCCACTTGTTGCAAAAGCATGCAAAGGTGCTAAGCTGCTGCATATTCTGGCGCCCTCCTCAGTCCGACTTGCCGTTTTCGCCACACCCGCAGGGTTTCACGCCTTGTAGCGGCGGCGCCGGTCCAGGCTTGGATGGCATTGCCAAGTCCGTCGCTGACGGCTTGGTGCGGCTGGATCAGCGAGTAACGCTGGGTATCCTGTGGCAAATGGCCATGCACTTCAAGGTGAACTGGGTCGGTTCTCCCCATCAGGCGGTCCTCCCCACGTCAGGTCTAACGCGTAACACGCTCAAGACCCTGCTTGTTGCATCCTGATTGACCCGTCTGTGCCACCCGAATGTATGCATGCATGCAGCTTCGGCGGCATGTGGACGTACGAGCCTTGGAGCGAGAGACCTCCAGGCTGCGGCGGGTAGCAGCAGCGGCTGCTGCGTTCGCCGGCATGGACGCCGGGACCGCTCCTGCCTCAGTCCTTGGCTCCGATGACCCGGTGGTCTTTCGTTACTTCAACGAGCCGACCAGTCAGGCGCTGCTGCAGTGGATTCGGGCGGCATGCACGCCGCATGGGCTCGCCGTCGACGACCTCACCTGGTCGCTGTCGGATGGCCGGGTCCTCTGCTACCTGGTAAGCGCCAGTGAAGGCCGCAAACCATCACTCGGTGCTGGCTCTGCCCCAGGGACTATCCTAGTGCTGCCTGAGTTCCCACCCCTCCTAGCTGGTGGACGGCAAGTAGGGCTACTTAAGTAGCATGCCTGTGCAGAAGACTGGGATGGGTGTACCCTTGCCTTATTCGCATGTCCGTGCCTCATCACGTTATGCTCCTCCTCGTTTGGCTCCCCACAGATCCACACGTACGTCCCGGAGGCGCTGCCGCGCGACCGCGTCTCCTCGATCAGCGTGCCGTCCACTGCGGACGAGATGGCACGGATGACGGGCGGCGCCGAGTACGTCACATTGGAGACGCTCAAAGCCAAAGGTGCAAACTCCGGTTTTGCTTGGATTCTACAGGCCGTACCATGGACTGTGTTGGACTCGTGGCACACACGCCGCTGCTCCCATCCCTTACCTGCGTAATGCTTGGCGTCGTCTCCCTCTGCTTCATTGCACTTCCGGGCATGCCTACATCTCCTAAAGCCCATGACCGCACTGGTCCACGTCAACACGCTGCTCCCTTCCCCCCCGCAGGTTGGTACGCCGTCTACCAGATGGGCGGTTGCATCCATGACGACGGCCTGGCCTCCGCCTACAAGCGCAGCGTCACAGCCAACTTTGCGGCGCTGCATGCGGCCAGCGAGGCGCTGGGGGTGCCCTGCCTGCTGAGCGCGGAGGACTCCCTGGACGACGGCCCCGACGAGCTCACCGCCATCCTCTACGTGGCGCTGTTGAGCGAGGCGCTGCTCAAGATCACAGCGGAGAGGCGCGCGGCGTACGTCATCATGGAGTACCTGCGCCGCCGGCTGAGCTGGCGCCCGAGTAAGTGGAGGGCGGCTCCGGGAACGCGCCCTCGGTTGGGGAGCTGCTAGGCAGCACAATTGGGTTTTGGATTTGGCGGCTTGGCACACCTGGACGGCGATGTGCTGGTGCTGGGACGTCTGTTGCGGTGTGTGAGGGCATTAGAAGCGTGACCGGGTGGACGCGCTCCCTTATGTCGCAGGCAACATGCGTGCGGCACGACAGCAGTACCAGGTGATCCTGCGGCGGCATGAGGCGGCCACATCGGTCCAGGCGTTTTGGCGCATGCGACGCCAGCGCTCGCGGTAAGCCATGCTGCTGGAAGTTCCCTGTTTACAAACGATGGAGAACAGGGCGGTTTGTGGTCTTGCTATGTGCTAGGTGTACGGCAACGCACATATTCCCGGCTTGCAGGTACATGGCGGAGAAGCGGGCGGCGTGCGTGCTCCAGGCATACGTCCGGCGCTTCCATGTCATGCGGCAGCTGCAAGCAGAGGCGAGGCGGCGGCAGGAGCAGGAGCGCATCGCTGCAACGGCCATCCAGGCGGCCTGGCGCGGACTCTCGACACGGAAGGCGCTGGCCCAGCAGCACGCTGCGGCCCTGGTCATCCAACGGCACGTCCGAGGCCACTTGGCTCGCATGTGGTAGGTTGCGTTGGGGGGATTTGTTGCGAACCAGTCTTCCTGGCATGTAGACTTTGGTATCCACAAGCTTGACCGTTGCTGCACAAACACCCGCAGGTGCATGCAACAGCGGATCAACGCCTCCCAGCACGCCGCCGCCACCACCATCCAGGCCCATTGGCGCGGCTTCCGCGAGCGCCGGCGCTACCAGAGAGTGCGAGCCGCAGTCCTGGCGCTCCAAGCACTCGAGCGCATGCGCCAGGCACGATCATGGTACGCCCACCGCCTTAGGCTGTGCGCCCCTGTTTCTGCGAGCTTCCCAGGAAAGCGGAGACCAAGTTTGTGCTCCCAATGTGCAGGTACCTTGCCGCAAAGCGTGGCGCCATTCAGGTGCAGGCTGCATGGCGCGGCTGCCAGGTGGGTGTTGTACTGCGCATTGGATGGCTAGACGGCTGGAGTTTCATACCAGGCCGACTTCTCGGTATCACACTGCTAAAAGGGTAATGCGTTTTGTCCGCATTGCAGGCCCGGGTGCAGTACGAGGCGCAGCGGCACGCAATCCTGCGCATTCAGGCGGCATGGCGCCGTGCAGCAGCCCAAAAGCGGTACCAACTAGCACGCCTGCGGAAGGCTGCTACGGTCATCCAGTCGTCCTGGAGAGCGGAACAGGCGCGCCGGAAGTACCTAGCCTTGCGGCAAGCCGTCATCACAATTCAGGCCTCGCTGAGGGCCTGGATGGTGCGGCGGCAACTGCAGCTGCAGGAGCGGGCGTCCACTGTCATCCAGAGCCTCTGGCGTCGTCACAAAGCCATGGCCGCACTCCAAGCCGCTCGCAACGCCGCGGTTGCCATACAGGCCCGCTGGCGAGCCCTCGTGGCGCGCCGGCGCTTTGCTTCTGTGCAGATCGCCGTCATCCGGCTGCAGGCGGCATGGCGAGCACACGCCGCGAACGCGGCGTATTCGGAACTCCGGTCCGCCGCCGTCACCATGCAAGCGGCATGGCGAGGCCAGCAGGCTCGAAGAGCACTCCAGCTGAAGCACGCCGCCGCAACCACCATTCAGACCGCCTGGCGGGCACATGTTGCAAGGCAGCGCTTCCAGCAGGCCGTGGCGGCGACGGTGCGCATCCAGGCTGCAGTACGACGCATGCTCGTACAGCGGCAGTACTTCCGGTTGCAGGAGGCGGCAGTGTGTGTGCAGGCCGCCTGGCGAGCAAGATGCGCGAGGATGGAGGTGCAGGCTCGCCACCATGCCGCCACGCTCATCCAGGCCTCAGTGCGGGCTTTGGTGGCGCGCCGGGCCTTCCTGCAGACCAAGGAGGCGGCTATCGCGGTGCAGGCCGCCTACCGAGGCCACCGTGCGCGGAGAGCCCTGCAACAAATGCATGCCGCCGCTACAACCATTCAGGTCAGTCCACACTACAACCCCAGCCATGCATACATGCGGTTTAGGGCAAAGGATTGGCCTTAAAGCCTACCTCATTACTTTTGCACCTGCATGCGCCTTGCACATCAGTAGCCACACCCGTCCTGAGGCAAACTTCTCCTTGGCCCGCGCTTTTCCCCTAGGCCGCGTGGCGGCACCACCGGCGCTCCGGCGCAGCAACCGTACTGCAAGCCTGGTGGCGCATGGTGCTCGAGCGCCGGAACTACCAGCGCAGCCGGCAAGCCGTGGTCCTGCTGCAAGCGCACACTCGGGGCATGTTGGCGCGACAAGCCTTCAGCCGCGCTCGGGACGCCGCCATCGTCATCCAGGCAGGGTATCGTGCCCGCCGGGGCCGTGCAGCAGCGTGGAGGCAGGCGGAGGCGTACTACACCGGGCGCCAGCAGGTGGCTGCGTTGCGGCTGCTAGACATCGGCAGGCAGTGGATGATGATGTAAGTGCATTTGTAGTGGGCGCAAGGCAAGCCATCTAGCCATGCCTTCTGCTTCGTGGTACATGTTTAGACACGCACTAGCTGTAACCTGTTGTGGCTGCTGCACCACGTAAGGGTGGGACAGCCATGCCGCCCGAGCCACACATACATTAAACAGCTCGTTCCCCGTTATGCGCAGGGCGTCTGGGGCCATGCGCATCCAGGCTTGCTGGCGTGGCTACAAGGCCCGCCAGGCCTATGCCGCCATGCTGGAGCAGCACCGGAAGGACGTGCGGGAACGGCGGGCGGCGACTACAATCCAGACGGTAGGGCTAAGATGGAGCCCAGTATCTCGCCCGGTGTCATGTGCGAAACAAGTCAAAAGCGCCATGCATGACACTTTTGTTTACCTTCACCCCACAGATCTGGCGCGGCTACTCGGCGCAGCAAAAGTACAAGAAGATGCAGGATGCCTTGGTCGTCCTGAGTAACGTGCTGGTTCCCATCTACCGGGCTCGACGAGAGCTGGCGCAGCTGCGGCGGCACCACGAGACACGGGTGCGCGCCGCCGTCGCCATCCAGACGCAGGTTCGGGCGTGGATGGCTCGGCGCCGCCTGCTAAAGGCTGTTTGCGCGGCCACACGAATCCAGGTAGGCATGCGTTTCTTTAGTTTAAGTTGGGTGCAGCTCTTCACCGTTGAAGCAACCTCTGTTGAACGCCCCTATGCTTAATTGCTTTCCCTCGCTTCCCATGGCAAGGCTGCCTGGCGAGGCCATGCGGTGCGGTTGCGCGACGGGCGGGCGAAGCAGGAGGCGCGCCGGCGCGTGGAGAAGGCCACTGCGGAGGCCCAGAAGGCGCCGCACCGGCACATCGGCTACCGCACACGCGAGGCGTTGGAGCTGCTGCTGCGGCCTAACAAGAACTTCTCGCAGGTGGGGAAGGATGGGTGCCCCCGCTGGCCTTCGGAGACAGCCGCTAACCTTGAGGTCAAGTGGCGACGGTTGGTAACCACCACTGTAATTTCTTTTTGCAGATTATGGCAGCTATTGAGGTGATGTACACTGCGACGCTTTACAGCCGCGACTGCTGCAAGCTCATCGCTCGAAACGGGGGCGTCGCGACTCTGCTGCGGTTTGTGCGCTCCTGCAACCGCAGCAAGCAGCACGTCGACGCCCTTACCCGGTCGCTTGCGGTGCTGCATAACATCTGCCGGTAGGTCCGCATAAGCACGCGCGGTATTTACATACGGTACAGGGGATCTCGAGGGCACAGACATATCACCCTACAAGGCACCGTCCGCATGGGCCCACATACCTGTCACATGCACAATGAACGGATGGCCAGACGTCACTAGACACTGGTACGGTAACATGGTACCGCGGACTTCTAATCCTGTCACCCGCTTCCGTGGACCTTGCAGGTACGATGCGCTGGTGCCGGACGTCTTCCACGCGGAGGACTGCCTGACGGGCCTCAGCGAGCGGCTGCAGCTCTTCCGTGACACCGAGGTAAGGAAACACCAGCCGAGTGCAACACAGCAGCAGAGGGCACCTGCCTGCCCGCTCTTGCGTCTTCTATGCAAGCCCCTCACGTCCCATTGCATTGTTTGCCCACCCTGCAGGACGTGTTCCTGCCGGCCGTGGCCCTGCTGCAACGGCTGGTGTCACGCGAGGAGCTCGCTGCCGCGGTCCCGCCGGCGGTTCTGCGGCACTGGGAGGGCATTCACCAGGTCCTGTTTCGCAAGGCGGACAACGAGCGCAAGTACCTGGAGCGGCTTGAGGGTAAGTTGTTGGTCGACGCCTTTTGCCAAAAGTAATAGGCTTGGCTACGTAGAGCGTGCCCAAACCCCAGATTGTTACCTGGCGCTTAGCTAACACAGCCCTGAGGTTTGAAAACATGCTAAACCCGTCCTGCCTGCTGTGCTGTGTAGGCCAGAAGGGCAGCGACATCTCTGCCCGCGAGTCGGCACGCAAGCTGGTGGTTGTGCAGCAGCAGGTTGTGGCGCTGGAGGCGTTGATAGCGCGGGCGCGGGCCGCATCTGGGGAAGACAGCTCCGCCCCCGCAGACATCCACGACAACGACAAGGACCTGGCGCGGCGGCAGGCGGGAGGCCGGCTTGCCTCTGGCGTGTGTGCTGGGCAGGGGGGGCCCACAGCGCCCACAGCGGGAGGGGTGGCGATTCCGGGGCTTAAGAACACGCTGGTGAAGGACACTGTACAGCGCATGGCCATGAGTGGGACGGCTGCTGGGGCAGTCGGGTACAAGCGCACGGGTCCGGGTGGGCCCGGCTCTCCGGGACAGGGGGCTAAGAGCAACGGCCTGGCTGGTAGGCCGGTGATCAGGCAACCCGATGCATAGATGTTTAACGGTGAGCGGAGGGTCCTTGCGGCAGAGCTATGTACATCAGTCTTGACGAGTCGGTGCGCCTGACGAAGTCACTCTTCTTTTCCAGGTCATTGGTCCAGAATATATGGCTTTGTAATGAGCGTACAGGCCTTGATGCCTGCACAGCGGTCGAGTTCTTGTCGTACATACAGTTTAGCAGGATGACATGACCTCAAGAAAGGAAGAAGGGGCTGATATATTATATGTAACTATCGATCTATTACTCCTGGACCCATATTTGCAAACAGAGAATAGCAGTTTTAACGTGTTCTGGAAGATCTTGCGAGACACTGGCGCCTCTCCTTGACGCATAAAAAACACATTAAAGAATGAGTGAGCCTGCAGGACTTAGCATGTCGCTAGACGATCTAATAAAGAAGCGGTCGCAAGGAGGGAGAGGAGGGACCCAAGCAAATCGTGGTGGAGGACGCGGTGGCGGAGGGCTTAGCGTCCGCGGTGGTGGTGTCAACAAGTTCTCGGACCGGAAAGGCTTCGTACAAAGGCAGGGCGGAGAGCAAGCTGTGCAGCACACCCAGCAGCATCGCGGGGGCTTCGGCGGTCGCCACGGAGGCCCCGCTGTCCAGCAGCGGCGCGGGGGCTTTGGGGGTCGTGGCGGCTTTGGCGACCGCCAATACCACAACGGTGGCTCAGCTGTGTCCAGCAGCGTGCAGACGTACTTTGACGACAACACCGGAAACGTTGTAGTCAAGCTTAAGGAGACAGACGTCGTCAGCGTTAGCCCTTCGGGCGAAATCGTCCTAAACACGGGCGGGTGGTTCACCCAGACTACGCTTGAAGTCATGAACAAGGCGCTCGGGGTAAGGACGGGAGTGTTTTAGCTGGCTTAGTCCGTGTGGGCTATGTGGGCCAATACATACATTGGGCTATGTGGGCCAATACATACATTGGGCTATGTGGGCCAATACATACATAGTCCGGGGTGGGACACAAAGCGCGGGCTGCCTACTGCTGCTTCAGGCAAGGACTCGAACCTCGCTTAGGGAGGGTGACACGTCCAGCTCCATGCACTCAGTAGACGCGGTCTTGGTGGACCATATAGGTAGCTGTCACACGATTGTAGCCACCATGTCCTAAGCACAGCGACATCACCACTGCAACTCCTGAAAATGGTTCGCTGCTTCATCCTTCACAGGTACTGCAAATCCGGGTGACGGCCAATGGCGACGTGCGGGATGGCTCCTGGCAGATAGCATACGGGCCGCACCTCCTGCGCTTCTATGACGGCATCGTGCTGCACCCTAAGAACCCCGCCACCGCTGCGCAGCGCGCCCCCATCGTGCTTGCCGCCATGACGGGCGCCGCCCTTCCAGCGGCCGCACCCGTTCCCGGTGCTGGCATGGGGGCTGCCGCCAGCATGTTTGCGCAACCCGGTGGGGGCGCGATGGGAGGTATGGGCGCAAACCCTCTAGCAGCGTCAGCAGCAGCGGCGTCAACGGCTGCGGCCCTGGCCGCAGGCGTAATGGCGCGCGCCCGAGCGGCTCTTGGCCTGGGCTCCACCCCCGGCTTTGGTAATGCGGTACCCGGCGTGGCGACCGCGCAGCAGCAGCAGCAGTACCTGGCAGCTCTGGCAGCGCAGCAGAACCCGACACTGGCGCTGGCGGGAATGACGGCGGACCAGGCATCCGCGGACGCAGACGTCATTCGAAGGCTGAAGGCGCAGGGGCGGTTGTAGAAGGCTATCATGAAGGGCGTGCTGGGAGGCCGGTGGAGTAGAGCTTAGTGCAGCAGGGCCTGTTCGTAGTGGTGTAAGCGCGGCGGGTGCGTCAAGGTCTTTTGCAGTGGGAAGTTGTTGTGGCTAGCTTGGAACTATGGTGACGTGTTTGTGAGAATTCGGGTTACGGTACCTAGCGCACCGCGTCAATGAACGTACATGTAGTGCATAGATGACCGTGTTTATCGAAGTGTTGCCAAATCTGGATCCAAGGACCCTACGCAGTGTATGCGCTTGTAACAGCCGCCGGAAGTCCGATACAATGTTACAGGCGCCTGTCCAAGAATGCACAATGGTGCATCCAACGCCGCAACACGCATCAATGCAAGACGACACGCGTAAGAAACCTCACTGCGTCTGCTGTGATGCATAGAAATCAGCACTATGCACTTCCTCCGTCAACAGTGCCCCCAGGTGCGAACGTACAGACGACTAAAGAACAAAAAGGTGGAGAAGTACATTTGGACGATCCCCGAAGCCAACTTGTCTGAAGCTAGACAATTAGATGTCTGCTGCTAACCCTCGACGCACTGCAATGGGGAAAACTCCAAGCCACTCATCTTCTGATCTTGTACAATGTTTGGTACACGTTGCCCCGCAGCACATACACAAGCGAGCAACGGTGACGCCCGCTCTTCAGCAATACGTGATACGTGCATCAAAGCCAGGTGCACCTACAAGTGCATGGCTCACCTAACTGGTCGAAAGTGTCAACCTAAGTCTAACCTAAGTGTCATAGTTCAACCCACGATCCACGCACTCCCTGTCAAAAGTCACTTACCCCTAAAACAAAGTGTCAAAAGCAGCAAGCGCAGTCCAAGCGCTGGCGCCTTATCCAAACAACTGCTCCCGGCCTTGGCCGCTGATCCTGCTTCCTATGACCCTAGACGTGCACAGCTTGGGGCGTGCACCCGCTGTCATGTATGGTACTATTCATCCTATTGCCGAGTATATGCTAAACATCTGCTGTCATACCTTGCCGCTGTGCATCTGCATCGTGGTACATACTGCCTGCAGCTGCCAGCTAGCCAATCAAAACGTAAAACCTGATCTCAACGAGCGCTGCCTATCCTGGCTAGGCCAGTTCGAAAGCTGTGCGTGACGCCAACAGCCGCCTGATACTGTCTTACGTCGCTGCCGGAGAATGTTCGAATGGGCGACGACAAAAGACAGCCAGGCGACCAGCGCTACGAAGACCGCAACAACGCCGGTCTAACCTGGCTAACCCAACCGCTGCTACATGTCCGAATTTCGCACGCAAGACCAGCGCTGACGGCGTAGCCCTCTCCACCACGAGCGCGTCTAGCTGACCGTCTTGCCGTAGCAGATGGCCGCCAGGAAGAGGTTGTCGTCTGGTGGCGGGATAGGCAAGCAAAATAAAGACGTTGTTAACAGGAGGACAGACCTAAGACGCCTCTTTACCTTACTGCGGTACCTCTACGTCTGCAGTGCCTCGCCACCCTGACTACCACGCGGAAACCGCAATTCATGGCCACACTCACCCCACTTCTCCTTGATGTGCTGCGTCGGGAAGTTGCTGGTGCGCAGCGTCTCCTGCGTCTCGTCCAGGTTCGGCTTCCGCAGGTTGGACAGCACAAAGGCGGACTGGTCCTGCGTGGACGCCGCGCACGTGATCCGGTAGCCTGCGTCCCAGCGCTTGTGGATGCCCTCCGACGGGTACTGGAAGTCCACCTCCACGACCTAAAAGGGAAAGTGGCAGCAGCAACATACAGTATTGTTGAGAGGCAAACGCCCGGCTTTGGAAGAACGCTCATCACAGCAGTGTCTATCACTTTGAAGGCCCTGGCCTTGGGTACCCCCCACCCGACTTCTATCCCACGTGTGCATGTCCCCACCTGGTCGATGATGCCCGTGGTTTTGGACATGACCACCGCCCACTGGTTCATGCAGGTCGCCATGGCCGTGACGTAGAAGCCCTCGCGCCACTTCTTCTTAATCCACTCGAACGGGAACGAGTCCGCGACCTTGTAGGACTGCTGGGTGAAGCGCGTGCCCTTCGACATGACCACCAGGCTGCTGTTGTTGTCGCTGCCCGAGACCGCCGTGATGTAGTACCCCTCCTCCCACTTCTCCATGATCCACTCCTTGGGCAGGAACGAGTTGTAGTGCACCTGGCAAGGCAAGACAGGCCACGGCACATGAGCGGAAGAACCCGTGCAGCGGCATATCCAGCATATATGTGTCGCAAGCATACACTCCATTACAAGGTTTGGGTCGGTGTTGCTGGCACTGTCATTCAGCTGCCCAGTCCGAAGCCAGGCCTTTTAGGTAAGAGTAATACACACTTGCCTACAACACTTGTACATTCGCAAAGTAAGTGCTTCACATCCATCACACGCACCTTGTAGATCTGCTGCGTGTACTCCGTGCCCGCGTCCATCACAATGGCCCACAGGTTCTGGCAGGACGACACGCAGCTGATGTACAGGCCATCCTCCCAGCCCTTCTGCACGTGCACCAGCAGCCGGCTCGTGTTCACGTTGTAGTGGTACCTGCAGGGTCCAGCGCGCAACCGTCAATCCAACTCCAGGCAGGAAGGTAGAGTTGCCAAATTGCCGAGTTCACTACAAAGCTGCGGGCCAGCCCCCAATCTCCCCTCGTTCCCATTCGCCAACCACATCCCTGCTAAGCTTCTGCGTCCTGCGAGCCAACTATATTCTAAGCTAAGCTTTTGGGTCCTACTCCCCAACACTGCAACTAATGTGGGTTTCCTTGTGCTTGTTTGAAGTCCGGTCCCGTGCTTGCATAGCTGCCTCTATCCCTAGACACACGGTCGCAAGTTAGGGTGTTGCACGGCAACTCACCGCTGCTTCATGGGCGCGTGCTTGTTGTACACGGTGATCCACTGCCGCGCGCCGTTGCCCGTGCGGACCTTCTTCACGGGCTGGATCTCCACGTCGCCCTCAAAGTCGGCACGGCTGCGCTTGTTGCCCACCACCAGCTGCGAGGAATCGTTGTTAGTGGCTTAGTCCCATATTGGGTAATTTCGCAATGCAAGGTACAGCTCACCAGTACAGCCCAGCCATCACCCCAGTGCTCTCATTGTGCACTACTGACCGGGACAAAGCGTATTTTTTTAACAAAGCTCTACCAACAACAGTTTCGCACATTCACGACACCATGCAATAGCCGACCACATGCAAGACCGAGCGCTTTGCTCGCACCTTGAGGGCGTTCTCCACCACGAGTGGCCGCTCCGGCACGTTGACCAGCGGCTCAAACATGGCGATGTAGCGCGCGTAGTTGGGCTCCTCCTCAAACTTGGCGTTCATGACGCTGTCCGTGAAGTCGCGGAACGCCGCCTGCGTCAGGCGACAGAGCATCTCCGCCGACGTGCCCATCTTTTTCCGCGCCACCCAGTAGCCCTTGTTTGGCCCCTGCAAGAACACGGGCAGTAGCACCATTCATTAGCCAGCTGACGTAGCTATCATCATCTCTTGGCAGCCATCCAAGCACTGTTCGAGCACCACACATTCGACCAATGCCGCAAGGCTCAAGAACGCACCTGGTAGCCCTGCCACGGCAAGCGGCCCTTCAGCAGGAAGATGAGCGTGTACGCCAGCGACTCCAGGTCATCCCGCCGGCTACTGGTGCGGCCCAGGTGCGCGTGCACGGAGGCATACCGCACGGTGCCCCGGAAGTCGTCCGGCCGCTGGTCGTACTTGACGTGTCCACCGTACCTCCCGTCGCGGTACTTCATCGCCAGGCCCAAGTCCACCAAGTACAACCGCTTGGAGCGGTTGGTGTCCGGCGGGCCGAGCAGGAAGTTCTCCGGCTTGATGTCACCGTGGACGTACCTAACGTGCGAGCATGAGAAACAAATGAGGTAAGCAAGCATGAGGAACGCTTACAAGCCAACCAGTGCCAGTGTAACTGGGCATATTAGCATTGCATCGCCTCAGACCTGTTTTGCATGGCCATGGAACAAGAAACTCCGTACAAAACTCAGGGGGACGAGCATTATCTTACCCGCGGTTGTGCAGGGCTTGGAGGATGGTGAGCGCCTCCATGGCTACGCACGCAACGTAGGCCTCCGAAAGCCGCTGGCCGCTCTGGTTCCAGACGTCCCACAGGCTGGGCCCCAAAAGGTCCATCACCTACCAAGGCAAACGGGGGGTTGAGACAGGGGGTGAGAAATACAGAACCAAACACCCATATCCACATGCTTTCATCTTAAACATGGTCACCCACCATGATGTAGAAGTCATCCTGCTGCCCCTTGTAGTGCACCTTGGGGATGCCATAGACTTCTCCCAATTGCCTGTAAGCGAGGAGCAAACCCGTGGGTCAGAATGGAAGCCCAGATGAATCAAAAACCGTTCCCCTTTCCCCAAGGGGCATCTGTGGGCACTTACGTGTATATCGACCACTCATACGGAGGCCCCGCGGCACAGCCCTTGCTGCTTTTGTGCTCGAATTTAAGCGCAACCTGGTTCTGCAAAACCCAGGGCGAGTTGGGCGTCATGTCAAGGTGTGTGACTGCAAAATACATCGAACATTACGAATATTACGCATTGCATCTGTAGGGACTAAATGACTTACCAGTGCGCTCGCAGCATCAGTCTCTTTGGTGCTCTTCTTAGCATTCAAGCGGCGACCCAGCCAAACCTGCCCAAAGCCGCCCTTGCCTAGTTTGCGGTCAGGAATGTAAGCGGGTGACCCCCCAACAGCCACCTGCAAAAGAACGTACAAGTATTGGCATAGGAAAACGAAAAAACCGCTCTTACAAGTCACGCATGGCTCACCCGCTTAGGCACCGGAAACTTGTCCGGTCCATCCTCTGCAGGCTCTTCAACCTTGGGTTCCGGGACATAAGCCGGCTGCACTTGCTGTCTGGGAGGCACGTTTGCGGCTGCGGGCGGCGCGGCCAAGGGAGCCTTGGCAGCCTTGGTCGCGACGTGCTTGGCTTGCGCGTTCAGCTTTACGTTCTCCTTGTTCGGGTCCGTTGATGGATTCCGCTGATTTGAGGGAAACAGGTTGACTGGTCCGTCCGGAGACGGGGACTCCTCGGGATGAACGTCACGCCCTGAAAGAGGCATGAAGGGTGGGGACTAAAAAGCGCTCAGAACCTTGCCCTATACCATTCTAGATAAGCAAACAAACCAAAAGAAGGACATTACCCACCCTGTGCCTGCGCGGCTATCCTCTGTTGCGCCTCAAGCTTCGCGGCTCGTTGGGGGCGAGTCCGCGGCTCAGGCATTTCCTGGAACAAACAATGGAACGGCTTGCATGTGCCGCAGTGCTAGCGTGACAGCTGTTGGGGCTCTTTATAGGATGTCAAGAGTCCCAACAGTTGTAATTCAGGTTAGAGAAGAAGGCAAGGAACTCCGGTCCAACCCTCACAAGAAGGATAGAGCAATAGTAGATGTAATCAGGTGGTGGCAGAACGCTCTATGCCCTATGGCGCCAGGACAAGCACTTCTTTGCTTAAAATTGCACCTAACCCGTACACACAAACGAAGTGCCAGAAGCGTTCTGCTGGTTAGGTTATGGGAGAAAGAAGCAATTCCTCCTACTAATTGCAGAGAAAAGATTAAGCCTAAGCAGTGATTGTACGTCAACCGTTTGTCGTCGTGGGGCGCCCATGACTGTGCTTCCGCATTTCAAACATTTCAGATATTGAAAGGCTGTTTTGGAGTAGTGTTCGAACAGCACTCCCCCGGCTATTTCATGTTTGAAGGAAAGGTGTACCTTTCCTGCAGCCCCAAATCTTGCACAACCATGCAGCCTCAATGTTGCCAAAAGGAGAAAGCTACATTAATGGCGGGGTTCGCCGGTACACTCCTTGACAGTCCTTGCCCTGACGAAGACAGGAAGCCGTGCTCGCGCCAACAGCCACACCCAAGGCGTTTAAAAGCCAGTGAAGGCGGATATGTTCACGGGCAATCTTAACCGCTGGTACCGTTGTTGCAGAGAACCCTTCTTAACAAAAAAGATACCATTTGCTGTCCCGCGGGTCTTGACCGATAGCTTAGACTTCTGCAAGGACATGGGAGCAGTCCCAGACAGCTACCTACATACAACTTCATACCTTGCCATACAACCTTCATAACGCCTCGAAAGAAGTATGTCCTACAACCCCCGCTACCAAGTCCTAAGCAAGACCACGCTACATAACCGCCCAAGGCTCAACTGACACACTCCTTGCTACCTCCCTCAGGACTCCCCTCACTGGCCCCCGCTCGCAGAGTTCGTCTGTTGCAAATCCCGCAGCAGCTCGCCCCACGCCTTGGCTTGCTCGGCGGTGTGTTGCGCCTGGGCCAGCGCAAAATCGCGCAGCAGTGCCGACATCTCGGCCGCGCGCTCCTTCTGGAAGCGATTGAGCTCCTCCCGCATCGTGTCGCGAATGGTCTCATAGCTGCAGGGCACACAGTTAAGAAGGTTGAAAAGGAAAGAGTGAAAAACAATAAAAATAGGTGCAAAATCGTCTTTCCGCTTACATCCGAGACCTTGCTAATACAAAATAACTACAGCCGTGCTAGAGAACACCCCAAGCCACACACAGACACGTCTACCTTCCGCATGCCTCCAACTAGCCCGCACCCAAGCACAATCCAGCACACACCACACCCCTAGCCCATACCGTATCACACCAACACGCCCTAACCATACACTGCTGTGCTGCAACCCTCCATCCACATGCGCCCCCTTGCCCTTCCACCCCGCACTCCGCCCCCCTCCTCCCCTTCCCTCCTCTCACCCCAGCTTGGCGTTGCGCAGGCGCTGGTCTGCCTCGTTGACGTCCCGCTCCGTCTCCGCGATCTTGTCCTCCTTGAGCCCCGGGGTGCCCCGCAGCCGGGCCAGCCGCACCTTCTTGCTGTCCAGGTCGCTCTTGGCCTGTGACAAGAGGGGGGGCCCGGAAGGGGGGGGGGTAAACAAAAGGAAACTGACGAGGCAACTAACGAGCTGTATGACAAGGCTTCACCATGGGGTGCAAACATTGTGGGACCTGGGAGGGGGAAGGAGATAGTGCTACCACGGGGGGGGAACGCATGGGGGCGGGAACCGGTGTATGGACGGTACGAGGTAGGTAAGGGATGTGTTTTCAGCACAGGCGTCTAAAGTTCAGCGACAGCAGGAGGCCTGGCGCCGACCCAAATCACAACACCCCATGTTGGCATCAGCTGCCATCAGCCACCACATGTAAGCGCATGCTTCCAGCAGGCGCCCCAACGACCCACGTACCCCTGTGCACTCCGTCTAACGCTATCCACCACCACACGCCAGTACCAGTAGTCATTACCCCTTACCCACCCCCAAAACCCCACTCCACCCCACCTACTCCCCTCGCCACCCCACCTGCGAGTACGCTGCCAGCGCCGCCGCCCGGTCCGCCATCACCGTTTGCACCGACTTGATGCTCCGCGCCGCCTCCTTCAGCGGCGCAGCGAACTCGCCCGCCAGCGCCTCCGAGCGGGCGCGAGACAGCGCCGCCACCTCGCCCGCGCGACCCAGCAGGCAGCCGAACGCGGCGCGCATGGGCCCCTCGCCGTCCAGCTTGCCCAGCGCCTCCGCGGCGGCCGCGAACTCGGACAGCGCAGCACCCAGGTCCGCTTCCTGGGGGGGAGGGAGGTGAAGGAGGCGGGGGGGGGCGGGTACCGTACTTGGGGAGGAGTGAGAGCCCTCCGTCCCATTCGCTGCCATGCCCCGCCTACCCGTTCCTTCCCACATGCACCCGGACCGAATGAGGTGCAGCACAACCCCTCCCCTCCTGCCCACCATCGCAGCTCACTTGCATTACCCCTCCCTTCCCTCCCCTTCCCTCCCCCCTCCCTTCCCTTCCCTCGTTGTTTCACTTTTATATAATTTTTCCCCCCTCCCCCTGCCCACCTTGCGCATGAGCCTGCTGGCCTGCCGGTGCGCCTCCGCCAGGTGCCCCTCCAGCCCGTTGATGTAGTCGCGGATCTGGTGGGGGCGGATATAGATAGATAATCCAATCCACAGGTTAGGGCAAAGCAATGGGGATTTGAGGGATTCCGTGGGGGGTGCAGAGGTGGAGCAGCGGGAGGCAAATTCAATGGTTATGGATGCAGGGCGGTTGCAGAGGGGCCGGGCCAGCAGGTCGCAGAGCCCACCAAAGGGGCTTTCATCCCCTCCCGGCGCAAAGTATCATGCTGTGGCAGCGCCTCTCACTCCACCCAAGCCCGTCACGTCAAACGTGGCAGGTCTGCGGGCATCACCTGTGCTCCTCATTACCCCCACACACCTGATGCAACCCATGGTGAAGCCTCGTCCTACCCTTCGTCATTTTCATTACTTCTGCTGGATCCGTCGCTTTCCACGCACCCACACCGCCCCCACCCACCTTGATGTACTCCGCATCCTCCTGTATCTCCTCCGCCCGCCCCGACACCAGGCTCTGCGCCGAGTGCTGCAGCCCCCGGAACCACGCAGCCGCCGCGCTGACGCTGGGCCGGTGCGCCGCCGCCGCCTCCGCCGCCCACCTCGCCGCCTCCAGCAGCCACGCCTCCTCGTCCGCCTGCAGGAAGGTGGCCAGCTCGCGGCTGTCCTTGAGCACCGGGTGGCTGGCCACACGGTTGATGAACACCTGGTGGGGGGGAAGGGGGGAAGTAAATGAGAAATGCAGCAACTGGAGCAGGGAGGGGCGGAGGAGAGGGAAAGAGGGGAGTTGGAAGGAAGGAGAGGGCGGGGCGGACCCCACCCTCTGTGGGGTTTGGGCTTGTCCCGGGCACCGGCTCCCACCGGCCTCCAGCAACATGCCGTCGGCCTCCCCCTCCCTTCGCACCCCACCTCCCACCCACCCACCTGCAGCGCCCTCCTGCGCTGGTCGATGAACTCAGTGGCCATCTGGTACTTTCCCACCGCACTCTTCTCCGGCAGCGGCGGCACGATGTGGCCCCGGTGCCGCTCGCACAGCTTGTCATGCAGGGCGGAGAAGTCACGGAAGCGCCGTACAACCTGGGGAGGGAGGGATGGGCAGGGGCGGGGGCAGGGAGGATGGAGGGTAAGGAGGGTAAGAAGGGTGAGGAGGAAGAAACTGGGTAGGAGGGGTGACGAGGCTCCAACATGGGGGAGGGGGCGGGAGGGGCGGGGAAGCCAGGCGGAGGCGGAGCAAGGCGGGGGGAGGAGAGTGCAGCCAGGTGGGTGTAGTGCAGGTTGCCCTCGCCGCTTACCTGGTGGAAGGGCGCTGCGTAGGCGGAGTGGGTGGTCTTGGTGCGGACCTTGTAGGAGACGTAGGCCGCCACACCCTCGCCCTGCTTGACTGGGTCCGTCACCTGGGAGTGAGGAGGGATGTGCTTCAGAGCAGCTGGGTGCGATGCGATTGCGTGTATTGGAAAGGGATGTGGATGCAGAGGTGTTGGTGGGGAGGTGGGAGGAGTAGGAGGCTGCTAGACGGCGACATGGCGTGTGCGTGCGGGTCGGGTCAGGGGTGACAGGTGGGGGTTGTTCGCGGAATTGGCTGCGATCTTGCAGCCGATGCCCCCGGACACATTTCATTTGGTGTTATGATAAAGCAATACCCAAAGCTTCGGCGCAGAAACCAGCAGGAGGATACAAAGACCCGCACCGATGGGCTGACTGTTGCTCGGCCCCATCACCCTACCTCAATTTCAAACTCCTTACTAACTGCGGTAACAGGAGCAAAGTAGTTGTTTGTTCCATGGTCTTGCAGGACGCTCTCATAGGGAGGAGGGTCCTGCATTGAATGCGTCGGAATGTGAGCGAGCGTTTCAATTTAAGCTGAGCGCACTCATACCACACGCACCATCTTCTACTGGCGCCGGGCCTTAGGGCCCTAGGCGCAAGAAAGCACTGTTGCTGCCCAGAAGACGGAGCGCCAACTCAGCGCGCGTCGTTGTGGTAGGAGATCAGACCCAAAAGACACCTTCGTTTATAACCTAAAATTTAGTTCTTGATAGAGAAGGTGAAATGCTCACACAGCAAGCAGCGAACGTGGACGCAACTAGGTTTCCGTTCCTCGGCAAAAATTACTAGTATTATTGCACGTTGGAGCACTATTGACGTCGAACTTCTGTCCAGTTGTTACAGACATGCGGTAAAGTAACTAGCCAACTGTTGACTTTGTAACTACCCGCATACCCAAGTAGCTCCATGCTGCCATGCAAGGCGCACAACATCCCAAGCGGGGCGGCAACACCGCAATCCTTGGGTCTAATGCTTCGTGATACATTCGTGTACAATTCCTGCCAAGGACAGCCTCCTCTTTAGGATCATGGCCCACGGGTCCGGGTCCCGTGAGACCTCCCAGTCGCACCTCAGGCAAGATACCACACGTCTTCTTTCAACAGGACTCCAGGGAAGGTTAATGCCGCTTCCCCTGACGTATGTGGCAGGCAGTAATCATCGCATCCAGCCACACACTGACTCTCGCAACCTCATGTCGGGGCCAACGTAAGGGTGTCGCTGACCTAATGGTGCCGCTGACCTAACCTGACCGCTGGCCCTGACACCCTCGCCGCCACGCGTGTGAACCTCCCTTGACGTGTGGAAGGCGGGAACGGTACTGGCAGGTGGTAAGGGCAACTGGTACGCTTGCTGATGCAGGTATACGTTACCGAAGCGACAACATACAATGCTCATGCCGATCCACAGAAGCGGTACGACACAGCGTGCATAGTCACTGCCTGCATTCGTGCATTCCTCCCACGTAGTCACAAATCTCACAATGCATGGTCCGGAGTGCTCGGGATGGGACCCCAGGGACGACCCCCGCCACCAGGGCTGCCAGTGCAGCTGGCCACGGTATGCACGCATGCTGCGCACCCCAACTAAATCCAACGAGAACGGCAGTGAGCTTACCGGGTGGCATGCTGGTTACGTGCCGTACCGGCCAGGTCCCCAGGAAAATCCGGGCAGGCTGCTATTTCCCGTCCGCTGTCAAGTAACTTCCCTGGACCGCTGGAAGCCATGTGTATGGCTGTTCGAGGATGAATTAGGGCTCACACAGCGGTCAGCGTTCCCGCCCAAGAGGTGTGCCCAGGCTGCCCCACCATGCAACTACGGTTACATGCAGGCAGCACAAGCAGGCCGCAACAGACGTGCACTGCACCGCACTCGCACAAAGTAAAGGTAGACAGCTATGAACAGTGCCCAAACAGGCCTGAACCTACCCACCTACATGATTCAATGCACCCCTGGGTGTCTGCTCCGCACCAAGGTTTAAGCAGGTGCCCGGGACTTGGGCCCTGCACGGTGATTCAATACATTCCGGCCTGACTACGCCAAACTAAGCCCTTTCAAGCCTTGTTGAATTCCCCCGGTGGATTGCCGGTTTGTTTTGTGTTCGCTTGCACTTTGCCACCTCACACCTGTTTCGGAGGGGGCAGATGCTATTGGGAGGTGCAAACGTGTGGTATGTGCCTCTGTAGGGCATGATGCGGGTTCTGAAATCTCAAGGGCTGCAAAACCACAGCAGGATGGACTGATGCAACGTTGGACATTTATCCGTTACAGTTTGTAAGAGCGCAGACGTCAATCACGCGGAAAGGTACCCAGCACAACGACTTAGACAACTGCAGCCGCAGTGTCAATCCTTCTTCATTTGCCAGCAACAGCAGGGCCCTTCCGACACTAACTACCGGAGAAAGACGCCCATGCACCTTACCTCCCCTTCAACAATTGGTAAGCCCGTGTCGACAACCTCACAGCCATGGTCTACGACTGTACAACATTTTCACCCCGATGCAACAGTAGGCACAGGTTATTATTTCCAATCCTCAACATTCCCAACTCTCAATGGTTATGCCCCCAGCCCTCCCCTCACGGATACACGCCTCTCCCTTGCGGCACGGCTTGTGCACGCATGCTACACTGCAAGCTGTAAAGTAAGCGCGGCGCGCCTCCTAGTCAGCACCGTTAGCCAACGAACACAAGACGTGTTGCGCATGCCCACTTGAAGCAATCGCAGACCCGCTCTAGCTTGGAATGTCGCGAGGTAGCAGCTTTGCACCCACCACCCCTTCCAGCTACAGCCGCACCTGGGGCGGCAAGTCGCTCAGCTGCTCCCAGAGCTCCAGCAGCTGCCGCAGCCACTCCTCCTCGCCCACCCGGCACCTGGCGGCCACATCGTCCCACAGCGACTGCAGCACCTGTTAGTTGGGAAGGAGCATGGACGAGCCCCGGGGTAGGGTTGTGTCAATGTGTAGACGTCAGCAAGGGGTGGCAACAGCACAGCGAAAAGAGCTGCAGCAAAACGTCACAGCCGCGCCCATTCGGCCCCTTCTTGCTCGCCCCAGCGCCTTCGTTCCCCAGGCTGCTAACCCATGCCATCTCATACCACCCACATGTACGCTCACCTGCTTCAGAGCCGCAACGTACAGTAGTCGAATGCCGTTGACCCACAACCGCTCGTTTTTACACAAAAGGTCCCAACAAGCACTCCGCAATGCATTCGGGTGGACCACCCGTAGGACTTCCAGGCTGGCCCCCTCCCTTGCCGCCGCAGCCCTGGCCGCGGCCTCCACCACCTCCGCCTCGTGCTCCTTAGCGCACTCCAGCAGCACGGCGCCAACACCCCAGGCGGCCGGTGGGAGGGGCTGGTAGGCCAGCAGCTGCTCGGGGGCGCTGCTAGGACCGCTGCTGAGACCGCCACTGCTTGCAGCCTGTTGCGCCTGCTCCCCCAGCTGCCGCATGAATGCACGCAAGCTGTCCGCGGTGCCGGCCACGTTTCGCATCATGGGGCCCCTCAGCAGCAGATACTCCGTTTGCATGTCATCCGGCGGTGCCAGCATGCGCCGCAACATGGCCTCAGCTGCCTCGGGGGCTGAAGGAACGTGCGGTGGCGGTGGCGGTGGCGGTGGCTGCTCGGAGACGGCAACTGAGGACGGGGGCGGCTGGGCGGCTGCTTCTGCCAGCAGGTACGGAGGCAGCTCCTGTGAGCGGAGCTTGAGACTGACGCCCACATCGAGACCATTCACGTCCCTATGCAGCAGCAGCACTTGTGGCTTGCCCAGAAGCCGCACGGCTGCCAGCGCTGAGCTGCGGGTGCAGGCAGTTAGGCTTTCCAAATCCAGAACCTTGCAGCGGCCCGCCAGCTCCCGCAGCAGGCGGAACTCTGGCGCCTCTTCAGCGCCCTGCATGTCATGTGGAACGAAGAAGTTGTGCAAACTGAGGTAGGACAGCGGGCCGCTTGCTGCAGGGCAGCCCTGCAGCAGCCCAAGAAGGGGCTCAATCTTAGACAAGCAGATCTCCTCGGCCTGGCCGTTGTGGAGCCTGGCAATTAGCACGTTACGCTCCCAAATGTTGCCGCCAGTATGCAACTCCAGGTCCTCCAGATATGGCGGCAGGCTCCCCAGCAGCTGCTGCAGGGCCTTGTAGCAAGCCGGAATTGGACCTGTTCCATACAGGCAAAAGCCCAGGGAAAGCCACCTCAGCTTTCGCAGCCGCACAATGCTGGCTGCTGCTGCTTCAGTCAACCAGTAGCCGCCGCCATCAATGGGGGGGAAGGCCAACACTAGCCGCTCCAGGCTGCCTGCCAGGCTGCTCACACCCTCCAGCAGCCTCGCCACGCCCATATCGTCCTCTGGTGCAAGTCTGCCCTGAAATGCCATGCTTTCCAGCTTTTTCAGCTGCAGAATGCTGGCAACGCCAGCTTCGCTTAGGCGGCGCGACCCACGGGTCATCGTGACATCCAAATGCCTCAGGCTGCCCGCCAGTGCTCCCACGTGCTCCAGGGCGGCCCCGTACGGCAGCTTCAGGGTCTCAAGGTACGGCAGCTCTGCCAGCGCTGCCATCATCATCTGCTGCTGCAGGGGGTCGTACGACATGACCGGCGCCAGACCGCTTAAGTCCAGCTCACGAAGCGCTGGAAGGAGCTGGGTGAACGATGTGCACATGAGGCCCTCCTGGATCTTCCGTTGGACCTCCTGGCCTCCTGGGGCCCGGCCTGCGTCCAGACGCGTGATGCGCTGAAGTGCTTCCGCTGGCTGACCGGTAAAGGGCATCAGCGGGAGGCTTGCGATGTCTTGCGAGTCAGGGAGTTCCTCCCAGACGAGGATGACTGAGGTGCACAGGGGCCAGCGTGCTAGCGGGGGCAGGTGACCCGACTCCCCGAGCCCTGCAGTAGCGGTGCAGAGCAGCAGGTGCGCAGTGCGGACGCTGCCATCCAGGATATATCGGAAGCTTTGGCAAGACAAGCGTGCGGCTGCGATGTCCTTGCCATCGAGTGCGCCATAAAGGATGTCCGCGGCCTCAGCCGAAAGCGCTTGAAGCACGACATCGAAGGTTGGCTCGGGCGCGTCGGACATCCTCGGTTCTTGGTGAGCGTGTGGCTTTGGAAGTGAGTGATTGACCGTTACAGAAGTGCTGGGGCGCCAAGGCCGCCTGCTTCTTCTGTTTTCTTTGCCTTAGTAACGGTATTTATGCATCGACTTAAAGCCAAGGTGCTGGGTTACTGGGATGGACTGGAAGCGGTGCTGCAAGGCTTGGCTGTTGCGTAGGTGACCGTGTCTTGTCGGGTTCAGCTTCAACCTACGTAAGAAGCTTTTTCCGCACGTAAGGCACACTGGAGGACCGACGAAAACGGAATGACACTGTATGCATAGGTCATGGCGGCAGGGAGGGAGAGGGCGTGTAGTCGAACCTGTCATTTCGCGATCGGTGGGTCTATCTGTCCAAGGATCGCTATTGGGAGCAACCGTCATGCACCGATACTAATAAGATTTAACTGGCGTGAAGGGTAAGGGTAGTAGCACATGTTCGCTCGCGTTCTGTCCAAGAGTGGCTTGCCAGGGGTTGAATTTACTTGCTGGGACCTTGGCTATCGTTGACTGTACGGCAGCGTTGACTGTTCGAAAATTGGGTGGTAGACAGCTACGAACAGGGCCCAAACGAGCCTGAACCTACCTACCTACATGATTCAATGCACCCCTGGGTGTGTGCTCCGCACCAAGATTCGTGCAGGATGCTTCAAGCAGGTGCCCGGGACTTGGGCCCTGCACGGCGATCCAACAAGTTCAGGCCTGACCACGTCTAGCCAAGGTCTGCCGGAGCCTGAACTTGTTGGATTTCCCCGCTGGATTGCCGGTTTGTTCTGTGTTCCTTGCACTTTGCCACCTCACACCTGTTTCGACCCCGTTCCTCTGCCATGTCCTAGCTCACATGGGGCCATGGTGACGACATTCAACCTACCGAGTACCATTAGGATATTCAAGAACCAGCTGTTTACAGCACATTGGATGCGCGTGGGACGCTTCCCGTTAAGACCCAGCATCGGTAAGGGCCGCTAACCATCCCATGTCTTGTGGCAACCTACCGCCTCCTGTCCCCTTTGTCTTGCCCTCACTCATTTTACCCCGCTGGAATGGGACACCTGTTGGTTTGGCTTTGCTCGGACCCCGCTGGGTTCTAGCGCTGTGGGGAAGCGCTGCATAGCCCCGACCTGAGGTGTCCTTTGTACAAGTGCACTGTGACTAGAATGGTATGAGGCCCGTTGCGCTGCGTAACCCATGGCGATGCCCAATTTAAGAGCTGTCCTAAAATTGCAGTAAGTAACAGGTTTTGGTACACTCTAGGGCTTTTACTATGCGTAAGAGTGACTGCTGTAGAGGGACGGGTTGGGGAGCAGATTGGAATTTGCGGAAGCTATTACATATTTACTACTGGTTTCTGAGTTCAATGTGTGCACAGAAGCTGCGGCGGGTAAACCCCGAGTAAGTAGCATACCGTCTTTAGGTTTACGGTGTTTCCGTGCCGTACAGAAGGCTTGTACGACGACCGGGAAATAACGCCAACAAGTGCCGACCGAACGAAAGAACAAAGTAAACCAATTTTACTAATAGCTTTAAGCATACTCCGTGATTGATCGAGCTGCACTGCTGGCCTTCGGCTGCAAGCTGCACCCAACGCGTGACATCCAGCCGAACCACACTCGCCACATTGTTAGGTGCGTTTGGAAGATAATAGTTTTATGTACCTTGCATACTCGCTAGTTGGGTTTATGGTTTAGCGAACCGGCCGTGAGAAGAAAGCCGGACCTGGAGTCGGCTCTTGGTGCAAAGCGGCGTGTCAGAAACTGGCTAGGCGTTGCAACTTTTATGTGTAGCCGTTTCTACTTACAAATATTTCGACAGCGTCCGTGGCGTAAACGCGACAGCCCACCGCCACCGCTCGTGCGCTTGCAGGCGTGAGCCCACGCCTCGGCTAAGCAACGATGAAGGCAAAGACACACTTCTTCAAGAATTTGGACCTTACGTCCATCTTGGTGCCTGAGGAGGGAGGCGTTTTCACAGGTAGGGCTTGTTGAGCGATTGCGTTCCTAAGCGGTTTAGCTCTGCTACTTTACCGTGCTATGCTTTTTTGTTTTCCATCCGTCTATGCTTGCTACTGAATTTGCTTGCGAAGCCTTGGTTTAGCGTCTTCTGCGCTAAATCGCAACATGATATCCTGCAACTTGCAAGAGCCGCCCAAGCTCTTTTAATTTCACGTGCGAGGCACGAGCCTCCTTACTTTGGGGATGTATGTTTCCTATTACCTCTAAGTAAAAACACGAGTGCTGATCCTGGGACGGCCCAAACCTCATGTAATGGAGCCCAATGACACCCCCTTGCAAAACCAAAGACCCCTTTCCTTCCTTCTCACCGCCCATCTCCCTCACAGGCACCAAGGTTGTCTGCACTGTGGGACCCTCTTGCCAGGATGTGGACACGATGAGCGAAATGCTGCAAGCCGGCGTGGTCGGCTGCCGCGTCGACCTCACCTGGGGCCCCCTGGAGTTTCACCGCAAGTCGCTGGCCAACCTGCAGCAAGCCATGCGCAAGAGTCGGCGGTTGTGCTGCACCATGGTGGACACGTTGGGTCGGGAGCTCATGATTCGTCGCCAGGTGAGGCCGGGTTTGAAGGTTTGAAGGGAACGGGCGGTTGGTGGTTAGCCTTAGCGCTGGGTGCTTTGCCGTTGTTTGGCTGGGTTGAATTGGATGGAAAGGGAAAAGGGTGAATGCATCTGGAAAGGTGAGGGGGGGCTGTGTGGCTGTGACAGCTTGGGGCCATAAAAGGATGACCGGCCCATGGGACTGCACCCCACCCTTCTCCTTTGGTGCCGTGAACCCCTGCAACCCAAACCCCACCTATTGCCTCTTCCCCAGACCCCAATGCCCTTATCTAAACCCACCTCCACTCCACCCCACCCTTGTCCTCCCGCAGGTCAAGATTGGCGAGGACGGTTGGCCCATCCACGAGGAGTCCTTCACCGTCACTGCAGGCCAGCAAGTGACCATCACCACCCGCACCGACGTGGAAGCCTCCAGCAGCGTGCTCCCCATCACATACTCCAAGTTCACGGAGATGGCGGTCAAGGGCGACACCATTTACATTGGGCGATACCTGGTGTGTGGGGCGGACTCGGCCTCCCTGTATCTGGAGGTGCAGGAGGTGCTCGGTGAGTTGGGGAATACCGGTAGGGAATGCTTTTTTCGGCTTGTGGGTTAAAAGGGAATAAGACGGTTCGTGTCCCTTCTCGTCACCCCTCCGTGTCCTTTCATGCCTTTCACTGACTCAATCCCTTTCTTGTACGTGTTGGAACACTTGTACGGCAACCCTGTACGGCACCGTAACCCGCCCCGCTCCACCAACCCTGCGAAACCCTGTTTGCATGTACGGCACCTTCCAGCTGACGAGGTGGTTTGCGTTGCCAAGAACGATGCGGTGCTGGGCGGCCTGCTGACGGTGTTCCACGCGGAGCGCTCCACGGAGGGGCTGTCCAACGTGCAGAACGACCTGCCCCTGCTCTCGGACTATGATAAGGAATGCCTCCACATCCTGGCGCAGGAGTTTGAGGTGAGCTGGTGTGGGGGTGAAGTGAAGGGGAGGACAGCATGCGGCTGCGGGGTTGGGCTTCAACTTTCAAGCCGTGTAACGAGTCATCATTAACTTGGGTATACCCGTGCCGCCCGCTTTGCAGATCGACTTTGTGTCGTTGTCGTACACTCGCGCGGCTGAGGACGTACGGGAGGCTCGCAGGTGAGAGCCGTACTCGTTGCCCGTGAGCGGCAGGGGTACACTGGACTGGCGTGTCTAGACAGAACCAAGGCAGCAGCAGCAGTGGAGCATATCGGCCCCACTTTCCCGCTTCGTACTTTGTTCGTGTGTGATACCAGTAGTCGCAGCCTGCATACCTTGTGGCGTTGTGGGCGATTGTTTCCAGATCCCCCATACTCCCCCCTTCCTGCCCTACCCTGCCCTCCCCACCTAACCCCCCCTACCCCCGCCTTCCCCTTTCCCCTACCCAGGTTCCTGGACTCTATCGGCATGAGCAACACCAAGATCCTGGCCAAGCTGGAGTCCCGACAGGCCCTGCTCAACTTCCATGTGAGGACGGGGAGGGAGGGGGAGGCGGGAGGGAGGAGTTGGATGGTCCTAGTGGGGTAGGAGCCGTGGAAAGCTCCGAAAGGGGAGGCCTTGGGGAACTGAAAGGAAGGATATAACTCGGTGGGGGTAAGGAAGGGGAGCAAGTCAACTACCGGTAGAAAGGAAACAAGAATGCCTGGTTCTTAGGAATTGCTCTTACCTTCAACCCGCCTCATCTCCCATCACATCCGCCGCAAAAGACATAGCACTGCACCAACTTGTTTCCCAGCGCTATGACTGAATCCCTAACCGCTGGCCGCTGCCCAACCGTGCAACACAAACACAAACAGGGCATCCTGAACGAGGCCGACGGTGTCATCATTTCCCGCGGCAATCTGGGGTTGGACACCGTGCCAGAGAAGATGGCGCTTGTGCAGAAGACACTGGTGCAGGTGGGGGCAACAGGGGATGCGGGTCTGTCGTTTGTCCTTATAATCAGCTTTGTCTTCACCTTCCTTTACTTGCCTTCACTTCCTCCGGCCTTACTATTTCCCTTACCCGCTTGCGCCCCCTCAAGGCCTGCAACCTCGTCGGCAAGCCGGTGCTGCTGACCCGCGTGGTCGATACGATGATCAACACCCCCCGCCCCACTCGCGCGGAGGCCACCGACGTGGCGAACGCGGTGTTGGACGGAGTGGACGGCATTCTGCTGGGCGCTGAGACGCTGCGCGGGCGCTACCCCACGGAGACGGTGCGGACCATTTGCAGCATCAGCCGCGCCGCGGAGAAGGTGTTTGACCACCACTATCACTATGAGCACTTGATGGAGGTGAGTGGAAGGAGAAGGAGAAGGAGGAGGAGGGGGAAGAGGAGAAGGAGAAGGGCTGTGAATGGGTTTTGTCGGGGGCTTTGCCAGAGGCGTGGACAACACCCCAAGGCGAGCAAACAATCTAGCTCTTTCCAATGCGGTTTCCCTCGTCTTCCCTCCACCCATGTACCGGTATCCCTATTACCCCCTCACCCCAGGTCGCCTACGATGTGGGTGACTTGGGCGCAGCGAGTGAGCGCCTGCCTGCAGCCGACTCGGACGAGGAGGGCTTCATCTCCCCGCCCGCCCTAGCCGCAGACGCCCCCAACGGCACCGCTGCGGCCTCAGCCAGCCGAGGCTCCTCCTTCCGCGTTGCCGCCCTATCCAACCCCGGGGGCCCGCTGCGCCGTGACGACAGCTGGAACAGCGTTACCTCTGCAGGCGCACATCACCAGCTGCCGCCGCTGGGGGTGGCTGCGAAGACGATGGCGAGGTTTAGCCAGGCGGCTAGCACGGGGTCGCTGGCGGGGATGACGGGGTATGGGCGGGTGGCCTCGGCGTCTGGGGCGGCGTACCAGCGGGCTCCGTACATCAGGTGAGGGCAGTGAGGAAGGGGTGAGGAGGGGATGGGATTAATAGGGATACGTATTCCACATCAGGCTGGATTTTAGGGTTGTGTATCGTCGTACTTGTTGGGCTAGTAGCAGCACACAAACCGTACAAACCGTAATAAAGGGGGTGGGGACGGGATGGGGAGGGGGCTGGATAGGCATGGGGAAGGCTATACATGCAAAGTCCTCACCGTACCGGAGTGGGAGGGTTGGGGCTGGTGCCAAAGGATGTGGAACTCCTTACAAAGGTTTACAATACCCTACGCCCCCTTCCCTCCTAACCAACGCCCTCTTCCCCCACCTCCTTCCCCCCTCCTCCGCTCCCTCTTTCACAGCAAACTGGAGTCCATAGCCTCTTCTGCCGTCCGCGCCGCCGACCGCGTGGGCGCCTCCCTCATTGTTGTGTACACCCACACGGGCAAGACGGCGCAGCTGGTGGCAAAGTACCGCCCGCCCATGCCCATTCTGACACTGGTGGTGCCGCATCTGGTGTCGGACCAACTCAAGTGGAAGCTGGAGGGGAGGTGCGTGGTGGTGGGGAGCTGGGTGGGGAGGAGTTGAGGGTACCGGTGGTGGAGGGAGGGAGGGAGGAAAAATTATATAAGTGAAACAACGAGTTCCAATCCCATATCCCTCCTCCTCCTCTAGGGAGGAGGAGGGATTGACGGGGGTTGGCGGATGGTGGTATATGCTGCCTACTTACCTACTGTACGGCCTGCTCCTTGCGGATTTGCCTTCACGGATGTAGGATGCCGCATGAGGTCCCGGTGATTCCATGAGGGTTGAACTCTAGGGTGCACTGGCTTCCTGGGAGGGCTCTTCCCTACCCACCCACCCACCCACCCTCCTACCGCACCCACCCTCCTGCACCTCTCTCACGTGCTACCGCTCAGGTCGAGTGCCCGGCAGTGCCTGGTCTGCCGCAGTCTGCTGCCGGTGCTGGCGGCCCCCAGCCCGAGTGGCGACCAGCTGCTGCAGGAGGCGGTGGTGATGGCGAGCCGAGTGGGGCTGGTACGCCCGCACGACCATGTGGTGTGTGTACAGCGGATTCATGACGACTTTTGCGTCAAGATTATCAGCGTGGATGAGCTGGGTGCAGGTGAGGGGAGCGGTTGGTGGTGGGGTGTGAGGGAGGCGGAGTACAGAAACAACGAAGGACGTGGTGACTAGGGAGGTGGGGTGTGAGGGAGAGGGGGTGAAATGCGTGGACGGAGTCGGCACTTCCAGGATGGGATTGAACGTTATGTGCGTCTTCCATGCGGTTGTCTAACGCCGGTACCAGAGCTTGCTCTTTCACTCGCCTGTGGTCTCTGCTACCAGTCTGCAGCCTGCGCCCGGGCGAGTGGTATGTGGTGCAGGAGCCTACTTCCATTCGGGGGCGATCCCCACGCCATTACAGCCATTCTAGCCACACACTAACCCTTGCCCCACCGCCTGACATCCACTCGGGCGCCTGCTCCCCCCCAGGCATCAAGCGCGACGACATGCAGCACTCGGTCTTTGGCGCCGGCAGCATCTCGAGCCCCAGCGCGCTGCCGCCCCAGCACCTGTCGGGGTACGATTCCCCGCGGGTGCACAACAACCCCATTGGCAACAAGTTTGGCCCCATGTCGCCTGTTGGGCTGGAGGTGGGCAGTTTCTCCGGGCCCCTGGGCGGCAGCTCGCTGACCCCTGTGCGGCAGGGACTGTAAGAAGTGCCGAGCAACATCAGCAGCGGCGGCGAACTAGCTGAGCTTGTTAGGATAGACATGACAGGCTGCGGCGCTATCGTTGAACAATCGGTGGCAAGACACGGGTGTTTGTAATGACGTCCTGTGGCATGATTGCCGGGCCGCCTGGGATAAGGGGGCCTTGGTATCCTACTATGATGAGAAGGGGTGGACAGATGGAGACAGGTGGCGATGATGACGCGTGCATGGAGAGCGTCCGTGCACTACTCGAGGTGTGTTGCGTATTTTGTGGTGTTTGACCGCATGGTCAACGAGGGAGAGTTGGAGGGATTGAGAGAGCTGCGGGATGTGTGTTTGTGCGTGTTTGGGAGTCTTAAATATGCGGTGGGAGTCTAGAGCGATCCTTTCCACCTGTGGTATGGCACTTGTGCCTTGCTTTGGGAGAACTGGATAATTTGTACTTTGAGGAGGGGTTGAACTAGACAGACAGCCATTGGATGGAAGTAGGAAACTTACATGTGGGTAGTGGGGAAGGACAGCTGGAATGGCATGTTGGGCGGGTGAATAGGGGTGAGGCGAATGTTTGACGGTTCGCGTTGTTCCTCGAAGCAACATAATGTGTCTGGGTAGGGTAGCGAAACAGATTTCAAATGAGCGGCTGGGGTAGCCTAATTTGTGGTTTGGGGAGGGTAGGGGCAGGTAGAAGCAGGACATGATGCTTGGAGTGACTTAGGCTTGGACAGCTATGCCATGGTTCATAGCCGAGCTGGATAAATATGGTTTGGCGGTTTGCGGCGGGCAAACAGGACTCGAAAGAGCACGGCGGCGCCACTGACAATTGCACGTGTTACAATGTTGCACATTGCGTGGAAGCCAATCGAAAGTATTATTACTCGACAGTTCAATGCTGCATAGCGGCGAGTTAAGTAAAGGTTTGATCACATGGCCAAGTTGCAACAGGAGGGGTATTCGTTGCTCCACCCCTTTGGCCTAGTCCTCCGTTTCCCATGTGCCACCCAAAGTGGCTCTATGGCTAAACTGCATTGACATGGGTACAAATTGTAACAATTACCTTGCACATAGCCTATAACCCAAAGACCAAGACCCCGTGCACCGCACAGCGTGTAACATGCACATCTGGCCAGATCCTTTTCGAGACAATCCGTGCCGTTCCTTTCCTTCTATCTCTAGCTACCCGCGGAGACCAACCACTATCCAGCACCCATGGAACATGCCAACCTTCAACCACCCCACCTCACTGCTTAACGCCTGGTAAGATGCATGTTTAAGCAATTCGACTTTCCGCACTATGGCCAAAAAAACATTTACATTCCCCCCCGACCACCCCATTGGGCCTCCGGGCCCCGGGCAACGTACGTACCGCCTGGCGCAGACATCATTCGCCAAGTCGAGGTCGCTGCAGCATGCGAGCCATCTAAACCGTAAAATTGTTGGCCAAAACATGGCGCTCCTATAACCGCACGTATGGCACCGCGACTTTGGAACACCGGACAGGCGCTTCATGACCAAGACACTCCTAACGGGACCACAAGCCGTGTTCTCCTACCCCTCCCAGCACCGTTGAGACCCCAACCGCTGGACCAAACGGTTCGCACAGCTCTGTCTGCCCTGGACTCCAAAATCCCCAGCACAGCTTGCATGCGCTAGCGATCTGCCATCCGCAGCCTCATTTGGCCAGTATGTACAGAATGGTAAACAGGACGCATGCGGCAATGACTCCGGACAGCACGAGAGTGTCCTTGGACTTTTTTCGCCGAATGGCGTTCAGCAAGCCATTCACGACGGGGAAGCGGCTGCCCACCGCCACCAGCTTGTCTCCGATGCCCTCGAACACACGGCGCTGCTGCATGAGGCTGCCCGACACGTTGGAGGCTGACGTCAGCAGCTCGTCCACCTGCATGGGCGGCAAGGATTGTTTCTTTCGGATTGGAAAGGACACGTGTACGGGAAGAACAGGAAAGAAGCGTACGGCAAGGATGGGAGGACGTGCTGCACCAGGTCAGAAGCGCCCTGAGGAGCTTGGGGCAGGGAGGAAACATTGGGAGAACCCTTGGGAGAACCATCTACACAGTTGTGTCCTCAGGACATGCCCTACACAGCAGGCCCAACCTTTCGAAACAGCTGCAAAACAGCTTGCTTACCATGTTTGCTGAGTTCTGGATTGTTCCGCGCTCGCGCAGCAGTGCCCCCGAGGAGCTTTGCACCTGGCGTGATGCGGAATTCGAAGGGAGCACCGTTAAGGGAGCACTGGGTTCAGGCAGCAGCAGTAGGCCAAGGGAACGGAGGGTCAGGCCAGGTTGTGGGGCTGTCCTTGCTCCATGCTACAACTCGCAAGCTCCCTGAACCTCTTTGGATGAACCCACCAAGAGTATAGGTGCACATCCAAAGTGCGCACGGGATGGGAAGCTCTCACCTGCACGCTGAGGAGCGGGCTTTCCCCACTGCCTGCCAGCAGCTTCACCCGGTCCAGCGCAGCGCCCAGCGTGGAATTGACTTTCCGGAATTCCTACACGAAGGGTAATGGCGGAGGTTGGCGGCAGGGGTATGGCCTGCTAACTGGAGTGCTTAGTCCGGACAAGGCCTAGTTATGGGTGTTGCACATAGCGGGCACCAAGATATCAGAATATTAGTTTTTCATACAGGGCATGGCACCTCCTGTACCTGTGTGAACTCCTGGAGGATATCACGATGCCGCGCCAAAGTGTGGGAGCGCGCATCGCTGCTACCGCCTACGATTGCCGCCATCTCGTCGTTTATGTCCGAGAGCCGCTGGAGCAAATCTTCCACCTCTGCCGCCTTTGTTTGCGCAAGCTGTCAGGACAAGGGGTAACACGACCATTCAGTGGGGTGCTGGTGAGGGAGAGATAGGTCTCATGCACTCCCACCTGGTCCGCTCCCAGCGCAGCATTGTCCGAGCTGTTTAGCTTGTAGCTCGCCTCAAAGCTAGAGCAGAGCTTTGTAAACGCTGCAAGCTTAACATCTAGCTCACCCTCTAGCCTTCTCGCCTGCAAGCAGAAACATCAAGTTACACCCAATGCCTTCTACCAAGCTGAACGAGGACTACTTACCTCTTTCCGCAAGTCCTCCCATGGTTTACGTGTCTCTCCCGGCACCCGAGGGGCCGTCGGGCTGCTGAGGGTCCGCGAAAGGAACAGAGTTTGTAATAGCCATGCTAACTGTAAATTTAAGTGGACCAACACAAGACGCACCGGTATGCCATGTATGCGGTTGCTACGTGCCGTCCTGACGGTGCCTCCGAGAGAAACATATCACAGCACCATTCGCTCTTGCTCTGTCACAGCTCTGGCTTTGCCAAAGCCCTCCGTGGGGCTGGCACGAACTCTAGTCTATGGCGTAAGGATGAAAGCAATTAACGTCCAGCTTTGCAATTGAAGGACCGGAAGTTAACCCGAAAGGACAATGTAAAGACAGAGAGGTGTCGGATAGGTGATGATCAGATCGACTTGCAAGACACGCTTTACAGGTGATAATAATGTGATTGCTTGGCAACGAGCGAGCGTGTAATGCAAGCACTTGAGCACTTCCCGTCGTACGGGGTGTTCTCCTCATGCCATCCCTTGAAAAGCGACAAGCATTTCTGCCCTGCCATTTACAAAGAGGATTAAGCATATAATTACACATAAAGCTCGCAAAGACCAACACTCGTCCTGATATAGCTGAGCAGATCTCGTTAGGTTAGCAACAATGTTGCCTCGGCCCACGACGCATTCCAAGGCTCTAGGTCCTGGCGTAGCTGGTCCAGAGCTTGCAGTGGCAACATCAGCGATTCTGGACAGACCACCTCAGCCCTCCGCGCACCTGCCACTCTCAGGCGCCCAGCCCTGCTTCGTGGACCCATCCGCCCTTGCGGACCCCCGCCAGCACACCAAGTACCCTTACGTCACCGGCACCTCCGTCCTCGCCATCAAGTACAAAGACGGCGTCCTAATCGGCTGCGACACGCTTGGCGCCTACGGCAGCACCAAGCGCTACAAGAGCACGCAGCGCCTGTACCAGGTCAACAGCAAGTGCGTGGTGGCCGCGGGCGGCGAGATCAGCGACTTCCAGCACATTCAAACACTCCTGGACGAGCTCACCACAGATGACTACCGCACCGACGATGGTATAGAGCTCACGCCGCAGGAGATCTACTCCTACCTCTGCCGCGTCATGTACAACCGGCGTAACAAGTTCGACCCGCTTTGGAACTCGCTTGTGGTGGGCGGCGTGCAGGAGGAGGGCGGCCCCTTCCTGGGTATGGTGGGCATGATCGGCACGCACTACACGGACAGTCACGTCACCACGGGTTTCGCCAACCAGCTGGCGCGGCCGCTGTTCCGAGAGCGGCAGCGGGACGACATGGAGGAGGAGGAGGCGCTGAAGCTCATGTACGACTCGCTCAAGGTGGGAGTGGGAGGAGGAAGCTGGGATGGGTGTGGGGGGGGCTTTGAGTGGGGTGTGGGGTTGGGCGGGTGTTTGTTAGGGTTCGAGTACATGGTAAGCAGAGCACACGGCGGCGTGGGTTCTATTGGAAGTGTCAGTGGGAAGGGCTACCGGTAGCTATGAAGGCCTGGCATGGTGGAGGGGCACGGCTTGGAGGCGAACGAATGGGAGGTGAGACGCGCTGCGGCAGCATGCACCAGCCTGTCACGTGGAAGGATCGGGGCATGGGGCGTGCGGGGGTAGCGACGGCAAGATGCCACCATGCCACATTACACCAGTGGCAGGCTGGTGGGTTGTGCCGTGTGCCGATAAACGTTCCGTAATGACATATGACTCGTCCGCGTGTTCAATGCTGCTCGGCGCAACCGCCTCCGGGGCCCGGCTTGTGACATTCCCAACCGGGGGGTTGTAGCAGCCAAGGGAACTGGCTCCAATGCAGCAGAGGAGGTGCAGCTGTGACGAAAACGGAGATTAGACATTGGGGTCTGGGTGCTGCACGTGCGATCGTGTGGTCATGGAATGTGAATGGGTGTTAGCTTCCACTTTTTAACAGAAAGCCACTGGTCTTCACGTTGCCTTTCCTACCCCATCCTTACCTTACATGCCTCTCTGTCCTTTCTCTCCCGCCTCTCGGCCCCCTCCCTCCCCCCCCCCAGGTGTGCTACTACCGTGACAAGGTGTCCATGAACAAGTTCCAGATCGCCAAGGTCACCAAGGAGGGCGGCGTCAGCATCTCCGAGCCCTTCGCGCTGGACATGCGCTGGGACTACAAGCTCTTCGCCGCACCCACGCAGTGGGCTGTGGGCGCATGGTAAGGGTTGGTAGGGAAGAGCGCAGGGTAAGGAAAAGAGGAGGAGCAGCAGCTGCGGCGACGGCGGATGTCGTACTCCAGATGGTGTTGCGAGGTGGAGCAGCTGCGGGTGTGTGTTGTGCAGCTGTCGTGCTGCATTTGTTGGTGCGAGGAGGGTGGGTGCGTGCGGTGGTAGCATCATGGGAGGGGCGGGGGCCGGGGAAGAAGGAAGATAGGGGCGCTGCGCGGCGCAGGTGGTGGGGCGTTACAAAGTAGAGGCTGCTCGTTGGGTTGCCATCCGGAGCGTGTGTTTGGATGGATGGTGCAGGTGTTAGGTGGCCCATGTGCAGTTGAATTCAGGTTTTTGCCCTGTAGGCTGGACTCCTGTGTCCCCTGTCATCAGTGGTTGAACATGTGTTGGACGAGAACTGGCCCCGAGGAGAAACGTACACAGGTGCTGTGGAGCAGGGCAGCCGCCCAGGGTCATGAACTCCTGATGCATGTATGAACCGCAATGCACAGCAACCAGGGGCATATCGCGTGTGAAACACAAGGAGGCAGGGTTTTAGGTAACACCGTTGTGCATTTGGCTGTGCATGCAATCTGGGTCCGGATGGCTTTTGGGGGGAGCCGCAGGTGTTGATGTGCCCAATGTAACATTAGGGAATTCCTGAAGCGGTATCCAAACAGTGTACAGCTCGAGACGATGAGCAGCAAACGTTACAGCATGTCATGGCTGCTGTTAAGCGGAACGAGCCATTGCCATGTGCTGGTACAAATTAGACAGCCTGCCTGACGAGGTCGTATAGAGAGCTCCAAGTTGCTTGCCGTGCATGGCAATACCTAATAGCCTACATGTCTAGACGACTACGCCAATCCCTGTCAGCAAATCAACCCAGGGACGGGTCCTTGTGCAATCCTGCCGGCGACACCCCTGCGTGAAGTCTGACCAAGCCCAACCCAATAGCTGGGATTCGAAACAGCTGAGCTCCTGAGCTAATGTTAACATCTACAACAACTACACACACCCTTCGAGCCTTCGCACGCACCAGTCCAATTAAAATCTGCAATTCTACTAGTCCTGCTGACCAACCCAAAGCTTTACGACCCACCCAGCCAGCCACCACCAGATCCCGCACGCGCCACAATCCTCTACTGCCCCTCCATCGTCACCTCCCCTGCCGCCGCCGGGGCGGCGCTCTCAGTCTTGCCCGCCGCCTCCTCCGTCCGTGCCTTCTTGGCTGCCACCTCATTCTCATTCTCATCCGCCGCGCCGCCGGCAGCGGCGGCGCCAGCCGTCTGCCCGCTCTGCAGGTCTGACAGGGTGCGCTTAGCCGGCGCGGCTGCGTTGGCCCCGGCTGCTGCTGCGGGCGGCTGCTGGATCTGCGTCTGAGTGGTCGCGGCGACGGTGGGCTGCAGCGTAATGCGCTTGGTGCCGCGCCCCACCACGCCCAGCAGTACAGCCTGCATGGAGGCGACGGAGGGGGCGGAGAAGGAGCCGCTGGTGGTGCCGGCTGCCGCAGCGTCGCCCGCCTCGGAGTTGGCTTTGATGAAGGCTTGCCTGAAGGGTGACAAGTGGGGGGATGGGGCATAGGAGTTGGGTTAGAGGCTGGTCAGCTGTTTTGGTTAGGCATGCCAGACCAACGCAAGGCGGGTGGAACAAGCGCAACTAGAGCTCTCGTAGGTCTGCTTTGTAACAACGCGAACACACAGTGACCTGCTCTAACAAGCCCAAGCCCAGCACACCCAGGAAACCCTCTACCACCGTCACCACCACCCTCCTCTCACTTTAGTGTTTCCTTGATCGAGTTGTTGTTGGCAATCGTCTCCTTCAGCCCCTCACAGTTGCCCTGCAGCTCCGTCAGCACCCCACGCAGGTCGTCCGACGTCGCCTGCAGCTGCCGACCCTCCTCCTCAGCCGCCTCGCCGCCCGAACCGTCCGTGGGCAGTGCCGCCAGCTTCTCCTCCGTCTCCGCGACGGCGGCCTCCAGGGAGGTGATGGCCGCCTGCGTCTCCTTCAGAGCCTCCTCCGGCTGGTCTTGGTAGGTAAGTGCGAGGGAGAGCTTGTACTGCACCTCGGCGATACGGCGGAGGCTGGGCGGCTGCATGGCTTGAAGGTGCTCCAGGCTTTGCTTGTAGGAGTCGACTGAGGGGGGAGGGAATGGGGGGAGCGGGGGGAGGGTGCGGAGAGGGTGCGTGTGAGGTGTGGTAGGATGATTGTGGGTATGGATGCTGGGAAAGGCACACGGAAGGGGCTCACACGTTCGGAAGAGCTGCAAGAAGCACATCGGTAACAGCAGCCCTCATGCCTGACCGAAAGCACCCACCCACCCCACCACCCACCCACATCCAAACACCCACCTGCTTCCTCAAAGCGCTCCTGCTCGCTCGTAATGTCTCCCAACGACTTGTGGACCTCCGCCAGCTTGCTGTGGTGCTGCTCGGGCTGGTGCTTCGAGTAGATCAGGCGGGCCAGCTCCAGCATCTCCCACGCCAACTTCATGTCATCACCATCAGCAGCGGCCTCCTCATCGTCAGCCTGAGCCTCACCGCCCTCCTCGGCACCTCCCTCACCCTCCTCCTCGTCGCTGCCCTCCTCGCCCTCGGCACCCTCCTCGCCCTCCTTCTTGGCCTCGTCACCGGTTGCCGGAGCGGGAGCAGCAGCCGTCTCGCCCTCAGTGGCCGGCTTTTCCTCCGTCGCGGGAGCGGAAGCCTGGGCCTCTGACTCGGTGGCCGCCGGAGCAGTGGTCTCGCCCTCAGTTGGGGCAGCGGCGGGCTTGTCGTCCTCCTTAGCAGCTGGCACTGCGGCTTCGGCATCGGCCGGCGCAGTTGCCGTCATCTCGGCATCAGCGGCGCCTGCAATAGTAACAGGAGGGTGGATGTAAGCGACAATATGCGTCTATTGGAGTTTGAAGTAATGAAATACAAGGTAGGTTCGTGACAAGAAAGGTTATTCGATGGCCTAGTAGCCGCCCTGAAACCGATGGCATGGCCCCTAGCGACGTTGCAAGAGCGGGTGTTGGCCATTCCAGCACGCCATCCTCGTGTAGTTCCCGCTCATTGAGTCCATTGAAAGGTTTAGCTGTCCTTCATCAAGACGCTTACCCGAAATAGTTGAATGGGCACTCCTACCTTGCTTCTCAGCGTTAGGGGCGTCGGGGGCAGCTTGCTCCTGGGCATTCGCGTCGGTACCCGAGGGCTCAGTTGCAGCGCCCTCAGACGCAGGCTTCTGATCAGGAAGAGGCGCCACAGTTGTCTTCGTACTGCCCAGCGCATCCGTTGTGACCCGGGCGACCTCGTAAAGAGCAATGCCGTAGTAAAGGTACACATCTGCGCACTCCAGAGCTTCGCTGCCGTAGCGCTTTTCGTAGACACGTAGTGCAGAACAAAGCAGCTCCACGGCCTTCTCGGGATCCTCGTCGATCATCTTCTTGCCCTCGTTCAGGTTGGCAATGGCGCGCTCCAAGTCCTCCGGGCTGACCTCCACGACAGCGCTCGCAACTTCTGTCGCCATTTTCGTGTAGCAAAACAAAACAAAACAATGACACCTAAGAGGGAAGAGGGAGCCTCGGCAAGGTGTTGCGTCTCTGCAATGCTTGAATTCAAGCGACAGGCGAGCCGCGCGACAGGATAGAGCGCCGCACCACAGTGTTTAGAGCACTGTGAGATGTATCCTACTGAGTGGTAGGGTGGCAGATCGAGAACATAGATTTGCGCGGCATGATGACGTGCTGTGCAAGTTACGACAAGGACGATGCACGGCAAATACCAACCAGGTCCAACTTATTTAGTTATTGTGGCACAAAATACTTACCCCATTTTCATTGTTAAATTCTGTAACTGCGAAGGCATACACCGAGTAGACATGGTGAGCATCGGTAAACCAGCTTTGCCCTTGCGGTATGTATACCTCCTAATTCGATGTGGCAGCGGTCCCCAGTATACGAAAATCGCCCAGAACCCAGAACTCAACCCTGCTGTGCGCCGGACGCTTCTTTCTGCACCCGCTGCAGGCCCCGACGAAAGAGCTGAAGCCGCCACCGGAGCTGGTGGATGCAATCCAGAAGAGCGAAGATATGACGGTAAGGTTCCGTCTTGAGCGTGACATCCGTCAGTCGTAACAATTGCGCTTGTATTCAGTCATGAACAATGACTGTGTCCCATGGGTCGCGCTCTTTTTTGCTGTTGCTGACGCATCACCTGCGCAGCGGCCGCCGCCCACAGCAACATTCTAGTTATCTCTTGAAGGAATCATTTTCCATTGATCAACGTTATAGTACCACATGGCCCGCTTTGGCGGGCTTTCAAAGGCATAGCTGTCCTGCGTAGCGGAGTACGCGGCAGCCCATTATTATGCCATTTAGCTCACGCATTGCCACTATCTTTTGGTCCCTCAGGCGCCAAGTAACTTCACTGTGGGGACTGAGTTCGGCAGTGACGTGCCGCGTACCATCCGCAACCGCCTTGTCCACGAGGAGCCCCAGAAGCTGTCACACGACGACAAGGGCGAGGGCCACGGCCAGGGCGATTTGTCCAAGCGCGAGCTCAAGGTAACGCCATGCTGGCCGCCGGTGAAATGTGTTTTACAGTGTTTACCAGCAATGTGTTATTACGTTTTCTTGCGGGCTCGCGACGGTTGCTGTTCGACGTCAACTGCAATGCTGCTTCTTAGCTGCCTTGCAATGATTGCGTGTTAGCGATGTTGCCGAGAAGAGCAGGAAGCGTCGTTGGAGCGCCAAATGAAACGTGCGTGTTGGCGTGTGGCTGCCTTGTGCTTTCCTTCTGCCGCTGTTAGCTTCCACTCGCGAGCAACAGGCTAACCGAGGTCCTCTGTCCCCCGGCCTGGCCTCCCTTTCCCTTCCACTTCGAATTACACCATCCCAACTACACCATCCTCCGCGACCGCCCGGACAACTCCCCTGGCCTCGCCCCTTTCTTCTCGCCACACCTCGGGCTGCAGGAGCATATGATGGAGGTAATAAGGAAGGCGCCGCCGCCGCCGCCAGCGTTGACCCGAGATGATTCTTTGAGCGCCATCTTCCGCGCACTTCCATTGTTACACTTGTTAGACCTGCACCGCCACATCACATCACCACGCACGTGTGATGCTTCGGACTGACCTTCCACTCGACATGTTTTGCTCGACAATGAGCCTGCGTCTTGCAGCATGTCTGTGCACCGGTACCGGTACTCCGCTCCTGCCACCGCCGCTCCACCCCACACCACTTTGGGGTGGTCCTTCTGGGGGGCTGTCATGACACGGCGCGCACCCCCCGTCCCCGTCCCCGTCTTGCCCCAACCTGTGGCTTCCTATGGTTAGGTATGGTCTTTGACCCCCCGTCCCGGACTCCCGGTGCCCCCCACAACCCGCCGCCCTCCTCCCTCAGGTGCAGGAGATGCAGGCGGGCCACGACCGCTTCAACCGTAACCACCCGGGCGCCGGCAAGGCGGGCCAGGGCGACTACGGCACAGTCAACTCGCAGGCGTGCACGCGCGGGGAGGGCGGCGGCCGCATGCGGTACGGCCACGATTGAGGGAAACTGCCTGCGAGGATGGAGGCAGATGGAGGACGCAGCCCTAGTTGTCTGAGCATTTTCTAGTTGTCTCGGAAGCGCTTGGGTGCATGTTTGGGCAGAGTAGAGCTGCTGCTTCGGCAGAGAGGGTAACGCGCTGCAATATGGCGTGCCATCGGGTGGAGGATGGTTGTACAGTTTTGTTGTACAGTTAGGAGAGCTGCCACAGGGGTTCTACTGTTGAAAGGGTCTCCCTCCGTGTTAGGAGGTGGCGTAGGTAGAGTGTGTAGGGGTGTAGGCTGTGTGGTGCTGATGGGCAGGATGGCGAGTGCGCGTGCAGGGGGAAAGACGGACGAATACATCGCTGCAAAGCGGAGTACTGTGAATGGCATGTAGCCTTAATCTGGAGAGGGCGGAAGGGGAATTACTGGAGTCAGCCATCGCTGCATGTAAAGCGCCAAAGCTGCATTACTCTTAATCCGGGTTACTGGTCGACAGTGACGGGGATTCCGCAAAGGTAGAAGGGCAGCATCGTGACTTCAAAAAGGGGATTTTGCAAGCTGCTGAAGTGGCTTGCGATGTGTCCCATGGACACTTGTGAGGCGACGATTGCTTTGTACCTGAATGGAATGATGGAACGCCGTCCACTTATAAAAGAAGTATAGCCAGGGTATAGCGTTGCTATAGCTGAGCCTACCGCGATGACGCGCCAAATTGCTCAACAATTTTGGGGTTTTAGCAATTCGGGACTGTTATTTCCGCACGGTATTGGGTTATGTGTGCGCCCAGTGCTTGAATTGCCCGTTTTAAAGGCAAGGCCTCCGCTCCGAAAACCTCACATAACTGCAAAATCTGCATTTCTGCAAAGCTTTGGTAGGGGCTAGTAGGAAAGCAATACTTTTACTATAAACATCCATTCTAGGAGCCATGCTGCGCTGGAAGCTGCGTAATTCAATACACGATGTGCTCGCCATGCTTGGCACCTAGCATTAACAAAACGACGCCCTGTCCATAGCTAATGAACAAGTACTAAACTAAGATAGATAAGAAGCTTGCTTAACTACTGGACTGCACAGTCCAAGATGGAGCACATCTTCGGGCGTGCTCCGAAGGGGCCCGCTCCGCCTGCCCGCGGAGCCGTGGCAGGTAGGTTATGGCACCGGCGTCGACACATCAGCCATTAATATATGGAGAAAATGGATAGCCGTACAAACGTTTGGACCCAATCGCTCCCGAGCCCCCTCACAGTCGCCCAACCCAATGCCCGCCCGCCTTCCCTCAGCCATGCCGCTTGCCCGGGTCACACCCTACCTTGCGCATCTAACCCTCGGAAATGTCCTGACCAGCCGTTAGCTACCAGCCGCGGTAACGTCTGCCTCCCATTGCATCCTCACGTCCAAAGTACCCTGTGAGGCAGTCGCCGCTCCTCTTCCGCCTTGTTCCCACGGCCTCACCACTGCCGCAAGCTGCAACCTTTTCCCCAAGTCCCCAAGGCTACCATAACTCACTGAACTTCCCCTCTCACTCGCCCGAGGCAGCCTTAGGCTCATTGTGTGCTTCGCAGTCCCATGGGTCGCTCGCTTCCGATCTTCCACCCCGTGCAACCTCCCCTTTCTGTCCCCCCCCCTCCCCCACACCCAGGCGTTAAGGCTGACCTGGAGCGCGCCAAGGAGGGGGGCGACCCGCGCAACCCCAACGGAGTGGGCGCCGCCTGGTCGCACCACTTCCTCAACCAAAAGGTGGGGAGAGCACAGAGGGGGGGTGATGTGGAGAGCGGAGGGGGCGGGGGACGAGGAAGGGAGGGGAGGAGAGTGAGGAGGCCCAGGCAGTGGGGAAGGCACACGGGTACCTCCATGTGGTGGTGGCGGCGGCGGTTCGGGGCTACTGTATCGACCCGGGGCGCTTCCGTGTGAGCTGCTGCTGCAACGGGTTCAACCAGTGATCTTATCCCTGCACCCCGTCCCCTCCTCCTCGCCCCAACCCTCATGTGCCCTAACACCCACCGCCCACTTCCCCGCCCCCTCTCCCTCGCCCCGCGTCTGATGCCCCCAGCCATGGCACCCCATGAACTTCAAGTGGGTAGCAGCGGGTGGCCCAGGGGGGCAGGGGCCAGGGCCCGGGGACAGGGGGGGCAGGGCGGTTAGGCGGCTGCCGGGGTGGTCTTGTGCGGCTGTGGGGACGGCGGGGAACTCGGGGCCAGGGAGGGAAAGCACCGCCACCACGACCATTGCAGCAGCAGCAGCAATAGGGCAAGGCTGCCAGCGTTGAAGAGACGTCAAGGAGGTGCCTCTCCCCCCACCCCGCCAACAACAAAAACAAACCCCAACCCCAATGCCTCGAATCCCCTGCCCCCACTCACCCTCTTCCGCCCCAGGAACCGCATGCGCGTGTGGGAGCACGAGCAGGAGAAGACGCAGCAGGAAAAGGCAAAGGAGAAGGCGCAGGTGGGTGGGAGGGGGCGCCGCGGCGGGGCTGGTTGCGCGCAAGGGTGTCGTGCAGTACGATGCAGTCACCCCACCTACTCCCCCTTCCCCTCCCCCTCACCCCCTCCAGGCTGAGTTCGATGCGGAGCAGGAGTACCTCAAGACGCTGTCCTACCTGAGTGCGGAGGAGCAGCGGCGATACAAGTGTGGCGGGAGGGGGGGGGTCAAGTAACTTGGGGGGTCGAGGAACTGGGCGAATGGGGGTGTTGGAGAGGAGCTAGACCAAAACAGACAACAAGTTAGGGCAAGTGCCATACAGGTTGGTATCTCCTAGACCCTCCCTCCCCCCTCCCCCCCCAGGGAGGTGCAGTCCGTGTCCTTCATGTACACCAAGCCCCCCGGACTGGATGCGGCACTGGCGCGGGATGCGGAGGCGGAGAAGAAGGTGGGAGATCGCGGGGGGGGGGGGAGGGGGTACCGTACAGCGCATGTGGTCCGCATGGACTGTTATCGACACTCCCAACAGCGTTTTAGTGGGGACACCATCTTCCGACAATCCAGTAGTGTGTGAGTACGTTCCTACACACACAAAACCCAACAACGCGACGTTGTTTCCATGCTGCAGAAAGCAAGCCAGCCAGCTGCGGCCTTGGAAGGGCCTGCTGCGGGTGCGGCTGCGGCTCCGGGGGCAGCAGCAGCGGCAGCAGCCCCCTCCAACCCCCAACAGCCCCCCCAACAGCCCCCCCAGCAGCAGGAGCGCTCAGCGGTGGTGGAGCGGTTGCGTGAGGACCCCTTCACCTCCATGCTGGCGGCACGGCAGGCACTGCAGAACAACCCCAAGTGGGTGGGGGGGGCAGGGAGGGTGAGAGGGGCAAAGGGACGGGATACCGGACACCGGAGGGAGGGGAGAGGAAAGGTGGGCCGCCGCTGCCCCCACCCCGCTGCAATGTCGTGTTTGTCGCACGTGCGCATGTGTGGAGGCCTCAGTGGTTCTTATGCGGCTTTGCACGCGACCCCGCCACCCCTCCACCTCGCCTCCACCTCCACCCCACCTCCGCCCCCCCAGGTTCGTGGCCCTGCAGCGCGAGGTGGGGGCGTTCGGCGGCTTCAGCGCCTCCGCAGCCAACCAGCAGCTACTGGGGGAGGAGCCGGCGGAGGGGGCGGGGCAGGGTGAGAGAGGGGGGCTCCGGGGGAGGGTGGGAGGGTGGGAGGGTGGGAGGGTGTGGGTGCTGGGTACATGCGGGTAGGCGTCGTCGGTGAAGGGCGCTTGGAATTCGGGTGATCCGCTTACCTCCGCTTCAACCCGTGTCCCTCCCTCCTCATGCCCCTGCCTCTCCCCTCCTCGGGACATGCTGTGCTTTACCTCTCATTTTTCCCCTTGCTCCCCCGCCCCCCCGGCAGGTTCCGCCGAGCTGGAGTTCCTGCTGTCGCTGCCGGCCGACCAGCAGCTGCGGGCGCTGAGGAGGATTGCCAAGAAGCGCAAGAAGGAGGAGGAGGAGCGGCAGGTGAGGGGAGGGGGGGAGGAGGAGCGGGAGGAGAGATGGGGGAAAGGGGGAAGGGAAGGGGGAGTGGGGTACCGATATGAGAGGGACTTGTACCAGGACTCGACAGGAGAGACTACCGAGCGGTGGCATGAAGCCCGCTCTATAAGGGAGAGGAGGAGGGGTTCCGAACAGAGCACTGCGGAGGTGCAGAGGACGGCCTCCTCTCAACTCAGGCGGTTTCACCCTTTCACTCCGACACCGACCCCCCCCACCACCACCAGCTGCGAGAGGCGGAGGCGGTGCTGCGAGCGGCTGGCTACGACCTGAGTGCCCTGGGGGCGGCGGCAGCAGGGGGGGCAGGGGGCGCGGCAGCACTTGCAGCAGGGGGGGCTGCACAGCCGCAAACGGGTGGCGGCGGCAGCAGCTGCGGGCACAAGAGCAAGCACAAGAAGCAGAAGAAGCGCAGCAAGTCCAAGGGCCACAAGCATAAAGAGGAGGACAAGAGCCGGAAAGCCAAGAAGCGGCGACGGCGCAGGTCGGACTCAGAGGGCTCCTCGGACTCCAGTGATACCACCTCGAGCGAGTCTTCTCGGTAATGCAGGGAGAGGGGATGAGGATAAGGGGGTGTGTTGAGGAGGAGGAAGAATGGTGACAAAGAGGAGGAGTGGGAGATAGGGGTGCCGAAGGTGAGGCAAGGCTGTGGACGGTTAGGCTACTAGGTTGGCTGGGGTGCCCGCGTTAGGCGGTTTAGTCGTACATTAGTACATAGTAGGGGGCCTTACTGACGCGTGGAGTGAGGAGGAATACATTGGCGCTTGTTGGGTAATTGGGTTATTGACTTATTGTACGAGAGGTTTTCACGAGGGGATGAGGCTGGTGAGGGCCGGGGCGGTGGCACTCCCCGTCACACAATGCCCACAATTGGATTCTACCGTGATGGATGTTTCCGTAAAACGTTCAGTGGGCGAGGGAGCAACGTGCCCTTCTAGAGTCCTGGTCCTGTATTGCATGCGCTGCTGTGTTGACAGACGCGATCTAGCGAACCCTCCGCGGACCCCCCGGGGGGGCGCCTCCTCCCCGCCGAACCAGGTACCACTCGGCGGGTCTATAACCCGATCTATCTTCACCCCGCCGTGGCTGCCGTACGTGCACGTGCGTGACGGTGTGTGTTGAGCTGTGTACACCACACTACCCGCTGTTGTCTGCGCCCACCATTAGCGATTAGCGTCAGTGTTGGCGCCGCAACGTGTTCACCGCGAAACCCCACTCCGCACTCCTCCTGATTGCTACGTGATACGTCCGTTGTTGTTTTGGAGAGACTGAACATGGTAAGCATGGTACCGGTATTAAAGCCCTCACTCTACTAACTACAAGCGAAGCAGCTCGCCCGGGTGTTCCAGGGCGCCATGGGTTCCATGTACTTCATGTACCGGCAATCATAGTACATTCCGATTCGCGGCCCCTTCTCAACACCACCCCGCACGACCTGACTCACCACCAGACACCAGCACCTCCCTTGTGCTTGGCAGCTGCTTGGCACAATGCAGTGCACACAGGCCCTCAAAACTTGGATACCAGGATACCGAAGCATTACTGGCCTTTTAATCGTTAGTATCTCAATATTCTAGCCATCTATTTGTCGTATGTACAAGTGGCCTTACGGCTCGACTGCTGTTCAACCCACAGCCCTGCCTCAGTTGCGTGCAGCCTTCGTGCAGGGTCCTCCTTGCCTTGTCCCACATGCCTAACGCGCCGGCCCTTGCTGCTGCGGCTGCTGCTCTTGCTGCTGCTGCGGCTGGGGTGTCAACATCCCCTGCGACGGCCTCGCCTCCGCCTGCTGCTGCCTGCTAGGCTGCTGCTGCAGCTGAGGCGTCAGCATTCCCTGAGATGGCCTCGCCTCCGCCTGCTGCTGCCTGCTGGGTTGCTGCTGCAGCTGCTGCTGTTGCCAAAACGCCGTCGGCAAGGGCATGGGAGGCGGCAGCGGCATTGGCATGGGCATGGGCACCAGCATGGGCGGAGGTGTCACCGCCGCCGCACTTTCATTGTCGGTTTCAGGAGGCCGCTGCTCCTGTTGCTGGGCACTGGGCGCCCCCATGTCGCCAGAAGCCGGGGGACGGGCCGGCAGCCGGCTAGGCCGCTCACCTACCCCGCGTTCTGCAGCCTCGCCCACTCCACCACCGCCGCCACCGCCACCTGCTGCTGCTTGCATGGCTGCTCCAGGCACGGGCGGAAGGGCTCCGGGGGGGTAGAAGGGATAGCCGGGCGGGCGGGCAAAGTAGGCGGGCGGGGGCATCATGCCCATACCCATGCCCATGCCGTACGGGGGCAGGTAGGGCGGGAAGTACGGCGGGCGGTACATGGGGTAGGGGTAGGGCGGGCGGAAGGGCATGGGCCACTGCGGTACGGGGGGCCTGCGAGGGAGGAGGAAGGGCCGGGCAGGATGGCAAAGTGAGAGGCAATTGCCGTACGTATTTACGTTTCACTACCCAGTATGTTCGCCTCATCCATCTTTGGAGCTGCCCAACCGAGCACTAATAACTCCTCCCAGCCCTAGCAAGAAGAGCAGGGGCAGGCGACGACCAGGGCAGCTACCCCAGCTGCCGCCGGCACCTGCTAGCTACCCACCCGCCCAGCCAATCAACCGCAGTCACTCAGCTCGCCTTGCGTACCTGTTCGCAGCAGGCGCCGCGGCACCTCCCGGCGGCTGCCCCCCCGCCCCAGCTGGCGGCTGGCCCCCCGCCCCGGGAGCAGAACCCGCACCAGCACCAGCGGCAGGCCCACCCTCCGCCTCAGCCGCGGTAGGCACCATGCCCGGCATCCCCTGCGGCGGCAGCGACGGCGTCGACGCCGCCGGAGTCCGGCGACGCATGGACGCTGTACGGCGCATGGAAAACATTCGGCGCGGCGGCGTGGGGCCTCCTGGTGCGCCGCTGCCTCCACCGACGCCGGCAGCAGCCACCGCGGCAGGCGGCGGTAGGGGCTCCTCGTCTAGCATGTCATCTGCGTCCTCCTCCTCCTCCTCGCCGTCCAGCCCGGCGACTTTGATAATGGTGTCGTTGATCATCTCGATCCACACGTCGTCGGTCAGGTTCTTGGGCTTGGCCTGAGCATACGTCTTGTTCTTGACCTGTGGGGGGTGGGGCAAGGGGAGTAGGTCAGGTGCAAGGAGAGGCTTAGGGCAGGAGGAGAACCAAGGGACGATGAAGGAAGCACCCGTAAGGCATAATCCGCTCATGTTGACGACACGAGCAACAACGCAATTGGGGGGTTGAGCCTTCGCAAGCACGTTCACTCCAACCCACCTCCAGAGCCCGCCTTCAGCTACCGAGCTATACAAGAGTCTACATGCAAGACGCAATCCCCTCTTGCCCTAATCTGTAGTTTCCTACGGTTTGGTATGTTGGTTTTTACCCCCCCCCTCATCCCACCTCCTTGCACATGGTGGCGTAGTGCTTGGTCCCCAGCTCCGGCGCCATGGAACAGTACCTGCAACGCAGTGGCGGTATACATGACACTCACTCCGTAGCACTCCTCACAACGCAACGCATCATGCTTTGTCGTCACCAGCTCATTACACATTACAGTATGAACTAAATATAAAGTAACCACTTTGGCGCCCTTCACACATGGATACTTGCGATGTGGGTGGGTCAGGGACAGGAATAGTAACAGCCCCTGCCGCCTTCTGCATGCAAAGCGCCGAAACAGGAGAGTGCCAGCTCCCCTGCTCCCCTGCTACCCCCAATGCTGTCCTGTCTGTTGTGCCCTGCACCCCCCACCACCTGGGTCGCCGCAGCGCCCCCAGCGGCGCCGCAGTGGCGGGTGCCTCCATCTGCCCCTCGCGCGACACGTCCATCAACCGCAGCAGCACACTGCCGCAGTCCTCGTGCACACGCAGCCGGCCAATCTGGGGGGGAGGCGGAGCGGGTGGGCGGCACGGGCTTTGAGGAGGTACTGGTAGGGGGTGGGGAGGTAGGCCAGGGTGGCTGTGTCGGGGTGTGGGTGCACGTGTTGTCACGCTACCGACACGCACCTTGAGCTGGTTGGCGATGACGGCGTCCGGGTCCCCGCGGGTAGCCATCTCCTGCACGGGAGGGGGGGGACATATGATTGGGAACGTGTAGCAACTGGAGTCGCGAGGGGAAGGGGAGGTGAGTCGGCCGAGGTGACCTGGGGTACAAAGGTTTGCGCTATCCACAACCCATTGGTGGTCGCTTTCCTCCTCCTCCCCATTCCACCCCACCCCACCCCCCACCTGCAGCAGGAAGCGCGAGGGCACCCCTGCGAACAGCGGCAGGTGGTAGTAGCCCGAGGCCACGAACTCGCCCTCCGGCTCGAACAGCCGCACTGCAGTCCAGCCGGCGGGGGCGCTGGTGCCGGTGGAGGGGACCACCAGGCTGGGGGGGGACAGGGGAGGGGGGAAGGGGGCAGGGGAGGAGGAAGAAGAGGGAGGAGTGGGAGGAGTATCGATATAGGATCGGCGAGTTAATGTGCACGTGAACGAAAAGGTTTGTCTTACTGTGTACACGTGTGTACGAGGTAAACGGTTCATCGTTTCTCATTCCCTCGTCCCTCCCTGCATTTTTTCATGCTCCCCCTCGTTCCTCACGCCCTCCTGGGGCCTGATCCCCTCACAACCCCTCCTCCCCTCCTCCCCCCACCCTCAAGAAACCTCCTGTAAGCTATGGCCAGGGCCAGTGTTTCCGTGGCTCGGTTTATCTGATCCTCCCCCGCCCCTGCTCACCGCACATCCACGATTACGCACGCCCCCGGCTCGTATAGTAGTCCTGCCAGGTGCATGTAGCCGTCCGTCCAGTGGGGCCCGGCCAGAGGGGCAGTCAGGTCGTAGTCCAGCGTTACGTGCACGTCGTCCGTGATGGGGTTGTCCTGCCGGGGGGCGGGGGGGGGTAAGGACCATACCAAAACATAGGAAAGCACAGGTTAGGGCAAAGCAATGGGGATTAGGAGGCGGGGGGGGGAGGATGTGTGTGCTAAGAAACTTGGCCGGGTTCGTGTGTTAGTGGAGGTGATTGGGGTACGCTCGGATGGGAGGTGAGTTTTTCAAGTGAAAAGAGATGGGTTAGGGTGGTACAGCTGCGAGCAGCCTTGACTAAGGCAAGACAGAAAACAACAACAGCAGCTGTCCTTGAGACAGAAGACAGGGACCGCGACCAAGCGGTTACCCCACCCCACCTGGTAGAAGCTGCCCGGCGGTGCGAAGGTGATGAGTGCCGCCGCGGGCAGGTTGCGCTGCAGCCGCATGGCGCCGTCGCACGCCACCCAGAAGCCCAGGTCGGGGTAGTACTCGGAAGCGCGGTTGTAGTTGAGCGGCCGGTCGGAGGGGTCGGGGCCTGGGGGGGGAATGTGGGGGCAGGGGGAAGGGAGCAGTGTACGACAGGGTTAGTGTGTTCGGGAGTGTGAGTGCGGTTATGTCATAGGGACTACTGTGCTAAAAGGGATGAATGCCGCCATGCCGAATTTCCTTTGCCCCCACCCGGCCCCCACCCGGCCATGATACTGGTAGTTGGCTTCATGTCACCCGCGCCTCCCCCCTCCCCCCTCCCCCCTCCCCCCTCCCCCCTCCCCCCTCCCCCCTCCCCCCTCCCCCCTCCCCCCTCCCCCTCCCCCCTCCCCCCTCCCCCCTCCCCCCTCCCCCCTCCCCCCTCCCCCCTCCCCCCTCCCCCCTCCCCCCTCCCCCCTCCCCCCTCCCCCCTCCCCCCTCCCCCCTCCCCCCTCCCCCCTCCCCCCTCCCCCCTCCCCCCTCCCCCCTCCCCCCTCCCCCCTCCCCCCTCCCCCCTCCCCCCTCCCCCCTCCCCCCTCCCCCCTCCCCCCTCCCCCCTCCCCCCTCCCCCCTCCCCCCTCCCCCCTCCCC